TATCAGTGGCCTGGATCCGGGTATAAGCTGCGGGAAAAGGCCATTTCCTTTGCAGTACCAGAACAACTGACGACTGAGGCAAGGGCACATCTCAAACCTGGTCAGTCCAATAAAAAGACCCAGTTCGCCATTCAGTTTTCGTATGGGGGTTGTCAAACGGGGTCAAGCTTAGTCTTGGCTTCAAAACCTTCACGAAGTGTTTCGGTACAATAATATTTGGTGTGTTGTTGTGACATCCCTAAATCAATATGCTTTGACCATGTTGTGATGATTGGACTTGTTTTGGCGAGATCTGTCGCAGTGCCCATGGTTGTCAATATAAAGCCAAAAGATCCAATAGTCCTTGATACAGAGCAACATCAAACCAGTAGCATCTGGCGAAAATGATGATGATGCGAGTGCATTAGCGGAGCCGGTTCCCACTGCCTTGATTTGGTTGATTTAGATTCATCAGACTCATAGTAGTTCGTCACAAGCAGGTGGTCAACCTTAAGGGTTAACTACAAAGCAGAATGTCATCCTCTCTCGTCTCTAGACTTAATCAGTTCTCTAACAACATTTAGTGTTCGTTATTCAAACAGTGTCAGCTGGCTTAAAACGCATCTATCGAAGATTCTTGAACCGTCCATGGATATTGATAATCACTTCAACGGGGCTGTTCACTGACCAGAGAAATATCAGGGCTTAAGAAGACATGTATCCACCGAACTTATTGAGACTGAAAGTTAGCCGAGCTTCTTTCACACGATGTTTTCGGGAGAATTGAGCTGCAAACCCCTCCCTCCACCCCCATTATGGATAGAGAAATAGTTGGAGTTGTGGGTGTGAACCCAGCACCGGGTCTTGAATACCTGCGGCCATGATGGTAACTAACGAGACCAGCAGCAGACCAGAACTAGACAATTCGCCAACAACAGAGGAAGAGAGAGAGAGAGAGAGACTTGGATCTGAAAATTGGACAAGCAACCACAAAAAAAAAAAACCACATTCACATTCCGCCTCGAGAAACAGTCAAACCGACCCAAGAAGAATCGACGACATCTAACTTATATTAAGACAGGCCCCCCAGACCGAAGCACGCAATTCCCCAGCATGATGGGTTCTTCACTTCGTGAAACGCTCCCCAAGGTCCACATGCCGACATGGATGGAGTATGGACCATTGAATCTCTCTAATCGGATGGAACCCGTTGAGCATTTTGGCTTGGCTCTCCGTCTGTCCATCAGCAGCTGAGGGATGGTGATTCATACGGGCGAGACCGTCGGTGATACAGGCGCGTTCGTTGTAGTTGCGGTGTAGATTCGCAATGAGACTTCACACATGCGCGATACTCCTGCCGCATGCATCCGGCGGATCAAATTCGAATCCCTCAAAAGGTAAAAAAGAAAGAAAGGGGAAAAAAAAAATTGGCAATTACTCATGATTCTTGCGCCAGATTTCTGCAAATGTGCGCCATCGCCGGAACAGAGTGCGTGTTGGAGCCTCAACCATGGCTCGCTCTACAGAAAATGGACCACTTGGGTTGGTCTACCATGTTCAAATGGGTGGATTTGAAGAGAGAGAGAGAGAGAGAGAGAGAGAGAAAAAGAAAAAAAAGCCCCCATAATTTGATTCTTCTGAAAAGTCTATCAAATAGTTTTTGTATGGTATCATGCTCCGAAGCAAACCGATGAACGCCCTCACATGCTCAGAATTCAACACAACAAACACAACATCGCTTATGGCTTCACAGGCGGCGGGGGCGGTGCCATCTTGCCCTCGCCAGTATCTACCTTCTTCCTTGCGGGCAATGGCGGTACTTTGAACCCGCCGTTCTCGCCGGTCTTGGTACTATTGCTCTGACCGCCCACCTGGGTAAATGTACCCGACTTGAACCATCGGTCCTCCTCGGCCTTGCGCTTGCGCTGCAGCTCGGCCTGGACCTTGGGATCGACGAGCTCGAGACCCTGGACGGGCGTAAACGCGATTGTACTGGCTGTGCCTGCAGTACCAGCCAAGGAAGTGCCCACGCCAGACGTTCGGAGACCCTTGGCTTGGAGAACACTCGCGGTTCCCCCAGCGCCGGACCCAAACCCGCGCAGAGAGGATGCGGTCCCGCCGACGGGAGTCGCCGCGCCCCAGCCCTTGTTCGACTTGCTGAGCTTGGCCCGGGTGCGCTGGTCGATCTGCGTCGCGCGGATCCGGCCATCGTTCTGCTGGCCCAGCATGCCCAGCCCCACGGTGCCTTCGCCGGTGCCGTACCCAACCTCTGCCTCCTCCTTGCCAAACGCAAGGCGGTTCTGCGCCTTCCGTAGCTCGGTCATGGCAACAGCTTCCTTGGCCTTGCGAGCCCGGCGTCCACCTCGCTTACGGGACGGTTTGTCGTCGGGCGCCGGGAGCGCCTTCACACCGGAATTCGGGGCAGGCTCTGTCAATTTCTCTAGCCGTTGGTAGCACTGCTGTTTCAGCTCCTCACCCAGGGAGCCATCCGGGCTGTATTGAGACACGTCCGCCCGCGTGGCGAGAACCATCTTGGCCGAGACGATACGCATAGCTTGTTTTTTGAGATCGTTTGGAATATCCTCGATGATAGGGGAGTGGTACAGGAAACCCTGCGACCGAATCCCAATGTTCGTAGCAAACCCCAGTCCTTCCGTGCGCTTCGAGCCCTGAGCAGCCAGATTGCACGCCGGAATTTTGGCCAACTCACGCAACCCACCGGTCTGGTTGAGGAACTGGGCCGCCGTCTCTGGGCCGATCAGCGCGGCAAGATTCGGCGCAATCTGGCTCATCCGGGACTGGATGCTCTGGGTAAGCGCGGTGCGCTCGCGGTCCAGCTTCAGAATCCTCTCGCAGGTATCCAGCACAGCCTGGAGTTCGGACTCGGTCATCTCCCGGCCCCGGGTCGTCGTACCCTCCACAGCGACCACCATGAGCGATGGCCCGTCGAGGATGGACCGCAGCGGCGCGCCGACCATGTTGTCGGCCGAGGTCGAGAGGGCCTTGATGTCGTTGAGGGGGCCATTTTTCAAGATGGCGACGGTTTTGGCGTAGTCGATCGGATTCGTGACGAGAGTCTCGAGCTCGGGAAATCTGATGGAGTAGTGGTCTCGTAGACTTTTGTGAAGGCGCGTCAGTTCGTCGGTGGTCGACACAGCGACATCAAACTCGTTGGTGATCTCGGGTGCGGGCTGCTGTAGCGCCTCCTCATCAACATCCTCTTCGATCTCCTCCCCGGCCTGGAAATCCTCATCGTCCGACTCGAAATCTCTCAGGAGTTCCTCCGCGTTCGACATGATGGCAGCGTGAAGCACGACGCAGTAGGTTAGCCCTGTAGCTCTGTAGCTCTCTGTAGCTCTGGAGAATCGATGATGGACCGCCACAGAGAAATGTTCAGGACGTGGAAGAGTAGCTTAGTCATCCGGGTGGCGTCATGCACCCAGAGCGCAGCTTTCACTTTTGTTTCGACCGTTCGGACGGATTTCTCCAACGAACGAACCAAACCACTGGAGTTGGGCATCCAACGACCAAGATCTCGACGCTCGTTGAGCTAATATATTCCCCCTTCTACGGAAACGTGGTCTTTTGCATTCTGTCGCGTCAAATCGATTCCCGTTTTCTGATATTTCCGTGCGAGAAGCGATCACCCGGAATCACCACCTGGACACCACCCCCCCCCATCAATCCACCATGGAGTCATCCCGCGGCCCTCCCAGGGTCAAGAACAAGGCGCCTGCGCCGATCCAGATCTCAGCGGAGCAGCTGCTCCGCGAGGCTGTGGACCGGCAGGAGCCCGCGCTGCAGGCACCGACGCAGCGGTTCGCGGACCTGGAAGAACTGCACGAGTACCAAGGCCGCAAGCGCAAGGAATTCGAGGACTATGTGCGGCGGAACCGGATCAACATGAACAACTGGATGCGGTACGCGGCGTGGGAGCTGGAGCAGAAGGAGTTCCGGCGGGCGCGATCGATCTTCGAGCGGGCGCTGGACGTCAACCCGACGTCGCCGGTGCTCTGGATCCGGTACATCGAGTCGGAGATGCGGAATCGCAACATCAACCATGCGCGCAACCTGCTGGACCGGGCGGTGACCATCCTGCCGCGCGTGGACAAGCTGTGGTACAAGTATGTGTACATGGAGGAAACGCTGGGGAACATCCAGGGCACGCGCCAGGTGTTCGAGCGGTGGATGTCCTGGGAACCGGAGGAAGGTGCCTGGAGCGCGTACATCAAGCTTGAGAAGCGGTATAGCGAGTTTGACCGGGCGCGCGCCATCTTCCAGCGGTTCACCATTGTGCATCCCGAGCCGAGGAACTGGATCAAATGGGCCCGGTTCGAGGAGGAGTACGGTACGAGTGAGCTGGTGCGTGAGGTCTACGGGGCGGCGATCGAGACGCTGGGCGAGGATTTCATGGACGAGAAGCTTTTTATTGCTTACGCCAAATTCGAGGCCAAGCTCAAGGAGTACGAGCGGGCTCGAGCCATCTACAAGTACGCGCTGGACCGATTGCCGCGTTCCAAGTCGATGGCGCTGCACAAGGCCTACACGACGTTTGAGAAGCAATTTGGTGACCGGGAGGGCGTCGAGGACGTGATTCTCTCGAAACGCCGGGTCCAGTACGAGGAGCAGCTCAAGGAGAACCCGCGGAACTACGACGTCTGGGTTGACTTTGCCCGGCTGGAAGAAACGTCGGGCGACGTGGACCGGGTTCGGGATGTGTACGAGCGGGCGATTGCGCAGATTCCCCCCTCGCAGGAGAAGCGGCACTGGAGGCGGTACATCTACCTGTGGATCTTCTACGCGATCTGGGAGGAGATGGAGGCCAAGGACATGGACCGGGCGCGGCAGGTCTACACCGAGTGCTTGCGGCTGATCCCGCACAAGAAGTTTACTTTTGCCAAGATCTGGCTGCTGAAAGCGCAGTTTGACATTCGGCAGATGGATCTGTCGGCGGCGCGGAAGACGCTGGGCCAGGCGATTGGCATGTGCCCGAAGGATAAGCTCTTCCGGGGCTACATCGACCTGGAGCGGCAGCTGTTTGAGTTCGTGCGGTGTCGGACCCTGTACGAGAAACAGATCGAGTGGAACCCGTCGAACAGCCAATCGTGGATCCAGTTTGCCGAGCTCGAACGTGGCCTGGACGACTCGGAGCGGGCGCGGGCGATCTTCGAGCTGGGAATCGACCAGCCGACGCTCGACATGCCGGAACTGGTGTGGAAGTCGTATATCGACTTCGAGGAGTACGAGGGCGAGTACGACCGGGTGCGACAGCTATACGAGCGGCTGCTGGAGAAGACGGACCACGTCAAGGTGTGGATCAACTACGCGCGGTTCGAGATCAACGTGCCCGAGGGCGAGGAAGAGGAGGAAGCGGAAGCGGAGGAGGAGGAGGAGCGGCCGATCAGCGAGGACGCCAAGCGGCGTGCGCGCGCGGTGTTCAACCGGGCCCACCGGGTGTTCAAGGAGAAGGAGATGAAGGAGGAGGTAAGTGCTGACCGGTGGCCTGTATCGACTGACGTTCCGGCTGACCCCCAGGATCTTAGCGAGTGGAACTTCTCAATGCATGGCGCGCGTTCGAACACACGCACGGCTCGGCGGAGGACATCGACCAGATCGAGAAACAGATGCCGCGGCGGGTCAAGAAGCGGCGCAAGTTGGACGACGACCGGTACGAGGAGTACATGGACTATGTGTTCCCGGCGGACGACCAGTCGGCGGCGAATCTGTCGAAGCTGCTGCAGAAGGCGCACGAATGGAAAAAGTCGCAGGGGCTGGTGTGATGGCCCGGCGTGCGATGGATCCGATTGTGTTATTATTACTATTATTATTATTATTATTCGACCCATGTGGATAGTTGTTTGGGGGGAGGGGTGTGTAATGATAATTAATGAGTCCTGGGTTACAAGCTTGGTAATGGCAGCAGACTCGAGCATAACTACCGCATCCTCGCTCCTCGAGTTCTGCTGCCACTCTGCAGAATCTTCCAATAATGCTGGGCTGGGATGCAAATGCGGGATGGGATGGATCTTCTGGAGACTTGGAATAAGCTGCTGATGCGGGCTGCAAGTCCCTGTACCTGCATATGTGCCTGGACTCCCTAGTACTACCTAGTCCGTACTAGGTTATATAGTAGGTAATGTGTACTGTCATGTAATGACCAGGACCGAACTGGGATTACCTACAAGGCTACAAGGCTACAAGGCCACAAGGCCACAAGGCTACAAGGCTACAAGAAAGGGGCAGAGCACCTATACAGAGTACACAGTAGTTCTCGGTATACAGAACCATGGTAGAAGATATCGGAGTAGATTGGGTTGTAATATAAAGTTATAACCCCTGAATCATTTGAATCATTTGAATCATCTGAATCATCTGAATCGTCGGGGGAAAACCTGATCTCATCATGTTTAATTAAGTGGGACGCTTCCCTTGCCTGATGCTGCCTGTCATGTAAGGCATCAGATCAGATTCGCCCACTACACCAGACTAACTAACTATCTAGACTACTTCCATCCTCCATCCTCTTCCTCTTCCTCTTCTCTCCTTCTTCCCTTCTTTCTCGGCTTCATCCATCTCCCTCGATCACCTCGTGCTGTGCACTCGTGCTGGTTCCTCTCCTCTCTCTCTCTCTCTCGCTCTTTTCACTTCATCCTTCTCTCACCCCCACGAACTCGCTGTAAGTCAATTGTCTCTCTCTCTCTCTCTCTCTCCCACTCCACTGCTCTATAAACACTAAAAATCCTCCGCTGTTTCACCATCTCCCACGGTAATATATCATACCTCCAGTAGTATTCTTCTGTTCATATTATAATTATGATCATGATGGCCATCTCTCGCTGGATCGACTCTCCTGATTCCCTCCTCTCTTCCCTCCCCATCTCTCCATTCTTTCTCCCCTTGCAGAGGTAGATCCTTTTGCTGCATCCACGAGTCGGTCTTCCTCGTTCCTATTATTTTTTTTTTTTGTTTCTATTCCTCATCTACTCGTTTGATTTTCGATTAACTTTCTCTCTCTCTCCTTCTCTCTCTCTCTCTCTAGGTTGTTTGTCGTTCATTCAATTCGTTCCCCGTCATTTCAGTCATTCGTTTCTCCCAAACGCCATTGCATGATCCTTCGGCATAGTCCCCCCAGAGATCTCAATCCGCAGTCATTCGTTTCAACTAAACAGCAGCGCCCGAACAAACACAACCACCCTCGTCTCTACCTCCTTTTTGAATCGACCGCGAAGTCGCCAGTCGATCTCTTTGGCCTGAATATCCCTGTCGTCCCCAATTCGACTGATCCCTCATTATTCCTCCTCGTCATTGATGACTTGGATTCCCCGACCATGAGATAGTACTCTGGCTGTCACCATTCACTCCCTAGTCCCGTCCTGTCGTCTCCCCTAGACTCCTGACGGCTGGTTAGCAACTGATTGTCTTCGGCTGGTATTTTCGAAGCACTCGGTAGATCAATTAACCCCCCAATCTTCCCGGCGAACTAAAACGATAGAGAAGCCCCAGAAGTAAAAGGAAAAGGAAAAAAAAAAAACTGAAAAACAAAACGACATACAATCGACATGGCTGTCCCGGAGCCCCCTGTGAAATTGGAGGGCCACTGTTCCGTCATTCATAACAACACCCTGTACACCTACTCCGCCAATGGATTCGCAGCCATCCCCCTTGAGCGCAATGGCAATGGAACCTGGCGGAAACTGCCCATGGGAGAGCCGGTCTCCGACGCGGTATGTGTGACGGGCACGATGGATGGGAAGGACGACCAACATGCACTCTACGTGATCGGAGGCTCGAGCAACGACGAGAACGCCCCAGGACTACAGCGATATGCCTTTGAATCCCGTGAATGGACGACCATGCAAACGCAACACCAGATGGAAAACCGCACGTCGCACACCGCCGTGTTCCTCAAATCGCCCCCCGTTCTGTTGGTCTACGCGGGGAACCAAAGGGACCGCGAGATGGCGTCCTCGGATACCTTCACTATCAACACCGCCCCTCCGTACAACATCTCCTCCTATAGCGCCAAGATTCCCGCCATATCGCCCGTGCTACTTCCCTGGAGCGACAGCGAAGCGGCCCTCGTGGGCGGTCGGACCGCCGAGAAAGAAGTCCATCTCTTCACGGCTGCGGGCGGCTGGGCTTCCTCCCAGGTTTCCCTCGCGCAGCCGGTGTCCGGGGATGTCCGCTGTGCCATTGTCAACGGAGACGATGGAAGCAAAGCACTCGAGATATTCAACATGAAAGTCTCGCCCAACACGGTCAGTAGCATCGCACTGCTCAATCGCGGCGGAATCCCGGCGCCGCCCGGTACGCTGCTAGGAGAGTCGTCTTCGAGGAAAAGGAAGAGACGCGAAATATCTCTCGACAACTACCCAGCTTACGACGGTGCGCTCGCATCATCCACCACAAGGTCGGACTACTCTCTCGCGCAAGGGGACAACGGCCTGGTTGTCATCTCCAGCGATAGCGGAACCGACTCCCTGGCCATTTTCAACCAGACGTCCAATAGCTGGGTCAATGCGACCAAGCTCTTCTACGGGGATGACTCGCCGCAGCAGATTCTCCCTTCCATTGCGACAACACCGTCCGCGACGCCCTCCACAACCACAAGTGCCACGGCAAGTGCCAGCGCGAGCAGCGCGGCCAGTGGTGAAACCTCGGGTAACCGAGTCGGCACCATCCTTGGCGCCACGCTGGGAAGTCTAGTCGGCGTCATCTTAATCTTGATCTTAATTCTCTTTTTCCTGCATCGCACGAAACTGGGCCGCAAGCGGGCCGGTCCGGGGGCCGCCGGCCATGGCGGCAGTCCCAACGACAAGGACCGCTTGAGTTTCCAGGACCAGGGCATGGAACCCCTCACGCGATCGGCGTACCCGATGGCCAAGGACCCTGCCCCGTTGGCAGCCACCTCGGTGGACTCCCTCGCCATCTTCTCCGGCAAGATGGCTGATGAGAAGTCGGGCCACGCGCCCAAGCCGACGCCACTGAAGCCCACCCCCCTGGTGGCCGTCCAGTCCACCGGTGAGCGGACACCTTCCAGCACCTACTCGTTTGGCGTGGACGGAAAGGCAGTCGAGGCGCAAGATATGGTCGGGAATAATGCACCTCGGGACCGAGCGGCAGAGGAAGGGTGGGGCAGATACTTCCAGGACGACGGCACCACCATTGCCGCCAACAGTCCAGTGTTCCCACCGCCCATGGGAGCTCGATCCAAAGCCGAAGACCGCACGAGTGCCTGGCCCGGTCCCCACACTCTTCCCCCGCTCAATCTTGGCTTCCTGGAGGAACCAAAACCGCTGGGTCGTGTAGTCACCGGCAGCCCGACGACGGAGAATGGGTCGCCCAGTGGGTCAATGCTGCGGCGCGCCGAGTCGCAATCTGCCCGCATCTCGAGCGCCAGCTCCATCAGTGCCACATCTGAGCATGACTACGGCCACCATCAGGACCGTTCCTACGGCTTCGCCAACGACACCGACTCTGGCCGTCACGACGGAGTCTCGACCACCAGCGTGCCCCCTCCAGACCCGAGCTGGCGCGGCGCGGCGCAGCACAGCTGGATCGGCCGTCCGCCGAGCAGTGCATACAGCCGCAGCTTCTACGACCATGGCGACCGCGGCGCCAGCACGATCAACACGCGCGGCTCCAGCGTCCTGATCCCAGATCCGCTCGCGCCCATGCCGCCGACGAACCAACGCAAGAATCTGAATTCGGATCTGAGCTGGCTGAACCTGAACGCAGACAAATAGTCTTCCGTCCCTCCCTCTTTTTTTTTTTTTTTCTCCCCAGTTTTCTATTTTGTTCAGTCCTCTCGCATTCCCATCCTGTGACTTTGCAAAGCATCCGCTTCTGCATCTCCATCGCCCCTGTCTGGATTCACCTTGCTCCGATCCGATCATGCAAGAGAGCGTTGAAGCGTTCCCGTCCTTCTCATCCTCCTGTCCTGTCCTGTCCTGTCCTGTCCTGTCCTTCCCTTCAATTCCATTATTCCCTTTCCTTGTCTATTCCCGTGATTACCGATATTGGGTGCTGGTTGTTTGTATGTATGTCTATTCGTAGCCTCGGCAAAGGGCACGGTACGGTGTTCTCCATCTTCATGTTCATCTTGATCTATCATGTTGGGTGTCTTCTTTGTTTTTTTTATCTTTTTCTCATGATCTTGTTTGTATCTCTCGCCCTCTTCCGAGTAACTTTATTCTGTTCTGTGGATCTGGAACTAGAACTGGGAACTGTACATAGACTCCCGTCAGCCTTTCTTTCTCTTCTTTTTTTTTTTTTTTTTTTTTTCCCTTCTTTATTCCCCTCGATAGATAGCCTTCGTGCTTAAAATATCACAGAGCGTGGTTTGGGCTGCTGCTTCTTCTTCTTCTTCTTCTTCTTCTTCTTCTATTCACTAAATCACTGCGTTTTCTTGTGATCCTTGACTCTGGTAGAACTAGTCGACTACCAAAGACTACCTAGTAATGCTGAGAGACCTTTGTGGACACATTATCCCCAACCAAATGGCCAACAACCGCTAATCAACAAAATCGACGCCTGGTAAATGCGGCCCGGCGGCGACGGGCCGGTGCCAGCATTTCTGTCTGTCTCTACTCCGATATTGCTATTGTGCTCTCGTCCTCCCATGTTAGGAAGAAAGTGTCGATCAAATCCACATCGCGCTGTCTGGCCTGAATCACACAGACTTGACACAGAATAATGGCGGCCTCACCTCTTGTTGCTGCAGCAGACGGCCAACGCATCTCGAAAAAGCCTCACATCACAGAGACGCCCATAGCGTGGGCAAACTGGTACCGACATGTCAACTGGCTGAACGTCTTCTTTATCATCGTCGTCCCGCTGATGGGCTTCGCCGCCGCCTATTCTTATCCACTTCAGCGCGCCACAGCCGTCTTTGCTGTTATCTACTACTTTAATACCGGATTGGGCATTACAGCGGGTGCGTCGACGAATATCGGTGCGATTGGTGCGAATCGGCGACAAAAATCACTGACTCTCAACAGGCTACCATCGTCTCTGGGCGCATTCCTCATACCGAGCGTCAACCCCTCTCAAGATATACCTGGCGGCTGTTGGTGTCGGCGCTGTCCAGGGCTCTATTCGGTGGTGGTCAAGGGGCCACCGCGCTCATCACCGGTATACGGACACAGAAAGGGACCCCTATTCTGTGCGCAAAGGCTTCTGGTATTCCCATCTAGGCTGGATGGTGATGAAGCAAAACCCCAAGAACCTCGGCCGGGCTGACATCACTGACCTTAACGAGGACCCAGTCGTGATATGGCAGCATCGGCACTATATCAAGGCTGTTCTCCTTATGGGCCTCATCTTCCCTACGCTGGTCTGCGGCATTGGCTGGGGTGATTGGTTGGGCGGCTTCATCTACGCTGGGATTCTGCGGGCAACATTTGTGCAACAGGCCACGTTTTGCGTCAATTCTTTGGCCCACTGGTTAGGAGACCAGCCCTTTGACGATCGCAATTCGCCTCGCGACCATGTCATTACGGCCCTAGTGACATTAGGCGAGGGCTACCATAACTTCCACCCATGAGTTCCCGGTCCGACTACCGTAACGCGATCGAGTGGTGGCAGTATGACCCGACAAAGTGGGCGATCTGGACATGGAAGCAGCTCGGCCTGGCATACAACCTCAAGGAGTTTAAGCAGAATGAAATCCAAAAGGGCAGACTCCAGCAGCAGCAGAAGAAGCTAGACATTAGGCGGTCTAGGCTGGACTGGGGCACCCCGATTTCCCAGTTGCCCGTCATGACCTGGGGGGATTTTAAAGCTGAGGCGGCAAAGGGCGACGGGAGGGCCCTAGTGGCTATTACCGGTGTCGTTCATGATGTGGCCCGGTTTATCAAAGACCACCCTGGCGGCAAGGCGTTCATTTCCTCAGCCATTGGTAAGGATGCGACAGCCACTTTCAACGGCGGTGTCTACCAACATTCCAACGCTGCGCATAATCTGCTCTCTACAATGCGTGTCGGCGTCATCTATGGAGGTGGCGAGGTGGAGATCTGGAAGCGTGCCCACTCTGAGAAACCGAACGGTTCTATCATGCAGGATAATATGGGACATCATACTGTACGGGCTGGCGAGCAGGTCACAAAGGTCGCTCCGCAGAACGGCACTACCACGATATAGATGGATGTGTGGGAGGGTAAAGCCGTTACCAGTTTGAGCCATGTATTTCCTATCCATCCTAGTCTATATAGGGGAAATGCTCGGGACCACTTGACTCGTATCGCTTTGAGCTAAGTGATATTCACTGGCAGCAAGATCTACCTACTGTGTACACAGTATGTATTATGTGTGGGTCGTATACCATCATGATGTGTCAGGAAGTATGTTCTCCTCGTGGTTGAAAGCGGGGAAGTGGGCCTTTCTCTCGGGAGGCTAAGCGATATGCCATAATAACCCCATCAGGTAGTAAGTAAGTCTCATTTCGTCATCACGGTCATGGTCATTGTCATATTTATGGTCATAGCTCATGGCAGAAGCAGAGCAGCACGCAAAGAACAACTTTTAGAGGTACAGAGGTACAGAGGTACAGAGAAAACATCAATGCCAATACGACGACCGGTACCGTGAGTCCGCCCCGGCGCTGGGCGAGCGCACCTTCCGCGAATATCCGGACGAACTGGTATTCTCCTCGATTTCGTCTGGGTACATGGTGCGCCAGGACGGGGGGTGGGCGGCGCCTTGGCTGTGGGCGCGCTGGCGCTCCTGGCGGCGGGCCTGGTGCTCGGCGCAGCGGCGCTTGAACTCGGCACGCTCCTTGCGCTTCTCGTCGGCCTCCTTCCACTCGGCGACGGCACCCTTGATGCCCAGCGCGGCGAAGCCGACGTTGGCGGCGTCGGCGAGGTTGGCCTTGACGCGGCGGCGACGGGCCTCCTCAGGCGACATCTCGCCATCCTTGACCATCTGCATGCGCTTCTTGCGCTTCTCCATGCTCCCGTGGAGGCTGTGCGCGGCGTGGATCGTCGCCACGGTCGCCAGGCCGGTCGTCACGAGCGTCTGCCGGTTGAGCTTCTTGCGTGTCTTCTCCTCATCGGTACTGTTGCCTAGGTCAGAAGATGAATCCTTGTCCGAGCCGTCGCGGTACGGGTGGCCCCGGGCTCCCGACATGGCGATGGCGGAAGACGACGGCTGCTGCATGCTTTGAATGGAACGAGGTCGACCTACTTCTCTGGAGTGCCTGCCCCGTCGGGACTCATAGTCACTCTCCCGGTCACTGTCCGAGTAATCACTGTAGCGGGACGGCCGTCCGCGGTGTCTTCCGCGCCGGTCATCCTTCCTCCGGTCTCTGTCTCTGTCTCTGTCTCTGTCTCTGTCGCTGTCCCGCGCCTTGTCCTTCTCCGACAGGCCCAGCGCCGCCATGCCCTGGTTGATGTAGTCGGTCACGCTCTTGCTCCGCTTGTGGGACGGACGGGGCCGTGGGGAGCCGTCGTCGTAGCTGTCGCGGGAGCTGGATCGATCCCGGTGTCGCGGCCGAGACCGAGACCGGAAGCGCTCGTACGCCTCCTTGCCCACCGCCGCCAAGGCCCCCGTGGCAGCCAAGTTCTTCAGCTTGCCCTCACTGTCGGAGCGACCACGACGAGAGCGCGAGCGCGAGGGCGGGCGCGGCCCGTTGACGAAATGGTTGGCGGCGAGCCCTGCCAGCGTCGACTCGAGGATATGCCGCTTCGAGTGCTTGTCGGGATTGCGGTCGACCAGGCCGTCGGTGCCTGCGGCCGTGATCGCCGCCGTGAGGATCCGCTTACCTTTGTCCCCGGTCCACTGGCCAGGTTCCTTGCGGACGCGGAAGGCCTCCACGGCACCGGCAGTCAGCGCCGCACGAACCGCCTGCGCCATGCGCTGCTCGCTCTTATCCCGATGGCGGCCGCCGCGGTCCCGGCTACGGCTTCGCGAGCGGGAATTCGAGTACGATCGACCACGGCCACCGTGTCGGCCCCGGTCATGATCCCGGTGTCTCATCGACGCGGTCGAGGACGCCGCCGCACCACCCAGACCGAGAGCACCCAGCGCCTGTTCAGAGAAGGACTTGCGCCGGCGGGGCGGTGAGCGGCTACTGGACGGAGAACGAGAGTATTTCCGGTGATCACGGTCTCCTGGAAATTTTTCGGGGTCAGCCATGAACTCTTCCCCAACGTATCGATTCCCGCCGCGGGGGGGGGGGAAACACATACGTCGATCACCGTCATACCTCGACCGGCGCTCGTGACGAGACCGCGAATACGCATACTCCGAGTCGTCGTAGTACGCATCGCCTCGTCCGCCAGCCAGCGACTGGGACCTGCGGACGCCCTCCTGCACGGTGGCTACGCGGGAGCGTCTGGGGTTCGGGGGATACCCGTATCCGTATTCGTAGCCATAGTCGCTCGGGGGCGGGTAGTTGCGGTGCAGGTCATCGGCCGATTCGCTGTATCCGTCGCGGTGGCGGACGATTTCGCTAGGAGCATGGCTGCGGGAATCGTGATGGTAGTAGGGGTCCTGCTCGTAGTCGGAGGGGGGGCGGTATCGATCGCGGGCGGAACGATGCGGACGATCGTCGTAGTAGGCCATTGTTGGCGGCGTAGAGGATGAATTACGGGGATGGAGAGTGTGTCAGAGGGGAAGGGAGGATGAAAATGAGAGGGATGGAAAAGAGATGGAAAAGAGATGGGAAGAATGATGGGAAACTCAATGACAGATCTAACTAACTAATACGTAGGTAATCTAGTTAGCGAGAAGATGAGGAAGAGAGAGAGAGAGAGAGAGAGAGCGGGGCAAGATCAGAAGAGACTCAGACAGCGGTGACAGGTGACGTAGGGGCGCTGCGAGACAGCACAGCAAAGTACATCCCCAATCCCCCATTCCACAAGAGCATTCGTGACACTCAAAGCGCCAGGGGAAAAGTTGTTGTCATCTGTAGCCAGTGGCATTTCAAAGGATTTGACGCCCTTTTGAGGGGATCCTTTGGTTGTCCTGGTGGTCTTTCAGTCAGTCTTTGTGACTCAAACCAGCATCGCCAGTTTGCAGTTTGCAGTTTACAGCCTCAGGCATCGGGGAATCCAGGCAGTCAGGCAGTCAACAGTCAGGCAGCCTTGACATCACTCTGCAGTCTGCATAGACAGAATTCGTGAAGTTGGGATCCTGGATATTGATCCTCATCTCCACTAGAATACTCAATACTAACTAGATAGATCTGACGGAGACCCCAGATGCCCCGTTTCTGGGTCCTTCGGGTTCCTGATCCAGACTGGTGTCTTAGTTCCAAAAGCACTTTGCTCTAGGTTCCGTGGTTCCCAATAAATAATGTCAATAATAATGATGATCTTGTCCTTGTGCAGCCCCACGCGGTGTATAGTATAATTCGAGATTAGGTAAGACAATGCTGCATAAATCCGGTCGCTCAAGTCGAGGACACTCAAGTCAACTGGTATCTGGTGCTATCTACGGAGTACATGAGGATCAAGTGAAGTCAACGTTCTATCATTTCCACGTTGGAGACTTGACTTCAACCCCAAGCTTCCCAGCGCTATAAACAAGTACTGTACAAAGTGGCAATAACCCCCCAAGCCCATTCGGGCAGACCAAAAGAACACAAAGAAATTGCACACCAAATAGGGGAGGAAAACGGGCCGGTAGAAAGAAGCGCAGGCAATGATACACAAACAAAGATATCCCTGCCTTTCAAGTCTCCGCACTCATAACCCCGGTTGAAAGTAGGAAAAAAAAAAAATCTAGTCAACCCCTTTCTATCCGTCTCATCGTAGACGGCTAACATAAGGGTAGAACAAAAAAGAAAAAAAAAAAAAAAAAAAGGAAAAGCAAACAAAGGGGCACCGCCCAGTAGTCGCCCGTTTGTGCCTTGCAAGAGGCTTGTACCTTTGGGTAGAAACGCCGGGACTCCACATCAATAAATCCAAGGCCAACGAGTGTCATCGACCATCCCAGCTGATACTGGGTAGGGGGAAAACATGCATAAAACAAAAAGAAAATGGCAGAAGTATGGCATCTGGGAGGGAAATGCCCCCCAGGTCTAATCCACTCTCCTGAACGTTGGTACTTCGTTTCTTTCACCTCATCAACTCGTACACACACTCCCACACATTTCACACGCACTTCCTCAGTACGGTGAATGCCGACGGTGACTACCGCTCGACGTCGTCAGGTTCATATTATCCATGCTGTGCTGATAGCTATTCCCATCCGCTTGCGATTGACTTCCGGATCGGCTGTGACTCTGCTGGGGGCTACTCCGGCGCGTTGACCAGCGACTGCTCGTGCCCTCGCTGTCTCGCTCCACGGTCCCCGTAGGGTTGTCTTCCGAGTGGGTACGGTGCGTGCGAATGTGTTGCTTCATATTATCCTTTCGAGTGAAGGCTTTGTTGCAGATGGGGCAGTGCACACTCTTCTCGCCCGTGTGTTTCTTGCCATGACGGGCAGCATGTCCCGATGTGGTGAAAGTAGCAGTACACCCATGACTATTTGCATACGGACACGGGTATTTGTTCTTCCGTGATCCCTTCGCACTCGTCGTGTCTTTCGAGGCGCCCAGGGACTTGGGCGGCGACGGGGGTTCCGACGCCGAGTTGCCGCTGAGCCGCTTCTCCGCGGGTGCAATCGCAGGTGGAGGATAGCCGTAGGATTCGGGTCGTCCAGAATGATAGTACGTGGAAGCGCTGGGGTGTGTCATGTAGTCATAAGAAGAGCAAGATGATGATCCCGGTGAAGTGGGCTGCATGGTTTGTGAAACAGGATCGAATGGCGGTCGCTGGGCCCTCCCGGGTGATCGTGCTGCTGATGATTCTGCATAGGGAGTTCCATGACTGTAGTCGGGTCGTGAAGGTCGCGGCTGATGTTCTGACTGAGAGGAGTATGTGGAAGAGCTAGATCCCTGTCGGGATATCCCCGGCGTCGATCGAACCGCAAATGATGGATTATCATCATTGTTCAAGATGGACACAAAGCTTGACTTGCAGCTGGCCATCTCTACACTTCGACCGTCTGGAAACTCCGCCCTAGACCAACGGATCCTTAGTTAGCACGGGGGGATTCGTCCTGGTGGCTCGCACTTCCTGTCCTTCTTCTTCTTCTTCTTCTTCCCCTCCCTTCGTTGTCTGGGTTTCCTCGGATTCGTTTGCTCCTTTTCCATGAACAGGACAGAACTGTAACAGAACCAGGCAGCAGTCCAACGTCATGCATCGAACAAAGACCGAAATTTGGGCGCGAAGGAAAGCAGAGAAACACACAAAGATTGGAGTCCGAAGAAGCAAAGAAGGCGTAGAAGAAATTGAAAACCACAGTTGGAACAGGAAGGACAAACCAGCTGCCTCGAAAGATGTTTGTTTCTTCTGTCGCTCGTGTAACAGGCGCCCCCGATCTGCAGCAGAAAAGCACGGTATGGTACGCAGATCGGATAGCAAGCCGATGTATACCTCAGGACGTTTCCTAGCCTGTGGATGGTGTCTTCTTTCCGAAAGTGGTTCTCACACAACCCTGGCGTGCGATGGGAAGCCAAGGGCCAAGAAAGATCCAGCACCAACCGATCACAGTCAGTCTGGAGCAATGTCGCAGCCTGAAGCCCCTTTTCCCTTGGCAGGAAGGGATTCGACCTGTCGGAGGGTAAATCCTGCAAGGTTTTGACAAGGCGTTTTAAACTGGCCTGGCTGTATCGCAGGTCTTAGGCAGAAGAACAACCGGACGAATTTCCGTCGATGACAGGCAAAACTGCGTTTTTTGCAGCAGTCTTCCAGAGAACTGCGGAGCCACTGATATAGAGTCACTTGAATAAGAATGGAAAATTCGCGTTGATGACAGACTCGATGTCTTCAGCGGGAGTTCAGATATCGGCCTAGGGATGGATTGATACCAGATTGATAATGATGAGGATCGCAAATTGGATGATGAATGAGTATATGAACCCTAATATTCAATTGGTGGAATAATGAAGAGCAGTAGAGGAAGTCTAGATATGATAGATAAAAAGATGCAACCTTGTGGTGGAGGGAGAGAACAAGTGCATGAATGAGTTTTGATAGGGAACGGAACAAATTAGGATAGAGGGGAGAGCGGCTGTTCAATCGACGAACGAGGGGGAAGCGGTGATCAAAGTGACGGGGAAAGAATATCCGAGAAGGATTGTGATGGAGGAGAAGAGGAATTGAAAAGATGAATCTGACGAAATGAGAGAGAGTGTGTGTAGTGTGTTGAGAGAGCGAAGGATAAAGTATGTATGTAAAGTGTGGAGTTAGGGGAGAGAGGGAGAGAGAGAACGAAAGCGAGAGCGAGAGAGAGAAAGAGATAGAGGGAAGAGCAGAGGGAAGATGAAGACGAGGTTGCAGGAGCATCTTGAAACCCGTCCAGGGTCTCTTCTCTAGAGGAGCTCTGGCCATGCTAGAAGGAGTAAACTAGTCGTAGTGTCTTGGTGGTTTGGGCGTCGAGTCGAGGATTCCACACCACTAGTGGAGGAGAGAGAGTGGAGCAGAAAAATAGGCATCTTCATTTGTAGAATCCATGGCGATGGATGGATTTTACGGATATACGGAGAGTAGTTATCTAGGGGAGATTGGGGGGGGGTGTGATAATAATAGTGGGGAGGAGAGGACAAGCTGTTTACGACAGAAACTCACACGACGTACAGTAAGTAGTAAGTAGTTACGATGAAGAGTCGAAGACACACGAGGAGGACTTGATCTGAAGATATCAAGGTACTTTACTTTGTAGGTGAATACCCAGATAGTTAGTTAGACAAGTGCATCATCATAAGGATAGATAATAATGCATTCATTATTGTCCCCAATCCCAAGAGTACAATCAAGGTTGCCGTAACGTGGCTTAAATACTATCATCGAAGAACATCCACAAAAAGAGATTGGAAGTATGTAACATCTTACATCATAACATACAGTCCCTAATCCCTATCCTATATCCAATTCGTGGGTCATGCAACAATGTAACCCACCCACCCCATAGCCACATTATCACCAGAGTAATATAATATTTATTATATAGATAAAAATAATAATGGGTGTGAGACGGAGGAATTCCCCTATACTCCGTAGTGATAAAGAAAACCACTTGGGACCGTGCTGATGGAACAAGGACTAAGTATGAGTCGAATCGACTCCGGACTAGGAGTCTGTGCTGACGGTGTGGTCCAAGTTTCTGTAAGGGTTGACAGCGCGCGAGTAGAAAGTAACGTACGTACGGAGTATTGTTTTGACCCGATCTGAAAAATGGAAAAAAAAAAAATGGAAATTACTATCTGATGCTCCACGATGGAAATCAAAGAGAAAAAGAGTCAAAGGACCCTTCCGTTCAGACCCTAGGCCTTTTTCAAAATGATTACTGGTCAAATCCCTGGGATTTTTGCTGATGAATGATTGATGGGGAGCAAGAAAACAGCCCGGAAGAAAAGAAGAGGAAAAAAAAAAAAAAACAAAAGAGAATTAAAAAAGATCCAAGAAGTTGAGTTGATGGAGTGGCTCCTGATGGTGTCTTACTCCAAGCAACTAAAAAGTGTCCAAGAGGTCCCTGTCCCTATCAGAAACAACGAACTCAACCACTATTAAATGAGCCAAGAAGCCAATAACACGGGAGGATTCCATTGTTGGTCCCTTTAGCATGATAGCTAGTCATGGAGTCTTGTCTTAACCCCGTAGTAAAGTACCTCCATGAGCAGATTATTACAAGAAAACTACTCCAGCTCCATAGATACGTCCTGAATCTCGGAATCAAAAAATCCTCATGGATAAGATACTTCCTGGGCCTCCCAACCTAGGTCCTAGATAGGGTCTAGGGAGCCCTGGTATTCTGGTAAGGTACTAGTTCGGCAGTTGGCCTTAAAATTACCGTGTATTGGTATTACAGGAGGGGCGGATGTACGTATTCATTCTGACGACAACGTCCTATTCTAGGTAGGAAGAGGTAGTAAGAAATGTAGGTAGGAGATCATTAGAAATCATTCCTACACAATGGCTATTGATAACGGAGGCGCTGGAGGTTTAAACTCGTGGTGTCGTCGCAGGCTTGCAGCTTGCGAGGAAAATCCATGTCTATCGTTACCAGGTGAGGGGAATATCACCCCAGAGAGAAAAAAGCCCTGCGGACAAGCTTTTAGCCATTTCGAATCAAACCATGCAACTAACCACGAAAGTGCCTGGGCTGCAATCTAAGGGATGGCCCCTGGTCATTGTGACCAATACCGAACAGTCACGGATCACAATGCTTAGGACATAGATAATTACATGAAAGGGCAATAAGGTGTATCAAATAATATTACATGTTAGTATTCTTCGATATTTCCCCTTGATTGACATGCAAAATTTTCCATCAGATCACCCGTAAAACGTTAGAGAGTAGATATTTAAGTTACTATGAACCATTCATTTAGAACCCGTTGTGGAAAGGTTCGCCCGCGTCGGAGTTTTGAGTTTGTCGGCTTCGGGATTTCCGAGTGCTTGGTCATGTATTATTGTTGCAAAGTATCGTACAGCGGTACACTTCCGTCCTGGCAAATAGCTGACATATCCACAATAATGGGGATTTCTACTTTCTACAAGTCTTCTGGAAGTATTACTACGTAGTCTGTACTAGACTAGATAGATACTGTTCCTTCACATCAAATCACTAGCGCCACTAGCCAATAGCCAGAGCCCAGAAGCTGTCAAGAATCAGAACTCAAGACACCTGCCACCGTGTATCCCGATACAGCCCATAGGAAGATCACTAGAGTAATACTTCTAGTAATAGTAATAGCAGCATGCCGCTCTTCACATCGACAAAACGCCACGAGGACAAGCCTCATTAGACCCTGATGCAGGCCAAAAAAAACAACGCATCCACCTTGTACTTTATTGATGTGCAAAAGAATGCGAGCAACTTACGATCAACCTTAACTGCCCAGTCACGTGGCATAAGCAGCCCAGGAAGAAGAGTTTGAAGGAATAATAGCCGCCGAGACTTGTTCGTCACATCCATGCGTCAACCCAAAACTGTGTCCGTCTGTCGTCTACCTTGCCAACCCATGATATAGATAGAACAGGGTAGGCCCACAGATTCATCGTCACACGCGTTAAGAATCCCAATACTGGATTGGTAAATCCATGAGAACAGAGGTTACGAGTTGCCATGCGGCTTGCGGTTTTGCTTTTGGCATGCCGCATTGTATTGCGTGCTCAGCCCGCACCACAAGGCAAACAGCACCGCGTTATGTGAGGAACGAAGGATCTTGGTCCTCGCGGAAGATCTCTTAGCCCACCGAAGACCATGCAACTGCAAGACGTATCTCGGTGCAGCTAACCCTTATCTGCCCAGTGCCCATCAATTCCCGCTTTTTTTTTCTTCGTCCATACACGTCTCATTTGTGTTAGGTAACTACAGATGAAGAGAGCAATAACGGCGAGGTGCTGAGAATATTGACTTCCCGCCAAGGTTCGACCATTGCGCTGATCAAGGAGTCTAGACACGGCATACAGAGGGACAATGCTCACGGAGTTGGATGCCATGTTCTGCGACCTCTGCCGAGTCACGAGGGATGATCAACCAACAGCAGCCGTCCGTCTGGGCGACGATCCCCAATTTGCACCGTCTTTGCAAATGCCTGTGCACAGTCTCGAGAATTCAACATTCAACAAACAACCCGGGGATAAATTTGCTTTCAGCGACACCGTCCACTCTCCTTCGAGGGGTTACGTATGCCACAAGACGTAGCTGTTCGGGACGAAGCCATAGCCAACGCCTCCATCGTGAAGCTTGACCAGGAGAAGCTAGCCGCGGTGTCAGGTTACGTAGGCTCTATTTATTGCTCAGTGCTCAGTGCTCAGTGCTCAAGTGCTCAGACCGATCATGCTGCAGTGTCTGTTATCTGTTCACGCTATCCAGCTTCTACTTACTCCAGTGGGCTTGGAGATCCATTTGAGGAGGTCCCTACTCCCTTGCTCATTTAGTGGGATACCTATATGATCAAGGGCAGAATGTGGACTTTGGAGTCTAGTCCTGTGGAGAAACACATGCTACGGCATAGTAGGATCATAGGATGGAGTATGAACTGCGATTAGGCTTTTATTTCTGAGCCTGAAGTCACCCTTGGAAACTAACGACTAGCAGTGATTGACACGGATAATAAGGTTGAGGTATTTTTATAGGCTTAAATTTGCTGATCATCGAATGCCAATTCCCAGGACGGTGTTGATAGTCGATATAAACTAATACCTACTACTCCGTCCTCCGTACAGTCTAGGTTGTCTTACGTTGTACCCTTGCAGATCCAATACCACCATCGTCCACCAGTATCTAGACTACATCTCTGGCTTCTCAAGTACTCCTCTGTTCCCATTGATGATTCTCGTCCTTCTAGAGGTCGTCTGCTCACGGGCGGATCAGTAATCTCCATCCTCATACTCATACTCATAACACAAAACACACGTTTTCGCTAATTTCCTGTCGATGCTATGTACGGTATGACTATCACATCACATGCGGCAGCCCTAAAACCCAGTCCCGGAGCCAAGAAAGGTCCCGCGAGGCACACTCGTCCCCAATGGCCTAGTAAGAAACCTAAAAGCTCCTCAGGGTCAGACTCAGAGACCAGACTTCAGAGGCCGAGTATGTATTCAAAACCCGACGGCTCAACTTCAAGCCGTAGCCAAGAAAAAAAAAAAAAAGTGACAAAAAGGAAAACGCCCAGAGATGTTGCTGGACTGAAACCCTCTACGGTGAAAATTAATCTTGGTACGGAGTAGACCTGCTTCGTAGGTAGGTAGGTACCCAGGTAGGTAGAGGCGTAGCTTGTGATGGCGCCATGCATACGTATGCTGATGCATTACTGCGGTCGACCCTTTCCCTTCCAGCCCAGCCGCGCCCCCCTAATGATTGAATTGTGGCGATTCGACGAGCGGGATAAAGATTGTAGTTGTACCTGTGAGTCTGTGACTAGTTTTTTTTACCTTAGTTAGAACTTAGTACTCGCTATCTATCTACATACTCTCCGTACTATGTAGTGTACTCCGTAGGGATAGACTACCTACGTAGTACAGTTCTACACTTATGCAGGGCTCCTCATCTTCGACGCCAAGAGTACGAAAACCTGCGCTAATCGGATGGAGCTAACTAGACGACTACGGTTTTGTTTAGCCTTGATGTCTACTCTGTAAGAGCTGGATCCGAGGCCTGAGGCATCAAACATGTTCCTCTAACTTTTGGCGTTTGTTTGGGGTTTGGACAAGGGGGTAGAACCATGGTCCATAGAAATGATATGAGAGAATCCTCAGCAAATGAATGATCAATGATCCCCAAGACCATATGGGACCAACCTGAGGTTGGTTGTGACTGCGGGACGCCGGTAACCTCTTTCTCTTTATCAGAGTACCTAGTACCAACCAACTATCTTGAGGACTGAATTGTCCTAACTGCCTAAGGCGCTGAAACCGCCACGATGGGCCCAGACCCTGAGGATCCTGTGGGTTGGGGTTAGGCCGGAGAATATCCGTGAAGACGGGAAAGATCTGGGAAGTTTGAGTTTCGAACTTTTTTTTTTTTTTTTTTTTTTTTTTTTTTTTTTTTTTTTCCTTTTCTTTCCCCTCTGATTTTTGAGCGGGATCGGATGAGGGACTCGAGATGTTTGAGGTTGAATACGGGCAGACTGTGTAACCATGAATCTATTTTAGATGGCAGAGACCCGAGTATCATAGTTCGCATGTTGATACGAGTTGGGGAGTTACCTACTCTACACAGTACTCCGTAGAGATTAGCCTAGTGATTCTGCTGCGAGTCTGCGTCTCGCTGCTGTCTGGTTGTCAAGATCTTCAGGGTCCTTTGCAGGACCAAAAATTCTGGGTCCGGTAACTCTGGATGTAACGTAATGAAAGGAAAGACGGATTGGGGTATTGAAGGTATTGAAATACCCAAGTGACGCTCTGCGTAAATTATTACCCTTCGAGGCTCCGACCCTCCGACCACAAAAAAGTTCAATGGACAAGTCTTCGAGTCAATCAATATTATTATATTAATATCTGCGGATATTAACCATGCAACGGCCTGTGGAGCAGATATAACAGAAGCAGATTATATTCCAGCATCCCTTTTTATCCCAATTCCCACCCTCCATTACCCAACTATTCTTATTCGTGGAACAAATTGCTCGGCATTTCCGGGGAACACAAAATACAATGTACGTACTTGGGTCTTGGATCCTTCGTCCAGTCAGTATCTCTTAGTCCATCAGGGATCACAAACAAGCAAACAAACCCCCATGCAACCAACGCCCACCTCCGTCGGACAAAAGACGGAACCTACCCAGCCAAAGAACGGATCCAGAATTCCAAAAAAAGAAAACGAGACAAAACGAGACAAAAATTGAGACAAAGCCGAAGCTTAGTTGCGATAAGCTGCGTAAGCAGAGACGTCACGCGGCGGGTGTTCTCGAGTCTCGAGCCTTGAGTTCTCGACAGCTCCGAGTCCGACAGCTGCCATGGCCACGCGTTGGACGGCTGCTAGGGACTATGATACGGCCGTGTCTAGCACTGAAAAAGTTAGATAGCTTCATCGGTGACTGGATTGGTAGCCCAGATCGGGATAGCTGGTGTCTGCTCCGGAGGTATGGCTTCAAACACTACGGGAGTATAGCGCACAACCCGCCCTCAAATCCTGGGCCTGTGGTTGGTGGTGTGTAAGCCACAGGGACTGGATGGATGGCCTTTTTTTTTTTTTTTTCTTCGAGTCGTTGGTCGGTGGTCCAACCTCTGGAGTTTGGAGGCGTCAACTACCGTGTACTAGCTCAGGGTGTTATCGTATCTGGCATTCTGGCTAGTGTTTGCAGTCTGCACTGTAGTACTTCTGTACATACTTGCACAGGAGCAGAAGTCCCTGTCAGCCTCACTTGAGCTGGATAACCTCAGCGAGCACCACGTAGAACGTACTCCTAGTCTCCTACTTCTAGTCTACTTCGTATTTACTACGTGGGCGCGAACGAATGCTAGCGGTTAGTAAGTGGGGCCCGAATGGTCCTCGACTAGGGTTATCCGGTTGAGGCCCCGAGGGTGGATTACAGCTTTGGTCTGAGAATCTCGGGGTTCGTACTCTACAGCGGTGGAATCATGAGAGGGATTGGCTTGTCGTGAGACTCGTGACTCGTGAGTAGGCTGCATGGGTTGCAGCTATGTCACACATCCACTTGAATGTCTTGACTGTCCAATGCTCCCCTGTACGGCATCGATTATGGGGGGGGTAGATCTTGTCCATAATGTTTCTGCCTAGAAGCTTGTCCTTGCGGATCGTGCTTCGCTTATCGTTAGTACGGTTCATGAATCATTTGCAAGGCTGTGTTCATACAGAAGACATGCTGCGCCATAGTGAATCCGCCTCGTCATGGGCTTGTGTATGCAGGTGTATTCAGCAAGGAGGCTGAGCTGGCACTCCCGCAAGCCCATATGTGTCAATTAAGATGATGAATGACAAATAGCTATGTTCTTCTAGAAAGTGTGTTAGTTCGTTCTCTCCGGGCAGACACATGCCTTGCGGCCTTGGATCTCAGGCTGCCATGCCGGACATTCTCTCGCAGGACACCGAAGTATACCGGCATATGCGCATCTAATTCTCAAGACAGTTGCACGGTGAACATCCTTGTCAATGATCTACCAGCAATGCTAGGAGCGAATTTGTTTGCATGGTAAATCATGTTGATCGGTTGCAGGACGAGGACTCAGGACTTCCGGTTGTACAAGCAGTCTGTCTTTCATTTCCATTGATGTCGATTTCTATACGGGTATCAGCTCATCCTTCCTGGTCAAATATGAATCTTCGCATCATGTCGATCCGAAATTCAATATCAAGCTCTCCAGTATGACCTCACCAGGCCTTGATACCAGCCCAAGCTATACTTCATAGAATCTAACCTCCCAAGCAGACAAAGGCACTCAATCACTTCATCTCCCGCTGATGCTCCCCCTTTTCTGCCATCTCGTTCAGCACCCGCTCCGCCGTCCGCATCGCCTCCATCCCAGCCGGCGCACCACAATACACCGTCGCATGGATGATTGCCTCGCGGATCTCAACCTCCGATAACCCATTGTTGACCGCTCCGCGCACATGCACCGCCAGCTCGGGCGTGCGGTTCAGCGCCATCAGCATCCCGATGTTCAGGAGACTGCGCTGCTTGCGGTCCAGCCCGGGGCGGTTCCAGATGTTGCCCCAGGCCCATTCGGTGACGACCTCTTGCATGGGGCGGGAGAACTCGCTTGCATTAGAGATGGAGCGGGCGACATGTTCGTTGCCCAGGACCGCCTTGCGGGTCTCGAGGCCCTTGTTGTAGAGGTCGGGGTTTGTGGACATCTTGGGAGGGGTAGATGGTAGACGGTGGCTGGGCTAAAGTTGTGGAAGGGGACAGATGCTATGGAATGAGGAAGTTTTGAGATGAGAGATCTATCTCCCTGTGTTGATGGATATGGGGGGGGAGGATGTCGGGTATTCTAACTTCGCTCTCGGGTGACTGCGGAGATATCCCCCGCATCCGCGGGCGCTCATCATCTCGCTTTTACAATAATTTCATGTGCTAACATCTCTGGCAAGATCAAAGGCTAGGCTCAATAACTACAGTACTCCAGGTCTTGCTTCTTACTTTAGAGGGCTGATAGAGTACGCCTCATCCGCAACTGCGAAGGGGAGCCCATGACTGTAATGCATTGCAACACTTTTATCCTACAGTCCTACCCGAGGAAAATCATAGGATGAGACATAATCGAGGTATGCATTCTTCTGACCAATTACTCTTTCTCTATCATTGTCTCATTTTCAAAGCAAGCCGTTAAGTGGCGAGGATAAGGTGGTGTCACATCAAAGGTATGGTAGGCAGTTGACTGGAATGCTGGCGCCCTTGTCTCCCTTGGCCAATCTCATCCTCAGTGGACTTGCTACTCGTTATGACATGAAGCAAGTCCATTAGACCAGATGCCGCTTGGAAGGAAATGATCACAATTACCAAAAGGTTTTAAAACTGTGCCGTGATCGCAAAACACAATCACGACTAGTTGACACAGGAGAGGACAGTGAACATTCCAACCCCCTCCTCATAGCAGTGAAGTGTTCGGGGGTGTCAGTACAAGTCTCAGACATCCTCATGCTTTTCCAGCCATCCTCCATTCCTCAGTGCGGCGGTCAACCGTACAAGGAGGGTTTTGAGGCTTCTCGGAGGGGTATATGAAGTGCTCTAAGCTTCCCCTAACGGCCTTCAATTGCTCATCACCTCACCCAACTCACAAGTCACTCCTACAAAGCTATACTCACTTAAACTCACTGTCAAACAAACAAATTCAAGGGTCTTGACCTATTCCTCACCATGTCGCAACCGAGATCATCCATGCTCCTTAGCTTAATCCTGGCTATCCTGGCCATCGCTTCCATCGGCTTCACCCAGCCCATCACGACGAGAACCAGCATCTCCAGATCTCAACTACATGCACGAACTCCAAGCCCAGTACGTCCTCCCTTATTGCTACCACTACCACCACCCTCAAGCCCCCAGACCACTAACAATCCCGCAGAGAGTGATCCCCCAAAGCGCAGAACTACGCAACAGCATCATGAACGACATCTTCGACAGCGTCGGCCTGCACGCCCTCAGCAAGCTCAACCAGTGGAAAGAAAAGATCGAGAAATCTGATATCATCGACGACAGCACCAGCCTCAACAGCACCATCACCGCTCAGCACAACGCGGTCGTGTCGGAGACCCCCAAGGCAGTCAACGAGGACCACAAGACGGGCCTGGCGCATCCCATCGAGGATCCCCTGGGGTTCGTGACTGGTGTATTTGCAGCCGTGTCGAGCAAGGTCAGTCAGGTATTCAACAGTCAGGATGAGATTACTTTGGGGGTGTGAGGGGTGTAGCCGTGGGGTGTTTGGCATGGTGTTTGTAAGGGTCAATTCTGGGGTTGTCTTTTCTTTTGGGTATCCATGTCTTTTTGGAGGAGATGTGTTTTCAGCGCTGATTATGAATCATGATGGTCAAAATTTGTATGAATGAGCGGGATTAGGAAAACAGCGAAGCGAGGTTCCATTGATGTATTCTCGGCGATAGTATAGTTGGAAGCCTTGGGGTTATGCTAATTCCACCTTATATCCGACGATTTTCACGTTTTTACTAAGCTTATGATGACGCAGGTCAGCCGAATGGAATTCTGATCTAGGGGAATCCATAACTACCAGACTATATCCCTCAAGGTAAATCTGACCAGCTCGTTTGTCTCAGAAACACGGCGATAACGCAGCGCAGTCCGTTGGTCGGTGTCCGATGCGGGGCAGAGCTTCACTGATACAACCAATTTTTTGTATTCCCAGCGACAAACCTGGAGCTTCATAAATAGCCTTTCCCTCGCCTCCAGATTGACCATCTTCCCTCAAACCTCGCCAGACTCATCACTTCCAAGATACTCACTTTCAAAATGCCTTCACTTGTAGGACAGGAAATCGGCCCCACGGGCTACGGAATGATGCGTATGTCGTCCATCTCAACACCCCACCTCATAACATCAAGACTGACCCAGAACAAAAAGGAATGACATGGAACCCCCAACCACCCTCAGAAGAACAATGCTTCGAAACCCTCAACACCGCCCTCGCTCTGGGCACGAACTTCTGGAACGGCGGCGAGCTCTATGGCACGCCCGACTTCAACTCGCTGCATCTGCTGAATAGATACTTCACCAAGTACCCGGAGAACGCAGACCAGGTTGTCCTGAGCATCAAGGGCGGCTTGAAGGCCGGGCAGCTGGTTCCGGACGGCTCGGAGGCGAATATCCGTCGCAGTGTGGATGAGTGTCTCCGGGTGTTGGAGGGGAAGAAGACGATTGATATTTTCGAGTGCGCGAGGCAAGACCCTAATACCACCGTCGAGCAGACGGTGGAAATCCTGGCGCAGCTGGTCAAGGAGGGTAAGATCAAGGGCATTGGTCTGAGCGAGGTGGATGCGGAGACGATCCGGCGAGCGTATGTTTCTTTTTTCCATCTTTTTTTTCTCTATGGTTCTATGCTACATCATTTGAGGATTATTCCCCGCGTACTAACGGTAGAGCAGACATAAGGTCCATCCTATCGCGGCAGTTGAAATCGAGCTCTCCCTGTGGGACACGCATACCCTGGACGACGGTGTGGCCAGCACCTGTGCGGAGCTCGGCATCCCTCTCGTTGCGTACTCGCCCCTGGGCCGCGGGGTGCTGGCCGGCGCCTTTACGAGCATCTCCGAGATCCCAGAGGGTGACCTCCGCCGGGGCCTGCCCAAGTACCAAGACGAGGCCATGAAGCACAACATCAAGCTCATCAACGAAGTCAATGATCTTGCCTCGCGGAAGGGCGTGGCTCCTGTGCAGATCGCGCTGGCTTGGCTACTAACTCTAAGCGGCAAACCGGGCATGCCAACGATCATCCCCATTCCGGGAGGCACGACAAAGGACAAGGTTACGCAGAATTTGCAGGGGGTACCTCGCCTCTCGGATGCCGAGATGACTGAGATTGAACGAATTCTGAGAGAAAACGAGATTAAGGGGGCTCGGTACTAGCGAGGGAAGTGTTACGGAGGACCGGTAATGGTTCATGATTCATGATAAGATTCTGATACACTGAAGTAATGCATATATGTACAAGAAGCAGCTATATAGTCCTGTTTCCAGTATCGTTAGCACGTTGTTCCGCAGCAAAGCATGCACAATCAACATGTTTAAATTGAAGAGTCAGATCAAGTGTAGAAGGGTCGACATCCGATCTCACAGAAGACTGGAGATCGTCGGAATTGCAGAATTCTCGGTGGAATAATCATCATGTAAGAGGCAGGAGCAGTAGTGTGAATATGTCTACTTACATTGATTCAGCGCGTAAGTCAGGAGGAATTGTCGTTCTGATATTTCGGTTTGTAGCATCTTCAACCCAAAGTCCTGATTGTTGATGGATGGATGGAGAATGGGAGAAGAAGAAGAATTTATGTGTGCGAGTTTTCTTTGATGGGAATAGCCTCATCACGTGCTGGCTGCTGCATGTATACTCGAGTCGAACATCAGCGGCGGCGCTCCGCAAGTTCCACGGCTCAAGAATCCAACGCTTTGCAGCAGCTTTTGTGTCCATTCTTCTTATTGACTCATCTCCCCCATTCATTCCATCGCCAGTGCATTGCTCCCGTCCGTCCCAATGACAGAATCTCCCGGCTCTCCTCTCTCCTCGATTGCGTCCGACGAAATGTCGGATCGCGAAGACCTCAAGCACTCCTTCTCGCCGTCAGCCGCCAACCTACCCCCATCGAAACGTCGTCGCACGGGCGTCGCGTCCTGGGATCGCAATACACCCCTCTCGGCCACATTCCAAGAAGACCTCCCGCCAACGTCCCCCTCGAGCTCGATATCGTCAGACACCTCCGGCGACATCCCCAACTCCCCAACCATCCTGGCCCTGCTCGGCGGCGGCCAGGACGACGACTACAGCGGTCAGGGCAACGACCAGGTCACCGTGTGCCGATGGGAGGGATGCAAACTGGGTGACCTGGGCAACATGGATGACCTGGTGCAGCACATCCACAACGACCACGTCGGCAACCGTCAGAAACGGTATTCGTGCGAATGGTCCGACTGCCCTCGGAAGGGCCAGACGCATGCGAGCGGCTACGCGCTGCGCGCACATATGCGCAGTCATACACGCGAGAAGCCCTTCTACTGTGCGCTGCCAGGTACGTTCCCTTTTCCATCTGATGAACTCACAAGCGCGGTGACTGCTGGTACTAATTCCTCGATCCTCCCCAAACAGAATGCGATCGCAGCTTCACCCGCTCCGACGCCCTCGCCAAACACATGCGCACCGTCCACGAGACTGAAGCCCTCCGGCCCTCCGACCCCGTCCCCAAACACCACAACGGCCCCGCCTCAGCCGTGGGAACCCCCACAGCCACCCCCATCAGCAAACTGCAGCGCATCAAACTGAAGCTCTCGCTGCCCCGATACGACGCATGGCAGTGCAGCGAGAGCGCCAACGACGAGCCCGCTCTCGCAGACGACCTCGACGGCCTCGAGCTGCCCGAGTTCGGGCCTGAGCTGGGCTTCGACGAGCACGAGCTGCGCCTCCGACCCTACGATCTCTACCGCGTGCTCCGCCGCCAGATCCACTGGGCCGAGAAGGAGAGCCTGCGGCTCCGCGAGGAGTGGGAGAAGATCCAGCCCAAGCGGAAACAGTCGTGGCTGGAGAAAGAAGCCGTCTTCGACGATGTCATCGATGCGGAACTCCACTTGTTCAGCGCCATCGTGGGCAGCGAGGGTCTCCCCGTCGAAGCTGCCGCGGATGCCGCGGCTCCCAATGGCCTCTCGAAAGATTCCCAGGAGCATGCCGTGGTAGCGGAAGCAGAGGCAGAGGCAGAGGCAGAGGTAATCGCCAGTCGGGACTCGGTGTCTGTCTCTTCTCCGTGAAAGTTCGCCATTTCAAAACCACCACCACTCCCTTTCTCTTCCTCTCTCTCTCCTTTTCTTTTACGTTTTCCTTTTGCTATCTACCGGTGTTTTTGAGGGTTGAGTTTTCCGGCGAACGAGGTTTCCATATAGCACATGCAGTTCGACATTTGAGATTTCCAAAGCATAGGGTGTATTTGCGGGTCAAACCCCGAGAAGGATTCCTGTATTATCATTATCATTATTATTATTATTATTGTTATTATGTTTTTGATAATTTAAAATCATGCGATTTTTGGATGTTCAGAAGACTTTTTCCCCCATTATCCGCTTCCATCAATGGTCTATCCTGCCTGGCCTACGGTAGTTGAAAAACCAGTACGAGTGTAAAGGTAAGAAAGAATTCTTTTATTTCTCCATGTCCTCTTCGCACTGAGAGGAACGTGATATCCCATGTCAAACCCCAGATGAACGCTAACCGCATCGCAAGATGACATAACGTAACAGAAGCTCTCTAACCGGGCATCGATGCACCCAGCAGCAAAAAAAAAAAAAAAAAAAAAAAAAGGGAGGGGGGGGAAAGACGGGATGATCCCAAAGAAATCGGACTCCGGGGAGAAAGAGACCCCCAAAATTAAAAAAATACATGAAGAATTAGAAAAGAAATGAAGAAGCAGAGAGACACCGTCAGAGGGGCCCGGCGTCCAGTTAAGGCGGGCCGCCCTGGTGTAGATTTGAAAGAAGCATAAGAACAACATATAGCAAGGCCCAACGGCTCCCGATGGAGGGGGTGGGTCCAAGCAAGATGTAAGACAGATAACACGATGCGCCGATATTGCATGGCCCAACAGCTCCGGTGGGAGGGGACCATGCGAATGATCAGACCCATCATATGCAATAATATGACAAGGCCCAACGCTCCCGAGTTGGGGGGAAGGACCAAGTGCAAATCGCAAACCGTGAGAACCGTGACCAAATCAGAAAGTGTACATAGAACCCAAACATGTCTGACCAATGCTATCGCTGAAACCACCCATTCCGGTCATCACCACCAAACGCCATTGTGATGCATTTCACAAATGCATAGTGCGTAGCTCAAAGTAAAAATGAAAAGAAGTAGGAAAAGGAGGTATCCGAGGGTGAGAAGGTGAGAGAGGACGGGTCGAAAATCTCTTCAACGAGAGATACGGACCACCCACGCCATAGGAGTGGTTTACTCTCTGATAGAGAATGGCGAGGGCTCGGCCGCCGCCTTCTTCTTGGCAGCAGCCTCCCTGGCAGCGAGTTTTTGATACATCGCGTGGAGTTGTTTACCGCCAGCATCGTGATTTGGCCAGTAGTTCGTAGCCACATAGTCCCTATTGAAAAGATTAGCCAGGTCCGTGCTGGTGACAAAACCCATGATCCGACTTACCATAAGCGAAGCTCAAGGGAGGCCATGTAGTTCTCCCCATGAAGTGTCTTGATGATGAACGAGCCAATGATAGCAAGCAACCTACCCAACTCTGATGCACGGCGGCTTTTGTTAGGGAAATTCTCCTTTGTCACTCCCGCAACTCTCTTGAGCTGCTCGCGAATAGGCCGGAAGAACAAACGACTCATTTCATCCGCATTGCTAGTGTCGCTCGGCTTGCGGCGGCGTACACCGTCGCTCGAGGCGTCCGACAATCTATGGCGAGAAGGTCCATTATTTTCGTGGCTAGATTTGGGACGAGTATCACGACTTGGGGTGTGGGTCCTCTCAACGCTGTGCCGAATCCCATGAGTCTGGGAACGATGTCTTGACCGGTCAGTTTCACGATGGCCTTTGCGAGGAATAGATGGCGCAGGAGAGGCTGAGACGCTGGCACTGGCGTGGCCACGAGCATTTTTGCGATTGTTCCGATGATGGTTCTCGACCGCCTTCTTCGCGGTAAGATTCGTGCCGTTGGTGACTTTGTCTTTCAAGACCGATAGCAGGTAGTCGGCACGACGAACGAGGTGAACTGCTCCGGGAGACTTGGTGGTCTTGTCCTCGGTGGTCAGACGCTCATTCTTCCGCTCAACGCGATGCTCTTCCAAGAAAAACTTATCCCCAAGGCCAAGGTCCGGATCGTCACGGATCTGTGTCCAGGCGCCGTATCCATGGCGCGCGATACCAATGCACAGCATGCCATCTTCACGAGCACCCCATTGGCAAGAATAATCAGCGGCCTTGGTAGCTTCTGGAATGCGAAAGTTCTTGAAGTCAGGGACCGCTGTTGTGGCCTCCCGGAGGATGCGCATCTCGTTGGGTCGTTCCATGATGGTATAGGCATTGAGACGCTTCACACCATGGTGGTCAAAGAGCACCGCTTTCTTCTCCTTCTTTGTTGGCATTTTGCCTGCGTTTTCCAACGCCTCCATTTTGGCGATGTCTTCCCGGACCAGTTTGGCGGCCTTTTCGGTAATTTCCCGGAGAGCTGTACGTACAGTCTCCCTATCGCGATCCAATAGACGCGCCTCTCGGATCACATCTTCCTCGCGGTCGTCAATGTCACCATAGCGTAAGAAGGCCCGCAGGAGATGGCGGTACTCTTTCTCCAGAAGAGGACGCTTGGGATCCAGGTGGTGGCTTTCATCGGATTCCTCGCCATCATCCACAGCAACTTGAGCCCTGGCTTGCCGTTTGGCTTTTCGTTCCTCCCGAGAGTTCTGTCCGTCCCCCGGAGCAGTACGCTTCCTCCCGCGGCTCATCTCAATTTGCTCGGCGAGATAAAGATCATCGGCTTTCCGCTTTTCTTCCGCTTTGATTTCTTCCAATTGATCCTTGGGGATGATATCGTCCCAGCTCAGGTCGTCAACCTTGATGTCAACGAAATCAAATGCCTTGAGGAATTCTTCACCACCATCCGCCTGGATACCCTCCGCCTGCTCAGTCTGATGGAGTTCGGCGTTTGCCAGTACGGAATCAATGTCAATTTGTTCCAGTTTCTGTTGGTTGCCCGTCTGCTCAAACATCTTTTGACCACGACGTTTGAGAATGCGAGAAATATCCTCGGTGGAATTCGGTTCGGCAGCAAAGGCGCCACTGCGAGCCATCTTGCTCTGAAGCTCAGAGGCCTCTTTATCGGTGACGCCTCTTTGGATGGTTATGAACTCAAGCAAAAGCTTGTTGCGAGCGCGCTCAATGACTTCTTCTTCAACCGTATCTTTGGATACGAGACGATAGACGCTCACCGGTCTTGTCTGACCAATTCGATGCGCTCTCGCCATAGCCTGAAGATCAGCCTGGGGATTCCAATCCGAATCGAATAGGACCACGGTGTCGGCCGTCATCAGGTTGATACCAAGACCACCAGCACGAGTCGAGAGAAGGAAGCAGAAGTCGCTACTGTCCGGAGCATTGAAATGCTCGATGGCCAGGCGACGAGACACGGCAGGGATCGTTCCGTCCAAACGTTGATAAGTATATCCACGAGACTCCATATAATCACCCAGCAAATCGAGCATTTTCACCATCTGACTGAAGATGAGAACACGGTGACCGTCTCTTTTGAGCTTAGCCAAGAGCTGATCAAGGAGCATCATTTTGCCACTGCTAGTGATCAGCGCCCTCAGGATGTCTTCCCGGCGCGTGCTGCCCTCAAGTATCCGAGCTTCGGCATTAGGGAACATGAAGGGGTGGTTACTAGCCTTCTTCAGCTCCATCATGATATTGAGTAGCGATTGTTTTTGACCCTTGGCGCCATCGTTCAAAGCCGCGTAGTTCTTTGTAAGAATATTCTTGTAATACTCGAGTTGTACGTCAGAAAGCTCCACCCGAATGATCTTCTCCGTCTTGGGTGGAAGGTCCGATTCGACCTTGGACTTCGTCCGACGAAGCATATAAGGTTGAATGGCGTTGGTCAACTCGGCAAGCTTCTGAGAGGCTGCTTCGGCGTTGAGATCCATGTCGACGTCAACATCAATGACGCCAGGGTTCAAGAAATCCATCAGAGCAGCCAGTTCAGCCAGATTGTTCTGGATGGGAGTTCCGGTGATCAAAAGACGAGCTGGGGATTTGAACTCAAGGAGTTTCTGGTACAACTGCGAATCACGATTTTTCAACCGATGTGCTTCGTCGACGGCCATAAATTGCCATTTGAACTGGCTGAGAAAAGCAGCGTCTTGCAGAACATATTCATAAGTAGTGAGAAGGACGTTGAATCTGGAACGCCTCGGGTTGCCGTCGATCATGAGCTCATGATCCTTGAGCATGTTACGTGCAGCTTCATTGCCATTGTAGACGATGTAATTCAAGTCGGGCGACCAGTTATCAAATGTCTCAGCCCATGAGGGCATAGTCGAAAGAGGGACGACGACAATGAACGGTCCTTGCTGACGTCGCACATGGCGCAGCCACGCAATGAAGGCGACGGTCTGGACGGTTTTACCCAGACCCATCTCATCAGCGAGCACGACGTTGCGGTTCTTCACCCAGTTGAAAGCCATAAAATTGACACCCTTGACCTGAAAATCCTTGAGCTCGCCATTTTGTAGGAAGGTCGGGGTCCCTTTGATTGGTTCAAAAGGTTTCCTCGTGGCGGGATTCATTTCATTTTTGTCGGACAAAGGAGGATGAGAAGAACGATCCAAGAAGCGGTCGATCTCGCGTTGGGCAATCTCACTAACGAGACTTTCACTCTCCCAGGTACACGAGTCGTAGAAGAGGCGTTTCCACTTGACGAGGTACTCTGTTCCCTCATCCCCGTCCCTTGTGGCGATCACACGTTCGACTTGTTTGTAATCCTCAATGGCGTCTACGTCCCTTTCGCGGTCCAGGTTCCACTTTTCCCGTTCCTCCGGCATGGCATCCTCGTCATGATTCATGCGAAGCTCTTCAGAGAGGACCTTTCGAACGTAGTTGTCAACTCTGCGTGTGGAACGACAATTCAAGAGCGATTCGTATGTTTCCCATGTAGCATGGTAATGCGACTTCCCTTGCCACTTGATGTAGAACTCAAACGAATGGCGACCGACGTCCGGGTCCCCCGGGTTGACGTCTGCTTTAGGGCGGTGGTTGAGGACGACATCTACTGCCGGCCTAGTATCTTCCACATTGTTGACCCAGTAGTTTTCCGTCACGTCTTCATCAGCCTCATCTTCAAACATCGAGTCATCGTCATCTTCATTATAGTTTGAGACTCTAGAGGCATTGCGGGTTGAGAAGCGAACTTCAGCATGGGAAGGTTCTTGGTTCAAAGCGGCCTGGAGCAGACGCCGCCGTTTCGCCTTACTTGTGCGAGAGGGGCCTCCATACTCATCACTCTCCGACTCCTCCGAGTAGGATGACTGGACCGGCGAGGGCGAAAGCTGCTTGGACGACCGCTGAGAAGCTACGGGGCGTCGACGCTTGGCGCGTGAGACCACGGCATCTGATTCGGAGTCTGAAGAACCAGATTGCACCACCTGACGCGTAGTTCTAGCTCTCCCGCTACGACGAAGACCGTAGAGGTCGGGATTCTGCCGCATGAAGTCGGATTCGCTAATCGACGACGATTTACGCTTCAACCCACGATTGATTTCACGCGGTGAAGAATTTTCCGCACTGGACGAACTGCTGTCACTCTCACTATGATGCGACGCAAAACCATCCTCAACCGCGTCCGCATGGGGCGAGCCGCCGGCATACGACTCATCGCCGGCATCTGCCTCGGGTGAGGATTCGGAGGAAGTGAAATTGTGGGATTGGTCAGGCATATCAAGCCCGCCATGATCTGTCGAGTGCTCGCCATTGATGGCTGCAGTATGAGAAGCAAGGGAGGAGGAGAAGCCGTTAGATAAGGCCATCTTGGCCGAGGTATCGGAGGATGATGGGATCACCATGCTAGTGGCTGTTGAAGAAGAGAAAAGTGAGCATTGCAGTCGAGCTGAAGGTCGGGGGAGGACAGAAGACACAGGATCGTGTGAATCAGTGGTACGCGACTCAGAATCCAATAGATTGGAAGCAGAGACCCCAAGGATAGAAGCTAGTACATGAGGTATGATGCATGGACGTGGTTTGGACGATGGCTTAGATGAAACGCGACGGGAGAGGATGGGCAGGACAGTGGGAAGCAGAGGGCGGGCGTCAATCACCAAACCAGTGTCACGAGATGACAGACAGTCCAGATTCGACCAGAGACCACAGGAAACCATCCAGACAAGAGCTATACGATATCCTGAAGTTCTTCCGGTGGGTCGATAACGTGGAGAAGTACCCCAACCGCCAGAGCCAGGACGCGGCTGCAGAGCTAGAAAAAGGGAAAAAAATTACTCACAATCCATAGCTGGGTGACCCCTTAAAAGGGAGAATGGCAGGAGAGAATTGTGCAAACAATGGAATAAGAGAAAATGGTGGTGGTTTGGGGGGGGGTTGGGTGAGTGGTAGTAGGAGGGATATGCAAGACAAGGTAAGGTAGGTTGTGTGTGGAGAGATCAGAGAGATGCAACCACCAGATTACGGGATGGGAGAATAATAATAATAATACGATGGTTAGTTAGTTGGGTTAGAGAGAGAGAGGTTCAGAGGGTGGACGAGTCGCAGTGAAGAGATCGCCTGGCGGCCTGGGATTTCAGGCTTGCATGACGCACTATGCCTGTTGTAGTTTAGAGTGCCGGCAAGCGAGTCTCGATCGGGTTAAGTGTGCCAAGAACGTCACGTGGGTCAGGCTCACCGACGGGCAGAATTTTCGAGAGAGACCGCCGTCAGCCAATCAGCGGGCTGGGAAAAAATCATGACAGGGAAACAGACTGACACCTTGTGGCCTGAGGCCAGCCATGCCTGCCTTGCCCACAATGCCCGACATAGTTTTCTCTCCCCCTCATTTTCAGACGCCTCCATCTCTCTATCTATTGATCTATCTATCCTTTCTTGTTCCTCGCCGCTTTTCTTTGATCTCTGGTGGACGCTGTCAGCTTCTTCGCGTGCAATCTCCTGGCTCTCATCCTTGGAAAATTGACCAGGACAGCCGTAGCGACGTCGTCTACGCTTCTGCGAGAGGTCCCATCCCATCCCCGCGTATATCTGGTTTCTTTGATCCCGTCTATTTGTTTCTGTCGCGTGTGTTTTGCAATCTAGTCATTCAGCATCATGTCCGACAAGCTTACTCGGTAGGTTGATCGTGAGAACTCGTGTTTTGGGGAGGTCAAATGCTAATTTTCCCTGCTTTCTACAGTGTTGCCATTGTCAACAGTGACAAAGTGAGTTCATTAACCCCGCCATAGGCCATTCCGCCGTCGTCGTCGTGACGCATTTGCTTACAAGGTTTTTTTTTTTTTTTTTTTCTCCGCGCGTAGTGCAAGCCGAAGGTATGATCTGATCCAAAACTGCAGTCTCACTCTATCTGGTGAATTCAGGGTGGCTAAATTGATTCCTACAGAAATGTCGCCAGGAGTGTAAGAAGTCTTGCCCCGTCGTCCGTACGGGCAAGCTCTGTATCGAAGTGACGCCGGAATCCAAGATCGCCTTCATCTCCGAGCGCCTTTGCATCGGTTGTGGTATCTGTCCCAAGAAATGCCCTTTCGGCGCGATTCACATCATCAACTTGCCCACCAATCTGGAAACCCAGGTCACCCACCGTTACTCTGCCAACAGCTTCAAGCTTCACCGTCTTCCTATGCCCCGTCCCGGTCAGGTTCTCGGTCTGGTTGGAACAAACGGTATCGGAAAGAGTACCGCTCTGAAGATTCTCAGTGGCAAGCTGAAGCCCAATCTCGGACGCTATGACAACCCTCCTGATTGGGAGGAGATTCTGAAGTACTTCCGTGGTTCCGAACTGCAGAGTATGTACACAGGCGGCAGATTGGACGTGATCGGAGCTGATTTTTGGTAGACTACTTCACCAAGGTTCTGGAAGACAACCTGAAGGCTGTTGTTAAGCCTCAGTATGTCGATCAGATTCCCCGCGCTGTGAAGGGCCCAGTCAAGAATGTTGGCGACCTTATCAAGGCTCGTGCTCAGATGGACAACATGGAGAGCATCTTGGATGCTCTTGGTACGTTTCTTTGCGCTCACAGGCTGCAATGGATCAAAACTAATCCCTTGCGTACAGAGCTCAGACAGGTGCAGAACCGTGACATTGACCATCTCTCTGGTGGTGAGCTTCAGCGTTTTGCTATCGGTCTTGTTTGCGTGCAGAAAGCCGATGTGTAAGAGAGAAACCTCCCCGCAAATCTCGTGGAAGTCCTACTCACAAAACCCCCAGGTACATGTTTGACGAGCCGTCCTCCTATCTTGATGTGAAACAGCGTTTGGCCGCCGCTCGTTCCATCCGTGACCTTCTGCGCGCCGATGACTACGTCATTGTTGTCGAGCACGATTTGTCTGTTCTCGACTACCTTTCCGATTTCGTCTGTGTGCTCTACGGAAGACCTGCCGTGTATGGTGTTGTTACCCTCCCAGCTTCGGTCCGCGAAGGTATCAATATCTTCTTGGATGGTAATATTCCCACTGAGAATCTTCGTTTCCGTGAGGAGTCTCTCACTTTCCGTCTGGCTGAGGCTGGTGACGATTTCCTGGTCGATAGAGCTCGTGCTTTCAGCTACCCGACCATGGAGAAGACCCTCGGCAACTTCCATCTGAAGATCGACTCCGGTAGCTTCACCGATTCGGAGATCATTGTCATGATGGGTGAGAACGGTACTGGCAAGACCACCTTCTGTAAGATGCTCGCTGGTGCCGAGAAGCCCGATGGAAATGTCACATTGCCCCGTATGCACATCAGCATGAAGCCTCAGAAGATTACCCCCAAGTTCCAGGGTACCGTGCGTCAGCTCTTCTTCAAGCGTATCAAGGCCGCTTTCCTCTCGCCCCAGTTCCAGACCGATGTCTACAAGCCTCTCAAGATCGACGATTTCATCGACCAGGAAGTCCAGAACCTTTCCGGTGGTGAATTGCAGCGTGTCGCCATTGTTCTCGCTCTCGGAATGCCCGCCGATATCTACGTGATTGACGAGCCTAGTGCGTACCTTGACTCCGAGCAGCGTATCATCGCCGCCAGAGTCATCAAGCGTTTCATCATGCACACCAAGAAGACCGCTTTCATCGTCGAGCACGATTTCATCATGGCCACTTATCTCGCCGACCGTGTCATCGTCTTCGACGGCAAGCCGTCCATTGATGCGCACGCCAACACCCCCGAGTCCCTGGTCACCGGCTGCAACACCTTCTTGAGAAACCTGGACGTTACTTTCCGTCGTGACCCCAACAGTTACCGTCCCCGTATCAACAAGTACAACAGTCAGATGGACCAGGAGCAGAAGTTGGCTGGAAACTTTGTAAGTTGGCCCACATGCGCCTCCTCCCCTCTACCTCGTTTTCGGTCATACTAACATGCCTTTGCTGTACAGTACTTCCTGGAGGAGGAGAGTTGAAGAGGGCATTCCTGGCAAACATAACCGCGATCATCACAGGCGTGATGGCCGCGACTCTGACCAGCGGCAACGCCATGGTCATTGGAAAAACCTTGTGTTAGTGGCGTTACTCGGCGTTTCTAAGGCCTCGCGCCGCCGTAGTCGTGGCGCGCGCCCTGTTGGCGATCTAGCTGGTGCTTCGGACGAGGAGGACGACGATGACGATGACGACGATGGTGATGGGGACAGCGGGTTCACCTGTTCCTGAGTTCACTCTTCGCTGTACTCACATGTCGTCATCCATCTTCCTCCCTTCCGATGCCCCATATCCGCGCGCCCCCGTATTGGCCAGGCTTTTCTCCTTCTTCGCATCCGCGAGAAGACAGGAATCTCGGTCGACCCAGGGCTTTGCTCGGTATTGGTGTCCTTTGGCTGGCGTGATCATAACCGGAGTTGGGTCTGTTCAAAAATATTCTTCGATGATGTTATGATATGTATAGATGGTCCCATGACCAATGTGTTCAGATTCAGTGAAGAACGAGAAGGAACTGGGAGTACGATCAAGATAGGTGAGACTACTGTTATAGATCTTTGGTAGCATATATATATATATATATATGCTATTCAGTTCTTGCTGTCTTTCTTCCTGTATTCAACTGGGTAGTATCCTCTGCAGTATGCCGTATCGTAGTAGTAACCTCATTGTTATCTTGAAGCCCGTAGTAGAATGGAGAGGGGAAATCTTGCCCTCTGCAGCTTTATATATATGACCTCGCAACTTACGCACCCGTCTCCCCTGCGCATACAAGACAATGACATCCTTTTGCACACTACACACTCCCCCCTCCTCTCCTCCCCAGAATATATGGGGAAATCATCTAATTGACTCTCTCCGGCCTTCCTATGAATGACACCGAGTACTTATCTACTTTCCTCTAGGGGTCTGTATGGTGGTGATGGGATCTCAATGGCCCAAACCATATGGAATCATCGCAAATATATATACATCGAACAGAAACCGGATGCGAACTACGCACGAAAAAAAAAAAAAATCTATAGACAGTTGACAGTTTCGTAAGGAATTAGACGAGGCTTCGGTAGACTAGACATATATAATCGGAGATACTTTGTGACCGCTGAGATGTGCGAATGGGTTACTCACCTCTTACGAGTGGGAGTTCAACACCTTTTGCGTATAGCAAGGCTGAAACCATCATCTACAGAGAACCAGGAGTCATAGTATAGATAAGTGGGTCTTAGATGCAATTCCGACGATATTCGCAATGCAACTATCAAGATGTACAGAGTGTAATGAGACCTAGTCCTCCTCAATCTCCCCCTCCTCACTGCCAGAATGCACAGCCTTGTCCTCAGCCTTTGGCTCTTCTGGGATAGTACTGGGCTCGCGCCGCTCCCTTTTAGCGCCCCGGCTGCGTTCCCGCTCACGACTTTCACGCCGGTGGCGTTTCGCCGAGCGACTAGCGACGCTTTCCGTGTCGCTGTCGCGGCGTCGGCGGCGGTCATTGCTGGTCGTGCTGCGCGTGTCGCCACCGTAGTCCAGCTCGTCCCGGCCTCCGCGAGGATCACCGCGCGTACGGTAGAGTCGCTCGCGCTCCTCCTCGCGGTCCCGACGCTCACGGTCGTAGTGGGCCAGTGGGCGAGGCGTGCGCTCCCGATCCCAGTCCCGATCAACCCGGTCGCGGTAGCGGTCGCGGTCCCGCTCCCTCTCGCGGTCCCTGTCGCGGTTGTCTCGCTCGTCACGCTTCTCGCGGACGGGCGACAAGCCGCTCACCTTCCTGTAGGACCGTTCCCGATCAGCCTGGGCTTTGCGGCGGTCTGCTTCGTAAGCGTCGGGCTCAGGAGTGCGGCTGAGACGACTGGGGGGGCCTCGCCGTTCGCCTCGGCGGTGGTCGCGGTCCGCGCGATCGTGGTGGTCTCGCCGGCTGCCGCGGTCTCGGTCACGAGGATCGCGCTCCCTGTCTACGTCCTCTTCCTTTTCCTTCAGGCGGCGGATGAACTTGTCAAAGGCCACTTGACGAAGTTCGTCCGACTCAATCGCCTTGTATTCCTCCAGTCTTTCGACTCTCGGCCGCACTTGGTCCCAGGTGTCGGTTGCGCGCACAGGTGGTTCCAGACGCTTCAACCGGGAGCGTAAGGCATCCATGGCCCGTCGCTGATGGCGGTCCGCTGCATGTTTCTCCTCCTCGCTTCGTCGAATGGCTTTCTCCTTGATACGATCAAAGAGGAGGTGGAGGATGTCCGAGTTGATGTTCGCCGTCCGGCGATCCGCAGACACAATTGAGTTGAACTCCTCGAAAGTTGTCTTGGCCGTGATCTCGTAGCGTTTGTCCTGGGGAAAAAAGGTCAGCATATACATCGACACCAAAATGGATAGCAATACTCACTTCGAGAACATCCAGAACATCGTTACGTGGCTCCCGCAACGACCGCTCCTCCTCCTCCACCATATCCCACAACAGGTCCAGGGGAGTGGAACCCGCGTTACCGAGCATTCCAAGGTAGCGTGGATCTTCATGAATCAACGGGTAGATATCCATCCACTTGCTGCCAGCCTTGATCTTGCCCTGAGCCTTCATCTCTTTCAACAGTTCAATGTACTGCTCGCGAGCACGGCGCTCTTTTCTCGCCTTTGCGGCTTTCTGCTGTTGACGTGCATCATTGAATGCGCGCTCAAGGGACTTGATGTGGTTTTCAAAGGCAGTCAAAATGTCTGACTTGCTCAGGGATTTGAACTTATCGTCACTCTGGATCTTGTCGTTGGATTGGATGATCGCCTGTGCTTCAGACCAACGGGTGTATGGTTCCAGACTTAAGGAGTTGAGAATATTGACCAGCTCATCCAGTGCGGCTTTCCGCTGAGAAGCTTCCCGCTCCACGTGCTCCTTCTTCAGTTCAAGGATATACTCCTCGAACAGCTGCCGTCTCTCGTTCTCATCGTTGGTGGACCTGAAGATGGTCTCACCTTCAATGATCGGGCGGATAGTCTTCCAGCGGCTATAGTGCTTGATCTCAGGATGGCTTTTCAGCATGGTGTTGAAGTCTGCTCTGAGCTTAGCAAATCTTTCTTTGGCCCGATCCTTCTCTTGCATGCGAAGTTCGGCCGCGTACTTCTCAAAGGCTGCCTTGCGGTCTCTGGGATCTCTCAGAGCGCGATACTGAGGGTCTTTGATGGTTACGCGCATCGTTTGCTCCCACGACCAGTCAGCCTGAACGTTGTGGCGCTTGAGCATCTTCATGAAAGCGTTCTCAGCTTCCTCGAGGGAACCATACTCTGGCTCTGCATTGCCCAGCACCGGAGCCGCAACAATCCCATTGGTATCCATCGAGCCGTAGCCACCGCGCCGGTCGTTAAAGCCGCGATCGTATTCATCGCGATCCCGTTGTGGATGAGAAGGAAAGGAACTGACTCCGCCGGCGACGAAGGTTGGGGCCCTGCGCGTAGCAAAATCGATCAGTAAGTGGCAAACAGAGGGCCTATAAATGATAGACTCACGCTACAGGTGGAGGCTGGGATGGTTGGACCTGTGCCAAAGCATTTTTGTAAACATCTGGCATCTCCCAAGTGCTTTGCTTTGTTTCCGTGTTGTACCAGTATTTCCGTCCACCCTCAGCAGTATATTCTTTCCATGGCTGGTTCGATAGAGCGCGCTGCGAGAAGTATTTCAAGAATCAGCCTATTTGAGAACCAACAGGACTCGAAGAAGTAGTACAAACCTCGACAGGAGTCATCAGCTCGACGGGCTTATTCCACTGCGTCGCTTTCGTCTGAACATTGTAATAATACACTCGTCCATCAGCATTGCGCGCCTCCTGCCAAAGAGGCGGCGCAGCAGCTGGTCCACCCATCGGATTCATATTGTGCAATGCGCAGATAGTATCTTCCGTGAGAAAATGCTGTGTCCTGCACCGACTGGAGGTTCCCCGGTTGCGCGAAAAAGTAGATAACGGGACGGAGCTCTCCTGTTGGTTTGCTTCGTGCCTGTTTGGCCTGTTTGCATTTGACCCCCGATTTACCCTGTGATCTATCAGAGTATCAACACAGTCGACGTCAATGGCTTTTGGCTACTGATGTACATAGCCCCCCCTTCTTCTTGAGAGGATTGTGCGTTGCTCTTTAAGTTCCAAATATCTCTCTTAAGCTTCTTTTCACTCAAACAACCGAACAAGAGCATGTGTTTTCGTGATGCCGAGCCCTGATATTCCTGGAGAGTTCCTGAGACATGCTGTGTTAGATACAGTTGTCCCGCATGCCTCAAACATAGACCTTGAGACGGCGTTGGCGAAGGCCCTGGAGGGCGGCGCTGAAGACCTTTCCTCTGTTCTTTCTTTTATACCTCAGCGATCACTCTTATTCTTTGGTAAGCAAAAAGACAGCACCCTCATCGAACGCCTATCTCTTACTCATGTAAAGTGTCCTAGATGAATTCTGTACTGCGCGCATTGTTCTCCGATTATCCAATTGTTCCCAGACCAGCTTGAAACACCACCTTCCGAACCTTGAGGTGAAGCTTGATATCTTTGCGATCGATCCTGCCGAGACCGTAGCGGAGAACCCCACGCCTACAAGGGACCTGATCTTCTCGGGGGTTGTCAGTGGACAGGAGGAACCTCTGGTAGTGGTGAACGAATTCGAAGGGGAGACAGGAAGTGGCAATCACGCATATGTGATCTGGAGTATTGAGACGTTTCTCAGTGAGTTTTATTTGATAATCTCCCAAGGATATTGCTCTGCTAACTGGTTCAGAGCGTCCGCGCATACGTATCCAACATCCTTCACTCATCTTCATCGCTTCTGTTAGCCTCAATCCAGCCGAGAATCGACAATCGGAGTCTCGCGATGATGATTACCTCCCCCCCTTAGTCCCTGCATCGACAAACGTCTTGTATCCGCTATCTACAGACAAGGCGTTGAACGAAATCGACCCATTCCTTCCAGCGTCCAGACTACTACGAGTCGTGCCCGCAAGTTACAGCGAAGACCCCATCTACAATGTCCAACAACAATCAGGACACCCAATGCGCGTTGTCCCTGCAGCCAGTGCTAGGATACGCTATTCACGGCTGAACGCGTTTTCCGGGCGGCCAACGACAGTTGCGAGTCTTGACTTCGAAGTGACCCCGTTTCTCAACTGCGACGTGATCTTTGACAGAGCCGATCTTCGATTGTCGAATGGGAAGATCGAAACACTGTCTGATGACCCAGGCCTCAATCCGCCCCTCACCTGTCGCCCGCGGGACGATGTGACCTTGATCTACAAACTGACACCCGAACACACCCAGGAGCCCAGCCCGTCGACTACAGTGATGGTCTCCACCTTGGACATATCCTTGGAGGCAGTCATCCAGCTGTCAGATGATTGCCATCCACGGATCCTGATGCAGTGGAGGACAAACATCGATTTTTCCATGGTCTTGAACCCAACCTTCGGGGGTCCCAGCCAGGCTCTCCAACGAAGTAATCGTCCGGCAAGCCTTCCGATGACACCCCACGCGGCTTATGCTTCGATGAATGGTTCTCCTCCCAGCCGGAACTCCTTGAGAGGAAGAGCCTATTCGGTTACGGATACGGGAGTCACCATATCGTTCTCTGGCCCCAATAAAGTGGAAGTCGGCAAACCATTCTCGTGGGGGGTGTTCATCGTCAATCGGTCTTCCACTGCTCGTAAATTCGCGATGGTTGCCATTCCGCGGCGAAAGCGCGCCGACCCGATAGGCCATGTCGCTCGGCCATCCTCATCTTCCATTTCGAGCCGGAAAGAAGATGGGGTCGCCGAGGCAGTGACCGACGATAATATCATCCACGCCATGCAGAAAAGCGTTGCCGGGCAGGAAGCTGAACTTGTATGCCTGAGCAGGGACATTCGCATCGGGTAGGCAGCACCTCCGCCTCCCCCGCCCCCCCAAGGGCGTTTTGACATAATTGTGTACTAAACTGATATTATTTGTGAATAGTCCCCTTCTTCCCGGAACATGCTATTCGACTGAATTGAAGCTTCTTCCCCTGGCGGTGGGACCTCTCCACTTGGAGGCCGTGCGCCTTGTAGATGCCGACACGAGCGAGACAACGGATATCAGGGAGCTTCCGGATATCATAGCATTTGACCGAGACGGTGTACCTGCTGCTGAGTGAAGTAGTATGACTACGCATGTATAAACCCTCAATACTCCGTACTTAGGTTTCAATGACCATGAATAAGTTACTTAGATAGTAATTAGATACCTAGATAGACCATCGAAGTGCAAATCAGAAACGAGATAGCGTAAGAGATAGATACCTACCTACCACCCTGATCCTGAAAGCTCAGTGGTGATGATGTTATCCAGTAAAAAGAACCGGGGCCAAGCGCGGCGGCGGCAAGGCGTACACTAGACTAGTTCGACAGGAGGAGACTAGACTAGGCAGACGGCGGATCACTATTTAACTATGGAGCAGCGATAAGAGACACCTTCTCAAAGGAACCCCCCCATCCATCATTCTCACTAATCAATAATATCTGTCTATCTATTCTACAATCATCATCCGTCGAGGTCTCTAGGACCCCCAGGTGGATAGAATCCATCGGTTCTCTCCCTACTACTACGTAGTAGTCCTGTTCACTAACTTCACTTGGCCCTTCTTGGAAGAAGACTCGACACTGACGTCGATCGACACCTCCTCTGTCCGGGACTGGATTCTTTTCCTGCCAACTTGCCTCCTGGCCCTCCTTTGCGTCATACTGTTGCTCAGAGTCCACCGACTGGGAAAATCTCTTTGCCTTCGATCTTGTTCCATAATAATCATATACTAGTAAAAAACCAAAAAAAAAAAAAAAAAAAAAAGGCGATCCTGCCTCCTAGTTACTCTGCTTATCGCCCTTCGCTTCCAACATGCTCTCCCTAGCGCGTCGAAGAATTGTGGATGGCCTCAACAGGAAGTATATCTATGGTCGCTTGGTATGTTGGTCAGACAGACTCCATACTCCATACTCCATCCCCATCACTCTTTACCTTATTCTCCATTTTTGTCCCTTTGCGATTTTTTAAAGTCCCCCTTGGACATCTCACATCCCTAATCAAGGGAGGACTTTCCTGTTATTTTTTTTTTTTTTCGGTTCTGCTCCATGCTGCGACGACTGCTGACGAACTCTGCTTACTTCCCTTGCTGTAGCCTCTGCTACATACGATAATCTTTCTGATCGAGATGGCGGTTGCTATGCGCATTGCCGCAAAGTTCAACTCTTACTATGCGGACCGACCAGGTGAGAATGCCATCGATTCAGTTGGCGATTTGCCTCGTGAAGTCACTAACGAGTCGGCCCATGCAGTTTTGACCACTATGGTCACCAACGCGGTATGCGCTTTGCTAATTCTTGCGCTGTGTTGGCTGCGAGAGAGACTCTGAATAGTCGACTGACGGGAAAACGATGATGTATATATAGGTGCTCGGTGGAGTCGCAGATACCGTCGCCCAGTTGATCACCGCCGTCAAGGCTCGCTCGGCCATCCGCCATTCTCCCGACGGCGACATGATTTCCATCGAGATCCATGAGATCGACAAGGAACGGCCACCACCGCTGGGAGAGCTGGGCCATGCGAAGCACATTCCGCCTCCATTCGACTTCGAGCGTCTCACCCGGTTCATGTCGTATGGTTTCTTCATGGCGCCGATCCAGTTTAAGTGGTTTGGGTTCTTGTCTAGAGCGTTCCCGCTCACCAAGAAGAACCCAACGCTGCCGGCTTTGAAGCGTGTCGCTGCTGATCAGCTGATTTTCGCTCCCTTTGGTATGGACATTGATTTCCCAGAGCGCTCTACCAGGGGTGTGAGTGTAATTGCAGCTAATGCGGTTATCGATCTAGGTCTCGCTTGCTTCTTTACGTTCATGACTGTCGCGGAGGGTGGAGGCAAGAGAGCGTTAACTCGCAAGTTCCAGGACGTCTATCTCCCGACCCTGAAAGCCAACTTTGTGCTGTGGCCTGCTGTGCAGATCCTCAATTTCCGGGTGGTGCCCATTCAATTCCAGATTGTGAGTGACCCAAAGTCATGTGCAACGGCCGCTTATCAGTACTTGATACTAACACGTTTTTCCTGTCCAGCCATTTGTATCTACGGTCGGTATCGCGTGGACCGCATACCTGTCGTTGACGAACTCGGCCGAAGAAGAGTAAAAGGAAGAGAACATACTCCGTAGGTTGCGCATCGGCTGGACTTTGGTTCCCCTTATCTTTTTTTTTTTTTGCCCCCTTTGGTTCTATATTTGTATCAGGCGTTGTATATGTGGGCGGCGTTTTCCCCTTTGCTCTTATTCGATGGGTGTACAGGTCCAATGTTCCGGAATGTGGTGTTGTTTCACAAATCTGATGCTTCTAGACGGTTTAACCATGGTGCCACATACTGTGATCTCGAGACCCTTGTCGGAGACATTAATAGTAATCCCTCATGGGGTGACGTTGTAGTGTGTACCTCGAGTCCAGAGGTGCTGCCACTGGCAGGTGGGAAGCTCAGCAGACAGCAACTCTCGCCGCCCACCAACCCCGCCATCGCCCTCTTAATCTTATCGTGGCACAAGTACAGCTTCAGCGGTCCTTTCTTCCGTTCTTTCTCTCGGCACCCACTCACCCAGCTTCTTCTTAGGCTCTATCTACGGCTCTTACCACGGGAAGCAGGCAGATCAAAACTTATTGGAGTCTTGGACCCGAGGCTATCGAGAACCCGCAGGTACAAAACGTTCAGCCAGGCCCGGATGCTTCCGTCATCGATTTCGAGGAGACTGACATCAGTCCCGCATCAGCCCGAAGCATCAGCGAATCTCTCACCGAACGCCCCACTGTCCTTAGTCCTAGACTCCTACACTCCTAGTAACTACTGGTAGCTATTCTTTATTATTCTCCTAACTACTACTACCTAGGAGTAAGTTAGTAATTGGTAGTGTTATTATTCTCCCTCATAGTATGATCGTATTCTAGCTAGTGAGCTCCTACCCCGCCGTCGAACCGAAGTAGATCAAGAAGGCTCACCGTGGGCATATTAGGTCAGGTTGCGAGAGCTTTTTCTTCATCTTCATCTTCCTATCTTTCTACTTCATTTTATTACTCTTCTTTCTTTCTTCTTTGTGTCTGTAACTTCCAAAAGGTAGAATACTTGTCCATCCCAATCGTGTTGTGGTAAATTCTTCGTGGCCTCGAGAGCTAACCTGAACCCCGCCGTGGACAGAACGTCATCCCACCATGTCTCTTACCAACAAGCTTGCTATCACAGACGTCGACGTCAAGGACAAGCGTGTCCTGATCCGCGTATGTTCTTTCCATTGCAAAGATTCGCTTTCTGAAATGGGACTCCTCGCCCGCAGAGGAGATGAAACCCAGCTCTTTTGTTTTTCTCCTCGCACCCATTGCTAACATCCTTGTCTCCTACAGGTCGACTTCAACGTCCCCCTCAATGACAAGAAGGAGGTCACCAACCCCCAGCGTATCGTTGGTGCTCTGCCCACCATCAAGTATGCCATCGACAACGGCGCCAAGGCCGTCATTCTGATGTCCCACCTGGGCCGTCCCGATGGCAAGAAGAACCCCAAGTACAGCCTGAAGCCCGTGGTCCCCGTGCTGGAGAAGCTGCTGGACCGCAGCGTCATCTTCACCGATGACTGCGTCGGCAAGGACGTCGAGGAGACCGTCAACAAGGCCTCGGGCGGCCAGGTCATCCTGCTGGAGAACCTGCGTTTCCACGCCGAGGAGGAGGGTAGCTACAAGGATGAGGAGGGCAAGAAGGTCAAGGCCGATAAGGAGAAGGTTGCGGAGTTCCGCAAGGGTCTGACTGCTCTCGGTGACATCTACATCAGTAAGTTTTGCACTGTTCTGCTCTTAGAGGTCTCTTCTATCTGTTTCGTATCGCTAACATGCTGATCTTTTTTCTCAAAAAAAGACGATGCTTTCGGAACGGCTCACCGCGCTCACAGCTCCATGGTCGGCGTTGACCTGCCCCAGAAGGCCTCCGGCTTCCTGGTGAAGAAGGAACTCGAGTACTTCGCCAAGGCGCTCGAGCACCCCGCCCGCCCCTTCCTGGCCATCCTCGGCGGCTCCAAGGTCTCCGACAAGATCCAGCTGATCGACAACCTGCTGCCCAAGGTCAACAGCCTGATCATCACCGGCGGCATGGCCTTCACCTTCAAGAAGACACTCGAGAACGTCAAGATCGGCAACAGTCTGTTCGATGAGGCCGGCAGCAAGATCGTCGGCGAGGTCATGGAGAAGGCCAAGAAGCACAACGTCAAGGTCGTCCTTCCCGTCGACTACGTGACCGCCGACAAGTTCGGCGCCGACGCCAAGGTTGGCTACGCCACCGACGAGCAGGGCATCCCCGACGGCCTCATGGGCCTGGATGTCGGCCAGAAGAGTGTTGCCCTGTATAAGGAGACCATTGCCGAGGCCAAGACCATCCTCTGGAACGGCCCCCCCGGTGTCTTCGAGCTGGAGCCCTTCGCCAACGGCACCAAGCAGACCCTCGATGCCGCCGTCGACGCGGCTAAGAACGGTGCCATCGTCATCATCGGCGGTGGTGACACCGCGACCGTCGCGGCCAAGTACGGCGCCGAAGACAAGCTCAGCCACGTCTCCACCGGCGGCGGTGCTTCCCTGGAGCTCCTGGAAGGCAAGGAGCTGCCCGGTGTTGCTGCCCTGTCAAGTAAGTAAGCGCCTGCGCGATAATGTCCTCCAGTCCAAAAGCAGAATCAGCCGCGGGGGGTCTAGGAGATCTAGAACAAGCGGGGAGACGAGCACTGAAATGAATGTAATGTACAAAGCAACGAGATTTAATTCAAAGAATGAATGGCAGAGCAGCCTTGAGAAATTTTTGAAGAAGAGGTTCTGATAGCGTCGGTTGATTAGATACGAGCGCCAGCCTATGACCTGTCCAGTCTCCTGCAAAATTGCCAAAATTGGCATTCTATAGGCGTAGTAGTACGGAGTACAAATTATCCCGATCATGATAACGAAAAAATCCCCCCTTACTTTTTTTGAATTAGTGTAGAATGTAGAGAGAATATCATTAGGATAGAATCCGTATATAGAGAAATGAAAAATTCACCCGGCTTGCTCTCCTCACAAATCGGAGCTTGCACAAATTGTATATTCCATCGAGGAACCAGGCCCTATCCCTGCAATCCGGCCAACCCCCAGGACACCAACGAGCCCTGAGTCCTGAGCTCAGCCACAGATGAACGCATCTACAAGCGCAAAAGGAGCAAGGACTTTCAGACCATGAGACCCCAACCGCCTTCTCCGCTGCCCCCCCCAGCGACCCCCCCCCCCCCCCCCGGGGGCTCGCTCGCTCGAACCATGAATCGCGTAACAGGAAGAAAAACCGGGTGGTTGTGTCACTGTCATTTCTCTCGAAATCGGGGTAACGGTATGAAAGCGCTTTAACACCCAAAGAAAAAAAAAAAGAACTATTCCTTCCTCCGATTTCTATCAATGGGCCGCCTCGACCTTCTTCAACTCCTCTCTGCGGGAAACGGGCGTTAGCAATCAGCACTAGGATCGATGACAAACACCACCCAGAAGAAAAAAAAAGGAAAAAGAACCAGCGAGGGTGTTGGCACCAGAAACAAGGACGAGAAAACATACTTCAACTGCTTCGAGAAATCCTCCGCCGCGTCATCGTCATCCCAGCTCTCCTCCCACAGATGCGCGTCGTTGCTGTTCGCCTGCTCGGTTTCCTCCTGCGGCCAGTCTGTAGTTATCGGTTAGCGCGGGGAGGGGGAGATTTTTGTCAAATGGGATAGCGGTTCCCTGGGGGGGCCGGGGTGGCGGGGGGAGGAGGAAAAGAGGGAAACGAAACGGTGGGTGATTGTTGGGGGGGGGGGCAGGCGGAGGTAACTCACCTTCGACGGGGAAGTCTTCGAATTCGTCGTCTTCTTCCAGAACGGTGGGCTTTTGTTGTTGTGTGGGCTGCTCCGAGGTTTCGGGCTTACCCTGTGTCTGTGTTGTGTTTGACATGGTGGTTGATGGTAAGATTATGTGGAGAGAGGGGGTGAGGTGAGGAGAGGAGAGGAAAGAAGGCGTGTGTTTTGAATTGCTTGCTGAGTGGGGGAGGGTTACGGGGAGGAAGGATTGGATTGTTTGTTGGTGAGGAGAGTGAGTTGTGATCTAGGCAGTAGGTAGGTTGGGGAGATTGGGGGAGGTTGAGCTATTCGGAGGAGAGCGTTAGATGGTCGATGGCGTAGATAGCGAGACTAGAGAGCTTCTGGCAGGTGAGAGAAGGTGGTCAAAGGCGGCAGGCGACTGGGGGGCCTCAGGCAGCGAATTACGGAGTATGAGTTATGACAGTTCTGCTCCGTGCTCCGTCCAACACACAGACACTCACACACTCACACAGCAGGTCAAAGGCCTAAGCTCTTGGTTCAGAGCCTCAAATAATGACACTACGGAGCACGGAGTCTACATTACCGGAGCTCCATGATGTTGATCATCCTGGAAATTCTTCATGACTGAATGACTGAGAGCTACAGAGGATACTAACAACTTGCCCACACAATCCAAGAATGTGACTAAATGACTATGCTTTTTCCTCTGGTTCAGCTCATGAGAATGGGATCAATCCTTTGTGGATAGCCATCTCTGGCAGAATGCTCCGCCCCCGTCAACCAGCTGGGAAACTAAAACAAACCGCCGATAACTCCGTCCATGCTATCTATCCCAGTGTTTCCAGTAGAAGATCGTTAGTCGGCTCGATATTTATTTAATAATATGCACCCCTCATCATCATCATCATCATCTTTCTCCACGTCTTACTTTTAAAAATCCTTCTTTCTTATATCCTCCCTCTCAAAGAAGCTTCCTGTTCCTTCTCCAACATCGTCTGTCTCCCAGGATCGCTCGGTCATAGAGCCTTGTCCACAGCCCACATCTAATGGGAGACTCGACATTCCTGCTCCGTCATTGCCTTCTTTCAAGGCCCGGACCCTTCCGGTTCCCTCCCCTCCAATAATATGAGATATACCATTCAGTCTCTCTTCGCGTGAAATACTTGAATCTCCTCTTCATACGATAAATCGATACTGGCACGGAGTTTGCCAATATGTTCCGCGTTGGCTCATGGCTATACGGCAAGAAGCCCGCCAATGCGTCGACGCAGTCGCTTGACTCGTTAGTCGAGTTGCGCGATCGTGAGTGTTCCTCCAGATTATGTTATTGGCACGGAGACTGATCGGTAGCTCGTGTGTACAACAGTTGAGGATGCGATGAAGGGTACGTGATCGCATGGCTGATCTGCTGCGCTCTCTGCATAAAACTCATGCACTCCGACCCCCGACTATACGAACTAAAAACCAGGAAGCTAACATCATCGCGATAATACAGCTGCTACGCTGATCCTCAATGACGATGTCGACGGTGCGGAGGATGGTCTGGCTGAAGGAACCTCGTCTTTCCATAATGTGTGCTTTTCCCTTCTGGGTTCGACGATATGACATCATTTTTTTTCCCTTTTTGGCGCTGACCGAATATCTTCTATGTACACAGCTGGGTAGAGGCGTGGTCGCATTCATTCGGGCAACATTAGGATTCGAACAGGACATCATGCGTCAAGGTGTGTTGAACCTTTATATCCTCGATTTGACTTATAGTTGAGTGCGGACCCGTCGATCGCTGACATCCTTCTAGCATCGGAGCGCCTGAATGAAGCCGAGACTACTGCGTCGGTCGATCAACACCGGGCACAACACAACTCGCAGGCGCCGAATACTTATCACTCGGCAATGTACACACCCGGAACGGAGTTTGCTTTGTGTCAGGCAATGGCGCAGCTTATGGGCGCCGTGGTCGGCGTTCTGAATGAAAGTCTCACGGAGAGTATCAAAGGGTTCTATCGGCTTCGGAAGGCCTATATAACTCTTGACGCCATTCTGAAGATGGAGCAGAAATACCTGCAGGAATCACGAATGGCAACCCCTATCGAATCCGCCGCACCTGGATCAATCCCGTTATCGATGAAGCGGCAAGGCTCCAGTAACCTCCAATCATCCAGCTCGTCGATTTCCTCAGCCAAGATCAAAAAAGCAGCTTCAAGCGCCACCACACTGGCCGCTCCAGTTGAAAACACAGACCTGTCCGAACGGCTCACCGGTCTGAATCTCTCTAGCGAGACTCTCGCTCCGGGTGATGTTAAGGAAGCATCGACCCTAGGCCCGGCCGACATGCTCAACCATGACCCAGACTCCGATATCTTTCACAATCAAATCGACATTTTCGTACATTCGGGTTCCAACTTCTGCTTTGGAATTTTGCTGCTGCTGATCTCCATGGTGCCCCCCGCCTTTAGCAAGTTGCTCAGTATCATCGGATTCCATGGCGACAAGGAACGAGGGTTGAGGATGTTGTGGCAGGCCAGTAAATTCCATAACCTGATCGGAGCGATTGCGGCGTTTTCCGTGCTGGGTTACTACAATGGATTCGTGCGGTACTGCGATATCATGCCTGATTCGATTCCCGGACAGGACGAGGATGTTCAAGGGTATCCCCAGGAGAGACTGGAACTTTTGCTGGCGAAGATGCGGAAGCAGTTCCCCAAGAGTCAGCTTTGGGTGCTCGAAGAGTCCAGAATGTGCGGGGCAAACAAGAACCTCGACAGGGCTTTGGAGCTCCTTTGTGGTGGTGAAAGCAGTCCTCTGAAACAGGTTGAGGCACTGAGGTTGTTTGAGAGAAGTTTGAACGCGATGTATCTGCACAAGTACGAACTGTGTGCGGCGTCCTTCCTCGAGGTAAGGGCAATACCACTGATGTCTCCACTAACAGAATCGCTGATCTATTCGGCAGTGCTTCGAACTGAACACATGGTCCCGCTCCTTGTATTACTACATCACTGGATCATGCCATCTGTCGCTATACCGAAACGCCTTGGACAAAGACCCCGCGAAAGCAGCAGAACATGCTGAACTGGCAGAGAAGTATTTCCGCCTGGCACCGCCGCTGGCTGGAAAGAAGCGTTTCATGGCACGTCAGCTACCTTTCGATGTCTTCGTGGCTCGCAAGGTCGCAAAATGGGAGGCGCGCGCCAAGGACTGGAAGGTGCCCCTTGTCGATGCGGTAGGCGTGGATCCAATCGAGGAAATGATCTTTTTCTGGAACGGACACAGCCGCATGACGGACGAACATCTACTGGAATCGTTGCAGAAACTGGCCTGGTGTGAATCGAGCGCCAACAAGACGTGGTCTCGAGAAGGTCCCGAAGAAAAGGCGATCTTGAAGTTACTCCGAGCCGCTGTGTTTCGTTCGCTGCGCAAACACTCCCAGGCCAAGGACTTACTCGAAGATATCCTCAGCCAGGACCGAAACCTGTTCAAGGGCCATCTGAAAGATGACTGGATCTGCCCAGTGGCCCACTTCGAAATGGCAGCGAATATGTGGATGGAGCGACCGACCTATATCGCCATCCATGGGGGCTCGAAAGAGTTCACTGACCCGGAGGCAACCGAACCTGCCGACTCCAGCAAGTCACTAGAATACGAAAGGGAAAAGGTGCACAAGTGCAAGGAATACCTGGAGAAGGCAGCCAAGTGGGAGAGTTATGAGCTTGATGCGCGTATCGGCCTCAAGGTGACGGCCGCCATGGAAGCTGTGCAAAAGTGGGAGAACACGCACCCGCCTGCATAGGATGATGATATGCACAATTGATGTAAATGATCTGTAAATTTGATTTGGTATGACAACCTGGCTTAGTTTATTAGGATGGAATATATGGCAATAGAGGAACCTGCGTCTGCTTATACTGAGATTCCAAGATCTTCGGGAGATAATAAAGCATCCCGATGCCTCGAGTATACTTGAGCACGTGATGAGTTGCTGTTTTGGCCGTGGATGTGTCTCTCTCATGATGCTCTTCATCCCAAAGCCATCTTGACTTTCCTCATCATGCCTTGAATTATCGCGTTGTCATCACGAATGCTTATGCCAAAACCGTGCTCAGACTGACTCTGATAACTCAATTCACGAAATCTAAAACAACACAGCAGCTCAAAAGATTCGCAGACCTGCTAGTTCCGAGACCGCCATGTCCATTGCCGAGTTCCACTTCGATAACGCCGAAGCTGATCCATTGTCCGAGCATCCGCACCCTGGATTCGGATAATATTCCGACGGATAATGCGTCTGCTTCTCAAGTCTTGGCTCATGACTGGACCAATATCCAATGGCCATTATCCAAAGCTCGGGAATGAAGAACGCCATCGCAGCAAAGCTGGTATGCTTCCAGACTCGATTGATCGATTCCATCCAGCCCTCCCATACCGGCCTGTGGGTGGGACGATGACTCAGGGCTGAAGATGGGGGACCCTGAGCGACGCAGTGAGCAGTCATTGGAGTAGACTAGGCTATCTACTATCTAGTCTGCTAATTGGAGATCTCCATTCTTACTTCAGTTTATCGCCATCGGATGTCCGATGGCCGATCAGGTTTCAACGGCTTTCTAGTTCAGGTGTGGGTTAAGAGTTATAAGACGGCTCGGCTCCGCCATCAGGGCCATTGGAGTTTGGACAGTTTGAGGTATCTATCTACCATCGTCGAATTCTATTTTTTTTGGGTCATCGATCTTTTTTATTGGAGGTTGGGTACGACCAGACCCTTATCCCCAGCTTTGACGTTTGAACAGTGACGGATATTCTCCGGTGACGTCGTAACTGGGTTATCGACGTTTTGTATTTGGTTCCGGTGCGGGAGACTTTGTCACGAGGGAAAACACTTTTCTAGTTGCTCTCTGTGTTTGTCTGGTATATTATCTTTCTGACTGGAGTTGCCCTCTCTCACTACCGCTTTATCGTGAGGATTATCGCATTCTCAGCCGTTTTTATGAAGCCATGACGAGCCACGAACATTCTGCCAGCACGTCTTCTGGCTCCTCCGTCAACAGCGAGATCGAATCATTCGAAGACCGTTTCAGTCTTAATGAGCGCGAGGTTGACGGGGCGGTACTGGAGAAGCAGAGCACGGCAGCCTCGGGATTGTCCGTATTAGAAGCGCGCGCGCATTCGTTTATATCGACGGTCCGGAGCCGGGAGCCCGGCCAGACTGCGCGCTTCACGCATCAGCTATCGCATACGAAAACAAAGGAAGATGTGATTGTGGACTTTGATGGGCCAGACGACCCCTACAGACCGTTGAATTGGTGTTTCAAAAAGAAGGCTATCACTACGGTGCTCTACGGCCTGACAACAATGGGTATGTAAGTCGTTTTGATGTGATGCAGAAGAACAAGAGCTGATTAGGCCATGTCAATAATAGGCGCAACTTGGGCAAGTTCAATGTACGATCCATCTAACCTTAAGATCTTGCATCGGACAACATGTTGACGCAGACACAGTTATTCCACAGGGACAAGACAGATTTCTCAGCAATTCGGGGTCGGGGAAGAGGTTGGCATACTTGGCACGGCGCTGCTCCTATTCGGCTTCGGTACGCTCGTAGCCAACGGACATTGTGTTATCTGCATGGGAGAGAGCTATATTTACTGACTGGTCCGTCAGGTGTGGGACCGCTTGTATGGGCGCCACTCTCCGAGGTATATGGGCGTAAATTCGCTGTTCTGATACCTTACTTCATCGCCGCGATCTTCTCTTTCGGCACTGCTACTGCCAAAGACATACAGACGATCATGATTACCCGGTTCTTCACTGGATTCTTTGGCTCCGCCCCGATTACCAACACCGGCGGTGTGCTAGGGGACATTTGGTCCCCTGAACAACGTGGAGCGGCTATTGTTGGATATGCTTTGGCAGTCGTCGGCGGCCCCGTGCTGGGACCCATTGTAGGCGGTGCCATTTCTCAGAGCTACCTAGGATGGAGATGGACGCAATATGTGAGATGACCTATCGAGCCACGAGAACTGAACAATCACTGACGTGAACAGATCACCGGCATCATGATGATGTTTTTTCTCACCTTAGACATACTGTACATCGATGAAAGCTACCCACCTGTCCTGCTTGTCTACAAGGCCCGCCGTCTTCGCTTCGAGAGCGGTAACTGGGCTCTCCATGCGCGCCACGAAGAATGGGATGTGAGCCTCAAAGAGCTGGGAAATAAGTACCTTGTTCGGCCGTTCCAGCTACTCTTCACCCCGATCTGCTTCCTCGTCGCTCTCTACGCATCCTTCGTCTACGGAATTCTCTATCTAAGTCTGGCGTCCTTCCCCGTCGAGTTCCAGGAAGTCCGCGGGTGGAATCAAGTCGTCGGTGCACTCCCTTTCCTCTCCTACCTCATCGGCATCCTCTTTGGCGCCGCCATGAACCTCTTCAACCAGAAATTCTACATCAAGCGCTTCAAAGCCAACAACAACTTCCCCGTCCCCGAGGCCCGCCTCCCGCCCATGATGATCGGCTCCATCTTCTTCGCCGCCGGCCTCTTCATCTTCGGCTGGACCAGCGACAAAAACATCCACTGGGTCGGCCCCAACGCCGGCGCCGTCTCTATGGGCTTCGGCTTCTTCACCATCTTCCAGGCCGCCCTCAACTACCTCATCGACACATTCACCGAGTTCGCCGCCAGCGCCGTCGCCGCCAATACCTTCCTGCGCAGCGTCTTCGCCGGCGCCTTCCCCATGTTCGCGGGCATCATGTTCCGCAAGATGGGCGTCGACTGGGCAGCCAGCACGCTGGGCTTCATCGCCGTCGCTCTGATCCCCATCCCGTATCTGTTCTACATCTATGGGCCTGCGATCCGGGCGCGCGGGAAATGGTCTCAGGCTTCGGTGCGCGGCCATCGTCAGTCTTAGGCATTGCTGTGCCTTGCATTACTATTTGATCCTTTGCAGATACTGCATGTTTCTTCCAGGGATGTGCTTTTATTTCCCATCACACGCATGTTCTTTCGTTCATTGATTTCTCGCGTTCGCGGCTGCTGCATCATTATACCCTTCGCATCAAGTTGACTTGTTCTATCACATAGCCTCTCACATACTCCGAGATACCACACTGTTCATAGCCATTTTTACTTAGCTCACGTTTGTGGGAATCGGACCTTTGAAGAATCAAAACTAGAATAGTCAAAAGTGAAATGATCAAATTCTAGATACAGCAAAACTTTTTATATCCAAACGGAAACATGAGATGCTCAAGCCAATCAACAATCAGAGAAGTAAACACATTATATGCAGATGACAATGTCCAAGGAAACAAAAGAGATGAGACATGCGAGTCGAAGTAGAGTACAGGAATGGATGTCCACAAGCAAAGAATGATAACAGTTGAACAAACTAATATAGATAACATGAACCATGAAGTGAAGTGAAGGGAAATTGTCCACGAGAGATTCCGATCAGATCTGGAGACAGATCCGATCACCCCCGAGCTGACAGCGGGCTCCATTTTGCCATGCGCTTTGCCAGCGTCAAGGCCTTCCCGAAGGAACTTGAATTGCCAGTCTTGGCCATGGGCAAGGTGAGCCCGTCAACGGGAACGATCTCTTCCATGGAGTCGTTCTTTGGGGAGTTATGCAGCGTCAGGACGGCCATCTGGCCAAGGAAGGTTGGGTGCTCGAGGAGGTCTTCGAGGTGGACCTGGAGGCCGTCCTGCTCGAGGAGCCAGACGACCTGTGCGACGTCGAAGACGTCGCCTCCGAGGTCGAAGAAGGAGGAGTCGAGCTGGAAGGCGGACTGTGGGGTCTCGGCGTTCTTGCAGGGCAGGACCTGCTGCCAGGCCTTGGTCAGGACGTCGGAGTAGACGAGGATCTCAGAGATGCTGCGGGTCTTCAGGTGTGAGGACAGGAACATCTCATCGGACATTCTGGGCACGTCGGGGACGGCCTGGCAGGGTAGGGAGGAGAGCATTGAGGGGGATGGGAGCACGACGCGGGCATTGGACACGAGGCTTTGCACGGTGTCGCAGACCATGTTCAGGACCTTGGTTGCGAACTTGGGTTGGATGGGGCCCTTGAGCGAATAGCCAAGGGAGACGCCCAGCTTGCCGTCGCTGATGGACTTGGAGAACAAGGTCATGTCGGTGAAGTTGTCCACGACGCCGACGCCGCCCATTCGGTATGTCGTGTTATCGAGCTGCATCTGACCCTCATACTCAACGTTCTGGTGGAAGACAGAGGTAGTGAAGTAGGTGGAATCGGGCCAGTCGGTGCAACGTCTAATGATCTCTCTGAAGCCGAGGGCTTCAAATGGCATGTTGGCAATCTGTTGGTCTTGCAGGTAGCGGAACAGGTCGAGGCCAGTCCACTTCTCGCCGAACTTGACACGAACTGGAATGACGTTGAGACATGGGCCAACCGTGTTTTCGATGCCAGGGATGGAAGTGTTTCTGCCGCTGATTGTGAGCCCGAAGACGACATCCGGCTGAGCAGACAGCTTCGCCAGTGTCACCGCCCAAGCTGCTTGCATGACAGTTGCGATCGTGATGTTGTCAAGAACTGAAGGTTGGATCTCGAGCATCTTCCTCTGCTCCGTAAAGGCACCAATGTGTTGGAAGGTATTAGTCTCGCTCCGCCGGAGGACCTGGGTCATGCTTGAGCCCCTCAGGAGGTTTGTCCAATGTTGATAGTGATCTGGGGTGATTGCACCAGACAACATCCGCATGTAATTGGCGAAGGAGGGTGCTGGGGGCAACGGACTGCCCTCATATCCCAGCTTGATAGCGGACATTATCGAAGGCAGACAAACCCCGTCAAATTGAGCATGCGACATCCGGATCAAGATCCGGTGGTGGTTGCTATCCTTCTTCTTCAAGACATAGAACTGCACATATTGCTCTCCTTGCCGTGCCTCTTGCTCCCGATCTTGCTGCTGTAGGTAGTCAGTGTACTCGTCCAAGCTCTTCTCCGTCTCATGTACAAAAATATTTGGTCGGATCTTTCTCAGAACCACTTGGTAGAATTGGCCATTGAAGCAGACGAAAACCGTGCGCAGGATATCGAACGCATCAACAACCCGCAAGAGACTCTCTCTCAACCTCTTCAAATCCACTGTTCCTTGCCCATCGAGGAAGAAATAATTCACCATCCATCTTGATCTGAACAAGGTAGCCGTGATTGACATGGCCTGGAAGTCCGTCACAGGAAGAACATCAGCAATGCCTCCCTTAAACACGCCAATCTTTGGGCAAATTCCGCTCTGCAAGGCGTTGTCATTCAGATCAACCGCCTTCAAGAATGAGAATTCTGGTGGCGGCGGAGTCTGCTCTTGCTGGATAGGCACGGACTCTGCAGGCTTTTCGATTTCGCTGTCAGTATGGGATTCAGGCTCCGAGGCAGGAGAACTGTTCGCAGCACTGATTATGGCCAGCATATCTTCGAACACAGGGTTGCTGAACACGTCGGCGACCGTCAAGGTCAGGCCGTCTTCTCGTGCAGCGCTGACCATCTTCATTGCCGTTATACTATCGCCACCCAACTTGAAGAAGCTCTCACGGTGCTTAATCGTCTCGGACGACAGATGTAATGCCGAGCACCAGAGCTTCCACAGTCTCTTCTCGAGATCCGACACTCTTGTGTGGTCTTCAGTAAGGGTGGCTGTGGAGTCGGACATATCTCTCTCGCGAGGCATGCGCCTTGCTTGGATTGGAACTTCGAGGGGTGAATAGGGGACGGTCTCCTGGATGTGGCTCTTTTCGGGTTGAGGTGTAGGGATGGTCAGCGAGCCGTCTCTGAGCATCTGAGTAATGATTTCAGTAACACGGCGATCAATTAGTTCTTGAAGCGTTTTGTTGTCAATGTATTGTCCCGCCCCAGAGAATTGGCCTGTGGTTGATCGTCCCAGCAGCTCTAGATCCGAGACCAACTGGGAAGGCCTGTCGACAAAGGACGTGAAGATACTAGCAATGGCGTCTGCCAGATCCTGTGCCTTATTCTCCGGAACGGCGTCGGTCCAGTACCGCAGCAAGATACCCTCGTGGCCCTTGGCGGTTTCCACGTTCACGGTGACAGGATACTGCTCACGCATTAGGTTCTTGATCTCAATATTATAGATACAATAAGACTTACTTCGGTAGGGTCATGCGCCTTCTGCACATTGTATGACAGCATATCGCTTCCAGAGTCCTTGGAAGCGGCATGGTGATTTTGGATGGAAATGGTGGTGTTGAAAAGCATGCGCTCCTTCTGAGCGAGCTCGTGTTGGATGCTCGCCAGGGAGCAATCTTGATAAGGGAGTTTTTTGATGTAGTCGCTCTGGACCGTCTTCGAAAGATCCAGGAGAGTCTGCCCGCGCGAGAATCTAACACGGCAGCAGAGCATGTTCAGGAAGATTCCGACTGCGTCCTGAATACCAGGAACCGGCGCATCACGGCCGGCTGATGGGTAGCCGAAGCAAACGTCGTCCGAGCCCGTGATTGCCTGCAGAACAATTGCCCATGCGGAGAGGGTGAGGTTCGCAAGAGTGACGGAATTCTTCTCGCAGAATTGTTGAAGCTCGGCATAGCGGTTGAACTGCACCATCACCGAGCCCAATTGACGCTCACCAGCTGCTCCCGCGGGGAAGGTCAAGTGGCAGGGGCGGGCATTGGACAGGTATTGTCTCCAGTGATACAGAGCCTGGTCTTGAGATTTACCACGGATGAACTTGATGTAGTCACTGAAGAGTGGTCCAGACCCCTCAGGGAGTTGATCATTGTAAGCCATTGCTAGATCACGTAGGATCAGGTCAACCGATCCACCGTCGATGATGGCATGATTCATCTCAATCTTCACAAGAACCCGTCCAGATTGAGTCTGGCAGATAGTCAACTGATGGAGAGATTTGGACCTTTGTCCGGCGTTGACGTCACTGAGTTTGATCGCATCAAGTCGACCAAGAGCATTAGAATCGTTGCTCTCAACCATGATTGCTTCATCATCGACCTTTCGGAGCACCAGCTGGTCAAACGAGCCACCTGCGTGGTTGCTGTCAATGAACCGAGTTCTCAGGATGGGATGCCGGCTGATGACAGCGGACCAAGCGCTCTTAAGGCTGGCTGGATTGACCTGTCTGCCTTTGTTTGGATGACACACTTCGAAGACCACATGGAACATGTAGGCGTTGGGATCCCGCAGCTGGCTCAGGAGGATACCCTCCTGCACCGAAGAGCATGGGTAGATATCCTCCACCGTATACCAGCTGTCGATCCCTGCTCTGGGAAGCGTGCTGCCCATGAACCTTCTGAGGCCATCGTAGGTGATAGGGAGCAAGGGGAAGTCGCTAAGAGTAGGCTCTGGCACCGCGTCCTTGAATCTGAGCACATCTCTTTCGAGCACATTTCTGCACTCCGAAATCCAGCTGCGGATCTGCTTCTCGCGCTGCATCTGTCGGTTGTACGTGAATGACACTTGGAGCTTATCCTTGATGATGAGAGCCGAGATTTCTAGAAGAGCAAACCGGGGAGTATCTGGGCCCATGTCTCCGGCGATATTGAAGGTCTCCTCATCGAAAGCTTGACCATAGTGCTGGAAGAGGGAGTCATCGCGCTCTAGCTGCTGCAGACGGCCGAGATAGTTGAAGACAATTTCTAGCGGGGCAGGGAAGTTTGTAGAGTTGGCTTTGCTTGAGTGCAGGAGGCTGTGGGCAAAGAAAGACCGGCCATTGTCGACCATCTTTCGTCTCACGTCCTTCATGCGTTTTGCCGTTTCGATGAAGTCTGAGTTTCCAAAGTTAGTTGGTTGATTTAGCAACGCAGAAGATATCTTACCTGAGCACTCATCGACCTGGAGTGGGCACATTGTGGTGAACCAGCCCACTGTTCGCGAGAGATCAATGCTTGAATCCCATGATTCACGGCCATGACCCTCGTTATAGATGGTTGGCATATTACGGTCTGTAAACACACGGCGGAAGGACTGCACAACTGCTGCGAGGAGAATGTCGATTGTCTCCGTCCGCAGGGTCTCGTGGCAGCCACCCAGAATAAAAGAAGTTGTCTTTTCATCCAGTACAAATGACTCCATCTTGATCTGGCCATATAGATTAGGCAGGCTGTCCATGCCCCAGTAGCCAATATTGGAAGGCTCAATGGCAAACGGAGGTTGGACAACGTCAGCTTCTGACTTGCTCTTCTGGAACTGCAGATCGCACCAGGCTTGGAACGATAAGGGTTTCTCAGAAGGCAAGGAGCCAGACTCGATGAACTCTTGCATGTCTTGTAGGACAATGCGCCATGAAACCATATCGACGCAAAGATGGTTGGCCACAAGGAACAGAACTTGTTCGCCTGTAGCAACTTCGAACAGATCCGCGGCGAAGATTGGGCCATTTTGAATATCCAAACTCGACTGCGTCTCACCAATCTTGGTCAGCATCTCTCGAGGGTTGCTCACTGAATGAACACCGAATCGGTAAGATGCATCGATATTCTGTGCAATAGATTAGCTCAACCTCCCAACGTCAACAGAACGATGCACACATACGCTAGTGATTCTCTGTTGCCATTTTCCACTCGCCGATCTGCTAAACTTGGCCCTGAACATCGAATGCTGGGTGAGGATTGCCTTGAGCGCATTCCTAATTATCTTCGGCTCCACCTTGCGAGTGATGCGCACTGTCATGCTCTGGTTGAAGCGTCCCGTTTCCTTGAACGTACGTGCGGCCTGGAAGTAGAGACCCTGGATAGGGGAGAGGGGGAAGTTTTCTCCAGACTTCTCTTCGAGCTGAACGGCTGACGTCTTGGTTTCAATGCCGCGAGTAAGCTCGCCGATTGACTTACTCTGCAGGATCTTGTGAAGCGTCAGGTTGATGCCCTGCTTGCGGGCCCGAGAAATGACAGCCATTCCAGTAATGCTATCACCACCTACAGATATTATTAGCTTCTTTCTGTTCCAAGAGAAAAAAGACAAAAAAGGCTATTACTTACCCAAGCTCACAAAGGACCTGTTCGGATCAACCTTGTTAGCAGAAATGTTGAGCACCTGCGCGTAGATATCCCGAAGGATCGACACGGAGGTCTCCTTGTCATCCTTGACACTCTCTTCAACGTTGCCTCTCTTTATATTGTCATAATCCTGCATGATCCTCTCGTAGGTTGCGTCGTCGATATGCTCGACCCAGTATGTGATCTTCTTCCTGTCAAGCTTACCGGAAACGAGCATTGGCAGTTTCTTGATCAGAGCCCACGTCTGCGGGACCATGTAGATGGGCAGCTGAGCCTCAAGATTCTTCTGGATGGCAATGAGCTCCGAGTACGCGGTCTTTGCTAGATCCTCTGGGCTGATCAGTTCACATGTGTTGTCGGTGATGATGCTCGCGTTCGAGTTCAAGGAGTTCAGAGACAGAACTGTGACCAGACGTTGTTGAAGGGGACCAGCCTTTGGCAGTATCACAACGGCATGGCGAACGTGGTCATCCTCGTATAGTCGATGCTCAATCTCGCCGAGCTCCATACGCTGGCCGTGAAGTTTGACCTGATGGTCCTTGCGGCTGATGTACTCAACAGATCCGTCAGGGTTGTACCGAACAAGATCGCCAGTCTTGTAGATTCTGCGCGGAGAGGGCAGGGAGGACTGGAAATTCTTGATCCATGCTGGCTCATCGACGAACGCCTCGGCCGTCTTCTGAGGGTTCTTGAGGTACTCCCTTGCCAGAGCCGGACCTTCCAATGCTAGCTCTCCAATGGCACCCAGGGGGGCAAGGCGGTCATGGTTGTCGGGATCAACGATCCAGGTAAGAGTGCAAGGAATTCCAAACCCGATGCAAGAAGCATCTCGGTTCGAAGACACTTCGGTGTTCAAAACAGCGAAGATGGTTGTCTCTGTCGGCCCATATCCGTTGATCAGCCTGACGCGGTGTGCCCATTTCGTCACAACCTCGCGCGATAGCTTCTCACCACCGCAGACCAGAACCTCAAGGGATGGCACCGATGATGGTTCAATGATACTTGCAATTGAGGGGGTCAAGAAAGTCCAGGTGACGTTCATGCGCCGAATCGCTCCAGCCACGTCGTTCAGTCGCTCATCCTCACTTGGGATACAGATACAACCGCCGTGCATCAGGGTGGCGAGAACTTCCATGACAGCAGCATCGAATGTAAGAGATGCAAATTGGAATGCTCGCGAGGTCTCAGTCAGACCGACAAGAGGTCCAAATGCCATGACACTGCTTGCAAGAGCACGATGGTCGATAATGATACCCTTGGCACGACCTGTGCTTCCAGACGTGAAGATAGCATAGGCCATGTTAGATGGCGTGACATGATTCGACCGCTTGGCATTTCCGCTGAGAGCGCTGTAGGCTTTGACTGTCTCCTTACTGACGGGAATGATGGTCTTGACGATGCCAGAATACCGGTTATGATACTGAGGAGAGCAAAGAACGACACGAGCGTCGACTTCAGCTAGGATCTCCTCGTGTCTCGATGTGGGATGAGCGGGGTCAAGTGGAACGTAAGCTCCACCAGCGATGAAAATACTGAGGATGGTGATGACGGCCCAAAGAGACTTGTCCAGGCAGATCGGCACTAGAGTCTCGGGTCCGATGCCACGGGAGACCAGGTAAGTTGCGAACGAGGATGCAAGGTCGTACATTTCCCTGTACGACACCTCTCCATCCCAGGCACAAATCGCTGGAGAATCGGGATGCGCGGAGCATCTCTCGAAAATGATGTCGTGTGCACATTGCTCAACAGCTTCTGGATGCCTCTGGTTCCACTTGGCGACCTCATTTCTGTCCACGGGGCTGAAGATCTCCAATTCGTTCAGCTTTCTCGTTTCCGCTTTCCCAATGGAAAGGAGCTGCTCGAGCACGAAGCTAAATTGGCCGATGAGCTTCTCGGTTTGCCAGCTGTTAAGAACCATCTCATCGTGGTGCATGGTCACTGTGACCTCAGAGTCGCCGACCTTGCATTCAACGACAAGTGGGTGAGTGAAGAAGTCTCCACTTGTTTGGTTGGGCTCGGCCATCCACAGATTCTCGTTCAGTTGACCTTCTCCAGTCTGAATGACAAGCAGATTCTGGAACTCGCAGGCGGAAGCCGTGTCGCTGTTGAGCTTTCGAATCCGCTGAAGCCCAGAATGCTGGTGCGGAAGCATTGTGGTTGTCAAATGATGCACGCTTTCCAGATACTGGGTGATGGGAAGCTCATTCTCAACTTGAATGCGCGTAGGAATGGTAGTGAGAACTGGTCCTGCAATATCAGTGACACCGGGAAGATCGATGTTTCGGCCCATGAGCGTCTCGCCAAAGCAGACGTCGCTGGAACCAGTGTGAGCAGCCACAACGACTGCCCACGCAGCACGAATAAGCTCGGGCACAGTCAGATCAACTCCACCGGGAGCTCGAGAGATCTTCATGCTGCTCTGGTGTCTGTTTCCAACTCGGACAGCGTCGGGGAGCGAGTTCTTGCTTTGCGGGAATGGGGTGCAGGAAAGGTTTGCCAGTTGAGATTTCCAGTACTCATCCGAGTCGGACATGTTGCGCTCCAGCAGGTATTCGATGAACAGCCCATAGGGGAGTGTCTTGCTGCCAGCTGAGGAATTACTGTAGACTTCCTCGAGGCGCTTCAGGACGAGAGGAATACTCCATCCATCATAGAGCGCATGATGGATTGTCCACACAAAGTACCTGGCAGGGGAAGTCTGGGATCCAGCAATCGCATAATCGGTCAAAGCTCCACCATTGTGCTTTGGCAAGTCAGGGCTATCAGCCATGAGTTCATCCAGACTCGCCGCAGTGGTCCAAGCAATCTCCTCCTTGTCGAGCACGGCCTGGAGGAAGTTGAGAGACTCGGTATGTACGACGCGAGTCCGCAAGATATCCATCTCATCCACAACACGTTGCCAGGCAGCCTTGAACTTGTCGAGGTCCACCCTTTCAGACAGGCGGAAGACGGGCTGGGCGACATACGCGCCATTTTGCTTCACGGACAATGTGAGAAGACCCTCCTGCACGGGGCTGCAGGGATAGACATCCGTGATGGTTTCCCGAGGCACGCAGCATTGCTCCGCCACCTCCTCCAGCAACTGGTGGCGGTCAGTTGAAGCAGGCAACAGGCTGAAAGGCGGCACAGTCTCCTTGTTGGGCTTCTCGCGCAATGTATCACATCTCTTTGCCATGTCCATGAAGATAGGATCTTCGTAGATACCAGCAAACGTGAGAGAGATGCCGCGAGAGTTGGCTGCTCCAACAAGTTTCATGGCGGAGAAGGAGTCACCACCCAGGCTGAAGAAGCTGTCTTCAGCGCTGACTGAACCGGACGCAAGGCCCAGAGCCTCCTCCCACAAACCTCTAAGAATACCTTCGATTCCTTCATCCGAGACCTGTCTAGAGCCAGCGGACAAGCTGACATAAGGTTTCAGCTGCTCCTTTGGCAGAGTCTCAACCGCAGCACGGAGCTTCTTACGATCAAGCTTTCCAGAGGTCGAGTAAGGCAGGCGACGGATGGGGAAGAAGAGCTTCGGCATCATGCTCGGAGGCAAGACCTTGGTAAGGGCCTCCTGGAACTTCTTGGCGAATTCCCTTGTGGATTCAGACATGGGCACAAGCATCTCGGTGTCGTCGACTGTGCTGCGATTTCCAATATCACCAACGCTGTAGAATGCGGAAAGAGATTTGGCTACTGCCTTTGTCTCCGGGTCGACAACATCGACTGCCACACGGGCACCTTCTGGAAGACAAGCAATACACTGCTGTTCAATCTCTTCCAGCTCGATTCGCTGGCCGTTGAACTTGATCTGGGTGTCTTTGCGCGAGATGAAGCAAATCGAACCATCGGGTTTGTAGCGAACCAGATCTCCCGTACGATACATGCGCTCCTTCTGCTGGAAGAGCTCTCGAAGCCCCGGAGACTTAGCCCAGGCAGGCTCGCTGATGAAGACTTCCTTGGTTTTCTGTTCATTGTTGAGGTAGCCGCGGCCAACGTTAGAGCCTTCGAGCACCAATTCACCCACGGCACCAATGGGAAGGAGGCGATGATAATTCTGAGGATCAACGACCCAAGTGCGGCCGCAAACCGCGGTACCAATGGAGTTGCAGTCGTCGTCGAGGCGTACACCTGCTGAATCCACCTTCATGCTCATTGTAGCCATGACTGTGGACTCCGAAGGGCCGTATGCGTTGATTACGCATCTGTCAGACCAGCGTTCGAGATGGCTTGGCGTCATCTTTTCACCTCCAGTGACGATAGTTCTCAGTTGGGGAACGTCAGCAGGGTCAAGGGTGTTTGCCATCGACGGAGTGCAGCTGATGAAGTTGGCATTCAAGCGCTTGATTGCACCGGCCAGATCGTTCATGCGTTCTTCTTCGCTGGGAACACATACACAGCCGCCGGTCATGAGAACCAGGATTATCTCCATGATGCTGACATCGAAGGTGTAGCTCGAGAATTGCAGAGCGCGGGTGTCCAGAGTCATGCCCAGCGTACGTGTAAATGCTGGTGACGACACGCTGAGACAGATATGCTCAATCACGGTCACCTTTGGCTTGCCTGTCGTTCCAGAGGTAAAGATTGCATAGGCTGGGTTATGGATGTCTGGCCTTGTCACGCACGTCCTGGAAGGCGACTCGAGGAGTCGGGTCATGGTCTCTTCACTCACGACAAAGGCAGACTGGGCGATCTTGGAAGCCTTGTCGACATACTTGGCCGAGCACAGGACGATCGAAGCACCGAGGTCTTCAACCAGGCCCTGCAGTCTAGCCTCTGGATGAGTGGGGTCCACAGAGGCAAACGCTCCTCCAGCTTTCATGACAGCGACTTGCGCAATGACGGCCCAGGCTGACTTTTCGAAGCACAGCGCAACAAAAACCTCAGGTCTGACGCCAAGTCCTGCAAGGTGCTGTGCAAGTCGGGTGGACAGGGAATCGAGCTCTTCGTACGTGAAGTCCCCATCCCACGAACAGATTGCAGGTGAGGTAGGACGGCTGAGGACGTGCTGCTCGATAATCTCATGAGCACACATGTCGGGTCTCTCTGGCAATGTTGCATTCCAGGCTTGGACCTGCTGGCAAGCATGTTCGCTGAAAAAGTCGATGGCACCAATCGTACGGTCAATTTGCTGATGATCGACAATATCGAGAAGGATGTGCTTGAAGGAGTCGACAAGACTCTCAATGTTGGCTTTGGACAGAACGTTCGTCGAGTATTCGAAAACAATCTCAGCACGCGCATCCGAAAGCTTAGCATTAATGCCGAGAATCCAATTGCTCTTCTCGACAATATGGGGCTTTGAGAATAGACTGTCATCTGCGTTGGCCAGCCCCTGGACCTTGTCAAACTTAAAAACGGTATTGAAGAGCGAGTTCACGTCAAGGCCAAGTTCATGCTGCACCTCATCCTCTGAGAGTGGATGCACAATCGCCTGGTCCAGATCGTTTTCCCTGTCCTCGGCAATTTCCCGGAGCTCAGAGGCGTCCTTCAAGAGGAATCTGCTAGGGAACACCTGTGCGGAGTTTGAGTCTTCTGTTTGCGAAGCTTCGGCGTAGTAACCGAAGCAGACTTCTTCCGAGCCCGTGAAGCACCGCAGGACCAATGCCCAGACGATCTGTAGCAGGGCATCTGCAGTAACTCCAACCATCTCACAGAATGCGAATAGCCGGGCCACATCCGTGATGGTCAACTGTGCCGTCTCGACCCTCTTTTCGCCCTTGGCGGCACTCAAAGAGGGGAAATGGCAAGGCTCAGCATCAGCCAGATACTCCTTCCAGTAGACAGTCTCAGGGCTGGACAAACAAGAAGCCTGGCTCTGAAGGAGAGCCATCTCGCCAATCACCTCCTGCAGGCCGTGCCCCGCGTTCAAGTACTCAATATAGCTTGTGAACTGGGCCAGGATCCTCTCCACTTGGGGCGCAGACAGCACCTGTTCATTGTATTGAGCATTCAGCTGGAGCTCGGATTGTCCAATGCTGCAGAAGATTGCCAAAGGATATTCAAGTCCTAGTGGATTCGATTTGTCATTCTGGATGGCAGCGAAGGAAAGAAGATTGTTGAACCCGCACGCTCGGGAGGTATCTGCGCTGACATTCTTGATCCCCTGGAGTCCAGCCTTCTGGTAGGGCAAGGCTGCTACTCGCTTCTCCTGCGTTCTTCCCAAGAGTTCTGCAATGGTTGAGGTAGCGTCAAGCTGAAAGCGTCTAGGCACAATGGTAGCAGGCGTCTTTTCGGCAGAGTCAAGAGTCGAGAGCTCAGGTTCAAGAAGCAGCTCCCCGAAGACGACATCATCGGACTGAGTGTACCCAGAGATGGTCAGGGCCCACGCGGTAAGAATTGCGGATTCCAAGTCCACTCCATTGAGCTTCCCAGAAATCTGCGCATCCTTCCTCAGCGAGGCAGTAGCAGATACTCCTTGAGAGGTGCTCATCGCCGGCGGGAACAGTTGGGCCGTCGCCTGTGGCTTGGCAAGCTCAGCTCTCCAGAACTCATGGAAGCTTTTGAGATCGAACTCGGCGCGGATGCTGTTGGGAAGGTTCTCAGTCTCTCTTCTCAGAAGCTGACGATCGAGCTTGCCGAAGGATGTCAAGGGCATGCTGGGGACAGGAATGTACAAGTTCGGGACCTGGGCTGCGGACAGGACACTCAGCAGATGAGTATGCAGTTTGGCAATCAGCTGATGGAATTCCGGAGAGGATTGCCCAATTGAAGATTCTTGGCCGTCAACATTTGTCGAGGAAGCTGTCTTGAACTGGATGTAAACAGCCAGAAGCTCTGCTTCTGCCTCGTCGTCTGAGCGAATCAACTCCAAGACGGAGGGGTACTCCGGCAACAAGAACGAATCGAGATGCTTTTGAACCTGCCAGTTATCAATCCGAGCTCCCGTGCCCTTTCTGCCCATGTAGACCAATGACCCATCCGACTCATAGCGAGCCAGATCTCCGGTCTTGAACATCCTCCGGATTGGTGGAGCGTGTTCAATTTCCGCTCCTGTCTCAGCAATGGTTCCGTCGTGCTCGCTGTCCAGACTCCACACAGGCTCTTCGATGAAGTTCTCGCTAGAGTGTTCTCCCTCGAGCAAGTAGCCAGAAGCAAGGACGGGGCCTTCCAGAACCAGCTCACCAACGCAGCCGATGGGGACCAGAAGGTTGTGGTCTGCGGGATCAACAAGCCAAGAAGTGCACCCTGCGGACCGTCCAAGATTTCTTGTTTCATCGGGGCTGTCGGATGTATGGATGGAGGTAGATGAGCACTCGGCTGCTCCATACCACAAATGCAGACGGACCTTTGGCGACCAAAGATCCTTGGCTTGGGTTGTCATACGTTCGCCATGGAGTGCGAGAACTTGCACTTCGGGGACATCGGAAGGCCTGATCAATGAAGCCAGCGACGGGGTGATACTGACAGTGTTTGCGTGCGAGGTGTTGATCGAAGTTGACAAGTTTCTGGCACTGTGATCAGCCGGGATGCAGACACGGCCGCCACACATCAAGCTGCTGAGGACTTCCTGAAGGAACATATCGGAGGTACAAGGAGCGAACTGGAGCATCTTGGTCGTTTCATTCAGTCCCAGAGCTGAAGCAAAAGCTTCTGCCCGCGTCAGAATGGTTTGGTGATCAAGCACTACGGGCTTCGAGCCCTGAACGCTGCCTGTCGTGAAGACAACGTAGGCGCCATCCGTCGGCTTGACTGAGGAGGTGAGCGTCTCACCAGAGCGAGGGAGATAGTCAAACAAGGACTTGCTCACGGGAACCACGTAGGAGATGGTACCCTCGAGAATCTGTGCTTTATGCGGAGACGCAAGAGCAACTTGAACATCATGGTCGACCAGCAACTTCTCGATAATCTCGTCCGACTGGATCCCGGTCAGAGGGAGGCAGATACCACCAAGTCTCAAGACTGCCAACATGGCAATAATTTGCCACGAAGATCTCTCAAACTCCATCGGTACCAGGACGCCTGGCCCCACTCCGAGCTTGGTGAGGTAGAATGCCAGCAGGGCGGACAATTCATTGAGCTTGGAGTATGTGAGACTTCCATCCAAAGCTGAAAGTGCAGTTGCTTCTGGGTACGAGCTCGCCGTCTCCTCCAGAATCTCATGGACGCATCTGTCGACGGTCTTGGGGATATGCTTGTTCCAGATTGCGATCTGCTGCTTGTTCTGTTCGCTCAACGCATCCAGGCGGCGCACTTCTTCGTCCTGGCAGTGAATAATGTTTTCCAAGGACTTCAAGAAAGTACTAGCAACATTCTGAGCCTGACCATCAGAAAGAGCATCCGTCCAGTAGTGGAGGTCAATCTGCGCATCATCGTCCGTAGTCTCGATATTGACGTACACTGGGAACTCGGCAGGATCGTGAATGGATCCCACCTCCACAAGTCGAATATCGTCCGTGTTGATCAAGCTCTGGGATGGCAGCTTCCGGTACGACACGCCGGAATTGAAAAGAATCGTGTCCGAGAGCTTGAGAGCATGCTGAATATCGATGAGCGATGTGTGTCTGTACGGAAGAGACTCCATATAGTCGTTTTGGACCTGGTCCAGTACATCTCTAAGAGAGGCCGTCTCAGTGATCTTCATCCGACAAGCGAGAAGATTGATAATGGGTCCAATCATCGCGTCAATTTCTTCAACCGCGACGTCTCTCAGAGAAGCCATGTAGCTGAAGCACACGTCGTCGGAGCTACAGAACGAACGGAGAGTTAGTCCCCAAGCGGTGCTAAACGCCGTAGAAAGCGTGACTCCACCGCTCTCGCAAAGAGTCTGGAGCTCTCTCAAAGAAGCAAAATTCAGACGGATGGTATGGAGCTGCTTGGTGGATAATTTGCCGTCATTGAGGACAGGGAAGTGGCACGGCTTGATGTCGGCCAGGTAATCGCACCAGTACTCGAGGCCACCATTGTGGGAGCAGGTCTGCAGGTACTTCATGTAGTTCTGGAACACTGGCTTGCGGTCTTCTTGGAGCTTGCCACTATAGGCTAATTGCAGATCACGCACGATGAGCGAGATCGACATACCATCCATGGCAGCATGGCTAATCTCGAGTCTGCAGAACAGCTTGCCGCTTGCAGTCTGGCAAAGAGTGAGACGATGAGCAGGGCAATGTTGACGATAGTCCATGGGCTGCTGGCTCTCAAAAGTTGGGAGAACATCGCTGTCCCCCGAGCATGTCAATAAGTTTGGAAATGACTCAAATTCCTTCAGAACGACCTGGGAGAATAAATCCCGGCTTGTGAGGTTCTGCACAAAAACAGTTCGAAGTATCGAATGATGCGAAACAACCTTCTGCCACGCGAGTCGCAGCAGGCCAATGTCGGGTTTGGTTCTAAACCCCCTCACTTCAAAGGTATCATGCACAGCATAGAATGAGGTGTCCCGGGACTGGCTAATCAGGATACCCTGCTGCATACGCGAGCAGGGATAGATATCTTCGACGAGGTCGAGAGAGCTGATATCCATGCGGGGCAATTTCTCCAAAACCATCTTATCGAGCTCATCGTACGTGAGAGAGAGCATCGGGAAATCGCTCAACGTGGGCTTCGGTGCGGAGGACTGCAGCTGCTGGCCAAGCGAGCTGAGAAGTTGTTGACAACGCGAGATCCAGTCGCGAATGCCCTCCTGGCGATGCATGAATCGGTTGAAAGAGAAGGTAAACCGAAGTCGACCCTGCACAACCAATGCCGAGATCTCAAGCAGCGCAAATCGAGGAGTCTCTTCGCCAAAATCGGCGGCTCCGCCGCCTCGCCCGGTTTCTCCAGCCATGTGTCCCGTAAGCTGGAAGAGACCATCCTGCTTCTGCAAATCGCGGTGCTGGCCGACGTAGTTGAATGTCATTTCCAGGGGGCAATGATGACGGCAATGTTCCTGCCCTTGGCCCGTAAACATTCGGCTCGCGAACTTCTGGCGACCATTATCGGAGACCTGGCGACGCAGATCCTTGACACGAGCCACGGTTCTAGCTGGATCGTTGGAGACAATGTCTGACACAAAAATCGGATAGAGAGTAGTAAACCAACCAACAGTTCGTGAGATATCGATGCTTGAATCCCATACTTCTCGGCCATGGCCTTCGTTGTAGATCACGGGCAAGGCACGATCCGAGAATGTCTGACCAAAGGTATGGAGAAGGGCAGCCAGAAACACCTCGACCGGTTCAGTTCGAAGGCTCTCATGACATTCCAGCAAGATTGATTGAGTGCTGTCCGCATCGACGTCGAAGGTTTCGCAGACCACGTCGCCGTATGTCATAGGACGAGCCTCCATTCCCCAGTATGCAAGGTCTGGCGCGGGAAGATCCTCCACTTGCAGCTCATTCTCGGAAAGCAACGAGCGACACTGCTCATCCTGCAGGTGACACCATGTCTGGAAGGGAAGGGAGCTGTTCTGCAGCGCGAAGGCTTGAGGGTCATTCAGATAGTCCTCAAGATCTTCAAGAATAATACGCCACGAGACAATGTCAACGACAAGATGATGTCCAACCAAGGACAGGAAATTGTGTGTGTTGTTGTTGGCATAGAAGAAGTCAACTGAAAACATAGGGCCCACAAAAGCGTTGATGCACAATTGGCTCTCTGCAACAGCCTTCTCGACCGTGGCTTGGGAGGCGGTAGTGTGCATGCGCCAGCGGTACGAGCCAGCCGCGTCTTCGGTGATACGCTGCTGCAAGGGACTTCCCGTACCAGGGCCAACTAGCCTACTTCGAAGCATGGAGTGGCGCATAACCACTGCATCCACAGCGCGGCGCAATTCCCCGTCATTGATCCTTCGGTCAATGCGGGTGAGAACACTCTGGTTGAAATAGCCCTGGCCTTCTTCGCGGACCATGAAATGGAGTTTCTGAATTGGTGACAGGTCGAAAGGCTCCTCGATTTTTTCATGGTAGGCTGCCGGCTGCTGAACTTCTTTGACGCGCGTGGCCAGATCTCTGATTGATTTACTGCGAAGAATTTCCTGCACGGTGAGACCAATTCCCTGCTTCTTGCACTGGCCGACGCAAGTGATGGCCGCAATGGAGTCACCACCCAGACTCAAAAAGCTTTCTTTCAAGCTGATGCGGTCCTTGGAAATGTTCAGGACACGGCTCCAGATGGAAGCCAGTTGATCCTCCGTCGCATTGATAGAACGGAACTCGGTTGGTCCAGTGGCGGGCATGTCGGGGTCCTGTGCCATGCCTGAGACCCACGTTGAGGTGAGTTTTCTGTCCAACTTGCCAGATACAAGCATTGGCATCGTTTCGACGCAGAGCCAGACGGAGGGGACCATGTATGTTGGCAGCCGAGCGGAAAGTCGTTCCCGAATGTCCTTCACATATTGAGCCTTGACCCGGTTCTCAAGAAGCTTCAGGGGCACTGCATCGGAATCTGGCCCATCCTTGAGGCCGGCAGATAATGACAGAACTGCAACAAGCTTTCCTTGAGAGAATCCGGACTTGGGAAGCAACGCTACACAATGCTTGACGTCCACGTCGGTACTAAGCTGATTCTCAATTTCTCCCAATTCGATTCTCTGACCGTGGAACTTGACCTGTGTGTCTTTTCGTCCTATATACGTTAATGAACCAGTTACGGAACTATACCTTACCAGATCACCGGTCTTGTAGAAGCGTCGGCCGGAGCCACCGGTAGCATCCCGCTTAGTCCAGGCGGGATCGTAGATAAACGCATCATTCGTTTTCTGCGGGTTATTGACATAGCATCGCGCAAGAGTTGGCCCTTCCAGGACCAGCTCACCAGGACAACCGATGGGAGCCAGCTGGTCATGGTTCTTAGGGTTGACGACCCACCAGCGCACCCCAATCTGCTGACCAATATCCCTACAGTCGGAGGTAGCAGAGAGCTTGGTATTAAGGGCGGCCGTAACGGAACTCTCCGTTGGGCCGTATCCGTTCACCAACGTAAGATGAGACCATGTCGCCAAATGTGACGGCGACATCGCCTCTCCGGCCAGGACGAGGGTCTTGAGCCCCGGTACGGCGGAAGGCTCAAGGAATCCGATGAATGATGGGGTCAAGCACGCAAAATCGATCCTCATATCATTGATGACGCCAGCAATGTCCGTCAAACGCGCTTCCTCACTGGGAATACAGACGCAGGCACCAAGCATCAGCCCAGTCAGAATATCGACCAAGCTGGCATCGAAGGTGTGCGCTGCAAACTGCAGAATGCGCGTTGTTGAGTCAATGCTGAAGGCTGGACCATGGGCCATGACACTCGAGAAATAAGCTCCATGCTCAAGCAAGGTACCCTAGACTGGTCAGCACAGAAAAAGACAGAAATCAAAACTCTGGCAACGTACCTTCGGCTCGCCGGTAGAGCCAGAAGTAAAGATTACATATGCGGCATTGGAGCTCTTTACAGTTGATGAGACTGTCGTGGTGGGACTTGGGAGGGTGTCAACAAATTCATCATCGAGTGGTAGGAGCGTCTCTGCAACCGTCTGCAGCTTCTCTGCATAATTTCGAGAACAGAGCATAATTTGAGCCTGCACGCCCCGCACGAGGGACTGCAGACGTGCTGTAGGGTGAGTTGGGTCCATAGGCACGAATGCGCCGCCGGCTTTCAGAACGGCAACCATCGCCACGATGTTCCATTTCTGTGCTTATGGTCAGCGTATTGAAGCACAGAATCTGACGTGTCGAGACCACGTCACGGTGAGCATTGCAGAATCAAACAAGCACCACATAACATCTTATGAAAGACTCAAGCACTTACTGATTTCTCAAAACATAGAGCGACGCAAACCTCCGGCCCAACGCCTCTCTTCTGAAGATAGTAGGCAACTTTCGAGGATAAGTCATCCAGTTGCTGATATGATAGACTTCCGTCCCAAGCACAGACGGCCTCGTGATCCGGCTGGAGAAGAGTCTGCTCGTAGATTGCGTCGTGTATGCAGCGTTCGTGTTTCTTGGGGAACACGGAGTTGAATTTGCACACACGGGACCAATCGTTCTCTGGGAAAATGTCGAGACTGCCCAGAGATACATCTTGGGCAGAGAGAAGCTCTGCGGTGATACGCTCGAACACGCCGGCAATGCTTTTCACTTGCTCGGTGGGCATATCGTTGTTCCACCATTCAAAGAAGATGCCCACTTCCTCCTGCAAAACCTTGGCTTGCATTCGAATGCGACACTGTAGACAGCTATTAGAAGGCCCATTTTTACAGGGAGACTTGGAGGTGCGGTGTTTGTTACGTACCTTCTCCGGAAGCGCAATTGGGAAAAGAGAAGGGATAGAGGAGGTTCCCTTGAAGTCATGGCAGATTCGTATCATTAAGATTGTATTAAACGGAAGATCCGCATTAGATGTTGTAATTAAGGGTTTCGATCTGTCGAGATCGCTGTCGAAATAGCTGTGTGTCTTCACATGGTCTAGAAATGTCTTGGGGGTATCATCTTCATTGATTGATAGCTTGAAGATGGACGGGTCTGCGGTGTCCAGAGGCTGTTGTAGAGCGTTCTGAACCCCATCACCACCGATCTGGTGGTAGCCAAAGCAAATGTCCTCGGAGCCTGTGTAGCGATGGAGGAGGAGGGCCCATGCAGCTTGCAACAAGGAATTCAAGTGGCCCTCGTTCCATGCAGCCAGCAAGCCAGCACTTTGTGAAGCACCGATTCTCAACCTCATAGAAAGAGGCCGTTGAAGCCCCAGGTGCGTAGCACCAAACTTGGGCAAATAACACGGGGCGGAGTGAGCCATGGTTCTGTACAATGTGTGCTCAAAGAAGTCCCTCGAGGAGATGGGTATATTCAGGGACGGTGTCCAGAGGAACAGTGGAGGTTACTTGATGAGAGAGAGCGCTGCACGTCCCATGGTCTTTTCTATAAACTGCGAGCGAAGGAGCCATCAACGCCTCGAGCATTGTCCTCGAGTGGTTGCCATTCTCTTCGCTTACACGCCAAAATAGACTCGTGGAGCTAGCGATGCAGCTCCTTAGTAATTTTTCCAGACGCTCATGGATTTGACAAAACTATAATAATAGATTACGAGGGCCCATTTGCCTCATGGCCACAAACCTGACGGGGAGAGAGTCATGGGAGAGCCCCTTTGGAGTGGGCTTGGATCGGCCATGGCCGTGTCCCGTTAACTCCGTGGTTTCGCATCACCACGTAGGTTTTTTGTTTTTTTTTGTTTTTTTGTTTTTTTTCTTGCTTATGGCGACAGGAGCAAAAGGGCTCGGAGAAACAAGATCAATGGTTGTCGAGATCCCGCGGGAAGTTTCCATGTGTAGGCTGTGGATTGATGGAGTCATGGACACGAAAGATGCATAGCCCTGGGGACGGACAGCAACAGGGAAACTCCACACAGTGACGTTAGTGTAAGCATGTAACTACATCTGACAGGCGAAAAAAAAAATAAAATAAAATAAAATAGAATAAAATAACATCAAGTAAAAATGAAAATGAAAATGAAAAATTGAAGGCGAAAAAAACGAAACATGCATCACTTACAGGGGTTTGAGGTAAGTCTTTGCCAGTCACAGAGGCCCCCAAGCGAGATGATCGGCCAGGAAGGCCCCTGTTTGCCTACATCTAGTCGCGATCTCGGATGTTCGTTCGTCAGTGGTCTGGAACCAAGTCAGAAGACGATCGAGTTTGTCAAGAATGATGATGGTGGTGGTGTCTGCCAGTAGTAAAGCTTCTTGGCCTGATGCTCCGTTACCCGTAGTCCGTACTCTACTACAGAGTACACGGTAAGGTGGACGGTGGATATCCTGGAGATGATCCACGGTAAGCCTCAAGGGAGAACAGGGAATTGCTCAGGAGTTAGACTAAGAGCATTGACTAGGTCGAATGTCGATAATGGATAATTAGAACGTTCATGGATTCATTTCCCCTGGGCCTGAACTCCCTGTGAGAGGACGACGGGGGGGGAGGAGTGGATGGAATAGTGGGATCCCTTGTATGATCCATCGATGACCCGGATGCCTTGGAGTCTGGAACTCCGGACTTGGACTTTTGGATTCGGGAAGGCAGTGGATGGATGAAAATGAATTTGGAGGACTGGGGGGGGGGGGGGAAAAAGGATCACTGACTGAATAATGGAGCACAAAAAGAAGATAGTCGAGTCGAGTCGAATCCAAATCAGGAAATCATCTGATGGGGTTGTGATTGGGCCACGCTAACAAAGTACCTGGTCAGGTACCTACTTAGGTTGTTGTCCATGTCTTAGGTACCTAGGTATCTATCTACTACTAATAGTATAGCCTACTGGGGACGGTCCACTATCCTAGTATCTATCCTAATAATTCTCCTATAGGTGCTATACAGTCTATACTTACTACCTTGCATCGGATTCTACTCGGAGGTCCAGAGATCAGAGAACGGACATCGTCCAAATATCCTGGACTTCAGCCTCAATAATAATACTGAGCAGATATAGATAGATATTATCCCCATGACTTGAAGCTCCTGTGACACACACGCATGTCGAGATGGGTCGTTTGAGAATTTGAGAAAGACTGGGTCAGGAACGGCCCACTGAGTGGATGGGCCATGACCCAGATTCACGCAAGAACTGGGAAGATAACTAGCAGAGTGATAGAAAAGTTAGGGATAAAATTGATTACCTAGATTGAGGATGGTTAGTTAACTGAAGAGCCTTTCCATGTAGCACCCTGTAACAGATGACCAGCAAGGGAATACCAAATGAAATGAAGCTAAAAAAAAATAATAATAATAATAAAAAAAAAAAAAAAAAAAGAAGAAATTGAACACTGCAAGATATGTACTCCGTAGCACAACAAGTACCAAGTACTTGAGATGAGATCGAGAAAAGTCCGAGATCCAGAACAACACAGCAGGACAGCACTTTTTTTTTGTGTCATGAGTATCAGGAACGGTGACTCCGACAGGCTTAAGGTACCGACACGTTACACAGCGATCCTCTGGGAGATCGATCGTGATTGAACTCGTTTCCTTTCGCCTACGAGGGAATGATTCTTTGGTTGCATAGAGCGGACGGGCGGTGACCCAATTAGGGATTTGTTGAATATCCGGTTAGTATCACCCTGAGCCAATATCAAATTGTTGTTGGTCGGTATTTGACTCTAGCTACGGAGTAGTAGCTACTGATCAGTGATGGACAGAGAAAAAAAGTCCGAATTGGTGGGGAGTTGGATAAGTTCAATCCACTACTGTGTACCTATCCACAAACGCTGTGGATTCATCGTTACACCGTATCGACGTGGCGTTGATCTTACGCTCATAGTCTATCGCTATTCGCTATATTTGGAAAGACGATCGAATCTGAATTGGAACTCGGGCGAAAGTGAGGAGATACTGATGCCTTTCGAACCTCGGAAGTACTGTATATAGTGAGAATAGGTAAGTACCTCTTTTTCTCCTCCGCTTTGATATTTACAACTAAGGGTCGTCGGAAATCTGTTTCATGGGACCCTTTCCTTTTCTCATCGCCATCGCTTATGTTAGGGGGGAAACTCTGATGCTGAGGTGGTTATAGCGGTGCTGTTAATATTGCTATCACTTATCAGATAATCAGAGGCTAACAGGCAATAATACCATGCAATAACGCAAGGGTGGTCGGAGAGAAGGCCGCTCGCTTAGAAGCTTCTCCCTGAGCTATACTTACATGCATAAGCCATGGAGGATTGGGAGACTGGGGTACAGAGTACGGAATGAGGACTATGGAGTAGTACTATCGAGATATTTAATCTTGGGATCTTGTACTGTTGTACAGGATTTGATTGTCACACACCAAGGCCAGACAGAGTACTACAAACTTGAAGAACAACGGCATTTCCATGTTATCGGCGATCGAACCCGCTTCGGATATTCATACCGACTGGCGATCCGACGTTTCGGAGCGGGAAAACTAAGAGAGAGAAAAAATGTGCTGGACTTCGTGAGGCGGGCGGAGAGGTACAGGAAGCTAGGTAGCCGTACAGATATCCCGTATTATTCCTGAATCCTTGTGCTCGCGGCGAAGACAATGTACGTCAGTCTGGGCTGGGTAGGTTTACATCCATGCTGTGCAAAGATGGTGTGTCCATCAGCTGATTCTGACGCTGACATCCCACGATCTGAGCCCATTCATCTTGACATCAGTGATCAGTAGACTAAGTACGGGACTCCGTGTACTGTATCTAAATTTGTCAATTTGTAAACAACAGACACATCGATGTCGAATCTTTGTTTGATGTCTCAAATACTGGCACACTAGAGGAATCTCCAGACCAGAAGGTTTAGAGGCGCTGTGGGGGGGGGTCTTAGGATGGCTTTTAGTGGCTTCTAGTGGCTTTTTTTACTTGCTTATGACCCTATCATGATACCATGATCGCCCATGGGCTTCCACAAGAGGAACTGGAGTTGCTTAACAAACACGAAATAGTACTAGGTAGCAGGTACTTGACTAACTTGAGGAATACTTGCACGCTTCCAGAGACTAAATGGACTAGTTTTGACACGCCAAGTGGCCGAGTGCCCAGAATACTGCCTAGTTGCCAAGTTGGAGACTCGGAGAACTGGGTCGAGATAGTTAGCAGGAAGATCATTCGATGAGGAATGCGAAATGAGTTAGTAATGTCCCGGGATCTACGGAGTAAGGGATCTTCATACCCGCCAATGACAAATTAAGATCGTATGAAAGACGAGATCCAATTCCAAGTGAATATTAAGTAGTTAGATGAATAGTCCCCTAGTTTCAATAGTACTGTAGATCCTCCGTGGTCGGAAGATAGTTTTTTTTTAAGAAGCTCTCCGTCCGGGAACCAAGTTCACTAAGGTCCTTGGCTTTCGCGAAACGTACCTGAACCGTAGAATCTCAATCATTGAGGGTCGATCAACCAGTTCCATGGATTCAACCTGAATGGATCCAGTTCATGGGAGATCTCTATCTATCTATCTATCTATCTATCTATCTATCTATCTATCTATCTATCTATCTATATATCTATCTACAAGCTCAGGCCACGGCAATCCCCAAGCAGAGTTTGTGGATGATTTTCGTTTGGAAGGAAGCGAGCGAAATTCACTACTAGTTCGTGGGGCCGGGTTCCTACTTCGTGCCATGTAAAAACTGGTCGCAATCCCGGTCGCAATCGGTAACCAGCGCCTTCACCGCACTCTCGTTTGTCCGGACTCATGAACCAACGGACTAACTAACTAACTACCTACCTCCTAGTCTCCCGTCAAGTATTTTGCTAGACATTCCCTATCTCCAGAGACTGGTGGGCTTCCAATCGCCTCAACCGGAAGTATCCGGTCGAAGTGCCCAGGGACTATTTCCGTTAGTCCCCTCCATTAAGGATTCTAGACAAACCTGGCGGTCGAATGGCGCTCAGCAGACGCCGTGATGCAGGCCACATCCCGGCTTGGAGCCCGTCACTAGGCCACAGCCAGAAATTCGAATCTCGGCTATTCAAAGACATCAGCCGAATAAAAAAAGAAAGAAAGAGGAAAAAAAGAAATGATCAAATCTGAATATCGAAGAGGCAACACGTTACATTCGCCCGCTGGCTTCATCTCCTGCATATTGGCTGGGGCTGATCACGTCGGTGGTCACTGGTCAGTGGTCACGCATTTTCCCTGCCCGATGACATCTAGTTTTACTGTTGGCAGTCGCTGTGGTTGAATTCGTGACCTAGCCATGCGGTGACCATGAGATATTCATCACTATGTTACTATGTACGTACTGTACTCGGAGCCGAGCACTGGTATGAGTCTATGAATCTATGACTATGAGACCGGTGACACGGAAGATCCGATGAAGATTCCGTACTTTTAGCCTCCTCAGCAACAAGCTCAATCGGCTGTTCAATCTACGTCCATGCGTCTCTAAGCGGACCTCACCTGACAAGCGCCGCTTGACATGTCCACGCTGGCACGCAAGGGCTTCTAGCCTCCTAGCCTTCTAGCCTTCTAGCTCTAGGTACCTAGGAGGCTAGATAACTAGGTATACTCTGTATGTTGATCTATCTAATAATCTAATCGACTTAGGTCTAACGAACAATCTAATAGGTCCAAGTGGGGACGACGGAATTCCCGTCGTCCGTCTCGACTTCTCGCCTGAACGCTGATTGAACATGGTGTAGGTTACTAACCATTTACGATTTGAAAAAGTCCCCACTAGGATGACAAGTGATGTAAGACATACATGACTTCGTCCTGTTGACGGTATTAGAGGCTGCAAGCATGGAGGGCGGGAAAGGGGGACAACAACGGGGAAGAGACCGGGATCTCTTCTCGTTTTAGGACCCCGATTTTGACTTCCATGTAAGGCCATTGTCCTGGGTTTGATTGGGATCATTTTACCTTTCGAAATATATATATAGTTCCCGATACATTTAGATATCGATATGGATATCGAGATATTTGGGAAGACTAGGATGCCGCCGGCCGAAGCCAGCAAAAACCGCAGGTAGCCTAGGACACGGCAGGCTGCGGTACGACAGGAATTCCGATAATAGGGACCAGTAGTAGGTATGGATCGGGATTCGAACCAGCGCAATTGAGATTACGAAAGACCAGGGAAGTCTCCTTTGAGAACGATGCATTTGTTCGTTTTGACTCATCCTTATGATCCTTGTTCATGCTCGACCGAACACGGTACTTGTCTACCTACACAGTATACTTGCATCCAGACAATGAGATGTAACCCGTCCAAAAGATCCAAAGAAAAATAAGAATCCAGGGCGTGCTGTGCCTTGCTGGGGGGAGGCTGGCTGGCTGGCAGCACTTGGGAGTTCGGTGGCTGCGCCTTCAACCTGATTCTTAAAGGAAAAAAGAAAAAACTAAAAGAGAAAAAACCTGAAAAAAAAAAAAAAAAAAAAAAAACACTCTAATGTTTAGCTTGACTTTCTTCACGAACAGACTACTAACTCACTGACCACAGTTTAGTTAGTTAGTGACCAATATCTACTGACAGGCTGACGCTCTTTTTCACGCCTCACACAGACCAGGATACAGGTATGCTCCTATCATCCTATCATCCTTCAGGCTGCGCTGATAGCCAGGTTTACCACTTACTACTAGTTACACGGCAGTTGGCCTCGTGTCAGGTCGGACATTTCCCCCCGAGACTGGGTTGGTCAAGATGCGAGGTGGGAACAGAGAAAAGCACTATGATCCTAGACTATCTACACGGTAGGTACGTAGATCACTTGGTGTTGAACTTGGTTAGGGAACGGGGCTTGCATCCACTCATTCCACTTCTCGTCGTCTTCGTTTTCCCAAAGAAGCAATATGTAAGCAGTCCTCCACTGTTGTAGTAGGTAGTAGTAAGTAGTAACTAAGTATTCCGTAAGTATTGTACTGTAATCTGTTGTGATCAGGGGCAAAAAAAGAATAGTACATAACGGAGTAGTAAATATTAAGTAAGATAAAAAAAAATAAAACTAAAAAAAAGCTCATCGTTTACTTCGGCACGCATACAGTCGGATCTTATTCTATTCCCTACCGTCCTTACCGTCCTATGTACAGTCCTACTAGTACTACAGGTCTACAGCAAGCCTTCCCAATGCCCTCTGTGCATAATTATTGCTTTTTGGCACGGATGATTAGATAGCTTCGCCACGCAGTCTCCATTGATCGTCTCGATGGATATCACGGTTATTCTCCAAAAATTCTATGGTCCAGTAGTGTATCACCCTACCAAGCACGGAGTTTAAACCAGGAAAAGTGACTCGACCGAGTCCTAAGAGTTAGATACGAGGTCAAGACTCATCTCGCCTCAGAATTTCAGCCCTTCAAAACCCAAAAGAAAAGAAAGAAACCCAAAAAAAGAAGAGAGCGAGTAAGGGAGAGAGAGAGAACCATTTCCCTACGACCGACCCCATCCTCGCATTAATTCCTGTTTTATACGGCAAAAAGAAAAAAAGAAAAAAAGAAGTCCTCGCTTGTAATAGCTCTTCCGCCACGGCTCGGTTCCCAGAGTATCTACCTCACTAGGTTGCCGCTGGATTGTGATGAGACATTGTGTTTGGGCACAACGGACCATCATATCTGAACGTTGATTGAGAGCCTGGATCCAAGTCACGGCATGCTGTGGCTCTTCTGAAGGGATCGTCCATCCGCTACTACGCAGCAGGTACGCCGTAGTACGTATAAGGCTATCTCCATGCCATGCTCCATCAAAGTCTCTATGCTGCCTGATGAATCGCTGTCCATGATCTTTCTCGAAATTGTATCTAGATGGGAATCCTGACCTGTTAGGCTGTAGTCATGACGGCAGCTTCACCATCTCTCTCGTGTCAACAGGTGGACAACACTTTGCAGGTTCCTGCCCTGTCCTGTCGCGGGGGATTCGACTTCTCTTTGCTTTTTGAGGAGCTCATTCTGGGGATCTTGCCCCTGGGGATCGTCCTGGTTCTTGCATTGTTTCGACTCTGGCATCTGTTTCGAAGACAGCGCAAGGTCGTAGCATCGTGCTTGTTGTGGACCAAGATTGTATGTATCCTTGCTTCTCTGCCTGCCTGCTTGTGTTTTGCACTTCCTCTCCTCCCTCCCTTGATTTTCTTGTCCCTTCTTCCACATCAAATCAACTTTATGGATGGTGACTGACCGTGGCCTCCCTGCGGTTGTTGGCGTCTATCAGATTGCGTGGCTTGCCTTAGGCATCGTACAGTTGGTCCTTACCGTTTATTGGGCCCGTCCGTCGGCCAGCAGAACACGCGCGTCGATCGCAGCAAACGCAGTCACCACTGCGGGGATCTCTATCCTTTGTCTCCTCTCTTATGCAGAACACATTCATTCTGTGACGCCATCCTTTCTCTTGAATGTCTATCTCTTCATCACCCTGCTGTTCGATGCCGCAAAGGCACGGACGTTATGGCTGCGCATCAATGGCGGCGTCGACCTGCCCCTCGCCATCCTGACTTCGGTCACGGTGGGGATCAAGTGCCTGCTCTTCGTCCTTGAAGCCATCGAGAAGCGACATATCCTCCGCAAAGAGTATGCGGGGTATCCTCCCGAAGCCACTGCGGGGATCTTCAATCGGGCCTTCTTCGTGTGGTTGAACCCATTGTTCCACCATGGATTCTCGAGGCTGCTCGCCGTTGAGGATCTCTTCGAGCTGGACAAGCAATTGAGCTCAAAGCGGCTGCACAATGCCTTGGAGACTCGCTGGAACAAAGGTACGCTTCGGGAAAAAAAGCCTTAGAAAACCTGCACCACGGATCGAGCTGACAGGCCTAGTCCCACGGAAGGGTTCAAACTCACTCCTGTTCTTATGCTTCAGGGCATTCAAATGGCCGCTGTTGTCGGCTGTGCCTCCTAGAGCGTGTCTGGCTGCGTTGAACTTCTGTCAGCCATTGCTGCTGCGGCGATCGTTACTCTTCTCCACGCAGCCGGTGACCAGCCATACCAATAGCATTGGATACGGTCTGATCGGCGCTTATATACTTGTTTACACAGGAATGGGTGTGAGTACACAGATCCTGTTAATTCCCACCGTACGAGAGATTCTAATGTGAAACTGTCTGAATCAGGTGATGATGGGCCAATATCAGCACCTAACGTACCGCGCCATCACCATGGTGCGAGGAGCCATCGTCTCGATGATCTACAACAAAGCGAGCAGGCTGAGCGTCAAAGATGCCGATCCTGCTGCATCTCTCACCCTAATGAGTGCAGACGTCGAGAGAATCGTCCAAGGTTGGCAGACCATCCATGATATCTGGGGCAATGCAGCGGAGATAGCCCTCGCCATCTACCTTCTGGAGACACAATTGGGCGTCGCCTGTGCTGTCCCTGTAGGAGTTGCAGTTGGTGGGTCTCATATGCTTCTATTTGTGTTACGATCAGCACTGACTTGTTGTTCACGTTGAAAAGTGGCTCTTTTTGGTTGCATGATAGCCTTAGCGTTTGTAATGGCTAGGCAGGCGCTCTGGCTTGAAGCTATTGAGAGGCGCATTTCATCCACTGCTTCGATGCTTGGCTCCATGAAGGGTGTCAAGATGTTGGGTCTCAAGTCATCCATCATGGCGAGTGTCCATGGCCTGCGACTGGACGAATTGAGCATATCCAAGAAGTTCAGAAAGCTCCTCGTCTGGAATATGGCTCTCGGTAGGTCCAACCTTTCCAAGTCAATCGCTGGAACGTCTCTGACACAATTCATAAGCTTGGACAACTCGCATTTTCGCACCCATCTTTGCACTCGGGGCATTCATTGGCATCTCGCATGCTAGAGGGCAGGATTCTGCTTTTAATATGTCCACGGCGTACACGTCCCTGTCGCTCTTTGCGCTTCTATCAGACCCACTACTAAACCTAGTCATGGCTCTCATGACATTCATTGGATCTGTTGGTTCTTTCAGGCGAGTTCAGGATTTCCTTGAGAAGGAAGACCATGTTGACTATCGCCAGAGAGCTCCAGACGCTTCTTACGATAGCATTGAGCCCAAGCCGCTGATGCTAGTGGACGATTCGGACGTGATGACATCTGAGTCCGCTTCGGATCGAACACCCAAGCGAGCACTGTCATCTTCGTACCACGATGCACTCATCGTGCAAAATGCGTCTTTCGGCTGGGATATTGAGCAGGAGCCGCTCCTCAAAGACTTGACAATCACAGTACCGCGAGGAAGCTTCACTATGATCGTTGGACCTTCTGGATGCGGCAAGTCAACTTTGCTGAAAGCTATTCTTGGCGAAGTGCCATGCGTGAATGGGACACTTGATCTGTCCTCAGATAGTGTTGCATTCTGCGATCAGACACCGTGGCACATGAATGCAAGCATTCGCGAGAGCATCACCGCAATGTCAAGCTTTGACAAGGAGTGGTATGCATCCGTTGTGCGGGCGTGCGCTCTGGTCCCAGACTTTGAGCAATTACCACGTGGAGATGAAACGGTAATAGGAAGCAAAGGTATTGCTCTGAGCGGAGGACAGAGCCAACGTATTGTATGTATCTACGGCAGCCACCCCAGAAGGCTTGCTAATTCTGATGAACGATCACAGGCGATTGCAAGAGCAGTATATGCCAGGAGAAGTATTGTCATCCTTGATGACGCCTTCAGCGGTCTGGATGCAGCCACAGAGGACTACATTTTCCACAGTCTCGTTGGCATCTACGGCTTTCTCCGTGCGCTTGGCTGCACGATTATTGTTGCTGCATCGTCTGGTTTGTGACAATCTGTCCCAAGGGTTCAAGTTTTCTCTGGCTAACGACGCGCCATCCTCACAGCAAAGAGACTCCCTTATGCGGATCATATTGTGGCACTCGATAAGACAGGCCATATTTCGGAGCAAGGAAGCTTCAAGGCCCTCGATCTCGCGGGAGGTTACGTCTCCAGCTTTGCTCTGGGCTCACCAGATTGGAAAACGAAAGTCGACAAGCCACCCGTGGAGGAGAAACCTCAAACCAAGATCAAGTCAGAAGGCAAAACAGAGGTAATTAAAACAGACCCACGAAGGCAGTGTGGCGACCTATCCATCTATCTGTACTACATCCAGTCCATCGGCTGGTTCCCCACGGCCGTCTTTCTGGTGTCGATCTCGGCCTTTGTCTTCTGTATATCATTTCCAAGTACGTCTCCAAGAGTTTCTATGGTTGACTGCATGCGCTGACAGGTTACAAGGTATCTGGGTTAAATGGTGGGCGGGCGCGAATGAGGTTGACCCTAATGGTCGGACTGGATACTATCTCGGGATTTATGCAATGCTCGGCGCTGTCGGCATGTTTGCCCTGATCGTTGGCTGCTGGTAGGAATCACAAGGTCCTGATTTCACGAGTGACGGATACTAAATGCATGTCTGTAGGGAGATGGTGATCAACATGGTGCCAAAATCCGGAGAAAGCTTCCATAGGAGATTGTTGACGACAGTTCTGAGGTGCGTTGCTTCTCCAATATCCATGGATGCTGCTAATCGTTGATAGTGCACCCATGTCATTCTTTGCTGCAACGGACAGCGGCTCCATTCTGAATCGCTTCAGTCAGGATCTGCAGCTCATCGATATGGAGCTTCCTGTTGCGGCCATCAATACCTTTGCCAGTAAGTTCGCTGTAATATTATGATATCAGCGCATGCTTACCACAATTTTTCAGCTCTGATGCTCTGTCTCGCTCAAATGATCCTGATGGGCATCGCCTCCAAATACGCGGCCATTTCATTCCCTATGGTGCTCCTCGTTGTCTACTCCATCCAGAAGGTATACTTGCGGACATCGCGCCAGCTTCGGTTCCTGGACATTGAAGCCAAGGCACCACTGTATTCTCACTTTAGCGACAGTTTGAATGGTTTGGTGACGCTCAGAGCGTTTGGCTGGCAACAATCTCTGGAAGAGAAGAATCGCGAACTCCTCGACTACTCGCAGAGACCATTCTACCTTCTGTACGCCATCCAACGCTGGCTGACCCTGACTCTGGACATGGTCGTGGCGGGGATCGCTGTCATCCTGATCGTTCTTGTCGTCACACTACGGGGAACAATCAGCGCCGGCGACGTTGGAGTGGCTTTGCTTAATGTGATTTTGTTCAGCCAAAGTATCAAGCTGCTGATCACGTTCTGGACCAATCTCGAGACTCACATTGGTTCCATCGTGCGTGTCCGCTCCTTCACTGAGAACGTAAGCTCGGAGGACTCGCCTTCGGAGAAAGACGAAGTGCCTTCCAACTGGCCGTGGGGAGGAGATATCGAGTTCAAATCAGTTTCTGCAGAGTACAGGTATGCTCTACCCGCTACACAAACCGACGCATCACGCTGACTGACACCACCCAGACCCGGTGAACCAGTTCTCCGAGAAGTATCTCTGAGTATCAAGGCAGGTGAAAAGGTCGGAATATGCGGAAGAACAGGCAGGCATGTCATTCCCAAGCTTTTCCTGCAATCAGACATATAGCACAATCTCTAACATCAACCCAGCGGCAAAACCTCCCTGATAATGAGCATCTTCCGCATGGTCGAGCTCAGCGGCGGAAGCATCCTCATCGACGACATCGACATCACACGCATCCCCCGCCAAGAGATCCGCTCTCGCATCAACGGCGTCGCGCAGAGCCCGCTGCTGATCAAGGGCACCGTCAGGCACAACATCAACCCGACCGCCAGCTCCTCCGAAAAGGCCATCGTCGAGGCCCTCAAGGCCGTCGGCCTCTATGCCAAGGTCCAAGAAAAGGGCGGCCTGGACATCGACATCGACGAAGTCTTCCTCTCCCACGGCCAACAGCAGCTCTTCTGCCTAGCGCGGGCGATTCTTCGACCGGGTAAAGTCCTCGTCCTCGACGAGGCAACAAGCAAGTACGTCCCCCATGCCCCACCCTCCACCCTCCTCCCTCCCTCCTTCCCTCACCTTCCTTCCTATTCCACAAAATCTGAATCTAACACCGGCAACAACAGCGTCGACTCAAAAACAGACGAGATCATGCAGCGCGTCATCCGCGAGAAGTTCGGCTCGCATACCATCCTCTCCGTCGCGCACAAGCTCGAAACCATCCTCGACTTCGACAAAGTCGTCGTCCTCGACGCCGGCCGCGTCGTTGAGTGCGGGAATCCGTATAGTCTGCTCGCGGACGAGAAGACATATTTCAGCAGGCTGTATGCGAGTGCGATGGTGGAGGAGGGGGGGGACTCGACTTGATGATGATCATTGATGTTGATGTTCGGGGGTTTTTTTTGGGGGGGGGGAGTTTGTCTACTGCTTTTTCTTTTCTTCTTTTTCTACTTTCGATCCCCCCTTCTCTTTCATGAGTATAATTCTGGGTGTAGTTATGAGGTTTACTCCATATGTAATGACTATACTATCTATAATCATTCGTGGAATTTTTTTTCTTTCTTTTTTGGGGGGGGTTGGTTTTCCAGATTATTCTTTTGTTTCCTCAAGCGGAGGGAATGAGTGAGTTAGGGCTAGATTCCAGATAGGGCGTGTGAAGCCCATCTCCGCTACAGGGTACTGTACAAACTACAAAGTCCAGAGGGAATCAGGCATAGAAGGTGGCCAACTACTTACCTACGCCTCCCACTTCTTCCAGCCTTGCTACGCAGAAAGAAAGAAGAAAAGTAGAACATGACAAAAGCATCATCCATCCTATTTGCACCATATATTGCAAAGCCCAATTCAGAAAGGCGGGAAAAAAAAAAAAAAAAAAAAGAGTAAAACAAGTAAATAAACATGGAGATACACCCCTTTTTTATCCTCATCCTCGGATTGATTACAAGACAAGATGAGCACCGGCATCTATCTCCAGATAAATGGAGGAAAGGGGAAAGAGACTAGGAAAGAATCATCGTATCATCATTATCCGCCTCCGGCGCATCGAGGAGCCCGAATTCCCAATCCCCGCGCTCGATACGGCTCACCCGGTCCAGCTCGGACTGGTACTCGCGCCGGAGGTGGTCGAGGGTTACGATGACCCGGCGATGGGGGGTGTTGTTCGGTGCTGGGGACTTGCTGGTGCTGTTTGTGCGGGTGGAGCTGGTCGGTTTGATTGCGCCGGTGCTGGCGCTGAGTCTGCGGGTGAATCCTGAGGGCGCGGGGGACGGTGACGCGGCGCCGGTACTGGTGTTGGCGTTGGCGTTGGCATCGTCCAGGAAGACGTTGCCGTCGTCATCTGCTTGGAAGCTGGTGTGGCGCCGGTCGGAGGAGTCATCCTTTTCGACGAGGATGTATGCCTCGCTCTTGTCGACGCAGCCGAGCAGATTGATGAGGGAGAGGAGTTCGTGCCGGATCTCCTTGCTCTCCGGGTCGTCCTCCTCGACTATCGCCCGTGCATCGTCCGCTTCGCGGCCCTTGGACAAGACGAAATGGTTAGATGGGCTGTCTCTGGCGTTTCTTAGCCGCTGCACGTTTCGGTATGCGATCTCCGCAGCGCCACGGTAGTCATTCCGCGCAACGCGGTAGGCCTGCAAAATTCGCTGGTAGTCAGGCGTGCTATCGGACCACTTGCTTCCGGTGTCGAGGAACGAGTCGAACGAGGTCTGTTTCCGAGCAAGCGAGACAAGGGTGTCGTCTACATGTGTGGCGATATTAGGGAGAAGAGATGTGGGGAAGTGAAGAAGCTGCTGGAGCCCAGAGGTGCCTGGTCCCGCCGCAGTCAATATACCTGTGATGAGCGAGCTCAGAGCAGATTTTTGCAGCGCCTGGTCATGGTATCGGGCAAGCGCCGAGTATGCCTGGTCAAATTGGCACGTTTTCAAGGACGCGTAGAACAGGCGCGAGAGAAGATCAGTCTGCATGTTCATGCGCTCCGGATCATTATCGTTCTTGTGTTCACCTGCAAACGCTTGTAGCGCAAGGCTTGCAAAGTCCGCAACATGCGAGAATGAACGTGCTTGCTCAAAGATGGACAGGATGTGATGGAAATATTTGGGGAGACCGTTGTGAAAGCAGTCCACTGAGACAATGTCGAGAAGCGTCGACGACATTTCGTGCAGGTTACCAAGAGGTTTTCCGCATGCTTGTGAATGTCAGAAAGGGAGGCTCAAAAGGTACTATGGGGAGGGTACTTACAGAGAAGATATGCAGCCTTGCGGAAATACAAAGCCGCTGTGTCATATTCAGACATGGCCACGTACAAGCGGCCCTTGACATAGGTCGCCCAAGATGTGGTTGCCTGTTGCTGGAAGCGAAGGAAGTCCCATGCGAGGTCGATGTTATTCTTCGCGATAAGATCGCACTGTATGTAGACCAATGCGTTGGGATAAGCCACCTCCCCTTGACGAGTCACCCAGGACAGAACATCCCGGATGCCGAGTGTCAGAGTGAAGCTTTGGGGCAAACCAACCGCTTGTCGAGGCTTAATATCAGCAGCGAACAAGTCTTCAAGGAGAGTGACCACCCTCTCGGATTTATTCTTGGGTGCTGAGTCCTTTAGTGAAAAGGACGAGGTTGACATGTCGCTGGATACACTGGAAGATTTATCGGCGCACTTCCGCACGTTCGAGCTAAGCCACGACATCATTTCATATTCCCTCAACAAGGAGATTAAGGTGGCGAAGAGATCCCCCGTGTCGAAAGTAGATCCGTCTTCCTGCTGCACCTCGCCATCCACAAAAACTACGAGGAGCAAGAGGTCGATCAGGAGTCGTCTTGTGTTCTCAATTGTCTCTTGGGCGCCGTTCACAGTGACTTTGACTCCGAAGTGGGTAGGGAGAAGCTCGGAATCTTTGCCAGGAAATCCAAGCGGAATTGTGTCGATGATAGTGTAAAAGATATTGTTTGACAATTTGAAAATGTTCAGCCGCTCATTCATGGCAGTGATGAGACCGTCATACGTTTTGTTGGAGATTTTTTCTGTAAAGTCGCACCGCTCACGGAAAGCATCCATGCGGTCAGGGATGGACGACGAAGGCTCCGCATAGATTTCTGCCTCAAGGGCGCTATGACACGCTGCCTCAAGCTCTGCCGGGAACCGTTGTCGGAATCCCGAAGCCACTCTAAGTAGGAAGGAGGCTTCTTCGAAGCTATCCCCGATCTCCGAGCTCAAGTTTCTGTGGCTCCATCGGTCCACTATCTTGGGACCTTCTGCGCGGAGCTCGGGACCGTTGTTGTGCAGAAGCAGCTCGGTAGAGCTACATTCCCGGATGACTGCGCAGCTATCCGATAACAGCATCCAAGGAACTTCGTTGTAAACGTCGTAAGCAAGCCGGAGGGGCTCAAATCTTCGCTTGTTGATGTCCTCTGCGATTTGCCAGAACTGACGCCATTTGGAGTCAGTATCTACCCGATATCGCGTAAAGTCCATGTCGTCTTCGGCGTACTTGCGGAGGGCCACCGAGGCAGCGATTGTGGAGCAAAGTCGTTCGGAAATGGAGGCGTTCTTCTTTGCCGGTACAGGAGAAGAGGACAAAGGCTTAATTGCCTCCTGGTAAACAGACAAAGCAGTCTCAAGGACCTCCGGGGAATATCTGTTCGGCTGAAGCATGTAGCTCAGCCACTTCTCCGTCGGATCTACGGCGTCCTCTGACGCAACAGTGGGTAACGGTGCGTGAATCCGTGTATCCATGGCCGTCGACACCCAGTTCGTCTCCCAATCCGTCACAAGAGTCTCAAAGTTGAAGTGCAGAGTGTATAGTTGATAGACGGTGTTGTTCCTCCACATCACCCACAGCTCCATGCGCTTTCCTTCTTCCATAGGCTTGACCTGGAAATCAGCAACGGTCCAAAACATGCTTCCGGTTGCGTCCGGGTCTAAGGGCGTCAGAGCAGCATCAGGAAAGAGGTCCTCGACGACCAGCTGCGACGTCAAGCCTCCTTTGACAGCCCAGAACTTGAAGCGACCATCCTCGAATGGGGAATATGTAACAATGTAGTAGCGGTAGCCTCCGTCCAGCGCTCTCTCGACGTTGAATACCCGGATGAAAGATGATTCGGCGGGATTCAGCGAGTATGAAACAGATTCCTGTTGCTGTACCTGCCGGTCCAGCAGATCTTTCGTGGCAGCCAACTTGTTCGTGGCCAGGTTCCATATTTTGAGAGTATGGTTCAGGCAGACGGCAAACGCATAAGTCTGATCGGATGTAGTAGCAATGGCATTCGCGGCGTTGACATCGATATGGCGTCCCTGATACTTGATCGTGGGCTGCGCATGCCACCGGACCAACCCGCGAATCGATGCACCCCAGGTTCTTTCATCGAAGGTAAGAGGCGTCCAATGTGATCCTACCAACACGCATAGTATATCAGTACATGAGCCCTCAAACACGAGACGAATGGAAGAGTGGAATCAGAACAATACCATCGTCGCCCGACTTCCTGGTCAGTCGCAGAAGCGCGCCATTGTCGAGGGAGATAAACAACTCGAGCGGACTGCTCGCATGCAATCGGTGCGGGTGCGAGAAAGCCAAAGGTGCTGGAACACATGATTTGCACCAGTCGTTCACATTCTCGTCGATTGCTGCTGCGCGTCGAAAGAACTCCGGGCGCAGCGTGAGCGTATGCAACTGCTTCGAAGCCGTAATCACAAACACGCTCAGGGTCTCGTGATCCTCCAAATCGGCAAAGTCAACCCCTGACGGAATAATCTCTTCCTGAAAATCCAAGCGCAGCGTGATATTATATTCGGAATGTTCAATCCCTGCCTTGGTCAGATCCACGCACTGGATCTCCAGAACCTTGTTGTCATTGACTACCCGCCATAGAAACGTCCGGGGATAAACTCTGTGTTTGCGAAAATAGATCGAACCCTGCGTGGCCAGATGCCGTCGAGAAAATTCCTCCTCATCTTTTGCGGCCGGTTCTTCGTGGCTGGTAAAGGATGAGGCTATCGAGAATCGAGCCCGAGTTTGCGTGCTCTCTTGTGTTGGAATCTGGATGTAGGCGACGCTGCTCGGCGAGTACGGCCGAAGGTCAACTCTGGTATCCTTGTATATTTTCGCCATGGCGGATTGACTTTAGATCACCTTCCACAGATATGCCAACGGGTGATCTCAAGCCTCCATGGCCGTTTGTCGCAGGAGAGGAGATATCTTGCGATCTGGGCGGAGTTGAAAGGCGGAAAGCTGGAGCTCTGTTGCTTGTGCTCTCAGAAAAAACAAAAGTCTTGGCGCGGGTCACTGGACACAGTCACATATCTCAAACAAGACAACATCGACTTGATTTGTATTGCAAATAAATAAATTTAGGGGTTTTATCTCGTTTTGATTCCGGTCTGGAAGAAACTGCTCTGTTCAACGTTCTTTTCCTTAGTGTTGGGCGGCGAGCATTACGGATAGTATATGGCGCTCGTTATGATCAATCGGGATAACCCTCAGAATATCATACATGCAAACGGTGGAAGAAAATATAATATATGTACTCGATAAAGATAGATAATCGCAATATCGCAATGCGGAAGTCATTAATCTTGATCATCGTGGAAAGAAAGCGCATCCCAAGGTCCAGCTAATCGTTCTCTAGGTCCTTGGGACTTGGGTCTCCTATACCATCCTCATTGATAGCAAAGAGGCAGTCGCTTTCAGGTAGACACGGACTATCATAGATCTTGCACACTCTCGTTTCCCCTCTCCCCTTCTTCAAGCTCAATCTGGTCGTACTGGCGTGCGCAATGATGTTACCTCCAATGGGCTTCTTGGGGTCGGGGTTGAACATCGCACTTGGACCACCATCAACCTGGGCAACCACCTGATTTGTAATGACAACAGCGATACCAAATTCATCTGCAAGTCGCTGCAGGGTTCGCATAAACTTGGCAAGATGCGTTTGTCTGGAAGATAGCTCACCACGACCGTTGAAGTCCGTCCGGTACAGGGAAGTGGCAGAGTCGACAACGAGAAGGGAAAAGCGCGTCTCGCACATCATCTGAGACGCCTGGTTCAGAAGCTGCAGTTGATGATCCGAGTTGTAGGCCCGCGCATACGCAACATTGTCCAGGACCTCTTCGCCAACTAGTCCATAGCGCTGGGCGACTGCAAGGAGACGCACGGGACGGAAAGTTCCCTCCGTATCAATGTAAAGACACTTCCCTTCGCCTCCACCCATGTCGAATGGTAGCTGGCAGGTAACGGCGAGGGTATGACATATCTGACTTTTCCCCGTTCGGAACTCGCCGAAGATCTCGGTAATTGAGCCCGTTTCTATCCCACCGCCCAGCAGGGTATCCAGCTGCTTGGAGCCAGTTGTGATCGATATCAGTTCACTGCGTCGCGCATGCATTTCTGTGGCAGTCGTGAATCCCATCGGTACGAGTTTCGCAGCTACAGAATATCATAATCAGAAAGGTCCAGTGTCCCAAGTATCAGGGCTGGCTCACCCTCAACTAGGATTTTCGTTGCCTTCTGCTCTGAGATGCCTTTGATTTGTTCCAGCAATCTTCTCGGCCTAAACCATCGAGGAATCGAAATGTGAGTGTTCCGATAGTAGCTAAAGCCAACCTCTCTGGTCTGCACTTGATGCGGAACGGGAGACGTACGTATATGCAATCGACTCGACGGTGTGATACCCTGCATCAACAAACAACTTGATATCTCTGCTTGTCAATCCCGCAACACCCTAGACACACCCAGTCAGCGGGTTTTCCACGCCCTATGAAGATCCCATAGTAATGTAGTGACTTGCCTCCAAAGCCGAGAGCGGGGTGGGTGCTCCTGGACCCGGTAATCCACTCTCATCATATTCTTGAGTCTCCGTATCAGCAGTCATCTTGTCGTTCACGGCGTCAGCAACTCCAGATGATAGCGCCCTTAGTCGATTCGGTATGAGCCTGGAAGACTACAGATATTCAACCAAACGCGAGAAAACACGCGTGTTCTTTCAGACCGCGACTTCTTCCGTCGGCTGATGGACAATCTGCTTTCGAGACTGCTAGTAGGGAGAAGGCTCTGGTAGCGAAGATTTCTACCAAAAGAGTCCACTGAAGCAGCTACAAATCATGGATGTGGCGAATCGCCCTGTCTGTCACTCGACTAAACAATCGGGTGTGTTTGTGGACGCGTCAAGGCAGTCACGATATCACGTGCGCTGTCTGCCTAATTGGCTGCCTCAGGTAACACCATCGCTTGCTCGGCCTCAACAAAACAATAAAAATACTTTGCGTCTGCAGGATGCTAGGGCTAAGGAACAGGGCAGTGTGAGTGGGAAGAAATCATTCTAATCCTATGAAGATACCATATGTAGCATTGACGCTGTAGGATACAATTCTCACGCCGATGAAGTAACCAGGAAGATTTGTCTTCAGAATGAAAAGGCCAAGGCAAGTCACTTTATCCAACAGAGCTGGGGGAAACATGCTCTTCTCCTCTCACGCTGGTCCGGTGTACATCATGGTGCCGAACGATGAGCAGCCTTTTTGTCCAGGGGCTTAAGGAAAGGCTTTGAATTGCAATTGGCACAAAGCACCATCTATATGCCACTCTCCTTATCTTCAGTGGGTATGGGCCTTAGCTGAAATTCCTCTCGAGGACGAGTCTGAATGCTCTCTTCAATCAGCCTGCTGATTCTGCGTCTGAAATCCTCCGATGATTGCCGACGTTCACGGCCTAGGGGTAAAGAGCGGCTCAGTATTTCCTCGTTGGATACGCAGCAACAACAACTACCTCCCCCGCTTGGAATGGGCTCACCTTCAACATCTGGCTTTCGCTTGTCCTTCTCAGATGATTTGGTTATCCATGAGCTACGTGGCCCAAACCAACCTCGTGACCAACGTTTTTCAGTCTCGGCAGATTTCTGGGAGTCCTGAAGCTGAAGGGGATCCGGAGGGATTGGCAGGCCTCCCTTGAAACTATTTGGTTGGATGCTGCCGGGCCTGCCACCGTCCATGTTATCATTCCCAATTCTAGAAGAACCTCGGGAATCGTGACGAGCGGCGTTTGGGACCAGTTGCTCTGGGAGCCATTGTGCTGGGACATCGAGTGTGTCGTACGTAGATAATGGGTATTGTGGCCGGCTTCCCATCGGCGTGACCGATCTGCTTGCCATTGGAGTCGCAGACTGCACTGGGCTCGATGCGTTGCTGTTGGAGATCCATATACCATCGACTTTGACACCTTTCTCCAGAGCTCTAGCGCCAAAGGGGATATCGCTTCCTCCTGTCGCTACCATCTGTAACTCGGAATCTTGCGCTGCTCTTTGATATGCTTCTGCAGCAGCGTATTTCTTGATCATTCGTCGGTTATATGCGAGCACGCAGAACGAATAAATAAGTACGATTGCCTCCCCAAGTCAGTGGTGACCATGTGTTTTATTGGCAGTCGAGTTTGATCTTACCAGGAGGAGAGCAAGCACCTGGTGAAGTTTTCATTAGCATCATCCCCAGCCGCCGCTGAACTCTAGGCTTACAGCACTCAGTTTCTGCCACAGGGCCCAGTCTATCCAAAACTTCATGGTGTATATCTATCTCGCCAGCGCGCTGGTTGTTGAGTCGGCCAGTTAGGATGGTAACCCCAGGATTCGACGTTGTTATATGATCATGAGTCAAGTATGGGACCCTACAACGATGATGGCTCTATAGTCACCACGGTGGCAGTTCGAGTGCGCAGGATGGTGGCGTCGAGTACGCTGGGCCTATTGCTGAATCTATGCCGACTGAACTGTTGTTCAACGTGTCGGATACTTGATTTGGGACGGAGACTGTGTAGGCTAGAGAGATGGCGGTTGTACAGAGCTTGGGCGAGAATGCGTCAACTGGAGGCTTTTGTGTTTGTGGACAGGACAGAATGAGCTGGTAAGCCTGGGAGATCCTGCCTCTAGTAACTACGAATGAAGGAAGCCGCGCTGTTCACCAGTGGGTTGTGTATGCCTTCCTTCCTTCCTTGCTGTACCTTCCACTGTAGTATGGTGTATATCGCATCATACATGTCTGGGTGGAAGAGTCTCGCGATCACTTCTGAGTAGAGGGTATTCGCATACATTTGGCTACACATGGTGTATATCTCAAATCTGAGCTTGGTGATAGAAATGCTCGACATTTCACGCATTTCAGCTCTGGATACGATCTAATACTGGGTTTGGGGGGAGTTCTCCCTGTTTGGGAAGTGATCTTGGGTCCCTCGGTCATGGAAGCTGGGTCATCCGATGGGATGCATCGGATTTGCAGGCTCAACTGCGTGTTGGGCTATTGCTGAGTGACTTGTATGCCACGCTCAACTGGGATAGATGGAGTATTGCTGTACTATAACTATCTAATGCCAGGGACGGGACATACTCCGTAGATGATGCTAGAGGCCTGACCCCCTGTCCACCTTGTTTTGATGCCAGCTGAGTGTTACTATCTTGGATTTATCCCTGGAAATTTTGGCGTGAAAAAAAAAAAAAAAAAAAACAATGGCATGGGTGAGGATTTGTGTGGCAGACAGTCAGTATCCCAAATGGGGGAGTAAATGGAAACATGGAAACCAAAAAAAAAGAAGAATAAAAAGAAGAATTGCGGTTGTCCAGCCAGACAGCCAATTTCCCTGTAACGGGTAGGTGTTATCCGGCGACGCCATCCCAGGGTGGAAATATCTCTGCAGAATTGCTTCCCTCAAGAATCACTTCCATTGCTTAGCGCCTTGTAGCATCGTGGATTACTCGCACGAGTACAGCGACGACCCCAGGATTCGTACCGGGCACCTTTCCCGCTGGCAATTGCCGCAGCAAGGTTACTGACTTAGCGGCGGGTCTTCCACTAGGTTATCCATGACAGATTAAGGATTAATCCGGAATTTTAAAATATGACCGAAGCAACTACTAGACAATTTGAACAATTTACAACACCCAGTCCCAATTATGATGATCAGTTATCGTCGAAGTATTTAAGGATTTGCTTCAGGGTGGCTTGCCATTTTCTGGACTGGAAGCCTCTCTGTCCACTAGAAGCCACTCACCTGACTCTCGATTATCCTTCTATGAGAACAAATCAACGCTTCCAGGTACATCGTTGCACTACCCTATGAGCAAGGCATATATATGGATAACAATAGCCTCCTATCCCGCACACCACTTCACGACAATGCCTGATCACCCAGACAGGAAATTACACCCCACTTCACACGCTCTTCCCACCATATGAAAAACCCCTACCCGTGCCCACACCATTTCCAGAATGTCCAAAATTCCGCATAGCAGTAACCCGAGCAGCAATCGATATCATCGTAGCAATAACGATGAAAGCCAACGCACCTGTTCTTCTGCCGCGTGGTACACCAACCATGAACACAAGTATGGCCTCGGAAACAGTCGCCATCACCTCGGCAGCCCATAGCGCACCGCTGAGTCCCATCCTTGCAAATGTAACCCGAGTCACAATCACCGTCGGCCTTGCATTTAGGCGCATTGATCACGTCGATAGGGTTGTTATCGCCAAAGCCAGCAGCTGCGAGGTGGTGCAATGAGCCCGATGAAAGTCCGATACCGAGGCTCCCCAGGGGTAGCAATAGGATTATGACGGCCACGAGAAGAAGATTCAGGATCGAAGCCATGAGGGGAAATCAATGCGTGAACATGAACCAGCGGCCGCTATGGCACGAATCAGTGACCCTTATCCCGTACAAGACCAATGGAGACAAACTAGTTTCGAATTATACTAGGGAAGAATTGACCTGTTCACGCCCAAAGGTAGGCTACAAGGAGGCCAAAGAATCCAGCACTTGCTCTGCTGATTGAGTGCACTGGACATATCGATGGAGAGCCAACGCAGCACAGAAGGTGGCATGCATAGCGCTGCTCTTTAAGTAGAGGAGAGAGCGCCTGCCAATCCCAGGAAGTTCCAAGACTCGCTCACAGCGGTTTCCCAAAAGGCCCACCCCGAACGGCCAGATAATGACGGGGAAGTTCCCTTACCGGGCCCCTAGAATCTATTTCAGCAAACTGCAAGAAATCGCCTGTTGTTAATGAGAAAGAGTGAAGCTCAAGCAACTACCACCTGCTCCTCGGTTCCCTCAGAAACATTGCCAGCACCATGGCCCCGAGCGTGTTCCTGATCCATACCCGCCTCCATCCATGTGCTCCAACACCCCCCTGCAATGGTCATATCCCTTCCCCAAACATAGCCACAATGCCCCATCAGATGCGGCCTTCCCAAACCCTCTCCTTCCACGGTATGAGACTGGTCTGGACACGAAGGGCGGGAGACCTGAGATCTCAGTGGTACATCGGGCCAGTTCCCTCAACACAACCGTTCACCATGGGAATTAGGCTACCAAACACGAACCTTCACGCCTTCAATAGTGTCTGTCCTAGAAGGACAATGCCCTAGCATCGAACCAAGCAAATTATCCCGCGAATATAGGAACACACATCAAAGACATATGATGATATGATAGACACACATCACGTGACCCAAATACATTAAGTTCGATGCACAAAAATGCATAAATTTGGTACATGTACTCAGTAACTACTGCATAGACAACTCAACTCCGACAGATGCAACAGTGACCTTTGCACGCATTGTCATCATGATGATTAGATAAATATCTGGTCTCTGCGATCAGATTTCTCTACATTGCAACACCGACGAGCGCACCGAACAGGCACGGGTTTCTTCTACAGTGCCCTTACAGCACACTTATTTCACTTCCCCACCTGCGTTTCCCTTCATAGTTCATCGAATCATTCGATTCCTGGTTCCTGCTGAATTGCCGAGTTTTAACCTCCCACAAGTGGGGACTAATCAAGACATATGCAAATGCAGACTGCAAAGTGCAAAGACATGCCCCCCAACAAGACATATCTAGAGAGAGATCATTTAAAGACAGGACCCGAGCCATTGAAACTCGGTTCCAATCGAAAACAAGAAACAAAGGGATATCTGAGGGATGTTGTTGACCTGACGTATACGGCTGAGTTAGCAGCAAATAACCGGCCAAATTAAGTACGGCTAGTAAAGGGCCGCAGTGGCATCGAGCCTTTTTCTGGTTAATGAGACCGGACACTAAGATCGTCGTCCAGACGAAGGAAGTTAGGTAACTATCTAAATGGAGGCCTTTCAGAAGTTGTACACTTGTAGTTCCCAGCACACCAATGCCCGCCGATCATGTGAGATTCGGGGGGGGGGGTGTGGTTTGCGCTGTACCTGAGCCACTGTTCCTCGTCCTATTAATCAATCAGCCCTCCCCGAGTGCAATATTTTTTCTCTTCTCTCTCTTTTCCTCATATCCGGTTCTTTCATAGACTACGCTTATTTACAACCTCATCTCCCCATTGCTTCTTCGGGCATATCCACACGACTAAAGATGGTTCCATTCCGTAATTTTTTATCCAGAAGGTCCGCTGCGCCTAATGGTGGGGAGATCGAGACAACCTTCGAAGACACTCGACCATCCACTGAGAACTTTGGCTCCAATCCACTGAGTATCGGAAAAAGTTGCGAAAAGGAGCCATTGGAGTATAAATTGAGCGGTATGCTTCATGATCATTAAATCAAACGCGAGCATCCATGAAATCCGGGGTCGCTGATTCGTTTCCGTACAGTTGTCGACGATAACGGCGCCTATCTACCGGTATAGATATCCCTAGTCTCTGCCTTTGAAGTACGCGGACCCCAGCTAAGGATTGACATCGGTAGCCTTCTCCGCCTGAGAAACAAAGCTTTTGGAAGAAATACCCCGGCTCGAACCGGTCTTCAAACCATCGGAGCCTCGTTGATGAGAATGAACCGTTCTCGATATCCCGCGAATCATTCGATTCGTACCGTCGATCATTTGTAAGTTGATGGCATTTCCTTTCTCCCACCTGGAGAATATCTTCGCTGACCTGGATGGGATTGCTCTAGGACATTTCCGCTCGCTCGCCAGTGAGCTACACTGACACGATGCCCTCTCGCACGTCACTCGACTCACGTTTTTCGCACATGACCTCACCATCTTCACACACGAACGGTTTCTCGCGGCCGGAAGCCATGGAAGAAGAGGCGTTTGAGGACGTGGGGCTCGACGATGAAGAGGCCAAGCCCAAGAAGAAAAGCATATTTTCTCGGTTCAGCGAATTATCGAGCGAGAGCCAGCCGTCTGGAAATACAAAACCCTCCTCGCAGCCTCTCGGGTTTCACATCCCAGGGAGAAAGAAGGGACCTACCAGCGTAGGGTCAGAATTGGGAACGATCAAGTCCACAGAGGCCGAGGGTGCTTGAGGCATCACGCTAAGCATGATTCGAAATTCCCGTTGGTATACCGACTGGGAATTCTAATAACTTCAGGGCGTTGGGTGGATTGAATAACGGTGTTTTAATAATATGTGTATTCACGACTTCATTGTACCTATTTCGTGCCTTGTGCTGTTCTCACTGGGAGACACCTATAGCACATCCTCAAACTTAATGCTTTGCATTTTGAGTTGTATATGACAAGAAAACCAACAAAAACATCATTCCCTTCTTCACCAACACTCTTTCCACCCCACGAGCATTATTACTATCAGGCCGATACTTGATAATCGCTATCCTTCTTATCGGCGGAAAGCTAAACAATGCAAACACCACCCGACCGCCCTCCAAACGCCAAAAAAAAAAGTAAAACGACTTTTCTCCGGCAGAAACAGTCAAATCAATAGAAATTTTACCCAGCCAGCAGCATACCAAGTCCACTGTTTCCAGACCCCCAGACTTCATCCGAACCATAAACACCAGTCGCGAGAAAAAGTTCGTCGATATGGTCGGCGTAAAACGTCCGGTCGATGCCGGGGACGAGCGCAATGGGAAACGGACCAAGACCAAGACGGCGCCCGTGACGACGAAGAAGGCCAAGTCCGCGCCGGCGAAGAAATCTGCGCCCGAGAAGAGCTCGAAGAAAGATGCGAAGGTCGGAAAGAAGGATAAGAAGTCGTCGAAGAAGAAGGTAGAGAAGGAGGAGTCGGAGGACGAGGACGACGACTTCGACATTGACGATGTTTCGGATTCGGAGATTGGCGACGACGACGACGAAGATGAGGACATTGAGATGGGTGGCGCGAGTGACCAGGAGGAGGAATATGGCGAGGAGGAGGGAGTAGAGCAGACGTCCAAGGCTGCGGCTGTGTCCGCGAAGCCTGAGCCTGTGAAGAGTACGGTGACCCTCCTTTCCTTTCCCTTTAGAATTTTGCTGGTATGCTGACACAAACGGCATTTTACAGATAGCAATGCCTCCCGTGAAGCACATGCGAAGCAAAAGGTCCTTCTACAAGAGCGGAGAGCCGCAAAGCCTAATGCCGACATCATTGCCCGTTCGAAGCAGCTGTGGGAGCGTCTGCGGCGCAAGTCCCACGTCCCCCTCGAAGAACGCAAGAAACTCATTGCCGAGCTGTTTGAGATCATTACGGGGCGTGTGAAGGATTTCGTCTTCAAGCACGATTCTGTCCGCGTTGTCCAGACTGCTTTGAAATATGCGAACCTCGAGCAGCGGAAGCAGATTGCGCAAGAACTCAAGGGTTCCTACAAAGAGCTGGCGCAAAGCCGATATGCCAAGTTCTTGATTGGCAAGTTGATCGTGCATGGTGATGCTGAGGTGCGGGACCTGATCATCCCGGAGTTCTACGGACATGTCAAGCGGCTCATTCGGCACCCCGAAGGATCGTGGATTCTGGATGATGTCTATCGGATGGTCGCGACCAAGGAGCAAAAGGCAACGCTTCTTCGGGAATGGTATGGCCCGGAGTTTGCGATCTTCAAGGAGGAGAAGGGCCCCGCTGAGCTCTCGGAGATCCTCGAGAAGAACCCGGAAAAGAGAACACCTATCATGCACTTCCTGCATGAGATGATTAACCAGCTGGTGCAGAAGCAGTCGACAGGATTTACGATGCTGCACGATGCTATGCTCCAGTACTTCCTCAACACGAAACCCGGTAGCTCGGAGGCTACGGAGTTCCTCGAGTTGCTTAAGGGCGACGAGGAAGGAGATCTTCTCAAGAATCTGGCGTTCACCAAGTCTGGTTCGAGAGTCATGTGCCTGGCGCTGGCTTACGCCAATGCCAAAGACCGGAAGCTGCTTACCAGATCCTACCGGGACACCGTCAAGATGATGGCTGGTGACCTCCACGGCCACATGGTCCTCCTGAGCGCCTACGAAGTCATCGATGACACCAAACTCACAGCGAAGATGATCTTTCCCGAGCTTCTCAACCAGAGCCTCGGCGAAGAGGCGCGCAACGAAGAGTTACTCTACCAGATCAACGACCTCACCGCACGGATACCCATTCTCTTCCCCTTTGCTGGAGACCGCGTCAAATGGCTCCTCCCAGACGTCGACCAAGAAGTGTTAAAGGAGATCCGCGAGGTACGGAAGGAGACCTCGAAGAAGGAGCCCGCGGTTCGACGCCAGGAGCTGGTCAAGGCCGCCTCCCCCACCCTGCTGAGCTTGATCGCCGCGCGCGCCGAAACCCTCCTGGAGACCAGCTTCGGATGCCAGTTCCTCGCGGAGGTCCTGTTCGACGCGGACGGTGACAAGACCGCGGCGCTCTCCGCGGTCGCCGAGGCCGCCAAGGCCAAGTCCGACATGCAGGATTCGCCTTTCTTCGGCCGCCTTCTCAAGTCCCTGGTCCAGGGCGGCCGGTTCAACGCGGCCGAGAAGGTAGTGGAGAAGGTGCAGCCGGCTTTGAACTTCCACGCGCTGCTGTACGATCAGATCAAGGACGAGATCATGTCATGGGCTACGGGACCCAACACCTTCGTGGTGGTTGCACTGGCCGAGTCGGACGACTTCGCGAAGAAGGATGAGCTGCTCAAGACCCTGAAGAAGGGCAAGAAGGCGCTGGAGAAAGCGGCTGCAGAGGCCAGCAAGGACGGGAAGAAGAAGGCCGGACCAACCAGCAGTGGCGCGAAGTTGCTCCTGGAGAAGATTCGATGAGTTTGTGATATTCGCAAGCGGAATGTTCTTTTTTTTATTTTTATTTTTTATTTATTTTTTTAAAAGCATAGTCTTGTAACCTTTGGGTCAATCGCACATGGGGTCTGGTCACTTGCTGTGTATTGTGTCTCTGTCTCTCTCTCTGGGATCTTGTATAGGATCTATATATATATCACCTACAAATACAATTGAGAATAACTACAGAGTAACTATTCTATGCCTTATTGAGTAGGCCACGGCTATCTACTCCCAACACGGTTAGAGCTTTGAAAGGGAAAAAAAAAGGTGGTTCTGCACGCCTGAATAATAATAAAAATAATAATAATAATAAATCTCATTATTGATTGCTGATGCTATTAAGACTTGCATGCATACATAGTAGGATGCATCTCAGTGTAGCTTCACTTCATGACTTCTTTTTAGAACATCAGCAGTTAAGCACTTCATAAGAACTTCCAACTTGCATTACTACCCAGACTCGCCAAGAAACCACAATTTCAATTCAATTATTCAAAGCGAACTTATCTGATACATTATTCCAGATATTAGCACGGATCCCTACCAGATTTGGTCTGGCTGCGAAAATGAACGGGCTTTCACTAACTAGACTATTTCCTAAAAGACAATTTAGTGGCTGTTGGACTGTTCATCTTGAGGGAAAACAATAGACAGCCATGCCGTGTCTCCCAATCGTTCTCTCGAGCTCTCCTTGAGCCTTGTTGTCTTTTTTTTTTTCTTTCTTTTCTGTTTTTGATCGTTTCTAGCATGAATCCCTAATCTTAATCTTTAATTTTTATCCCCAATATCGTGTCTCAGTTGTCTCGGTGTTCATTTTTGCGATTGCATGGTACAGGACTGAAATCCTACACAGGTCGGCCTGTTTCTTCATTGCATCCCCTTTATTGGATTTCACTTGCAGATTTTGGTTTCGAGTTAAAACACCCTGTGTCTGTCAGTCGCAGATGGCCGTCTGTTAAGGACATCGGTCGTCATCAGTGCACTCTCATCGCCGTCCACCATCGGGGATCAATCCCAAACACCAAATTCCAATCAATGCTGGACAGTACAGCCTCGGGGCGCAATGCCCGGCAACACCCACAGCCAGCGCCGATAATCCCGCCGTCGCCGACGTTGTCGAACCCAGACATGATCTTGCCGTTCGACGAAGGCGAGCGCGAGTCGTCCACCCCCTCTCCGCCGTTCAACCTCCCGTCCCTGTCCCATCTGCAAGGATTCTACGAGAGGAAACCACTCCCAAGTCTTCCCGGCGCCAACAACCCCGCCCCTGGACAACTGCTTCCTCCCTCCAACTGGTCGCAGAAGAAGAACTTCGCGCGACACGCGTGGGCGTCTGATACCCGCGACGTGAGCCGCCGCCTCTCCGACATCGGCGAGGAAGATGCGTCGTCGTCGTCACCGCCGCGAAAAGGGGGCTATTCGGGGAGCCTGACTGTCACGTCGCGGGGACCGGGGCCCAAATTGGCGAGTTCGCCGGTCCTGTACGGACGTGGGGAGAAGGAAGCGCGAGAGAATGGGGCGTGGAGTAGTTCGTCTGGGTCGACGATCAGTGGTGCGAGCGAGTCTTCGTTGCGGGAGGAGGCGTCGAATCGAGCGGATCCGGCAAAGGATGAAATAGTGCAACTAGGTGTAGAGTCGGCGGTGGAGCAGAAGGGGCCCGACGATGCGTTGTCGTCGGCTATCTTGAGCAGTGAGGCGGAGCGGATTCTGGAGAATGCGAAGAAAAAGCTCACGGTGAGTCATTTGGAGCGCTGGGGGTTCGTCTTGCAAGACTAACTTTTGGCGCAGCTCATGGAAGGAAACCTCAGTCGGGCCCGTACGACCATGCGATCATCTCCGTCGCTGTCGTCAACGCCGTCACCGGTGCTAGCCTCACACCCAATGGGACTCGGACAGCCCGTGGGTGGTCTGTATCAGTCAATCTCACGCGCGGACCGTAGGGCATCGGCTCTGCGTCCTCGAACAACGTACACCTCGTCGCAAGATGCGATCAACAACCGACATTCGAGGGTGTACAGTGAAACCAATCTTCCGTCTTCAGCGCCGTCCGACCCTTCGTCTGACCAGAAAACGATGTCACGATCGCTGAGCGCCATGGGCTCCAGTACTTCCTCCAACCTTCACAACGACGATCGCTCGTTCCGTTATGAGCCAACTAGAGCCTATCTTACGCATCGTGCCTCTGTATCGTCGATGCAACCGCCGGCCTCGCTCCAGGCTCGTAGACCCAACGTGACGTCCGAGGAGAATACCGCCGAGACGACCCAGGGACTAGGCATCACAAGCGACGATGCGAATGCCAACAAAATCTCCAGCATGGAGGAATTCAACTCCGCCTACCCCTCCCAAGATCCCCCGTCTCGTGCACAGTCCCAGCTTCAGGTGCGCGATCTCCAGGATCAGATGAAAGGTCTCCACATCAAGATCTCGAGCTTGAAAGTGAAAGCCCAGGAGGACAACCTCCGTCGGCGGAGCCTGCAGAGTCTCCGGACCCCTAGTCCCTTCACCGAAGGCGACCAATGGTACCCAAGTGCGCTGGAACTCAAGAACAGCAACGGCAGTCTTAAGTCGGATGCGGAACGGGGACGAATGGCAGAAAATCCGCCAAGGACTCAGCATCATGGCCCTGAAACCAGTACGAATGGCCCTGCACCGGGTCGGAGGGACTATGGAGGGAGGGATTCCGCAGCCTCGTTTTCGCGGCGGCCCAGCGCTGCTCCCCATGCTGTCGAACCCACGGACCAGGACGACCGGCAATCTGTTATTGAGAGTTTGTATGAAGATGCCGAGGAGGGAGACTACGATACGGACGGTTCCTCGAGCTCAGACATTGATCGCGAGGCTCTGGAAGAGATCCTCCGCGAGCCCTTTGACGACGACGATCTGGAAGATTCTCTAGAGGCGTTTCCGGCGGTGCCTCATCATACGGAGATGACGCCTCACGAGGAGCGCGAGGACGCATTCGACTACGAGCATTTTATCCTGCATAGCGCCCTGGGGAACTTCTCGCAGTCCAAACTGCGTCGCACGAGTAACGTATCAACGTCTTCGGTGGAGACCACGCGACCGGCTCACGGAGGCCCTGGTGCTCGACATCTACGGTCCGACAGCACGGCCTCGCTCTCCACCATCGCGACATTTGCTACAGCTTCAGAGGGAGATGATCTCGAAAGCGTCCTTTACTGGGACCGGAAGTTCAACGATGGTGAGTAGGATCCTACATGAGATAGACCGAGTAACCCGTCTCTAACATCCAACAGAACTGCGCAGCCGCCAAAACTTCAGGGACCCTGAGCCCAGCCGCCATGATTCGGAAGTAATGGGGACGCCTCGTGCATCGCGCAGCCAATTCAGCCGCAGCGATCACCGGAACGGCAACTCGAATACTTCCTCGAGAACAATTTCCCCCGTTCGGCGATCCGACTCGGCCACGACGGGGACCGTCACGCCCAGCTCTCTGGTGTCTTCCCTCGTGTCGACGGTGCGAGCCGCCTCGTCGAGTCCGTATCCCAATCCCAACGCCCCGGAGACCAACATACCGGGATTCAACAACGACGACACGCGTCTGCTAGAGCAGCTGTTTCGGAGCTTGGGCCAGGTCTGTCTGGATCTACAGACCCTTACTGCTTCGACAGAGCCTGATCCCAAGACGCTGCGGGTTCTTCGACGGCGGCTGGATGCAGCTCGGAGGGTTCTGGACGGGGAGCTTGATGCCTGATGCTTGGTGCTTGCCGGAAGGAGCGGAGACGTGATGATTTGGGGGGGGGGTGGTCAAAGAGGAGGGTTATATGAGGGTGGTTTTTTCTGTTTGTACGACAGTTTGCACGGATGTGCACTGGTTCGAGGCTTGATATCCATGATACCCTGATTCTGCGTCTTTGAAGCATGCGTGTATTGTACAGCCCAATTTTTTATTTTCTGCGGAAATTTCGCATTTTCTATATCGCCTCCATATTGGACTTCCGATTTGACATTCTTCCAGAAGCTGGGTGTATTGGCGAGTCCCATTACCACCGCTCCCACAACAATCAGTTGTTTCCCAGAGGTTCCACAAACCCTCTCTACTCTACGTAGTATATTGAGGATATTGAGCAGTGCTCAGGCAGATCAAACAGTAGACAAAGCGGAGCACATATTCTTCTGCCTAGGTAGGTATCCCTTCCATCAAATAGGGCTACCAGAAGTAGTATATCGATATCTGCTAAACTTCCCCTACTCGACACATCTCCTACTGAAACATAGTCTACCGTGCCCATTGAATCCACCTCCTAAGTTGATAAGACTCCTCTTCGACGTGTCCACTGCTCGGCACCCTGACCATCCACTCACTGGATCGGAGAACAGGTAGGCGACGCTGAAGATCGGATATTGGGTGGCTGCGATGCGGCTTCCTTCCCGAGCCCAACAGCCATGCTTGGTTCTGTGTTTCTAGGAAAGCTCGTCCTGAACTGAATATCTACTATATCATGTCTCAAAGATTGCTCTCGGACAAGTAGGTTTCACTTAGATAGGGGCGCATATGGTATACTTGTGGACGTGGTGGTTGTGTAGATATCGCAACCCCCGCAAAACACGTGGATCCGACGCGCCTGACGCGTTTGACCCCGCCAATTTTGTTTTCTGCGACAAACTACTCCGTAAAGAATACCGATATGGAATTGCTTGGTTCATGAAAGCCTTTGTGACTGACTGATCCTGTCGAATCGGATTTTGGTTCTTATCGATAGCATCTCGGACAAGAGCATTGCATTGCATTGCTTATTCTACACAATTGATCATACCTGGGTTGATTCTAAACCCCCCGCCTGGTCAATCAAGCACATCGAACCATCCACACCTAACTATTTACATATCACCATCCAAGCATCATCATCATCGTCATCGTCATCATCAACACGCATGCACTGATCCATTGCACAATTCTACACATGCGCACATAGCCGCATCTTATAACCAACCAACCCATCCCACCAACCACCACCACCACTCAGCACACCATGGAGCTCGACCACAGCTTCGCCCTCGCCAATTCCACCAACAGCATCTCCCCCAAGGAAAGACCCATCTCCAACAAGGACATGTACCACTCACGACCATCGCGCCGCCTACTCATCTTCCAGGAAGCCCGCAACGTCAACGAGGTCGCCTACCTACCCGTCAACAAACTCGGTCTGCCCATCTGCGGCCCGGGACCCGAGCTCCCCTCCATCCTGGAACTACCGCTGCGGATCCTGAGGGCCTTTACGGAGATATTCAACCAGCCCAAGTATAAAGGGTGGTGAGTGTTTCCCTTTTCTCCTCGCCCCCTTCCTCCTTTTTTTTTTTTCTCTAGGATTGCAACTTGCGGTAGAGTGATGCTGATGGCGTAGGGCGGTTGTGGCTGCGGGGCCGTACCATGATACCTCTGAAGAAGGGAAGTTTTATGCCGTGGTGCTGGAGCAGATGAAGGAGGATGGTGTTTTGATGAGGTAGTAGAGAGGTGAAAAAGGGATCTGTGGGCTGTATGTTATGATGATGATGATGTGATGATTCTCTCTTGTTTTTTTTTTTTTTTTTTTTTTCTCTATGGGTTTTGTGTGTACAGCTTGAGGGTTTAATAGATGGGTTTTTCATTCACGGGATATTGGGACTGTTCATATTACTCTATTGCTGTTAACCCCCCCCCAAGGAGATGATGATACTAGAGACAAAGGGAAAGAGCTTGGATATCCAGTGCTTCTATCTTTCCTCCATGGATCTCCCTACTTTCTACTTTACCCATCTCTCACTTCACTCGCCTGTCACCAGGCAGTTCAATCATACTCTGTGACTGAGTCTCCCTGCCAAAAAGTCTCTATCCCCTCTTCTCTATTCTATTCTCTTGGTTGGGCCAGCCAGGTTAGATACTCCCCCAGCGAAACTGGATTGCCACACACAAACACCATCACCAGTGAGAAAAGAAAACGCCAACTAAAATCCTCTGCCAGGAGGGAGGATCCCTCCCCCTCACTTTGTGCACAGCATAGATTATACGGCCATGCCTCTCTCATTCAATCAGCAAGACTGGCTCCAGCTGGCAAGGGGCCTTATGATGAACAAGTCCATCTTGCATGAAATGGTCCCTCTCGCTCGGCCTCGCTCGCTCGTTTGGTTTCTTCCTTCTCTTCGAAAAGAACATCTCGATAAGATGAGAGACGAGACATTTCACCTGCGTACTCTGTACCTCGGGACGGTAATCTGTAGTCAAATTAAAGCAGTGCATTCATCTATCTATATTCTTATAGTGCATAAAGCTCATAGAAACAAAAAGTGAAGCGCAATATATCTTCTCATCCTCGATGGTCTAACGGTTATGATTTCCGCTTGTCACTCCAACGAGAACGAGCGCGGGAGACCAGGGTTCGACTCCCTGTCGGGGAGATTTCTTTTTACTTTTTTTCTCTTTTTGTTCCGGGGGGCCTTTTTGCTCCAACCACTTTGGAATAAAGATCACGCTGTATGTACTCCGTAGGACGTACTGTGGCCACTTCTACAATCTCAAACAAGTGGTATTGTGACCTGATGACCTGATGACCTGACATACAGGCGCCGGCCGATAAAATTCATTAAGTATACATCCTTCCTTTGTTAAGCTACATATTGCAAGCGGTACAACCACAAAGGGCAAGCTTCGAAAGTCCCAGATGAGTCGCCACTTGCTACGTTTTACTGTGTAGTCAAGTATCCTTTCCGTTGAAAGCTTTCGCACAAGTACAGGAACCGATCGCCAACCCGCTTGATTCTTATTCTCATAATCACGTCAATTCTGGTAGTCTCCACGCCCTGGCCGATGAATCATCATGTGTAGACGTTGGTAGGCGGGAGCAGTTTGGCACCATAGCGGAGATCAAGGGAGCGGGAGTCATTGGGATCGAACATTGCGGCTTGACGTTGTTCGAGGTAGAGAGCTGTACCTAAGTCAGAAAATCTGATATTGCCTGCCCAAGGAATCGCACTTACGGGTAATCTTGATCATGTCAAACCAGCGCGCTGCGTTCTCGTCGCTACCGTCCATTGCAGTCAAGATGCCATCCGGACCAGGAGCAGCCTTGGGAGGTAAACTGCGCATCTTCAGCAGCATGTGCAAAATGTCTGAGAAGCGATCGCCCTGGCTGGCATAGTATGGAGGACGCTTGTCCAAAGGCCACTGAAGGATGTCAGATGCAATGACTCCACAGGCTTCCAAACGGGACAACTTACACGCTGGGCGAAATTCTCATCATCCCATGACCGAAACAACCAGCAGGTCCTCTCAACGCAGTTCAGCAATAGAAGAGCCACCAAAAACGTTTCGAACCAGCCACTCTGCTGACGCTGGAGCAGTCTGCGCTCCAAATCATTCATCACGGATTTGCTTAACTGGGACGCCCGCTTTTCGGTGGCGGCACGGAGCTGGCTGCAAAGAAGGCCATAAGACTCAGCATTGGTGACTTCATCGATTGGCATGCGACCGTCATCAGAAGGCTGAGCAAGAGAATGCATCGAGGTGGGAGGAAGGGTAGGGTTGCTGTAAGTTTTCCAGCGGAGCTCGGAATCGACCAGAATGTGAGTCGCAACCCACAACTCCAGTACCCTCTCCAGCAAGGTGTCCTAGACGATGTTAGCTTTCGGAGTGTATCTGATCTTGAGACAGTAACTAACCTTTTTCTGCTGACTTAACTCCGCTGCCAGCAACAATGTGGGCTTGATGATGTCGGAGGTTTCCCTCTCGTAGAAATAAGGCGCAGTCTTTTTGATGTACATTTCAATCTTCCCAGGCAGATCATCTGCATCACTATCAAGCAGATAGAGTTCGTGAAGAGGTCCCTGGAATTGCGTGTCATCGCCAAGAGCTTGAAGTTGAGGGTCCAGCGTCGACATTGATGCCTTGTGGCCCTGGAGCCCACTAAATGTAATGTAGACCATGCTCTCTTCGAAATGGGTAACCTCGATGCGGCCAGCATAGTGTTCGAATTTGACTTGGTTCTTGACGCTGCTTACGTCGTGATAAGCGAGGGTGGCATGTAGATCTGAGCGAGTCAGTTTGAATCTGGCGGGAGAAGTCCGACAGACATAGCAGGGCATCCTTACTTGCGTTGTAGAGTTCAAACTCCTCGGCAATACGAGTGCGAATGCACGGGTGTTTCCAGAGACGCGCACTCTCGACACTGGCACAGGTCGTGCAAGGGCTGTCACCAGAGCACTTAGTGATATGTCAGCTTGGTAGATCCCAACCAGATGTAACGAGAAAAAACACAACTTACTGGCTTCTTGAGCATGCGACAACGGATACAAGCACCTCGTTTTCGTACTTCCTGAACTTCCCTGCGTCTCGCAGCAGAAAATCTGCCACGTACTTTCGGTTTGGTTGGCTTAGTCGCGTTTCCGAATTCATTAACAAAACCCTTTGCCTGCGAGTTGGGATTCATGGCGATTGGACGAGGAAAGGCGGCTGCACGCTGCGTCGCAGCGGTGAGCGTCGGGTCATGCTCTTGAAGGCTGTCGAACAAAAGCTGTTCATGACTGGAAAGCTGCTGGTTCCAAGGGGATGCACTGAGTTTTGACAGGCTGTCGGACATAAGACCAGTAGGATCGTGATCCATAGGGAGACCGTGGGGGACCATCTCACTAGCCGAGGCGGCGATCATGGACAGCTGCGATTGACGCGCATTGGAGGTCGGGTCGGGAGTCAGTGAAGGCTCCAGCGGAGGAGACACAGAGGAAGGGTGATCGAGGGAATTGCTCGGAAGAGCAGGAATGACCGCCGCTGCTGCAGGCTGAGGTGTTCCTAACGATGATTTCTATTAGCGATTTTGCTGCGAAAAAAGCGAAGCCGACAACCAACAAAGAGACGAAGAAGCCACCAACGATACATAGGAGAAGAGGAATGAAAATGAAAATTATCTTACCAGGAGGTTTGATATCTTCCTCCATATGTTCCGGCTGAGTAGGATGGCCCTGAAAGCCCTCGGCTTCGAGCGCCGGATCGACAACCACCGTCTTTCCCCCAACGGTGACGGACTGAGGAAATGCAGGGCCTCGTTTGGTCTGGTCGGAAGCGCCAACCTGCCTCGAGGCCTCCGCCAGCACATTGAGACCATCAAAATTCTGCCGAGTCGCGTAGGAAACATCTGAGCCTTTGCCTTTGTTTTGTCCCGCGAGACTGGGGTCCTTGTTCTGGTCGCCGTCGGCAAGGTCGGGGAGTTCGTGGAGGCGCAACAGGACGCGTTGTCGGTCACGTAGCGGGATCGCTTGACACTTCTTCACCAGGTGGTTGGTCAAGCTGTCGATGCGACCCTTGGGGAATTTTTCGCCGCATGCTTTGCAGGTGTGCTGGTAGCGATTACTGGCATCCTCGAGTTTCTGGCCCCGAATAAAGAACTCGAGGATGAGTTGGTTGGGTTTGCGACCCATGATTGTTGTGGGAGATGTGTGCGGCCGACCGACTGATTGTTCAGCGCGACTCGAGGGAGAGGCGGGAGGATGGGAGCACCAATAGAGTCTGTACAGTTGGTGAACAATAAACAATGATTATCAGTATCTGAAAGGCAAATGCTTCTTTGATTGATGAGCACAAAATCAAGATCACCGCACAGAATCAAAGGATGTTGTGACGCACAAGTGAGACCTCCAGACGAGGGGTGGAATCGATGGCAAAAAAAGATTCTGGCGACTGGAGCAGAACAGGGACACCACCCGTCCAGTAGCAATGATTACCAGCAGCCAGAGGATATCAAAAAGATACTAGCACAAGATTGAGAGATTGTAGATTGATGAGATTGAGGGAGACAAGGTGCAGGAGAGCAGCAAGGAGATGGAGGAGTGGGATGAGCTGCCACAATAATTCACAAGCAGCGGCAAAACGACCGCTGCACGGGCGGTCTGGCGTCTGCCGCCTCCCAACTTCACCAAATGCTACACCCACGCTCACGATGTGCTTCACCGCATAAAAGGCGGTGATAATGTCGGTGATGAGGTCGGTCAGTGAATAATTTATGGGGATTTTTATTTTTTTAATTTCTGATTTATTTTTTTTTGCTTTATTTTTCCGAGTATTGGCGGTAGAGACTACGGTTTCAAATGATGGTTGATTGAGCAACACTTCACTGTGATGATTATCAGTGAATGATGATTACTATAGACCATGAATCCTACTGAGTTGACTCAAAGATCCGACAACTGGAGACAGCTTCGTTGACTCTGCTGCTGTACAACTACTTCAATACCCAAGGGAGACCGCCTCTTGCCTGACATCGGGAGTGCTACATATTAGTTCACAGAACAGCAGCGGACATCGCTTTATTATGACTGTACAGTATGTAGGTGCAGTGTATGCATTCTGATGCGACACTGAGTCGGTCACCGAGAGGCGTAGTAAGAGAAACGAGGCTGGAAACAGAAAAAGCCAAAATCAAATCGTATGCGGAGCTAGTCCTGCATGACATCTCATGCTCATGTCGTTGTCAAATCATCAATCATCAAGCGCCAAAACTGTCAGCCGCAGTAAATCGGGCACGTCAGCATATGCGATGCTCCGGAGGACGCCAGGGAACCCCGAGAATGTCAAAGATTCGCCGCTCATTGCGTCCTTCCAGCAGGCGTCCCTCATTCAGCTTCTTCCGTTGCTCTCCACGCAGCACATCCGCATACAGTCCGCGCTGATTCAACCGCATCCCCTTCTTGCTCGCCAGTAGTCTCATGCTACGATTGAAAATATCATTTCCCGTGAAATAAATCAGCGCAGCCCCGATCTCTGACCCAGGCACGAACAGAAGATCGATACGGCGCCAAATCTTGCTGCCAGGCAGCATGGATGCCCCATGCCATTTGGACCCATCGCTTCGGGAAGTGCTGGCAAGACTGACCTGGAGGAAACCCTCCTGGAAAAGCTGAGGAATCACGACCTCAATCATCATCGTCCGGATTTGCTCAATGGTAGCGTCGGGCTTTGTGATGAGTAAATCGATGTCGCCCGAATCGGACGCCCCTCGTCGATAGGATCCACTGATAATGACCTGCATCCCAGGATTCGTCTTGTGCACCGCCTTTTGGACGATGCTTCCGTGTGCTTCGACTTCTTTTCGCGGGATTCGTTGCGAGAAATCGTAGTAGTGGTCCACGCCAACCCGCTGCGATTTGGTCAATGTCGCTTTGGTCTTCAGGTCTTCCAGCGATCTGTAGCCTTGAGCAACCCACCGAGACGCCTGCGAGATTCCGGCACCGTATACACCCAAAAACTCCTGAAGTGCAAGATCTTCAGCGGTATCGTTTGCATTCTCCAAACGACGTAAGCGGTTAGTGAACACGATTTCCTCAACTTTGTCTGCTAAGCGCGGCCCTATACCGGGAACTGCACGGGCCTGCGCTCGGGTAGCAATCTTCTTTGGTTGTCGCCGGAGAGCCGCGATGGCCTTTCGATAGGCGAGAACACGCCAATGATCAGAAGTCCTGGTATAGTAGTCGAGCATCTGCTGAAGGACCCCAATGGTCCTAGTGTTCGGATTGTCGGATTTGGAGTTCAAGTCATGTTTCTGCATACATGTAAACTTTTGCTGCCAGGCTTCTACCGCTCTGTCTTCCTTCGATGATGCTGCTCCTTTTCGCTTCACTGATTCTGTGTCCGATGCCTCAGAGGCTTCAGTATCGGAGGCCTCCAGAGAAGCTTCCCCATAACTAGACTCCAGGGGATTCAGAGGCTATTGCGCCTGTCAGCGAGCGATTGAAGGTGGCTACATGAGAAACTCACCAGATCTTTCGCAGCTTTAGCCGCGTCAATCATATCATCCAACGCATCTCGCGAGCGACTTATGGATTCCGGCTGAGGTTCGTGTTGGCGTGTTTCACCCAAACGCTCAATGACAGGCTGTCGAGATGCATGGCTCTGAACACATTGATTCAAGTCTTGGGAAGGCGTAGGGGTGATTTTTTGTTGTTTCCCGCTCGGCTTCAACGGCAAAGAATCAACCGAAGGTATCACATTTGCGGGAGCCTCTTCAACATCAGAAGCAAGGGCTCCGCTGACGCGGAATCGCACCAGCGTTGTGCTTAGAACTGATTTGAACTTGATACATTCGGAAGGGTAGCTTTCATCAATAAGAGCGACGTGGGGCTTTAGAAGTCAGAAACTATATGTGGTGATAAATTGTAGATATCAACTGACCGGAAAATTCTGCAGCTTGAGATGTTTGAGTACATCTTGGAACAACAAGCCTTTATCAACAATCACATGAGTGATATGGTCTCCCCAAGTCTTTGCCCAAAGAGCGCCGTATTCCTGCGCTCGTTGGATTCGAAGGCGCCGAAGGGGAGAGACATCATTGTTTGGGAAGAAGACTGATGCCGATAAGTCCAAGGCCTGCCTGGCAATAGCATAGGAGCAGAGTGCTTACAGAAAACAAGGCCCTTGAAGATTTGTTGCTCTTCAGGAATAGGTCTAGGGGGGATTATCCTCTTCGTCTGAATTTTGCCTCGGCTTCTTTCCCGTCCGGCAGACCTCCAGTAATATGAGGTCTCTTGACTACAGGTTTCGGCAGAGAATCATCACCATCACTCGGCATCTTCCTGTGGATAGCTGACTTCATGACGCCGTTGCTGGAAGACTCAGGAGCTGAAGTGGTACGTAGGAGTTGCCGTGGTGGAGAAGACCGGCGGGGTGCGACAAGAGACGTTGTCTTTTTGTCTCTCTTTCGACAGGATGTTATGAGATGAGCAAGTTCGATATCAGCTTCATCTTCCGAGTCGTCCGTCAGATGGTCCAACTGGTCCAACCCCTTGAAGAAGGCTTCTTTGTCCAAAGCTTTCTCCGCCATGTCGTAGGCTGAATAGTGGTAACGTGCTCGGGGACTTGCATAGGCTCTCGAGCCATCGATGCGCGGTGTCTGTCGGCAGCCTGGACAGATGACTATGACTACTGAGTGCTACCTGGTTCAAGATTTGATTGTCGTGATGATGACCAGTAGAGCTATACGCGGCGAAGGCAGCCACGCGTGGTACAACCACGAAAGTGCCACCTGATCACGTGAAGCGAGAATCAATTAATGTACTCCGTACTCTTTGGCGGTGGAAAGCTGCAAGCACGTAGTTCAGTCAGCGGCTCGACCGAACGACTCTTTTGCTAGTTTAACGACTCGACAAGATGTGGAAGTCCTCGGCAATTCTATCAAGCTTTGCAGACGCATCTTTTGCACAGGGCAGCCGCTGCCTCAGCTGCCAGCTTCGCAATGCCGCCGGCATCTCAGCTCTTCGGGTGAAGCCATCAGTGCGCTACTACGCCAGTACCACAAGCAACAAGGCCAGCGACAATGTGAAGCCTAACCCAGCGCCAAAGCCCACTGCAACCGGGAAGGTTCACTTCCAGCAGAATACTCCTCTAGCGTCAGCACCTCAGCCTGGAGATCCAGACTTTGTACCACCGGCCCTCGACCGTCCTATCGGCACAGTGATTCCTCCCCAGGATGGGCAAAACACAGGAGTCGACTCACGATCTCTGCAACAAAGACGAGACGATTTCGTCAATTATGACAAACATCTGGAGAGGCGCAAGGAACTGTATGAATTATGGCCCACTTCCAAGAATCGGAATAGAATGAATATAGCATACTAACGAACTGCCGCCAACAGAACAAGACAAGTCGCGAAACCATACTTCAGAGAATGGTCCAACATGCGGTACCACGAGGGTAAAACCTTCAAATCCAACCCCCGCCTATTCAAACGAGACAAAGCCCTCTATTTCCCCAACATGCACGGCATCACGCTCGCTTCCCCCAAAGAACCACAAGACACCACCTCGATCCTCCGCGGCAAGGTATCCGTCGTCAACGTGTTTTCCAGCGTCTGGGCCGAATCGCAGGTCGCCACCTTTACGGGGCCGAAGCAGAATCCTGGCCTCTACGAGGCGATGAAGACCGGGAGCGAATTCGCGCAGAAGATCGATATCAACGTTGAGGAAAATGCGATGAAGGCGTGGCTCGTGCGGACTTTCATGTGGCGTATGCGGCAGAATCTGCCTCAGGAACAGCACGAGCGGTATTTCTTGGTGCGCAAAGGTCTCACCGATGGGCTGAAGGAATCCGTTGGCATGATGAATAGCAAGGTTGGCTACGTTTATCTGCTGGATGAGAACTGCCGCATTCGATGGGCCGGCAGTGGGCCGGCAGAGGAGGCCGAGCTGGAAGGCCTGAACAATGGTGTTCGCAAACTGATTCAGGAGAGGAAAATTAGCCTGGAATCAGAGCTACCTGCGCAGGAATGGGAGGGGAGAAGCCAAGATGAGACAAGTCTGAAGCCCAGGGTGGTTATGCGGTGAAGCTCTGCAGCTGTAGCAGTCTGTCTCATTTTTGTATGTACATATATAGACCACAGTCTGATGTAAAATAGACAACCCGAACATTGACGCCATGCCTATTGTGATCAAAACTTTGCATGCGCAAGATGAATAACAGATGTAGCCCTCCCCCAAACGCCGTGCGAATGAGCAAGTGCTCGGTAGCAAATTAGCAAGGAAATAGATATAGATGAAATAGTGCCTGGGCACTTTCATCGGAAGAAAAATAGCATCAGGAAGCAGAACCCGACGAACGCTCCCAAGATGATCGCATCTCGTCTCCTCTTGGTTCCGATTTTGCCAATGAGAGCATTCATCCCGGGCACCCTATTCGCAGCACCAACGATGCGTCGATTGATGCTGGCCAATGTCTCACGCTGCAATCCAAAATTCTCGTTGATCGCATATGCCTGGCTCAATACTCCATCGATCATGTTGTGGCTTTCGTCTATCCGACCTCGCTCCTCGAGCATGTAGTCTGCCTCGGCCGCAGCAGGGTTCGAGGCGCGGTAGGCATCGATATCAGAGCGGACGTTGGACAGCAGGTTGGCCCGGTCGCGAGACTCTGCGATGGCGGAGTTCAGGCGCTGAAGTTCCCGACGATGATCGTGGAGGACTTCGCGATGACGGGTGAGGTTGTTCTGTTTCAGAGCAGATGCGGTGAGGGTGGCTTCGGAGTCGAGGAGACGGGAGAGCTGGGAAATGAGGGAATCACGCTGTATCGGAATGATCAGCAAGTGGTTGTTTATCTATAAGATTCCAGCGCGAAGCAGTACCCTTTCAAGGAGGTCTTTCAGCTGCGATTCGACCCGTTGTTCTTCCTCCGAGGGCTTCGGGGGTAGCTTCGCCATCGATGCATACTGCGAGTAGGTGTGGAACAGACTTTCGGTCTGGATTGAGGAGCGCGATTAGCATTTGTCTTTCCTTCCCGTCCGTAGACAGTAACCCATATAATACCTGAGTCTCGAGCGAGCGGGCCTGCTGCCGGAGCTGAGCCCACCCGGTCCCAGTGGAAGTGGCCATAGTAATTAAGGTTAGGATCAGGGACGGAGTAGGAGAGGAATAACGATAGGAAGCGATGATGCTGAGAACAGATATAGGTATATGTACGTTATGTGATTGATGACAGAAAACACAAGTCACGGACGGTCATCCTGGCCACGCAGGCAATCGAATTCAGCCCAGGACAGCAATGCCATCATCCGACGATCCTCCGGCCTTGCGCTGCCCATGCCAGCAAACCTTCCAAGGCTCCGGGGCGGTGAGCACCAGCCACAGCAAGCCACAATCACGTGCCCGCTTAGCCCAGCCGCAGCGTGACCGCACCAACACACAAAAAAACCCTAGTCCCACAACGAACATCCCAAATTGACCCGGTCCATCTTCAATCCTCACTGTCGACAATACCCGTACGACACGACACGAAGCCGCCCACCATGGTATGTGCAATGCGCATTTTTGATGCTCAGATGGAATCTTTTTGATTTGAGCGTTTTGTGTCTCGGTATGCTGACGGATTTTTCTTTCTTAAAAGTCGACATCCAAGGTCAAGGCTGGTCAGCTCTGGGGAAAGAGCAAGGAAGACCTTTCCAAGCAGCTGGAGGAGTTGAAGACCGAGCTTAGCCAGCTCCGTGTCCAGAAGATCACCGGCGGTGCCTCGTCCAAGACCCTGAGAATGTGCGTTTGAATCTCGAAAATCCCTTGTGCCTGTGTGTTTTGTGGATCAATCTGGATACCTACCTCGAATTTGCCAATCTACTCGGACGAAAGAAGAGAATCAAGCGAAACCGGCATGCAACGGAGATTGGAACAAATGCGAAAAGGGAATACAGATTGCGCCAAAATACAAAAACGAACACGGACACAAGAAACCAAATTCAATCCCTTGACAGAATACTAACGTTTCGTCTTTTCCGCTCAACAGCCACGACGTTCGCAAGTCGATCGCTCGCGTTCTCACCGTCATCAACGCCAACCAGCGCTCCCAGCTTCGTCTGTTCTACAAGAACAAGAAGTACCTTCCTCTCGACCTCAGACCCCGCCTCACCCGTGCTCTCCGCCGCAGACTCACCAAGCACGAGGCCACCATCAAGACCGACAAGCAGAGAAAGAAGGAGATCCACTTCCCCCAGCGGAAGTTCGCCGTCAAGGTATGACCGCGTCCAAGGCACCCTTTTCACTTGACCTACACGGAATTATCCCAATTCCGGCTCAGCTCAGTCTGCGACACAAGAACAAAAAAAGATAATTTCACCCAACAATCACTAACGGAGCATTCTTTCGTGCAGGCTTAAGTCAAGTCCGAGTCGTGTCTGGATCTGGAGTTACGGGAAAGTCGTTACGAAAGATAACGAGTTTGGCCTGAACCTTTGCGTGCGGGGGTTGGGTTTCGGCAAAAATCTTTTTAAAAAGATTGATTTTGTATCTTAGAGATATGAGATGCAGGTCAATAATACATGAAGGCTTTACTTGACATAAAACCAATGCAATTCTTTTCTTGTATTTGTTACCTATGTCTGGTTCCAGGACTGTCTATTTCGTCTCACGAGTCGTGAGGGACGAGACCATCAGCATAAAATGGTCGTTGGCTGCGCATCCCCATTCCGGAACTGCTCTAGAATACCGGTCTAGATGCTTCTGCGCTGGCAGAGTCCGACGCGCCTCGCCCTTGAAGGAAGCTGTCTGGAAGGATCGAACCATGCCTCTTTAAAACAATCATTAATTTCTATTCTCTTATCTTAACTTGAATCAACTCGACCCAGCCAGCCCAATAGCCATTAACGCCGGAGTCCGTCCCGTCGCCTGAGAAACTGGTGGATCCGCAGCCGGCGCAGAGACCTCCGGCTCGACGAGCGTCCACATCCCCCCACAAACACAAGACCGTAGAAGCCCCAACTTGGCAATCATGCGGAAAGAGAGCAGCGAGCGCGGCGGGTGCGTGTCGCCAGAGATCTCGCAGCAGCGAACACATCGCCGACGCCGCTGCTGTTGCGGTTGCGGTTGCTGCGGCGGGCCTTGTGCGTTCGTTTTCCCGCTGGGAGCTGCGTCGACTTCTGTGTAGGGCCCAAGGCTCCGCAGTGGGATCTTCTTGATGATATCCACGTCCCGGGTGCGGCGGTACATCTCCGTGCGGCGGTCGTGGGCAAGGCCCAGCCAGCTGTAGTTGCCCATGTAGATGGTGATGCGGTCTATTTCCGACTTGAGGGCCGGGACCGTTTGCCGGAGGATGGTTGCGACTGCTGACACCAGGACGGGGGGCACGCGGGCGTTGACCAGCAATTCTTTCTCGGGGCCCGGGCGTTCAGCATCGCCGAACCCGGCACTGTGGTAGGCGTGCCGGACAGCCGAGTCCACCCCGGCGAGGAACTTTTCGTACGCGTCGATTCGGACCGGGGAGTTTTCTAGGGTTTGGTAGATTTCTGCATAGTAGACACGCGCATCGCCGGTCAGAGGCGCTGCGGTGGCGTAGCCAGCGTGGATCCCGCGCAGTCCGCGGCAGATGAATCGCAAGAATGCACGGGACATGCTAGAAAGGAGGATGATAAGAGGGAGAGAGGTAGTGGATTTTACTGCCGCAGAAGTAAGTTAATGATCTTTCGTTTGGGGAGTAGCTGCAGTACTAACACTTTTGCGTGAAAGCCTCCTGATCTGAAGCCATGCTTTCAAACTCATCTGCGAGATCGAAGAGCTCATTCGAGACGTAGAATGAAAATTCAAGAGCCCATTTTGTGTTTCCCAGCACCATACGGAGGACATCTTGGAAAAGATTCCTGTTAGCAATGATCCATGGCTTCACGTTTTATCGAAATATCTCACCGGGGTCATGCGACTCTGTAGGGGCGCCTTTGTTATACTGGAAGAAGAAAGCATACAGCACAGAGGCATGGCGAAGTTGAAGGATTGCCCAGGGAATGGCGGATGGAGAACTGCGCGGTGTATATTTGTCCTTGAATCCCAAGGCGGCCTGAAGACTTAGACAACGGGGTATATAGATATGGTTCATGAGTTTGTCTTGTTCCATTGTAAAGTTGCAATTAACAGACAAGGCGCGGTACACCTCGTTGATAAAATTAATTTGAGCTTCTGGAATCTGTTAGCAGTGTCTCGAAGAGCCTGAGAAAGGGCGTCTGACCAGATGACAACTGTCGTACCAGGATCAGAATCACATCGTCAATGTTAACATCACTTCCACATCCACGGCAGAATGCTAGAGTCAAGGCAGCAATGGCTGCCGAATATTTGTCTGAAAGGAATCTTTTAGTAACAAGCCTGGCGATATGACAGTCGGGTGAAGTACTTACTTTCATCATGGAGACCGCCTTCGGCTCCATACGTGTGCTCTGTGAGCCTCAACTGAGTCTGTCCTTCTGCGTCAAGCATAACTGCGGCACAAGCGTTTGGCGAGAAAGCCATGTGTAGACCTGTTGCTAAATCATCAGTTTCAAACACCGGAGCTTTGCGGATAGTGTAAATCACCGACCAGAAGCTTCTGGAGGATAATGGAAACCAGCTTGGGCCAGACTTGTTACTGTATTCGTGTCATCCACCCCGTTAAACACGGCCATCGTCTTAGGGTCGTGGAAAACAATGGAGCCATCTTCATAGGTAATGGCGAGCACGTTGCCATACTCGATCTGGTCTATCGAAATGGCGTATCTATCAGAGTATATATCTTCAAGGCGGCGCAGCTCTAATTTTGGCTGGTCAATTGTCAGCATCATGTCAGGCTTTCTCCGATCAATAGAAGTCTCTCACCTTCATCTGGGCGCTGCTCTTTTTTGAGCCTACCTCGTCAAACTTTGGGTGAAGGGTCACGGCTCCAGTGTCTAATTGCCAGCGAACAATGACACTCGCTGGGCTTTGCTGCTGAGGATGATCTGGAGTGGCATGGAGGGGACTCGAATAGACGGCCACAATCCAGGGGGTGGATGTTGAACCTGCTGGGTTATCGAGGGCTGGGAGGATGATGTCTAATCGGGTGAGACCATAGACGGAGTTCGTAAAGGATGGCAAGCCCTGATTATCTCCAGGGTTTCGGTTCGTGCCTATCACATCGCATAGGGATTCGACTTTGCAGTGAAGGAAGCGGAAACTTGGAACAGGCCAAGGTGCTGGGGGTTTCTGTTGGCCGGGGTCATACTGCGTGGGGTTCCAGGCGATTTGCACACGATACAGACAGAGCTTCTGGCATGCAGAGTGGGTGGCGACTAGAACACCACCCTGAGTGGACACCAAAGCGGCGTGCGTCAAAAGTCTATCAGAATAGCCCGTGTTTTTGAGTTCTGTTGAAATCTCCGCCCATCTGCTGTCAGGATTTTGATAGAGGAGCCTGATCGTCCCGGAGCGAGTCACGCAGACAAGACCCGCTTTGTTCACTGGATGGAAAGGGCCAATTGGACGACGTCTAAATGGCGAGTAGGCCCAACGGCCTTGGACTTTGGCCGCTTGATGAAAAGCATGAACCTGTTGCTTCGACAGGTTAGCAAACTGCACTGTACTTCTCACGCGTGCATGAAACGTACCACGCGATTTACATTCAGCCACATCATCCCAACGATCTGTGCACCATCATCGTCGGGATCCGAAGTTGCCTGACGATGTCCAGCAATGCTGTTGAGGGCAATGGAAATGGAGTAGATCGATACCCGACCAGAGGAGTCCGCCACGGCCAGTTCGGCACCAGTTTCGTTCCAGCATAGGTGGACCAGGGGGTGGCCACCGTGAGCCTCCGTGACCGGAAGCAATGGCGTGTCTTCACTCAGTACCCATTTCCCATCTGAGGGACGACATTGAAGATGACGGACATTGACTCTCATCCCGTCTGGTGTGATGTATGCAACACATCCAAGCCTTGACCACGCAATCTTCCTGTAGAGTATTAGTATTTTGTCCCAGGGGTACTTTATCGCAGCCAACCATAAACTTTGTCTCACTTACTGACAGCATCCTACCAGTCTCATCTCATCTAGCCGTTGTGGGAGACCCTTGATAGGGGCATTGCTTGGAGGAGACAAGCCCAGCTCCAGGGAGCCGGGTTCACCAAACAAGTCATCGACGTTGATACCGTCTTCCATGATCAGGGGCATCGTGGACAGAACACTGTCTTAATTGATATTTGTATCAATGATGAGGTACAATTCAACAAGCGCCAGCACCATCATTGCCCCCCTTAGACATGGGGTAATGCCTTGCGAGACCAGAATCCCCCGTTTCAACAGTGGATTGATGGATGACCTGGATTATGCGAGGCACAAGCAAAATTGGGAGGTCTATCAATCAAAGAGAGCCACCTGTTTCATATCAGATTACTATCCACCGTCATCATTCTCTGCACTTTCTTCTTGTTCTCTTTCTTGTTGTATCATCAGCAGCAACAGCAGCAGCAGCATCACAATATGAGAGATTCCCCACGTTCAAGTAATCAAGGTGATTAGTCACCCGTCATGTGAGATTATGTGGATCTATCTCCCGGCCAACGCATCGGCCAATCAGAGACGGGTTTCAGTCTATAGGTATTAACAGGATGGAGGTCTTCATGACGGGAGTGATTCAATGAACCGAGCAAAAAAAAAAAATGGACTGGATATAATATCTATCCTATCTCGGATGTGTATAGATTTAGGGAGCACCTTCCATCATGGTCACCGTTGCCACCTCAGTAGGGGTTGCATGGGGCGAGTGGTGGGAGATAGACGATCTCTGACACTGGGCACTTAGGTTACAGTACCTTGAACCTCGACAAAAAGCAGAGGACAATCCATCAGCGCAGATGTTAGTAGTCATACTAAGGCTCATTGAAGGCAATTTTGTGGATTGACCCCTGCAGAGGGAGGTTTCATGAGGTTGTTCTGCTGTCCAGAGTCTGCATCAAGTTGACGGCCTCAGGCCACCCATCCAGTTGGTAATTTTGACCAATCAGAATGCACAAAACTACAGGTAGAAAAGAATCACGCTAAAACTCTTCAATAATAACAATGAATTATGGTCACTGGAAGCGATGGAGTCTTGAACTGGAGGTGAATGAAGAAGATACCACGGGATCCTTGACACGGTATAGACACCATTCTACCACCAGCTCCCCTGTCGTTGACGTTGTTCTCTTGTCCGTCCCAAGTCAATCACAAGAATCCTCATAGAGCCCTATCTTTCGACGCACTCCATACCCATCTCCTCTTCATACTACGAGAATGATGACGATTACCATTTGATAGTCAGTCATTGCAATAAGGTCGCCAACATTCCTCCCGACATACCACCTGTTGCTCTTCGACAACTCTATGCTTCTGCAGCTCCTCCACCTCTCTTCATCTGTCTCTACTCTCTACTCTCGACCCTCTGCGACCCCTCGTCCAGTCTTCCCCGATCCAATTGATCCTTGTCCTATTCTAGTGCTGCTTCCCGTCGACTACTCGATTCCTTCCCGTGGGTCAGTCAAAATAAACACAACAAGCGAGACAGCGAGAGAGAAAAGAGACTGACACTTCATTGGGAGAACTGACCATCATCCATCAACCACCAGCATTCTTGAATATATTGAACTGAGTCTCCGTCTTCTCCATCCCCTGCTTTTCTCTTCTTTGCTATTTTTTTCCCAATATCCTGAGAATTCCGCTCTTCTCCTCTCAGCCTGGGAATTGATCTCATTTCCTTTCGATTAATTCCCTCTCAACAGAGGAAGAGGCGAAGATTTTTTTTTTTTTCTCTCAATTACGTGTTCCTGATCATCCATGATCACGTCTCAGGGCAGCTACTGCTAGCTTTTGCCTGTGCGAAAAGCTCCTCTTCCACTCTACAGCCGGCTTGGACTGTCTTGATCCTACTCTTTCTCCCCTTTTTGTTCCTCTTTTTTTCGAAAAAAAAAGTGTATTCAAAACGTGATCGGTCATTGTCTCTCTCATGGCGCATTCTTCCCCCCCTGCGACCACCACAACAACCCTCTCCTCCACCTCATCATACACCACCACCTCCCAATTACCTACAATCTCCGACGAGATTTGGAACTCAATAATCATGGAGGATGACTCTTCTGATCTCTCGGAGCTGAGTTCCCCACCGGCTTCTCCTCAACCTCCTCCGAGCTTCATTCCCTCGCCGCCTCCATCCCAAGACGCGGACGAGTCTAGCGCCGCACGCGGCCAAGACGGTCTCCCCCCCACCAGGAAGAAGCGACGTGTAGCCGCCCCCAAGGAGCGCAGAACACATCACCTCGATCTGTCAGGAGAGATCAGCTGTGGTGAACAGCAGTCACAGATCGATATCCTGACTAAGACTCTGCGTCGTCACCGCAAAATCGTTGTCATCGCTGGTGCCGGTATCTCCACGTCTGCAGGCAGTATGTACAAACCCTGAGCCTCATGGTGGATGACTGAGACACGCGCTAATTGGCTGATCCACGATTATAGTTCCTGACTTTCGCTCGACTGATGGTCTCTTCAAAAGCCTTCAGAAAAAACACAATCTCAAAGCGTCGGGCAAGCTGCTGTTCGATGCTGCTGTCTACCAGGATGAGACCCTGACCGCCTCCTTCCAGGACATGGTGCGGTCGCTGTCCGAGGAGGCGGCCAAGACCTCCCCGACCGCGTTCCACCACATGCTGGCCCGTCTAGCCCGGGAGAACCGTCTCACTCGACTCTACACTCAGAACATTGATGGCATCGAGACTTCAATGCCTCCGCTGGCGACGCAGATCCCCTTGAACAATAAGGCTCCTTGGCCGCGCACGATACAATTGCACGGGAGCCTCGACAAGATGGTCTGTCAGAAGTGCCGTCACCTCGGCGACTTTGATCGCGAAATGTTCAACCGACCAGATGCTCCTGAATGCCCCGAATGCTCGAAAAACAACCAGTTTCGTATGGAGACCGGCCAGCGCAGCCACGGAATTGGAAAAATGCGACCGCGGATTGTCCTGTACAATGAGCACAACCCGGACGAGGAAGCCATCGCGTCGGTGATGAATGCGGATGTCCGCTCCCGACCGGACGCATTGGTCGTCGTTGGCACCAGCCTGAAGATCCCTGGCGTGCGCCGCCTGGTGAAGAGCCTGTGTTCGGTGATCCGAACTCGTCGCAACGGTGTCACTATGTGGATCAACAACGAGCCGCCTAGTGGCAAGGAATTCGAAGATTGCTGGGATCTGATGGTCAAGGGTGATTGTGAAGAGGTCGCACGGCTTGCAGGGCTGAAACAGTGGGACGACGACTCGACCGAGGTCTTTGACGAGTGTAATTCTTCCGAGGTCGAGCGGGTGAAGAAGGAACAAGGTGCCGTATCCATTGTCATCCAGACGCCGAAGAAGAAGCAGAAGACGCAGACAGGATTTCTTACGCCTTCCTCTAGCCACGACGAGGATGCAACAGCACTGCGGCATAAGCAACCGTCAATCGGCGTCTGCCCCAACCCTGCCAGCCGAGGACGGTCCCTCAAAGACGTGCTCATCACTGCCAAAACCGACCAACCAAAGAAGGTTGCTTCAAAGAAGAGCGCGTCCAAGAAGCGAGCCACCAAGAAAGCTGAGGCCGCGAGCAATGCGAAAATCACCACCTTTAGCCGAGTCACCAAGGGTACTCGAGCAGCCGGGAACGCGGGCAAGGCTGTCAAAATGGAGAAGGATGATTCGAAACCGATGCATCCGCTTCCGCCTGGTGCGGCGCGCACTAACGGGCCTCTCTTCCCTCACCTGGTCGGTAAGGGGAACACTTCTCCGTGCGGTGAACTCTGGAGTAACCCTGACACGATCTCTCCCAAATCGGTTCCGAAGGGCATGAAAGATCTCTTGAATCCCCCAAGCCCGTGAGGATTTGGGTCTCCTGTGAATGTGTATTGCTTCTGTACTTTTATCTTTCCATGATTTGAGGCCAGTCGGACCCATCTGGCCTTATCTGATTTTTATGCGGATACCATTGATAGACGACGTTGCATATCTGGCGTTTGGGCGGGCAGACGATGCCTGAGTCGTGTTGGTTATTGAGTTTGATTTCAAGTTCTGGGGGACTCCCACGCAAAGATCAGGTACTACTCACATCCAAGTGGATGGTCCATTTGGACGGCATACCTTCTATTCTTGACTGTATTCTCTATGACCGTGACTATGTACTGGGCGAGTGTGATAATATGGACAACTTCTATTCTGGCGTTGGGTGGTTGGCTGGTGTTGATGGTTATCTTAGCTGCATTTATTCAATTCACAGCCTGAGGATGGCTAGTTTACGACTGACAATTGAAATCTTCCTTGAACGAACGCCTGTAAAATGTATTCCTCTATGTGCCCCCAGAATCAGTAATTCATAGCAAAAGTCTCACACATCCAATGCTCCCGGGTTAAAACGATTATCCCAATCCTAGCCCCCGCTGCAACTGCGACCCCGGCCCCGTCTCATCCTCACTGTCCGTCTCGTCTCCAGCAGCATCAGGATCCATCGTCCGCTGCGGCCGTAAGTCACGGTCCAGGTCCTCCACGCGATCAACGTCCTCTTCCTCATCCTGAGTCTCATCCTCATCTTCTTCCTCCTCCTCACTCTCCTCCTCCTCTTCGGCCTCATCCCCATTCTCCAGCCCCTGCTCCGGTTCCTCCTGGGTATCATCGTCGTCGTCGTCATCCTCCTCATCCACTGTCTGAGTCGCAGACACTCCCGCCTCCTCACCGCGCTTCACCCTCTTCGCCTTCCGCACAGCATCGCCTGCATCCGTCTTCACAGCCTGCTGCCCGGCCCCCGCCCCCGCCCCCTCAGCCTCAGCCTCAGCACCACCCTTCTTCGCCTTCCGCTTCCCAGCCTTCAACTCCGTAAAAGCCTCCAGCTCCTTCTCCAGCCGCAGTTGGAACGCATCGAGCTCGAGCTCCGACAAGGCCGCAAACACATCCGCAGGCGCAAGGGTCCGTTTGAGCGTCGCTTCGTTCGCACTAGAGGAGAGAGCAATAAAACCACTGTTACCAACACAGCCCCAAGGTTGGCGCGGGGAAGGGTAGGGGGGACACAAAAAAAAAACAAAAAAAAAAAAGACATACTGCGAAGAGAGATACGAGACAAAGACCGTCGCCGCCTTCTGGATCGCAAGCACCGCGTCTTTCTGGATGGCCGTGTTGGGCGGCAGCACGGATTTCGCCAGCCGCAGTGTCAACGAGCGTGGGAGAAGGTAATCCTAACCACCCGATGTCTCATGGTTAGCACCCGGTTTCCATTTTACCTTCCCTTGATAAAAAGCCCAGCTGTCCAGCCGGGGGGATTGGGAAGTGTTGGGGGGGGGGATGAAGTACCTCTATACTCACCCCGCCTTCCGCCCGAGCCTTGAGCTGCTGCTCTGTCGCTTGGATGTTTGGCTGCGACTGCGACTGCGGTTGCGGTTGCGGCGAGGGCCCGTCTGTGTCGGCGGTGGATTTCCGGGTGGGCATTTTCTCGTATCTTCTGTTTCTCTTGTTGTAGGTTATCCGTATCGGCTTGTAGGAATAACACTGGTGTGATTGTCGTTCGGACTTTGGAGGGAGAATGGCTTGTATCTAGGATTTTTGGAGATCAGAAGAGGAATTTGTGACGCGAAAAGTCCGCGGGGACGCGGTTGGCGCGCGCGGTGGCGATGCTTATCTGTTGCTTTTTTGCTGATGGATTTGGGAGGTCATGCAAGTAAGGACGGGGTAAGTAAGGTACGGAGTGAGTAGCAATCTATTTTGTTGTGAAGGATGGATTCCTGGCTGGATATTGATTCTGTGAGGGATGTGGTCTTTGTTAGATGGATAGATGATGAGTACCTAGTGTTTTTTGTATGTATGGAGTAAGAGCCAGCAAATATATATTTACCGCATTCCCGGTGCAGTCCCATCATCCACTTTGAAGACTGCAAAGCCATGGCAGATATCCTTGAACCACGAAAGACATCGTCAAATGGACTAGGATACTATCAATCTCGATTCCTACCAAAAGCTGCTCTGGAAATAAGATCATCGACAGATCATTCTGCTTAATGACCGCTATATCAACCTCTCAACTGCTGAGATGGAGACAATTGAACACAAGGAATGAAAACTGGTAAACCCAATTGAATTGTTATCTATCTAACGTACTGTCCGAAGAAAGATTCATAAACCAGGACAACGCCTTCTTTTGGTATCCAGGGAAAGAAAGAAGAAAGAAAAAAAAAAAATGATCAACATGACAAAAGAAACATGAGCTCGTAGCCAACCCCCTACTCCGCCATCTCCTCATCCTCACCCTCGCCATTGCCCCAGAGTCCCTCGATCTTGAACTCCGCAGCCCATTCCGTGACGATCTGTTTCGTGTCAACTCCCGACCCAGCAGGCGCCGCCGTGGAGGCTCCCTCGGCCGTCGCCACAATTGTAGGCTGTACGGGGGCCGTAGCCCAGCCCTGAATGCGGCCGTCTCTCCAGTCGTTGATCACGGTCATCGCAGCACTCTCGAGATTGGGCACGCCGCCCTTGCCCAGACGACCGCGCTTGCGGGCGACCTGGACCAGGAAGTCGGTGGTTTGGTCCGAGCCCGACGGGAAGAGCGGGGGGATGTTGTAGAGCTGGAGCATCTTGGACATGAGCTGCTCGGAGGACGACAAGCGTCTCAGGAGCAGGTTGACAGCGGGGATCGGGTCCGCGATCTGCTTGGGAGGAATGGCGTTCAGGAGGACAAGGCGGGCATGCTCGTCCTGCTTCTTCTTGCCCTTCTTCTTGTCGCTGGTGTTGGGGAAGACGATGCCGGGCGAGTCGATGAGCTTGATCTTGCTGTCGAGCTTCACGCTTCTCAGACTCGTGGTCACGCCGGCCTCGGCCCCGGTCGGGCAAGCGTTGCTGGAGCCCTTGTTGAGACGGGCGCTCAGAGCATTGATGACGGATGACTTGCCGACGTTGGGGTAACCGATGATGCCGACGGAGATTGCCCGCTTCAGCTGCTTGTTGGCGGAGTATGACTTCAGGGCGCGGAAGAGCGTCTCGGATGTGCCCTTGACGGTCAGCTGCTTGTGGTCGAAGCTGTGCGCATTGGCAGCGCTGTTGGCAGCCTTGAGCGGCAGCGTAGGGAAGGACCGCCGCAGATGCAGCAGCCAGGCCTTGAGCACGGGAGGGGGAACGAGATCGATCTTGTTGAGGATCAAAATCAATCGCTTAGAGCCTCCGTCCGCTGCCATCACCTCACGCTCGACCTCCTTGGACCGGGTGCCCTCCGGATCACGAGCATCAAGGACATACAGGATGACATCCGCAGCTTCGACGACCTGCTTGAAGACCTTGTCGAACGCCCGCCGCGAGCTTTCCTTCGAGATGGGCTGTGAGATGAGCTGGGGGACAGCATCACCCAGCGCTCCCTCCTCTTCGTCGTCCTCATCCATACCGTCCATGTCATCATCATCATCCTCGTCCATTTCATCATCATCCTCATCCTCGTCCTCATCGTGCTCGTCCTCGTACTCGGCCGCGCGCGCACGGGCAGAAGCAAGCAGCGCCGCCATGGGATTCGACGAATCATCCCCATCCATATCCTCATCATCAAGCTCAATATCCTCGTCGTCGAGCATAGCACGGGGAGCAGCTTCTCCAGACTGTGACTGCTGCTTGTCGGCCGCCCGGCGGGCGCGGGCCTCCTCCCTGATGCGCTCCTGCTCCTCTGCCTTCAATCTCTTCTTCTCTTCGATCTCATGGAGGATCTTGTCCTTGAACGGGAACAGGTTGGGGATACCGGGGTCCTTCTTGACCTTGGAGCGCCATTCGGGATTCTACCAGAAACAAAAATAAGTACCTCTGTCGGATCCGCAGTTTGCTGAAAGATTTTAGAAATACCTGCTTCGCGAGCTTTCTCGCCTTCCGTTGCTTCGCCGCGGAAGCCTTTTCGATCTTGTGTCGGAGCCGGACAGGCGTCCGCTTGGAGTTCTTGCCTGAAGATTTATTTACACACATTAGCCATGCTCATTGCCAAACAGTGAGAAAAGTGTAGATCATACCTAACTTGACCATCTTGACAGATTATTGACACAATCCGTCTAAACAGAGCAGTAAATTTCCTCGAGCAAAAAAAGGAAAGGAAACACAAAGAGTTCCCTTGAGCAAGTCCAGATTCCGCCCAGATAATTTTTGCAAACTTGAGCGGCGCCAAGATTTCACCGCACTAAGATAACCGGAGAAACACGTGCGCCGATCTCCGGCCGCGTTTTGGGAAAGTTGGTGGGGTTGGATTATGGATAGTATCAGGTTATCGACCAGATACCGAACGGTGTCTTGTTTTCTTGATCGGTTGTGGAATCGTCGGTGTTGTTTGTACAGTCGGTTTATCTGAATTGTCTATACATTATTTTATCTGCACATACCTATCTTCTACAGTATCTGACACATTTTTTTTTTTATCGACACTATCATGGCTCAAGCACAAGGATCCTTCTCAGCCCCTCCGCAGGTGGTCTCTTTCGATGGCGTCTTGTCCGATTTCGATGGGACAATCATCGACTCGACCGACGGCGAGTAGTCTAGTATCCCATGAATCTTCGCAACATGGCGTGCTAACCTACAGTCGTAACCAGCAATCGTCAAGCACTGGCACAAGTGAGTCGCCAGCCTACAAAAGCGATCTCTGGACCTCTATCTAACGTTCGACTAGAATCGGTGCCGAGCTAGGCGTGGACCCCGAGACAATCCTTGCGACATCCCACGGACGCAGAAGCATCGATACCCTCCAGCTGTACGACCCAATCAAGGCCAACTGGGAATGTGAGTTACATTTACATCGGATTCACCATGTCTACATCTCCTGTCTGGTCTGGCGTGCGCTAATATGGATCCCCCGTGATAGATGTCAGCTACATTGAAGGCCGTATCCCCAAGGAGTTCGGCGCGGACGCCGTCGAGATCCCCGGCGCCAGGTCGCTCCTCGACGCGCTGGAGAACGCCGGCGCACGCTGGGGCGTCGTCACCTCCGGATCACGAGCGTTGATTGATGGCTGGCTGAGTGTTCTCAAGCTCACGCATCCCGAGACCCTGGTCGTCGCCGAGGACGTCCAGCAGGGCAAGCCTGATCCGTCATGCTACCTGCTGGGCCGCTCGAAGTTGAACCTCGAGCACTCGTCGTCGCTGGTTGTGCTGGAGGATGCGCCATCGGGCATCCGGGCGGGCAAGGCGGCCGGGTTCAAGGTGATTGCGCTGACGACGACCCACACGCTGGCACAGCTGCAGGAGGCCGGAGCGGATTGGATTGTGGAGGACCTGAGGAGTCTCTCTGTCAAGGGCGTGGAGGGCGGAAAGATCCAGCTGGAAATCAAGGATGCGTTCCAATAAAGGGGAAAGATAAGGCTGATGGCGGGGAAGGAAGGAAGGGGAAGCTCATTTAGAATCCATGGGGAAGTTCATGATCTTTTTTTTTGTGTGTTTTTTTTGCTTGTGAGTGTGTGGGCTCATGGATCGGGTTGAGCTTTGACACAGTCGGCTTTGTATATAGAATGTTCCACCTACACCAACTCCAGAGGCCGTTGTTCCTCTGTTGCCCATCAATTGTGCCTGGCAAATATGACAGGTATGTACTTCTTGTATGTAGGCAAGGTATGATGTAAAAGTACATGCCTTGCATCGCACTAACCCGCGCTGCTGTGTTACACGCTCGCCCATTGGGCGCAACGAGCCTTTCCCCGACGATAACCACCATGATCGACCCCCCCAACAACGACGGTGAAGATGATAAGCCGATTTAAGCAAAAAAAAAAAAAGACTCTATCTTGGATATCAGAGCGCTCGATTGCCCGCTCAGGGGTGGCCACTTACTGAACCCTACCGGGCCGATCTGGAGCCGTCCATTCCCCTGTGCGTAGTCTATTTCAACCGTTGACAGAGAAACCAGGTTCCGACCGGAGCAGCCGAGAATTGCGAACCCGTTTCACATACAAGGCCATGCAAGCCCTCGAGTCAGAAGAGACGGACAATGATCAGCCAACGCACTAGCATGTCGGCGGTGAAGACCTTGCGTTATAGAGACAGTCGGTAGGAAATACTCCGGTGAGTAACGGTAGGTGTTCAGCCAGATGCGCGCGTACAGCGAGCTCTGACTGACTGTCAGTCCACCGGGATAGCGGAGACTTCACCGCTTCAAATCGATCTCATCCAACGGTCTGATAGGTATCGCGGTGGAGGAACGGCCGACGCTTACAGCCAGATCAAGCACTATCGGAGCGGGCATCGTCTTCTCACCGGCATCTTCACCGACATCCTCGAGCTGAAGCGAACTCATGGAGAGAGAAAGAGAGTCCAATGCATTACTGTGGCTGCTGCATGCAGCTAGATTGTAAAGAAGGAAGTAAAAAAGGATGAATTCTGGATCTAGGCTTGCCCACAGGGCAAGCCAGAGCACCAGCTTTGCCTCAGAGGGATGAGGGAGGGGGGGCGCTGTTTTGCTTCTGGTACCATTCGAGTAACTTCCAGACCTTCCACACACGAGTTTACCGGTCGTGTAATGAGGGAGAGAAGGAGAGGAGCTCGGCCGGCCGGTTCGGTAGAAAACGACGATCAGTTTCTGGAAGCTTGGAGCGTCAATCGTCGTTGGCCGTTCCAGAGGCAGCAAATCTGACCTGTATCATTGCCCAGCACCCTTTTCGCAACGGAGATCGAAAAAGTGGCGCTTCTGTCCAGGGCTGAGCTCTGACATGCTACGCAAGGGGTGAAGGGGAGCTCTTGGTTTCCAGGACGTGAAGGTGTGGATATCTTCTTGTTTCCTACCGGTCTTGAGCGCCATTTTTCAGAGCAACCCTGTATCATGTTGAGACAACTCGAGGATTGAAGCAATGGTAATAGCAGCAGGAGAAATGACTTCTCCACATCGACAAGCGAGTCAAGATGGAGAGTCGCAGTGAATCCTGCTAGATGCAGGACAAGGGGTTTCCGCATTTTGCCCACTCAAGTGAAGCTGCTGCGAGTTCAGCATGGCAAAGTAGCTCAGGGGGGAGGCATTCGTTTGGCCCCCTTAGCTCGAGCAACATCAGATGCAAACACAGCATAGATGAAGCACTGGCTTCGTGGTCAGAGTACCTCGTACTACTGCCAATTTGTACTTGGTGTATTTTGTCTCGGAAGGGATTGATCTTAATTTAGGGTATCCCACCACGCGAGACTAATGACAAATTCCAGCGACACCCGTAAGAAAGTGCTCTCCCCCTAAGCTAGAACAAAAGGGAGATAGGCAGTATCGCCAGTTATCTCAGGTGGCTGATAGCTGAGGTACCGCCACAGTGGTGGTGGTCCGAAGTCAGAACAGTTGTGGCGCTGCAAGTCAGGGCTGAACAATCAACGAAGTGATGGACAGAAGAAGACTGAAGTGGTTAGACCAGCTCAGTGAGGACCTTGGAGGCAGATACCGATGATACCGGATGTTTTCGATATTCTGGAACTGGATGAAGATCTCTGCCATCAAGTTTCATGGAAACTCGAAAGATGGTCTGAACTCTGAACTCTGAACATTCATGCCTCGTCGTGACGATACCGTAAATTACGGCTCATACCAGCTCGAAACATCTTTCTGTAAATACAGAAATACTGGATGTACTCCATAGAGGGCCCGATGCACTGGAGATGCTGGGATCGTCATGGACGACAGTTGCCGATCGAGTCTACTCCGTAGTCAGTCAATGCATCAGTCAGTGTGTTAGGACTTAGGAGTGACCCGACTGACTTACAGAGGATTCCCTAGTGCCAAGGCAACCTTATACCAGGACAGGGAGATGAAGCCCAGTGCTCATGCCGAATCGGTTCTAGTTGTCGATCAAGGATCGAGGGAAGCTTGAAGTTTTGGGACGGATACTTGACTAAGGTAATAAATGGATGTTAGACTATGAGGAACCCGCAAGCCTCACTGTGCTACCTGCTTAAGTGGCGGAGGCCTGGGACACAGACAATCACACAGGTAAGCCAGTCGGGGATTTTCTTTCTGCCTGGTCGGAGGTTCAGGCGTTGTTAGGTCTCTAGTCCCAAACTGGTCCAAGGTTTCTGAGATCCCTTTCATCGGGTGACAACGGCGTCTTTGACTATCTGACTTAGCATCCAGGGGCTTGCTGAAGAGGAAGTCTGTGCGAGAGCTTGGGGCTCTTTGCATGGGGGATCAAACCAGAGGAAAACATCTTTGACTTCTGACATTGATAAGCAAATCACTATTCTTACCACTCCATATACATGAGGATCAATATTAGGTTTGCTGGATAGCCTTTTAGTGCTTTGTCTTGCGGCCTTGCCTGTATCCAGTGTCCACACTAAATCATCAAGGTGTCCGCTACTGCATACTTACACAACGTAGGTACACGTGAGCACTGACCATATCCTTGTTTTGTTGTTATTGGCCCAGAGAACCCTTCAGCTGTCTATCACAACTGGACACTCACCAAAGGGTTCTGTTCAGGCAGAAGCCCGGATGCAGGGCAGGTCTCAAGTTCCAAATCTCCACCCATCGATAATCGTAGAGGGAATTAGCAGTCTGACATCAGGAGCTTACAATGCGAGGGAGATCTTCCAAAGGTGGGGATATTGGATGTCAGAACCCGAATCGCGAACAAGCCAGCTGCGCGATGAGCGTTCAAAAGCTGAATCCTCATCTGAGCTCGTTTTTCTCTTCTCGAGCAGGGGCCAAGATCCAACATCACACACTCACTTACTGTATTTGCAATATGATCAAACAAAGGATGCACATTGTTGGCCCTTCAACACAAACTTTTCTGCGAGTCCGAGAAGCCCATTGGTAGTTGGAAAAAATACAACAAAATAAAATAAACATATGACCTATCCGACATCCAGAAAGCACGCCCCCTAACATGAGCTTAAGCTCGAGGCCCTAGGTGAAAATTTTTTTTTTTTTTTTGGGATTGAACTGTAGCCTGCATGGGAAGCCCAGTTGGGATAGCTGTTGCGTAACCTCGTGACTTGCAAGTGGACGAGCTTTAATCAGATTGCATCATGCTTAGCGCTGAGGGGGTGAGTGATCAATGAGGATCACAGATCACACCGAGAGATCCAGGAACCCGGGAGAGAACGGATGAACCTGATCAGCATCGGATTGGACACTCAGGAGCTGGGAGACTGGGACAAGGTAGGGCGCTGCATGTGAAAATGCATGAAGTAAGCAGATATCTGAAAAGATATGGAGATGCCCCGTACTCCGTAGAGCAATGGGAAAAGGGATGCAGGTCACAGATAGATCCCCGAGGCATGATCGACGGAGATCTGTCGAACTATTGAAGTTGGTGAGCTTAGCGGGGCTTGGCTGACTTGCTGCCATGCTTTTTCCCACCCTTTCCTCTGTATTCTGTATGGATCATGGAGTCATTCTGGATATTAAGAAGACGGATATTACGAATGTTTGCTGACCGAATGGTTAGAAATGATGTGAAAGAATTGGCAGCAGAGCCAGAGATCTCGGCATCATGATAGGGGCTGACCTGACGGTAATACCAGCAGGATAGGACCTTTTTCCCCTGCTGATCAGTGTTCAATGCGTGTGTTAAGAAGAGCTCAAATGGTAGCAATGAGGATCCGGCACTCACTGCTCCTACCGATTGTAACCCGTGAAAGTGACCTTGAGCAACACGACAAGGTGTCGATGTTGTTGTCTCTCGGAGAGCCGGAAGATTGAAAATCACTGATCTCCTTCCGCATAGCGCTGGCCCGCATGCCATGTGACTAAAGCTACAAACCAGACTGGATGGTTATAACCAGCTTGAGCTCATGTTCTAACTTCTTACTCTTTACTCCCTAATGCCTGATCAAGGTGCCATCCGGGGTCAATCAGAAGCCAGAAAGTATAGTTATCTTTGAACTTAAGACTATCTACCTCAAGTTCTCTGTACCTAGTTACGGCCTGTGAGTAACTTTACCTAGGATTAGTTCTACATACAGATACAGAGGTCCTTCCATCCAGGACAGGACAGGCTGATGTAATTTATAACAATTACCTTACGAGCCATGAAAACTTGGGAATTCCAAAGATGGGACTTGGTGGGGACGACGGTCCGCAGGGGCTAACCGGATCCAGAATATGTAAAGGGAGCTAAAATATTGCAGCCAATTAAAAGCTACAGAGCTTGATCACCTGTGACAAACCAATTGTCCAATAGGAAGCTGTCGTATCAACATCAAGATAACAGCTCCAGTCGGACACACAGGCCACAGCAATCCCAAGTCCCAGATGATACGAACCCCGACGCTCTGATTGCGTGAGCGTGAACGATCTACAACATTGGCAGTTCCAACTTGCATGAATGTTCTCCTATGCATCTTCTGTGATGTTGTTTGATATGAACTGTATGGTGACAGACCCCTGGTACTTGATCCTAGGAGACCAAGGCTCGATGAGGGCACTAATGCAGGAACTCGCAAAGATTCTTGAGCATCCCAGGGCAGCATACTTGGATTACAGACCGAAATAGTCTACAGGAGACAAGGGCTCTCCGATCCCTTTAGGAGAGTACGATAAGGTGCTGTAGATCCTAGGTAGTCTGGACGGGAGCTCCTAGATACCATGGTTGCCATCCACAACGAGCTCCAGCCAAAGGAGAGTCCACCTCACAGGGGTAGATCAGATTACGAGTCACTGTGATACAAAGTCCGTTGATCGTGCAGTGACTGTTAAGTGCTTAATGTAGGTGGTAAGTACCAAGTCCGTGGAGTAGAAGCGGATCGGACATTCGGATATCAAGAATATCACCGGGGAGGAATGGGGAGTTTCAGCATGATGTCAGTTGGGACTGTTGAGTGTGTAACACCGAGATCTTCAGAGCAGCAGAGTGTGTAAGTCACAACTCCGCAGGCACTAGACTAAGTAGAATCATTGATCCTTGGGACAGCCTGATGATTTGAGATATATTCTGCAGGGCTTACAAAGATCGAGCTAAGTACAGGCAGCCAATGTGCTTCTGCAGCTGGAGCCTGGAAGCATGGACAATGTGATGATCATTTGGGGAGGTGGGATGATCCTGGCCATGATCCTGAGGCCAAACAAAGCAGACTGTGTTCTCCTATTCCATCACAATCCAGACTACAGTAGATAGAAAAAGCAAGACACAAAGGCGCATGAACAGCATCTGGAGTATCCCACCTAGGGATGTTTGTTCAAGGATCCACCATGCATAAGGACTGCATGGATGCATATTGCATAGGCATCAGCGGTGGTAAGAGCTCATCGTTGCAGGTGTTGAGAAGAATCCAAATTGAAGAACCCTCCTACAGTCCTACCACTTCACATGGCCCTTACCAGCCCCAATGCCATGCCATGCCAACCTAACCGAACCTTCAAGGATAGTTGGTACTTTCTGACAACACCAACACCTCATCAGATATGAGTTGTGACAATGTGACTGACTCTTCCAGAACCCTCCTGTCTCCATTGCTCATATACGATTGATTGTGCCCAGGCCGCCACCCCCTAGAACCGCGCGGATGGAAATACCGTCAATCCGCCTGAACTCTGGGTCACAAAAGTCAAAACCGGGTCCTGTCATGGCGTTTGGTACGGTACCTGAATCTCATACCCGTTCTGACAGAAAAGTATGGTAACAAACCATGGTTCAGTAATCGTACCTTATCTCCAGGCACCATACTTTATTCCTCTACGGAATAGTTGGTACCTATGTACATTGTACCTGAGTAAAAGAAAACAATTTATACTTCTAGGCTGACTTTTCTTGATAATAGTTGATAGCACGGATCAAATTGGGAAGCGTCTTTTTCCATTACCAGGAAAGAGAAGACGCTTAGTGTTGGGAAGCCTGATTACCTATGCACATACCGTATCTTCTCCGTACCCGGGGAGAAACGTCATATCCAGAGATACTCGGTATTGACGGGGTTCGACAATTTTCATCTGGCCGTCCACACAAGAATACTAGTACTAAACCTGCGGGAGCTGTACCAAGTTCCCCGATCACCCAAGCGGGCGGTAAATACGGCGCTGATACCAAATGTCCAAAACTCCAAATCCTCGCCCGAAGAGCCATCAGCCAATCACTGCAGCTCCCTCCACACCCTTCTGCCCCTGCTGCCGCCGCCAATTTTCTCTCACTACTGCAGCGAATCCACCACTTGAGGATCCTTTTGCCCCCTCCAATCATAAAAATAAAAATAATAAAAATAAAAAAAGAATACGGTTTTGATGTCTTGTCTTGTCTGTCTGTCTGTCTGTCTGTTCCTCCTCTTCGACCCGTCAATCCTTTACAGTAGTTTCGACTTGGCCTCCATCTGTCCCTTTTTCCTTTTTGTCCTTCTCTCTCTCTCTCTCTCTCTCTCTCTCTCTCTCTTCCTCTCTTCCACACTCACTCCAGTCTCTCCCTTTTTCCCATTTCTGTCTATTCGAACTACTGTACTCTGTACTGTTTACCCTCTCTCACTATTTTCTTTTTCCCTCTTTTGAATTTTTTAGATTCTATTTTTTGTTGTGGTTATTATTATTATTATTATTTTTTTTATAACTACTATTTTACTTTACTTAATTCACTCCCTTCTTTTTCCTTTTCTGTCATCCGCATACCGTCATTCATTCATATTTATCTGCCTCGCGCGCTCTCCCTATATAGTACTTCCAACAGCTACTTTCCCAGCTACCAGTTACTCACTCACTTTCACACACACACACACACTCTCTCTCTCTCTCTCTCTTGCCATTCAGATACACAAAGACCTCCAATTGTCCGTTCAAACCACTGCTACACCTAATCCAAACAACCCTCGTCCATGAATTGAGAGACTTACTTCGACCTCACAGCTGTCGCTATCTTGGCATCAAGTTGTTCGAGTTTCCTCGTCCCACCCGGTCCCGACTATCTTCTCCCCTATCCTTCTATCGAGACTACCTCAACTTCCTGCCCACTCCCATCACACACAATGAACTATCTCCATCATCCATACGCCTTCGGCGGACATCCTGCCGTTCCCCTCGATCAGTCTATCGCCTATGAACAGGCAATGGCACATCCAGCCATGATGCACCCGATGGACGGCTATCTGTATTCTCATGCCCCATTTGAAATGGTCGACTACTATCACCAGCCGATCATGGACTATGAAGAATACGCTGAGAACCTGTCTCGGCCAAGATTAACCAAGGAGCAGGTGGAGACTCTGGAAGCACAGTTCCAGGCTCACCCGAAACCAAGCAGCAATGTCAAACGTCAATTGGCGGCTCAGACTAACCTGAGCTTACCCCGTGTTGCTGTCAGTTGTCCCCTTCTAACTGAACTGATCAGGGATCCCTTTCCCTTTTCATGTACGCTGTTTGGCTGACAACCCCCAACAGAATTGGTTCCAGAACCGTCGAGCCAAAGCAAAGCAGCAAAAGAGACAAGAGGAGTTTGAGCGGATGCAAAAGGCCAAGGCTGAGGCTGAGGAAGCCGCACGGGGCAAAACAGAGGGTGCCGATAACACATCAGACTCGGAACAGGCTCTTCAGACACCTAAAGGAGAGAAGACAGAAAGAGTCATTAGCACCAAGCAGACATCCGAGTCAAGTATACCGGAGCAGAAGAAAGCCTCGTCTTCATCTCGTGCAAAGCATCAGAAAACCAGGAGTGAGTCTGCCCGAGAGGCAACCTTTGCCTCATTGCAAAGGGCCCTCAACGCCGCTGTTGCAGCTCGTGACCAATACTCTACAGAATGCGAGCGGGAACGGGGCGAAGAGAACAGCAGCGGATCAGTGTCTCCGACGACCTATTCTGCGAGTTCTCGGGCCCATGACCACGACGATACCGAGAGCAGCCACAGTACTCTCAACACCCCCTTTTCCGGATGGGAGAGCGCCAAGGATTCTTCGTTGTCCTGGACTTCCCGCAGCGCCCAAGAGCCTTATGGTTATTCAGATCTGAATGCGTCATCGTATTCCTCGACAGCTGTCAGCCATGGGGAAGAGTGGACGAATCAACTGACAACGTCGGCCGAAACCATGCCTGGCCACCGTGCACCCATTGACATTGTTGGATCGTCATACGGGACAATCCATTATTCTGTCAAGTCGGAGCTGTCGCGGCGGGAATCCTCCGAGGAGCTTGTCGCCACGTTGCAAGGGATCGGTATTGATACTACTGGCTCCCCCCATGCCTTGTCACAGTCGGACAGCCGGTCAACATCATGGAGAGAGGCCGGCAAAGAGCTCGACCTTGCCTCTCGGAGAAAGCGACCACGGCCCGCGGCCATTGGCACTTCGCGATCGTCGTCCATGCTGGCTGGTCCATCTGCCATGTCACCGACTACGAGGCTTCCAAATACCGGCGTTGCCCATGGAGTGCGGCAATCCAAGTCTGCGCAGAGTCTTAGCTCTCGGTACGCTGGGGTAAGAAAGGCATCAGCCGCTCAGCGGTCGCCGTTCAGCCTGTCTTCCTTCGCGGAAGCAGGCGCGTTGAATAGCAAAACCGAGATGTCGAACATGCTTCAGCCTGCAGTCACAACCGGCTTGGCTCCTCCCACCCCACTGACTCCCGAAGACCTTCATCACCTGATTCCTACCACTCCGTCCGACGGGGGTTACTGCCTGTCGGCGCAGCCTACCAGCCAACTCTTCCCCACATCCCAACCCATGCAGATCAATATTGCGTCACCCCCCGCCACACCGTTGGCGGTGGATATGATGTCGTCTTACTCATACCACGGCGTGGCTCCCCCCATGTCCGCTCCTGCTCACTACACGACCTTCCCCGAGTATCCGCCCTGCGACGGGGCTTCCTTGACAGGGAGGAGCTGGGCCGAGTCGACCTCCATGCCTTCGCCAGAGCAATCCTACCCCAGCCGCTGCCACATTGACATGTCGTCGGTGTCATACGAGGCCGTGGACAGGAGCGTGGACAACGGGCCAGTGTTCTCTACCAAGGACATCGACATGCACATGGTGACCGATTCGGGGGCCGAGGATGCGCGGTCAATCGAGTTCTCCATCCAGGAGTTCCCTGAACAACAGGAAGCCCATCGGTTCGTGGCCCAGCAGCTGCCGTCGCAGAAACCCAAGGCGTACACCTTTGCGGCCAACTCGACGCCACACAATTTTCAAAACTAAACCGTGCCTGCGTCGTCCTTAACCCCCGTGTCAATCTGAAGCAAATTCCTCTTTACCATATACCATGGCTTCCGATCCTATACCGTGCTGTTTCCACATTGAGGATATCGAACATACCCGGGAAGCCTTGTCTATACTATACTCCGTACACTCTTGAGCATTTCCGCATTCCAACGGCCGATGTTGTCTCGCGGTCGTTCGAGCAAACTTTTTTTGGGCAAAATCGAACATCGATTATCCTTCTTGTCTCTTTGGTTATCTTTTTTTTTTATCTTTTGCATATGGATTCTGGGAGCGATTTGGATTTGGGTTTTTCTTTTCCTTGTTTTATCATACATATTTGGAGGCTCACACTGTCACGTACTATCTCTCTCTCTATCTAACTATCCCAACCACGTAATATACATAATATGGACGAAGCGGCTCGCCGCTCCTTACTTGATCAATTCTCTCTTTCCACTAGGAATCTGCTGAGTAGTTCATCAAGACGCCAACTCCTACGAACACTTGTATAGATGTCAGATGGGGGGTGGGGGGCGAAAGGGGGAATATATCAAATTGGGCCCCGGGTGTTTGGTATAACTCAACTCGACTCGACTCAAATGGCTATAGACACAAAGCGCTTGCTTGCTTCATCACAAATCAGACCCAGCCCAGTGTGGTCCGCCCACAAAGGGAGCGCCGTGGCTGGCCAGACCAGACCGGGCAGAACGGAACAGAGACAAATAATAGATGTATGGATATGAGATTCATCAACATAACATGGACGTAGACATAAAAAAAAAAGTTGGAAAAAAAGGGGGGCAGGCAAGAAGACACGACGAGAAGAGAATAGAATGAAACATAAAACAAGACCAGACAAGACCCAGACCAGTCCAGTGCAGTCCATCTATGAGTGAAAAGCAAAAGCAGCGCAGAGAACGATGCTCAAACCCCTGATATAAAGAGAAGAAAGGAAAAAAGAAAACCCATATGACTTTGACAGTTGCATAAGATCCAGCAAGACAAACACAATCGGGTATAACAGCGGGTATAAAAAACAACAGTTGGGAAAATGCGCAGATTATCATTAGATATGAACCCTTGGATCATGTGCCAAATGTGATAGGAAATGGCATGAAACTGTGTTAGTTGAGTGAGAGAGAGTGCGCGAGACAGAGAGACACAGAAAAATATTGGTGAAAAGATGATATAGAACACAACAACCAACACCAACACCCAACACCCAACACCCTCCTTCCAACACCGTATGATCTTCGTGAACGCCAAATCTGGAAAACGCCGGCCGTAAGATAAAATATGAGCACAACCTTCCACTGTCATTTCTCGGATGTGACTTTCGTTGTTGGTTTCCTCTTGATCGCTCCTTTCCTGCACTAATAGCCCGACCAACCTCCCAAGGGAGTGCCTGATTGGCCCGCCTGAGGCTGACCGGGTTGCATGGGCCCGCTCGGCGGCCAGCCCTGAATGGCGCCCCCAGCACCCATTCCCATTGCCATACCTTGCTGCTGTGGGTTTGCTGCCAAGTATGGTTGCCCACCTGGACCTTGTGTTGACGGGTACAAGGCTCGCGCAGCTTGGACGTTGTATGGAGTCGCGCCTCCTGGGTATCCCATCGGCATGCCCTGTGGTTGAGGGGCCTGTGGATGGTGGAGCTGGTAGGCTTGCGGCATCTGAGACACCGACGGACGGGCTTGGTTACGTGGCGATTGGGAGGGATGGTGCTGTCCCTGGACCGCATGCGCCAGGGGGGAGGGAGACTGCTGTGGAGCATGCATCTGAGCAGCGTACTGCGGCATCCCGACACCCTGCGCACCAGAGGCAGACAAGGGTGATTGCTGTGGAGGCGGAGGTGGCTGGCCCCACATCTGCTGCTGCGCTGGGTACCCGTACGAGTTGGGGGGTTGGGGGGTGCCTCCGGACAAGGCTGGGTTCGATCGCTGGTGCATCAAGTTGGGTCGCACCGCAGGCATGGCCTGAACGGGGGACTGCGCGACGGGACCCTGATGGTGCGCGACAGGCGCTTGGAAACTGGCCTGACCAGCCATTATGGGCGTCTGTGTTGGAAGCATGGCTTGCGGCTGTGTGGAGTTGATCATTCCGGTAGCAGCCATCTGGGGAGATTGCAAGGGTTGCGAGACCGAAGCGGCGGCGTCTAGCTGGCCAGGTTGTGACGTATCGCCAGACGACGGAATCTCGCGTTGTCTCGCATAAAACTCTTCCAGCCCCTTCTGGCGAAAACTGCGCTGCGAGCTAAGGATCTTGTTGAAGTCGGCTGTGTGGGAGGCTTGATTGAGGATCTCGGCTGCTGAACTCGGCTGGGTTCGATCTTGAAACGGCTGGCCCGTCAGCTCCTGGCGGGGACGTGGCATGCTGTTGTACTCCCGCAGTCGAGGGTCGTCGGTGGTGGTGGCCATGTGAATCAATGAAAGCGGCGCCAATGAGACCGATGACGAGGGCCCCATCGGTAAGCTGTGCGGCATACCCTCCAGCGCATTACTATAGATAACATCGCCGTGCGCAAGAGCCGGCAGCAAGCTCGCCGCACTAGCCGCTTCTGCAGCAGCCAGGTCTCGCGCCTTGGAGGCCCCGGGACGCTTCTCGCCGGCCAGATCGTCTTCCGTGAAGCCCTGCTTGCGCGCTTTGCTCTCCCAGTAGTCGTCGCGCACGCGCCGTCCATTCACCACCACCCTGCTGCCGAACTGCCGAAAGATGGATTTGGCGGAGACAATGGCGATCTGGCGCGAGCGGTAGGAATACGGAAGGACGTCTTGCTGAATGAGATCGTCCTTTTCGATCTGTGACGCGATGATCTTGTGAAGGGACCGGTTTTTGTTGAACAAGAGGTATGAATCACGGTAGCCGAGAACTCGTGCACACTCGGTGGCCAGCATGAAGAGCTTGTTGCCACGGAGTGGTACCCGGAACGTGCGGCATTTGAATTCGCGGCCACCTTGAGGGTAACCCATGGCATCGACTTTTTTCTCACCGGCTTCGTCGAACTCCTTCGGAATGTACTCGTCCCCTTCATCGTTCAGTTGATCGGTGGTGTGGTCGCGAACCGTCGGGAGCGCTTTGATGACGGTGGTCTTGGTCGGCGTAGTCTTCTCGGAAGGAGATGCCTGTGCGGGGGACGCATTCACGTGGGTTTGGGGTAGTGATTGAGACTGCATTCGAGGCGTCTGTGAGGTAGTGCTGGAGGGCGACTGTTGGTTGTCGGTTGATGCGGTGGAGGGTCGATAAGACTTAGGAGGCCGACCTCGTTTCCGCCGGCCATGTTCATCTGCTTTAAGATTATATTAGCGAAGATGGTTTCATCATACTGATTAAAAAAAAAAAAAAAAAAAAAAAAAAAAAAAAAAAACAAAGAGAACGAGTGCCCGCGATGACAGAGACGAAAAAAGAAAAAAAATATATATATATAAAGAGTGATGGTGAGACGAAGCGGCTCGACAGCTCCCCCCAAACCCACCAGCCTGGAGAGAGCTGCGACGCGCACATACCGTCGTCATGATCACCATCCACGCGTGGGTTTGCGCGTTGGTCGGGGGTTCGACTGCGCTTGATACCACGCGGGGGGAGGAGACTTGGGGTGGTCGCTATTGACGCTGCAGGCACGGCCGATGCTGTTCCACCATAGGCTGGGGTTGGAAGAGCAACTGCAACTAGCAAGAGGGGGTCAGTTTGGAGGATGTCGCGCGATGGACGGACATGACATGGTGAGCAGGAAGAGAACCATGAAGACCGCGACCTCCATGTATACAAAGTGGGGGGAGAAGACAAAAAAGATAAAGAAAAAAAGAAGACGACAGGAAGATTGTATTTTGGTTTATTTTTTATTATTTTTTTTTTATTTTTTTGTTGTTTTGCTTTTTTCTTTTCTTTCTTTTTTTTTTTTTTTTTTTTTTTCAACCAAAGGACGGGGAGATGGCATACCAGAGTTATTATTCAACGCGGCAGGGTTGATAGTTCCCGACCCATCGACAAGCTCTCCAGCGATACCATTCATCGGGGCGGAGACGGATGAGTGGGATGTGCCATACATGGCGGGCCAAGGAAAGGGACAAGAAACGACCGTCAGCAGGGCCGTTTGGGGGCGCGTCGGGACGAGCGAAAGAGAGAAGCGAGAGCGAGTAAGTGAGCAAGCAAGCAAGCAAGCAAGCGAGAGAGAGAGCGTGCGAGATAGAGAGGGTGTTGAGACGACGGAACGCCCGAAGACGGGAGGGATAGCGCAAGTGAGTTGGCAGCTGCAGTGGGATGATGGAGAAGGGGGAGAGAAGGAGAAGCTGCCACGAAAGCAAAACGAAGTTAATCCTGGACTGGACTGGTGTGATGTGTGTGATATGGGGGGAGGGGGGAAGGGGATCTGATGTTGTTGTTGTTTGGTGGAGGTCGAGGACGAGAGAGAAAGTCCAAGTCGTCAGTTGCGAGTGAGTGAGAATTGGTGATCACGGACGCGCATGCAGGTTTGGTTTGGTTTGGTTTGGTTTTGTTAGGTTTTGTGACCACTGAATACCGGTATGGGAAAAAGGAGCAAAAAGAGGGGGAAAATTGAAGGACCGTCGAGTGAGAAGAACCAAGGCGGTGAGTCCTGTTGATTGGAGCGTCTCTGTATTACTTGTTACGCCTGTGGCTGGTGACACCGCCACAGGAGGCTTGTCCGCAGTATGGAAGATACCAGTCTTAAAGGTTCTGTATGCAGCAACAACCATCAACCTTAAGCAACGACATCTGGGCTTATCACAAATGAAAGATGGCTTAAGGCTTGATGTCTTCAAATCACAGAAATGGCAATCTCTGCTAATCCTCACTACCAACCACCAAGATTTCGGAACGATCAGGGGGACGTGATTAGGGAGTGGGAGTGTGACCAAACCTGCCTGCTGCATAAGAGCAAGACGGTAGGTAGGTATGTAATGGTATGAGATATAGTACAACGACTGATATTAGGTAGCAGCTAGATACCTACTCTATTGGAGGTTATAATACTAGTAAGGTAGGTAGTAGTAGGTACCTCGAATGCTCAACCTACCGTCCTTAGGTCTATTTAGGGAGGGGTAAAGCCACTACAGTTAACAGTGTAGAGTGTACCTAGACTACGGAGTACTACGTATAGTACCTAGTAATTAATAATGAAATGCACAATGCAGTCAGCCAGCGGGAAGGCGGCGCCACATGGGCTCCCATTGGCTGCTGGGCCTCGGATCACCCTCCAACCGGGCGAATCCGTGGTCATGCAGAACAAGTGAGCAACAGGTTATCATCACCTATTATTTACTAGGTATGTACCTAGTGGTACCTATACTCAAAAACACCTGAGGAGATATTGATGCAGTAGACAAATATCAAATAGAGGGAAACATACCTCCAGACGTCGAGGAATGTCTCGGATAGAGTCCAAGCCTCCGTGCAGAACCCACTGGCCAGAGAGTTCACCACTCGCCTGATCACGCGAAAAACATCCCTCCCAGTCCATCTCCTCCACATCGACAGACGACAACAGGGTATATCCCCCCAATAAGAACCCGCGATCTACCTTCTGCAAGATACCTACTTGCAGTAGCCCATCTGCTGGCGTCTAAACCAGCCCCGAGTCTCGAGTCAAGAAGTGAAGGATTGACACAAGCAAATCGGAGTCGGTTGGGTCGCTTGATCTATAAGGCTATATTAGTCTATCTTCTGGGATATATCTACTGGTCCATGACTCACGCCTCAGTCGCGGTTACATGTCAATCAGTCCATCTAACACGCAAGAACAGGCAATACTTCTGATGATCATGTCTTAATTGGCTCTGATATCTATTCCACAGTTCTAGTCCAGATCTCAATCGACCGGGCAGTTGGCATGAATAGAGGGGTAAAAGATAAGCAGCGCGTGGTTGAAAACACAAGACGGGGAAGAATCTCTCATAGGTGGCGTCAGTCTGCCATTCCATCCCTTCAGTTCGTCCTTGTCTATCTATCTACATCGTACCTACTGCCCACCTATCCATATCGTGTGATTGTCCATTAGGTGACTTGCCGACGGACGACATCTCATTCTCCGCTCCGTAAGCGCTTCTACGAGGGAAAAGTTCGTCTCGCGCCTTTCCCGTTCCAGAACTATTACAAGACATTCATGCAGCCTACCTAGCCGACGAGGAGAGGCGTCTCGGCTAGGCTGTTGTCGTTCGGGATATATATTACCTATTTGTCTTGTATGGTATCTGTTAGTTCGCTGGAGATAGACTCCAGACTCATGGCTCTATCTCTGGCCCACTGAACCACTTTGTTCAATATCCATTCCTACAGGATAGAGTTGAGCAGCCGTGCAACATCACGTACTGTAGCAGTGCCCAACGGGCGTGCAGCGCGATCAGTCGCAGTCGCACACACAACCCATTGCAACCTAAGCTTCGGATGATCTCCATCATGAATAGCCACCCCGCGGTCCAGTAGCCCAACCAGTGTGTCCAGCCATCCGATCGATACTGGCAGATGACCCTCACAGCCCGTCGGCTCGATGGTCACTTGGAGCGGGAACTAGGGTCGATCAGGACCGTGCACGCGGCCGTACATACATTCCACGTCTGGCGCTGTGTCGCACCATTAACCGGTTGTATGACCTTCCTGTACGAAATCTTGTTCTGTATTTGAGCTGGGCCATTGGAGGGATTTCAGCTGGGACTTGCTGTTGAAGACTGTAGACTGCGGATTATAGAGTCTGATCGGGAAAATCTCCGAGTGATCCGAGTCATGAGAGACGAACTGGACTTTGTTGGGGAGTGATCACCGACTCAAAGCCATTTTGTTTCAGTCCATTCAAAACAACCAGATACTTGAATTGAATGGTCGAGAGTACTGATCCAGCAGACCACAGTCGTTCACAGTATCAACGGTCCGTATAATGTCGTCTTTCTCATCCAACTCCATACGGAGTGATCTTCGATACGATAGGTCTAGTCAAATGCCCTATTCGAACCAGCCTGACAAGCAGCCTGTCTGTCCTCATAGACGCAACGGTCCGACCAGCAGCTGACCATCCACTTATGTTGAATCGGCAGCGATTGATAGCACTCGCACTCGCAAGCTGGATCTAACCGGAAAGAATTCCGAATACCCTCACCCCGCAACCATCCAAGGACCAGTCGCAACACCACTCGAGAGGAAAGAACAAAAGCAACCAGTAGGCACACGAATGATGCGCGCAACCACCATAGACCCTAAGGGTATTGCCTCCGAGTCCTGACAGCTCCGACAGTCCAAAGTCCAAGCAGTGGGTTCCACGGACCGGATAAAAAGGGCGTCATGTCATCCATCACCTTAATTCCCAGCTGTGGCGAATACAGAGTGCTGCAAACTTGACCCTGGTAGCTTGTTTCTATGACCTCAACACGGTTGAGTTCGGTAGAAGCCGGTGGCGTGGGCGGACCATGAGTATGAGTATGATGATTAGATCAGACAATAAACTCGTAGCCAAAATAACCATGCAAACCTTATTCTGCGAATGTTGGCTGATAGACTGGGGAAGTTGAAGATGCGATTCGAACATCCGATAGATGACTTATTCAGTTATTTGGCAATTGACCCAGGGCTGAATTCGGCCGAGTGGGTGATCTTTTGGTTTTTGTCAATCCTAACCGATCGATTGCCATGTATATACGAGTTTTGAACTTGATATTGCTCTCGGCCCGGTTTTCACCAGCAATAATATCAGATTTCAAGCATTATTATTGATTTTTAAGAACAGTTGCACATGCTGTTCGGATATGGATCATGATGGGTAATTGATTGTTCATTTTGTTTACTAAGACCAACGATAAGAGTCCCGGGAGACTCACCGGGCTGGCCAGACTACTCCGTAATAACCCCCTCCATAATGAGTAATGGAACTCGGTCAGAGCCCTAACCACTCATCAGTCAGCACACTGTCACGGTTAAGGCAACATGACAAGATACACCAAAAATATCGAAAGTGATATATCATAGATAACTATGGACAACTATGGAATAATAATCAAAAACCATAAGTTTGTACAGTAGCAGAAGATATCAAGAAGAAATGGATTGTTGCAACTTGCAACAATGGCTATACTCTATAAACGGCAACTCGAACTACCGGGCTAGACCACCTGCAACTTGCATACAAGCATAACCCCACAAAATCCAGCCAACAAGAAGATTTTTTCAGTGCCCTTCGGTGGCCCACTGCGTACGTACCTTACTTTAGGGGTTCAAGGAAGATTCCACATGCTTGTGAAGTGTGAACATGAACAGATCAACAGAATCATATGAACAGTGGAGTTTAGGATATTGATATATTATCTATTTATATTTATGATTTTATTTTATTTATTCTATCCAGATAACTACAGAGTACTTCTCTAGGAGGATTGGCAAAAGTTACTCCGCATTTTGACCACGCCATGCAGCAACCAGTTGTCCAATGTATGCAGCATAATAGCATTACCTACAGAGTAAGAGTAGGCCAAGAGCCTAGCCACTACCGGTCAGCAATGGTTGCCAGGTGAAAAAAAAAAAGAATACTCTGTAGTCTGTGCTCTGTAGAATTGCGCTAGTTTGAGGAAAGTGAAAGAATCCATGGATGGCCGAGCCCTTGCAGCCCCACTCCATGGTCAGCTGCCAAACTTGATTTTGCAGGTGGATACAAAGAGATCCTACGAGTCTACGAGTCTATGACTGTACTACCGAGTATCTATCTACAGAGTACACTGTACAGTAATAATATGGGATTGAAGAAAAACAAATAACAAGTAAATCATAATGTGTGAATCCTGTATGGAGTAAATGGAGAAAAATCATCTTCAATTTCGGATAAAAAAAAGAAACAATAGAATCAATAAATCCATTTGTCAGGAAAAACACAATAATAATAGACCCAAGTACTAACTACAGTACGTTACCTTAACTACTGCTGACCAGACCATGGGTGGTGAGCATGCACGGTTCTAGACTCTGGGGATCAACCGCAAGCAGAATTTACCCGATCACACCTTTTTTTTTTTTTTTTTTTTTTTTTTTTTTTTTCAATGGAGTTCTGTCCGGTTTGTCTGTTTTGGGTCTTCCGCTACACTCTCCCGTATAAATCTTGGGCTCTTCAATCCCTCCCACCCCCATCCCCTCCAAAAAAACTATTCTCTTTCTCCCCCCTGGGATGCTCTCTACCATCAGATACATCTCATCTAAAGCATAAGAACTCTAATATCCTCATCTTCACCCCGTCTTCCAACTCAATCCCCGAACCTTTATATCTCTTGCCACTTCCATGACATCACCTGATCTACTCGTCCGAGTCTGACGCATAGTACCGTACTCTCGACATCATACAAGTCGGGAAATCAAGGAATCCATTACCATCAGACCACTCCCCGCACATTATAGAGGCTATATCTCAAATCTCACCCATCCCCCACAATATCTTCACCATATACAATTCACAATCTTATCTCAAACTGGCCACTGTGAACAATCAAATCGCCAATTGACCCCGGAAGTACCGCCAAGATCCCCATCACCGTATCATGGCCGTTACCCTCACCACTACCTCGTCCATGAATAAACGCTGGCCCCCGCTGGCCGACAAGTCCTCGCTTCCCTTCAAGCTCACCACCCTCTCCAAACAAAAACTCGCCCGCGAGGCCACGGCCCCGGACCCGGACATCCGCCGATGTCTCGGCCACTTCCGTCTCCATTGCACCTCCATGGAGTGGGCGCAGCGCGATATGACCTCCCGCATCAACTCGTTTGACCTCGAGGACTCTGAGTCCGAGGAAGAGGAAGAGGAGGAGGAAGAGAAGGAGGCAGCAGAAATCAAGATTGAAGAGTCCAAGACCACGAACACTGTCACGAGCGCCGAGATTAACGCGTCGGTGGAGCCGGAGAACAAGGAGCAGACAAAGCTCCATGTGAGTTTTGAGGTGGCCGTCGCTCATGTCGATGTGCCAGAGTCGACAACAACCACATCATCCAACACCACACCGTCGCCAGAGAAAGAAGGTCTGCTTGAAAAGGGCCGCAGTTGTCTCGAAAAAACCGTACAGATGAAGAACTTTTGGCCGGCGAGGGGACCGTGTCTCCCTGTTCGCATTGCCGGTTGATTCCTCGTCCTCACTACCTCATCATCTCTCTACTCTTGTCCCTTTCTTTTATTTTTTTAATTCCCACATCTCACCTCTCCCCTTCGACACAACCGGCGTGACGACAGGAACTCAACAAAGAAACCTTAATTCCGCAACCTCAGCCTCATCACCACACTACTTCGACTACCTACCCCCCTAACCTACTTAATGACGAAGTTACGACGTTACGATTTCTTTTCTATCAACAAAATGGGTCGCAAGCAAGCCAGCAAATCGATCCTCTTGATGAGGCAATCGTGGTCGGAGTTTTATGTTCAATTCAATCCAATTCAATTCAGGATGTATCTTAGTACTATCACTGCTATGGGCATATATATCTACCCATATTATACATTAAAATATTTAAATAATCAGCAATAAAAATCAGAAAATCTGACACACATATCCTCCACATTCCTACAGTGTACAACTTACAAGAGAGTCGGAAGTCGGCACTGTGAACGAACTCCGCTCACTAATAATACCCACAGGGCCACAACTCACAAGTAAAAGTCAAGTCACGAGAACCCCCGAACGCGCACTTCTCGCCCGCGCCAAGCTGCCTCCGACTCCACTGATCGGCCTCCTCCACAATCCTCCGTACTCCGTAGTCCGTAGTTACTACGGATAGTTAGTCCATACTCATAGTCCATACTCCATAGTCCATACGCTTCGTTGCTTACTCTCTCGAACTCTATCTACTGATACTACTAGTAGTGTAGTAGTCTAGTAGTTTAGTAGTTTAGTACAACTCAGGTCTCAGAGACAAGAGGCAAGAATCAAGAGTCAAAAGTCAGTCAGGACCGAGTTCATCGTCATCGTCATCGTCATCGTCGTCGTCGTCTTCCTTACCTCACCTGTAGACCACCCTGTACTTAGTTGGTACTTACTAAGTTACTACTCCGTACATCCCAGTTGACACGACTACCAGACTGAGCCGAGACTCACTAGTCACTCCGCCCCCCCCCCCCCCCCTCCCCCGAAGACCGAATTCTTTCCTTTTCCTTGTGTTATGGAGATGGGGATGGGATGGGATGGGATGGGATGGGGGGTTTCCCCATCAATCAATCATCTTTTGTACTCTGTACACTACGGTGTACGGACTACGGACTCATGGTCATGGAGGGATTGGATGGATTGACGCTGGGTGGATTTCGGTACCGGGGACAGACTGACAGAGTACAAAGTATCTACAAAGTACCTACAGAGTACCTACAGAGTACCTACAGAGTACAGACAGGTTGAGCCTGAAGTTGACCTCGTTAACGGAGTACTTGAAACAAAGTCTTGTGTGGAAATGCGGGGGTGGTCTTGGTCTTGGTCTTGGAAAAGGTTCTACGCAGAACAAAGGGTTTCTAGGTTCGGGATATAGATAGAGTTTACGGATAGTAGTAATATCTGCTAATCTACTATCTACTATCTACTATCTACTATCTACTGTCTACCAGACTTGCCAACTGTCAGTTGTGCGGAACTACTCACAGTGTGGGAGGGTTGAAATCAATGAATACTTTATATCTGTCATAATTCCATAATTAATATTGATAAAAGAATGGTTGAGAAACTAATTTCCAACACCGCTATGCTCCACAAATGATAACGCCCGCTAATGACACAAAAATCAGGCAAGTTCATCCTCATCCCATCCCAGCTGCGCGTAGATCGACTTCTCCGGCGTCACCGGCACCGCTGAGACAGTCGGCACCGCTAACCTAGCAGCTGCCCCCTTCACCGGCGTCGTGAGGATCGCTGCCGGGGAGGCTGGAGGGCCAGTCCCCATGAGGAAGGCCGGCACGCTGGGCGGCCTCGGCGGAGTCTCCATCACCGTCGACGGTTTGAGTTCCGCGGGTGGGAGAGGGTTGGAAAATATGCATCGCGATACCGGCGTGGATGGCGCAATGTCGGAGTCTGTAGACCGGGGCTCGGGCCGCTGAGGGACGCGGAAGAGATTCTTCGCGATCCCCGGAGACGCCTCGGTCGCGTCCATCAGCACCATCGAAGGCGCAGGCCGCCGAGACGGCGTCTCCTGCACCGCACCGTGATCATGTTGATTTGTGTCAAAGGGCAGAGCCAGAGACCCAGGCGCAGACGCTTTTGATAGGAAACTCGGACGAGTGACAGACGCAGGAACAACTTGCGGATCTCCAAACGGTGAAGATCCATTCTTGCTTACGGACGGCCGGACCAGACTCCGCGGCAGCGCAGGCAAAGCGTCCTTCTTGCGGTGGCCCCGGGGAGTGGCCATGACCTGCACACCCTGTCCGAACGGGTTGCGCACCGGGTTCTTAGGTTTTCTCGAACTGCCACTCGATGTCCGCTTGTCCGCGTCCTCGGCGATATCCTTCGCCACAAGTTCTCGGTTTGGCTTCCGCAGCGCGTTGATCGCCGCATCCAGCTCTTTCTTCTGCTCCATCAGCATTTGAACCTTCCGGAGTTTGGCTTCGTGCTGGCGAGTGACAGCATTTAGATCGACTTCGCGGTTCTCCGCCCGTTTTGCCTTCTGGATCCCCCCTCTCACGCTGGTGCTGAGCATAGGCAGCAACGGCTCCACCGACTCGCGCTTGGCGTCCAGCTGCGAGGGTACCGTGTTGGATCGGCCCAGAGAGGGCTGGCGTTTCTGCGAGGCTGTTTGCTGATCGGTAAGTACCCGCTGCAGAGACCGTCGGGGATTTCTCTGCGTCGACGAGCGCTCGACTGGTTTTCCAGCTTCACCACGAGATGTCTTTTTTGTGTGCGACTGCTTCGTGATGGGCGATATGCCTGAGACACCGAGCTTGCGAGTAATCACCTTGCATCTGTCCGGCAGACGTGAAGCATAAAATGGAATGATGACCTCAGTGCAGAAGTCCCGAACAGCATCGCTCTCCACCTTCCTGCCGGTTTCGCTGTCAAAGGACCGGGCTGAATCCGCCATCACGCTGTCGCCAGTACTAACGGCATGCCAGATACACAACCGATCAAGATGGAGCTCAAGCAGCACGTCCAGATCCTGAGATTTTTTTTTAAGCTTAGTCTTGGGTGCGTCTAATGGCTGGTCGGCAGTGTCGCTGCTCTTTGGCTCCTCAGTGACTGTGGCCTCCAGGGCCAGTGTCTCTAGAATGAGCAGAACCTGCAACTGCGTTTCGCGTAGTCGCAAGTCAGCAACATGTTTCTTCAGCTCTGCTTCCCGGGACGACTCCGCCGCCGGAAACCCATTGTCCGTCAGAACTCGGTCTTTCCACCACTTGCGAACGAACCCCTCCTCTTCCGGATAGAGCCCATTCTTTCCCAGCTTCTTCTTCTTGCTCTTGCGTTTCCTCGCTTGTTTTAATTCGTCTTCCGATATACTCAGGAGAACATCACGGATCGTCGAAGGTAGAGTCTCGCGGTATTTCAAATCCATCTTCTTCGCGGCCAGAATAGCTTCTCGGTAATACCCCGCGAGATCCCCTGTGCTTGTAGAACTCGACTCGATGGGCTGGAAGGCAGCACGGCAACGCGCCAGAGGGCCTTTGGCGAAGTATGCCACAGACGTCTAGAACATGTTAGAAACCATCAAATTCAAGGGACGGGTTTCACACACCTTGGAGATGTAGAGGGCTTGTAAGTACTGATCCCGCATAGCATCCAGCAGCTCCTGCGGCGACAGTGGCGGTTCCGTCGCCTGCGTATCGTCTCGGGCAACAATGTCCCCAAATACGTCGCCATCGTTGTCCTGAGGTCCATTCAATACAAAGGGCACCGCAACATCAGAGCTGCAGCTTAGATCCAGAGCCAAGGAAGGAGGAGCCATGGAGTGCATCCGACTGTCCATAGACGCGAGCTTTGCACCCCCGCCAACGACATCAACCGAGGCTTGGTCAAACACGAGAGAAACATCGAACCGCGCCCGCTTGGGCACCGGAGTATCCGCCGTGGGGTCGTCGATCCGCGCCAGCTCCCACCACTCCGCCCCATGCCCTGCTCCAACTGGCAGCTCGCATGAACCGTTCTGTGCACACGCAGACGGGTTCCATCCTTTGACCGCAACAAAGATATCTCCCTCGTCCACGCCCCGGACCAACTTCGAAAGCGCATAGATGCCCCTCTTGACCCGCTCAATGATATACAGGTCCCCATCTGACAGCAGCCGCACCGCCAGCACACACGGCTCCGTCCGGTCCTGCAACCCATCCTCTAGCACAGGGACGTTGGCGACGAACAGACTGCCGCTCTGGAGCTGCGAGGACGCGGCGGGAGAATCGAGCCATGAGAAGGGGACTCGGGAGCGCGGGACGACGGCGATGGGTTCGAGGAGGTATGGTTCGTCTGATAAAGCTGCGGCGTGGGCCTGCCAAATGACCGGAGAGCGTTAGATTAGAGTGCGGAAAGCTGGGGGAGAGATTTGAGTCGTTGCAACTCACCCGGATGCTGATTGTCTGTCGTGATAGCTCCCCTGCAGCTGCGTGGTATGTCTTGCGTTTCTTCAAGGGGGGATGAGAGCTCGAGAGATCATGGATTCTGTTCAGCGAAGCTGAACTGAGGGTTTCGAGGACGCCGGAGGATCCACGCGAGGCCATGGACGCGTTTATCGAGAATCATGCATTGTACGCTAGGAGGGAAGGATTGATCGATTGCAGAATCAGCACAGAGAATGGTATAGACTATGATCACCCGCTCGAACCAATTCTTACTGCGTAGTTGTGTCTGAAGTTCGTCAAGTACTGGTGGTGGTGGGGAAGAAACTCCTTCATGGCGTTTTGTCGCGACGGCAAGGCTTGGCGTCCGTCACGCGTTTCGTTGCAGCGACAACTGGCGGAATGCCTTCACTACTTGAAGACCTTCAGATGACACAGTGTGAAAGGAGAAATATCGAATACTCTTCAACCAGAGATTGTTTAGTGTTGTGTAGGTGCAGGAGGAGATTTGACCCATACACGCATTGCATGTATCTTCGTCCCCAGAATACACAGATATTGGACGCGTCACAATTTCCTCTTTGGGTAACATTACAACTCCCTTCACAGAATTCGAATGGTTCGGATCATTCAGATCCATCAAGACACAATTGAACTGTAGCTACTAGGAGAATTGAGTAGAAGTATCGTTGTCATTACTCTATATAGCTAATGTTTAGATTAGCATGCGGCCGTGAAAGAAGACCAAGCTCCTTCCAACAAGCCACCAAGTAGTCCTCCGTCTCGAAGACATCGTCCGGACCACACGAAACCATGTGTCACGGATTGATCTATCTAGATAGCGCTCGTAGTCTGATAGATGTCAAGCCCGGAGGAGACATGTGTTGAAGACTTTCGCTCCCAGAAACGCCGAAAACATCCCTTCCCAACAGAAGAAAGTGGTATCATGTTGAATTTATCCTCGCCCAAACCCGCCTCTTTCCGAGTGCAGGCGACCATGCAAATATAAAAAAACAAACGAAACATAAGAATCCAAACAACAAAGCTTTTTCGAAGTATGTCTATGCTCTCATGCTTTGAGTTGTTGAAAACAAAGCAAAATCATCACATTCGTCAAGAACAAGAAACAAGTTCTATGCGGCCATCGCAGAAGCGGGCACGCTTAGAACTTGAGAGCCTTGGGCTTCTCCCAGGAGAAGCTCTGGTTGGTGAAGTGACCGTTCTTGGCGGTCTGGAAGTAGATGGGCTTGGCAAGGTCGAGCTCCTTGACAATGACACCAGGGCGGAGGTCGAAGTTGTTGCGGATGATCTCGACGAGCTCGTCCGAAGACTTCTCGGAGGTACCGTAGGTCTCAACGAAGATGGAGAGGGGCTCAGCGACACCAATGGCGTAGGAGAGCTGGACGAGGACACGGCGGGCAAGGCCGGCGTTGACCAGGGACTTGGCGATCCAGCGGCCAACATAGGCGGCGGAACGATCGACCTTGGAGTAATCCTTTCCGGAGAAAGCACCACCGCCGTGGGCACCCCAGCCACCGTAGGTGTCGACGATGATCTTACGGCCGGTGAGACCGGCATCACCCTGAGGACCACCGATGACAAAGCGACCAGAGGGCTGGATGTGGTAGACGGTGCGGTCATCGAGCAGCTCAGCGGGGATGACCTTCTTGACGATCTTCTCCTTGATGACGTTACGGAGCTCCTCAGTGGTAACATCGTCGCTGTGCTGGGCAGAGACGACAACAGTGTCAACACGGACGGGCTTGACAGCACCGCCGTCGTGAGCGTACTCAACGGTGACCTGGGTCTTGGTGTCGGGACGGAGCCAAGGGATGGAACCGTCGTTACGGGCCTCCTTCATGGCAGAGTTGAGCTTGTGGGAAAGGAGGATGGTCAGGGGCAGGAGCTCAGGGGTCTCATCGGTGGCATAACCGAACATGATACCCTGGTCACCAGCACCGAGCTTCTCAAGGGCCTCATCGTAGTGGAGACCCTGAGCAATATCGGGAGACTGCTGCTCAATGGCGACAAGAACGTTGCAAGTCTTGTAGTCGAAGCCCTTCTCGGAGTCATCGTAACCGATGTCCTTGATAGCGCCACGGATGACAGCCTGGTAGTCGAGTCTGGCCTTGGTGGTAATTTCACCGAAAACCATGATCATACCTGTTGATGGTCGGTTAGCATGGAATTTATTTCCACAAGGAATGGACAGGAACGCCAATTGGCAACATACCAGTCTTGGTAGCAGTCTCACAAGCAACCTGCATTGGTTGTTAACAAATATTGGTTCTGGCATGGGCAAAAATTCGGGCGGGACCGGGACCGGCCCAATAGAAGGGAGGAAATTTTTTTTTTTGAGGGGTGCAAGGGGAGAGATTGTACCTTGGAGAGAGGATCCTCAGCAAGGCAGGCATCGAGAATAGCATCCGAGACCTGATCACTATTCAATTGTTAGTTCTAAGAATTGCAAGACTTTCTTCACTATAGGACACCTATGTCACAAAGCAGGAAACACTCACGCAATCTTATCAGGGTGACCCTCGCCGACGGACTCGGAGGTGAAGAGGAAAGTGTTGGACTTAGCGACGCTGCCCATTGTGAATGAGAGATGTGTGGATTAGGGGGAGAAAGGAAGAAAGAAGACAAAAGGAGGGAGGGAATGGAAGATATGTAGTAGAGGCGGGTGGGGAGGAGGAGGAGGAGGAGGAGTAGGAGGAGGGAGGAATAAATGATACAAGTAGTAAAGGGGGGAATTTGACTGTTGAGGAGGGGAAAAAGAGAAAACGAGGAGGGGATTTTGGCCGTATTAATGAGGCCCCGATGGCGCCATCTTGCTCCGGCGGTGAGATCCGGCAGAAAACACACCTGCCCGCTTCGTGCTCTCACTTTTTCTACCGAAGTCCGAAAGGATCGAGGCACCAGAGGAGCAACCAGAGAAGAGACCAGACTCGTTAATTCTACTCCGTACGCCAATTCGTTTCCTTTGCAGTGACAAGGATCGTTTGAATAGCTGACCGCTGTACAGTCAGCCTGTTGCGACTGCCAAAACCTCAGCCGTGTTGGATGAACGAATCATCGGAGTTGGAACGACAACCTCCTACTATCACCTATTATTGCCTATCTACGGAGTACGTACTAACCCGGGTACCCAAGGTACTTAGCTGCAATCACGCTCGTACCTCCGCGTATTGCGACTAGGCTGCGATAAAATCTTTATCCGATATAAGCCTAGGGGCCAAAAAAAATCTCACAGGAAAAAAAAAAAGAATAAGAAAAAGAACAGAAAATAATGTCGAAGTTTGGCGTGCTGGTAATGGGCCCCGCCGGTGCCGGGAAAACCACCTTTTGCAGCGCCATCATCCAGCAGCTTCAAAATACGCGCCGCAGTTGCTTCTACGTGAACCTTGACCCAGCCGCCGAAAGATTCAACTACGAGCCGGACCTGGACATCCGCGAGTTGATCACCCTCGAAGATGTTATGGAGGAGCTGGAGCTCGGCCCCAACGGCGGCCTGATCTACTGCTTCGAGTTCCTGCTACAGAACCTCGATTTTCTGTCGCAGGCGCTCGATCCGCTGAGCGAGGAGTACCTGATCATCTTCGACATGCCGGGCCAAATCGAGCTGTACACGCACATCCCGCTGCTGCCGTCGCTGGTGGAGTATCTGTCGCGGCAGGGCCCGCTGAACATCAACCTGTGCGCCGCGTACCTCCTCGAGAGCACCTTTGTGGTGGACAAGGCTAAGTTTTTCGCGGGCACGCTGAGCGCCATGTCGGCCATGCTGATGCTGGAGATGCCGCATGTGAACATCCTGAGCAAGATGGACCAGGTGCGGGATATGGTGTCGCGGAAGGAGCTGAAGCGATTCGTCAACGTTGATATGCAGCAGCTGCAGGACGAGGATGAGGACGGGGCCGCGGCGGAAGAGACGGTCGAGGGCGACCCCAGTAGCACGGAGACGGTGTTGAGCGGGGGGTCGTTCAAGCGGCTGAACCGCGCGGTGGGCCAGCTGATTGACGACTTCAGCATGGTCTCGTTCCTCAAGCTGGACGTGCAGGATGAGGATAGCGTGGCTGCGGTCCTGAGCCATATCGACGACGCGATTCAGTTCCACGAGGCGCAGGAGCCGAGGGAGCCGCAGGACGAGCAGGAGGTGGATTTCGAGGAGTGATGGACACACAAACGAAATGGGCATTGCCAAACCCCCCTATCCAAACAACCGAAAGACGTTGCAGCGAGCAGATGCGTCTGTCATGGGAATCGATCCCGATATGAGTTGCGACTTGAATCGAAAAATCGGCGTCAGCAGCGGACTCGCCGTGACTACCGCACGGCGTACATACCACAGCCATGCCCGAGTCAGAGTCAGAGTCAGAGTCAGAGCCCGAGCCAGGCCTGGCTCCAGCTCCGGTCGCTCGACCACAGGTCTAACTACGCCTACAGCTACGATCACACAGTCACTATACGATACCAGAACCAAAAAACAATGAACAAGATGAAATCACGAGTCTCATAATCATAACGTAGCATGGCCCTTCCAAGCCCAACGCACCAAAAACACCGATATAAAAAAGAAAAGAAAAAAAATCACCGCGTCACCCTCCCCCCTCTCCTCCCTTCAAAGCCCCCATACCCATACCCCTTCTGCACCGGCACTTGCGCCTGCCCCTGCCCCTGCCCCTGCGCACCCTCCAAAAAATCCCCCCCAAACCCCCAAACGACCCCCACCAACCACCCGAAATCCCTCGCCGCCCTCTCCCACCCCACCGCATACACATACGCCGCAGCACCGAGCACACTTCCCCAGAAGAGCACGCGCACGACCACACGCACCCAGAACATGACGACACGGCGCGCATAGTCCAGGATCTTCAGCGACACGAACAGGATGAGCAGCAGGAGCAGGACGGAGATGAGGTCTGGGGTGGAGGAGGAGAGGAGCGCGGCGAGCGGGTTGACCAGGTACGGCGTGAGGTAGTCTGAGCGGAGGGCTGCGAGGGAGGGGATTGTGGTGAGGGTGGGTGGCCAGGCGAAGGCCCAGGAGGGTGGGAGGAGGCGGGTGAGGGTTTGGAGGGTTGGGTGTTGGGTTAGCGGGTGGAGGTATTCTGTGGCCGGTGTTAGTTGGCGGTCTGTCTGGTCTTTTGTTTCTGATGGAAGGGATGGAAGAATGGATTGGTTTATTGGGGGGGGGGGGAAGTGAAGGGGGAAGATGGACCTGGGAGGTAGTTTTCCATTTTTGGTGGTGAGGGTAGGAGAGTGGTTTGGTTTGGTTTGGTTTGGTTTGACTCGGTCTAGAAATGGAAGAGGTTGACTTTGATTGTGAAGGATGGATAATGTCTAGAGAGGAGATGGTTTCATGTCTTGACTCGAGGGATGTAAGACAGGTCTTATATACGAGGCCGTCCAGAGGCAAAGTGTTCAGATGGCAGGTATAGAAGCTCAAAGCAAAGCTGGAGAGATAAAGAAAGCTGGAACAAGGAAGAGACAAACAGCGCAAACAGCCCGATAAGGTTGACTCATCCACCTCCAGTCTACTATCTACTTAGCATACCTAGTACTAGAGGACAGCAAAGAATAGAACAGAACACGTATGCGAGTACTCCAGAGGATACCTAGTATTAAGATTCGATATGATATGTTATAATGGGAAAGATATGGCCACTCAGTGGCTGACATATACGTGATCATCCCGCAAGCCGAGGCCAAAATGAGTAGTATAACGACAATGACCTGCATGGCAGCAGGCACCCACTCCCCAACTCCATACATGCTATATACAAGAGTACAATATTAGTTCTACTAAGCCATCAAGGCCTTGAATGCTTCCCGCTCGGCTTGGATCTCTGCCTGGAGTCTCCGAGTCTGGCGCAGCGCTTCGTCTCTACACGTCGTGGGTTAGCCTCGTTAGGAGCAATTGAGAATAAAAGAGATACGTACCGGTCAGATTGCAGCTCGGCCACCTCGATCTGAGCCCGGTTCATCCGACTGACCACCTCCTCCATCTCCGTGTCCGCATCCCGGAGGAGCTTCTCCAGCTCCTTCACCCGCTTCTCGAGAGTCTCCGACTGGATCGCCTCGGTGAGGGGCATGCCCTCGCCGCTCGTCGTCTTGTCGAGGCGCGGTGAGCGCGCGCCGAACGGTGTGCTGGGCGGTTTAGGCGACAGAGCCGCTGGGCTGCGGGATCCATTCCGCATGCGCATCAACTGCGCGTTGTGGCTGACCTCGAGGTTGCGGATTTCCTCTTCGTGCCGCGCCATCTCGTCCTCGGAATGCTGCTGCGCCATCAACAGCGTGTCTTCCAGATCCTTGAGCCGCCCCTGCAGCTCGTTGATGCGTGTCGCCGAGAGCTGCTGCTCCATCTCGCCCTTGCCGATCGCCTCGGCCAGCCGGCTGCGCAGCGAGCTGTTTCGTTGCAGCTGCTCCTGCACGTCGCTGCCCAGCGCGTCGGTGCGGCTGACGGACGCGGCGAACTCATTGCTCTCCACCAGCGGCGAGTGCGAGGCATGTTCCCGGTCGGCCTGGAGTTGCTTGAACGCCGTCTCCAGAGAGGAGGAGGTGGCGATGACCTCGGCGAACCCGTCACGATCGATCTCAACGCCGTCAGGGACACTGATGTCGTGCTCTTGGAGCAACACTCGCAGGGATGTGGTCTCCTGCTCGGCACGGTCCAGGTCCATCTTCAATCCCGCGAGTCCCTTCTCACACTGCCACTTCTGGTCCAGGGCGTCTTCCGCACGCTGGCGCAGATGGTTTACCTCTTCCCGGAGGTTGCGCACCTCTCGCTCGTACCCCAGCTTGCGCGGGGAGCCCGCTTCCTGCGCACGAGCTAGCTCCATTTCTAGCACCCTCGTTCGCTTTTCGTACTCACGGGCCTGCTGTTCCTGGCGCAGGAGCATGTACCGCAAAGCCTGGTGCAGCGCGTCCCGCTGCGCCTCGACGTCCTCCATACGATCCGCCAACGTTTCGCGGTTCTCACGGTCCTTTGTGGACACGGAGTTCGACCGCGAGAGGGAATTAGATCGGGACAATCCGCTCGGTCCGTTAGGTTTCGAGTGCATCCGCGCTAGCGAGTTTGACCGCGAGAGACCCAGTCCCGAGATCCGCCGAGGGGGCATTCCATCCTCCTCGGCGATCGAAGCGAATCTGCTTCCTTGCAATTGAGCTAGCGAAGCATTCTCGATCTTTAACGCTTCGATCTCGCCTAATAATCGCTCGATCTCGGATGAGTCAGGCGCAGGTGCGCTTTGTGGCGGCGGCGGTGGCTGCTGTTGCTGCTGTTGCAACTGAGGTATTACATTGTCGCGAAGATGATCGCGCTCGTTCCGCAGCTGCTCCAACTCCACTCTCATCGCGGTCAGGAGATCTTCAAAGTTATCTTTGATTTGCCTTTCCTCCGCCAGTTTCCGGCGGGTATCATCCAGAACCAACTCCAGCTCCCGAGCTTTGGAGGATAAATCAGAGGATTCTACTCTTTCTCGTCGGAGCTATTTCACATTAACATTAGCCCAGTGCAAGGGCACATACAATCACACACAAACACCTACTTGATGGACTTGCGATTCTAGAATCTGAACGTGCGACTCCGTTGCCGCTCTCCGGGCTCTTTCTTCCTGCCACTTTTGCGACAGCTCAATCTTGAGCTGTGCGCGTTCCTGCTCAGCAGATCGCTTATACTTTTCCAGATCGTCAATCTTCCCATTCGCGTCGTAAATGTATCGAATGGAGGCTCCGGAGTCCGAAAAATAGTCACTGGTGCGCCGATTGGCCGCGTCCGTGGGCATCTCAGATTGCAGTCGCTCCACCAGATCCTCCAACTCCATCTCCCGGCGGATGGAGCCTGCCAGCTCGGAGCTGATTTCTCGCAACTCATTTTCTAATTCCGCCAGCTTGGAGGCGGTTCCGGCATCGAAGACACTGGCACTGCTCACGGATGGGTTTCGCACCGGTAATCGGGTGGGATCAAACGGCACGGTGGTGGCCGGGGTGATAGAGAAGTGGGAGGTGGGTACAGAGGGCGGCATGGGGGATGGGAGCGGCGAACGACCCGAGTCGGAGATCTCAGTGCTCGAGGACTCCGCGCCGGGAGAGGTGGTGGTTGCTTTCCAGCCAAAGAAGGAACTGATTTTGTTTCCGGGGGTCTTGGGCTGCTTGAGATCCAGCGACCCGGCCGACGATGCCCGTTCGCCGGAGTCGAGGCGCAGAGAGGGTGGGCGGTTGGAAGCCGGGTGCAACGCCATGGTTTGGGCGCGCCTGTGGCCCACAGGGGAGCTGAGGATGGGGATGAACGGTTCGCTGACGAGACGGCTATGCACAGGGGTTCCATTCGAAAATTGCGTGGGATAAGTGACCTCCTCGTCGTCCTCCCCGTGCCAGTAGGATGCGGAGGTATCTATCCGAAGAGGGGGAGCGGAGGGACCACCTCGAGGAGATCTGGGGAAGAGCAACCGAAGCAGAAGGTTAGTTCTATAAACGTCCGAAGGAGGATGCGGAAGGGGGCATGTGAGATCTGATCCATCCAACAATCACAAGGTACAGATTGTTTTGAGGGGAGGAGCAGACAAAGGGTCTGAGACAGGGAAATGATAGTCAAGGGGGGTGGATGGGTGGGTGGGAAGAGAAGAGCATGCGAGGGGGGCCAGCTGAAGACCATGCACGGGGGCAGGAGGCTGCGGGGAGACTCAATGCTGCCATACCTATCTAGATCTTTTGGTACGAATAAGGAAGCGTCCTCCTCATACACAGAGGAAGCAGCAGAAGCAATAGAGTATGAAGAAGAATGAGAAGTGGGTATATTGGTTTTGACCACCACGGGGGAAGAGGATACAGCTCTGTCGAGCTGCAGGGAAGGATCCACAGCCGTCTTGGCCGCAGCAGACGAAGAAGCACCGGACGCAGCAGCTATATGAGTAGTCGGGACCGTAGTAGAGGACGGGTCAATAGGAGGGACGGGAAAGGACAAGACAGCCCCAGATAGGCGGGAGGAGTTCACAGGGGAAGAAGCATGCTGTTGCGGCACAGGCTTTCTGTGTACCGGAGAGGCCAAAACAGCGGCAGGGATGGCAGCAGAGGAGATCACCGAAGAAGCGGAGGGAGGAGGGCTTGGCCAACTGCTCCTAGAAGCTGTACTGGCACTACTTCCGTTGTCTCGGTGGTGGTGACGTTGTCCGGGATGATAGACACTGGGGGAAGAAGTTAAGGTGCCAGCAGCAGGCGGAGAAGGCCAGCCCACGGGCATCTTTTTGTTTTGTGTTTTAGGGAAAAAGAGAAACAAAAGACGATCAGAAGCAAGAAAGGGAAAAGGAGAAAGAGGGAATTAAAAAAAAAAAAAATGGAAATAATTAGTTTAGTCGGTGGTCAGTGATGGCGGATTGAGAGTCCTCGATCGCCGCACCCTCATGTTGACAAAGAGCACGGGGAAGGGGTTGGATGATGAGACGCGCCACCAGAGCGATTAGTCTTTTAAGGGATGGATTGTTGACCGGATATAGTAACAATCGGAGTCGCAGAGATCAGGGGGGTTGGACTAACTCTGTCAGTTCACTCAGTTGGTGTATTCAGTGAGGGTTATTGGAGGAATCAGAATGGGCATTGAGGAAGATCCCAGGGGGTCGAGAGGAAGCGAAGCGGCAGAACTGAATATTAAAGGAGAACCATCCTATCAGACTATCAGAAGGTCAGAACTATCTAACTATTCAGTCTAAGAGGAAGAAGAAGCAAGAATTAAGAAGTTCCCAGCCGAAACAGTAATCTGGTTGGTCGAGAATCCTTTTTTCGTCTGCTGCACAGACAATGTGGAGACGCTTTAAAAGTAGTCGTATCTTTAGCATCTTTAGCATCTTTAGCATCTTTAGCATCCAGGCCAAGAGTCCCGTTTGATATGATATGAGGACGGCGATTGGACTTGCGCATATCAGATCAGGATTCTAACTACTCCGTATATGAACCCATCCACAGAATCAATCCGAATATGGACGCTGTTTGACTCGAATAGGATTCAGCTCCGACACCCTTCTCTCATCTCAGGAGTATCAAAAGAGCAACAGCTTTACTCTGTAGTCTCTCAGCTGTAGACGGTGGACGTCACAGTCATACTAGATGGACGCTACTGGCCATTCCATTGAGACACTTTTCACAAATCAGACCATCTTCTCTTTGATCTTCCAGCCTAAGAATGACTTTCCGAGTATGTGCTCAAGTGCTCAACTAGCCCGGGCCGATCGGCAGACCATCCTCCAAGTGGAGAGCGACGGGTTTCAGGGGTAATTTGACCTCAACCTAGGCGGCTATGCCAAACATCTAATAGGCGAGAGACACGATACACTGGACTCTGTAACTCCGTCCTCCATTAATGAACTTGGCCATTATTATTATTATTGCATTATTGCATTATTGCATTATTGCATTATTGCATTATTGACATTCATCGATCAGTGTTCATCTGCCTGTATAAAACCAGCATTAAGCGCCCCTTCTGCTGCAGAAAACAAGTAACCATCACTTACACAGTAGAAGTGGTTTTGATCAAACAGCGTCTGTTTGCCCTCTCTAAACGCCTGTCAATAATATGATAGCTTTATATTCTAAATATATCCTGTAGTCCAACCGTGGCTTGCTTTATTGTCTGACTATTGAACAGGGGATCGATGCTTGATTGATTCACTCCAGAAGTCCAAATAAGGCAACCTGCAGGGGAGACTGATTCATTGAGACATATTCATCACATCTAGACCATCATCCACGATTGCACCAGTATGCTTCGTATGTAGGCTACGGTTGTATCTCCTACTCACTGCTCAGCATATCGATTGCTCAGGCACTCTGGTACTCTAGCACTTCTACCAGATCCTCTACACGGTGTCGATGGATTTAAACTCATGGCCAATGCAAACCTTGTATGGTTAGACAACCCGACGGTAGCACCCCACATTCTTTGCAGAGTACTTACATTCCGGTCAAGCCTCTTCTTTTGACGGCATGGCTGCATTGAATGGTGATCACCACCCGGGAGTGAATCAAAGGGCTGCGAAGGCGACCCCTCAGCCATGAAATACCTCCCTCTTTCCCTCTCTGACTTACTTCTGTATTTTACCCGCATTCTCTAGGTATACGCCTCTATATATAAAGATGCACCCTCTGTGAATAATCGTCCACGTCTACCCAAAGTGCCCCAAGTCTGCCACTCCTCGGCTCTCTCAAGACAAGGGAAACCGCGTCCCATTCTGTCTTGGGTCATCTTTGTGTTATTCTTCTTCGGATACACGAACTACTATATCCATCGGTGCATACAAGGTGTAACCTGCGCGAAAAACGCGCAAAAGTCCTCTTGTGTTACGAGGATGGTCGTGTTATTACGAGGCATTCCCCATCAGCTGCACTACAAGGGCTAGAAATCACAGAGTTGAACGATGAAGACAACAATTGATTGAAGGACAAATGGAGACTTCCTTGTATTTGAGGGAAAAATTGCTCTTCTAGGGCGATACCCAAAACATGACAAGCCGAATTTTTCATTTGGGGAGCTACGGAGTAAATCCAGATCGCTGTCTCCCCTTGAGCTCTGCTGAGGAGAGTGTGAGCTGTATCAACTGGAGGAAGAAGCAGCTGGAGATACTGCTTTCCCGGCATTCAAAGGGCCGGGATGAAACCAGAGAGGATCAATGATACTTCCAACAGTATTACCTACATTATCAAGATCTCAAGATAATTTCATGACATATTCAGGGTCATTCCAATTGGCTTTCTGGCCGACTGTTAGTAAACCAATCTGATTTCCATACTGCTATGACTAATAACAATACATTTTTCTAGGATGTCGATCATACCTATGAGATTAAAACATATCACTATTTTCCACCTCATGAAAGAGCCAACCTTCCTAAAGATCTTCAAGTCAAATTCTCGCAGTCCTATGGCCCAGAGGATCTTCCACTGCCAAGTATCACTTTCCTCAACTGTCACTATGGACTAGCGGAGATACTTCACGCGTCAGGCATGGCTGAGGTCATCGAAAAGCATCTCCGTGACTGGGAGGATATCGAAGCCAACGCGCCCGAAACATTAAGCATGGATGGTAGAGCTGACATTGCTCACATGCTGGAAGTTAGGCTCTGGGCCCATGTCAGGGGTTAGAAAGAAGCCCACCAGGCCAATCTATTGATAATCACTGAGCATTAGATATGCATCGACGCTCAGGACGATGCGAAATGACTCTCTGCGCAACAGGTGACTGGGGTTTCGACCTGACACTTGGATACGAGATGCCGCTCTGATGCTACCGGTCTGAGGATTCTTGTCAGATTGACCACGCCATGATTCTGAAATCAGCGGCTGTGTTTGCCACCTCTCCAGCTCGATTTCAGTACTCTTGGCGGTTCGAGGACTTGATGAGTCCGAATGCAAAGGAAATGGTAAACGGGCAAGCATTGTGCTTAGATACACTCACGGCAATTCAGACATTACCTTGAGGAATTCCCGTGCTGTACTCGACCCTTCTGATGACAGGGCAGGAACAAGCAGACTCCAACACGATTCGGTCCGTGGAATACATAGCCATCAGCCAGAGTCCTACCTCCTTTCTCAAACATGGTTCCCTGATATGGTTCGTTGAAGATAGGAAGTTGATTTGCGTGTGATGCTGGAAGGAGGGAAGTAAATGTTGTTGAGCGTAAAGAGTGGACGGTGGAGGAAGAATGAGGAAAGGCAAGAGAGGATCACCGTTAGTCGTACATCATGATATGGCCAGGACCCCTACACTACCTGGTATTTAGGGAATTCGACTGCATGTATGGCTCATCAATCATTAAATCAGAAAGATTTGAAGGGAGAACAGAACAGGGCATTTCAGATAGTTTTAAGGGAAGGGATATGTGTCAGAACTACACAAGCAAGGTCATACACCCTGGTAACTTCTTGACAATGTCGCTTGTGGCTTGATTGCTGTGGTGAAATTTAAATGGCAGAGATGCAATATACAATATAAACAAGAATTAACGAGGCCAACGCTGGGATATCTATTGCCATACGGCCGCTGAGCAGAAAAAACAACATCAGGAAGTCAACTATACTCCCAACCATAAACGCCCTTCGCATGGTAGATAGAATCAACCAAAGAAAACAAGCGGGAAGATATCAATCAATACGGGATAAAATCGAATCTCATCCGTTCTAGTCCTGTCAGCTGCATGTTCCACCCAGCAAGGAGAAAAAAAAAACCCAACTCACCTAGATAGTGGCTCCAGCCTTCATCCTCATTCAACTGGTTCGCCCAGTACTGTTCCAAGAATTTCATTGACTGGAGCACATTCGGTACACGGATGGTGTTATGCAGCAGCGAGAGTAGCTGCCTGACCATCTCGCGGTCCTCGCCCCGCGCTTCACACCCCGCGATAAACAAGGGGGTCGTGAGCATCGTCCACGGACTGAGACCCGCCGACGGCCCGATCTGTATCGTGCACTCCAGGATGCGTTTGACAGAATGCTGCACAAGAGGCGACGCAGTAAGTGTCTTGCGAAGCCGCCGGTGGATCTGGATGAGTGCGCTGTGCTGGAAGGCTTCGTTGCAGAGCATGAATTCGCGGATGCATTCGTTCGATAGCCCCTCGCCGACGCCTGGATAGAACGTCGGATGTGCGCTAGCGTTCTGCGCCATGAGCGTGCGCACCGACGACTCGAGAATCGTTGCCTCGTTGCTGAGACTCGGCGTATCTTTTTCAATGATACCTGAATTCTGTAAGTGATGGCTCCGCCAGGCTGCGGCGCCGATGGCGCGAAAGATCTGCGACAGGTTCACCGTGAAACCCCAGTAATCATCCAGATAGTCTGGTGCGGTGATATCCCGGCTCGGACAATGCGTCGCCTCTTCGATGGGCGGCCCGTTCCCCGTCAATGCCGTCAGCGAGACTATCGACTGGTACCAACGGTCCAGATACCTGCGGAAACCCTGCGATGATCCTGGGGATTCGCCCCCGCGGCGGTTCGTCGCGAGCATGAGGGCTTTTGCGCCCTCCATGTGAGCTTGCCACGAATTTGGATGGATGGCACCCGAGTGGATCTCCGCTAGGCACAGCGTGCGGGCTGTTGCGAGCAGCGCATCCGAACCCCTGGTGCTCGGGTCCTGCAGTTCCTTGCGGAAGTGCTCCAGGCTGAGGGCCATCGACCGTGCGATGTCCGGCGCCGACTTGACATTCTCTGATTGATTGTTTACTGCCTGCAAGTGGATTGCCGACAGCGCCATGGTCGCGTATAGTAACGAGGGGGTCTGGAGGGCCATTGGCAGGAGCATTTTGCAGATATCCTTCTGCATGCCGGAGTGACATGCGGTGATCTGCGACGCATCCTGGATGAAATGGTGAAGCAATGATTTCTGCTCGGGAGATAGCGAAGAGAAGGGATCAATCGGTCGAGGGAGGGCTGGACTTGAGACCGTAGTGGGCAATTTGGTTGTGTAGATGAATTCACCGGGAGAGTATTCTGCAGAAAGTCGAACATGAGTCACGAAACAAACAGAGCTACAAACGAACACAACGAGAAGCGACTGTTAAATACACACCTAGTTTCTGCAGTCCTCCGTTCCCCATGCATGCCCCTAATCTTGACCGCGAAAACGTCCGGCCTCCCCACTGCAGCTGCATTGCATATCGACACTGTACCCCAGCCGCTTGGCAACGGCCACACACAGGGCGTTGCTCATCACATTTCTGGCGTCGGGCTTTGCACCGTTTACAGCCAGTAAAGGACCTGGACATATGAAGGGAAATGTGATCAGTCGACTGTCTATCCAGACAAGGCGGCGCTATTTGCTTTTTTCCCCCCGGAGGAGTTGGGGAGCCTCGGGATACGATCGATCTGCGGTGGATCTCCTCGTTCTTTCAACGTGGAGTGTGGGATTGTCGGAATGTAGGATGTGGATAGCACTATATGGAAATCAGGCTCCAGACTCGAGGGATTTGCGAACTAGATAGAGGAGCAGGGATAAAGAGCGCAGTAAAAGATTAGTAGATACATCTCAGGCGCTCACAGGTGGGATAGAGGAACATATGGGGATCAAGTTCATATAAGTGGGAAATGGGAATTTAACCAACGAGATAACACTGAAACTCTGTTCTGCTTAGCTTCCACTCTACTTTTTTGTGTCTCTTAGCGGCTGATCATTCTCAAAAAGGTCCACCTCAAGAGACACACTCCTGGTTCTCCTGGACAATAGGTAGACTACTTGGATTGTATCTGGGAGTTCGAGATGAAGGAAAAACACGGATAACTAGGTATACAATTTCACGCATACTGTCCGAACTATGGATCAGTTTCCAACAAATGGGTTGTTTCCCTTCCGGATACGAACGTCCCATTTGTGACGAAGTGAGACATCTGACAAACTTTGGAGTTGAACGTACCCAAGGTTGGGAATGACCCTGAGGAATTATCGAGTCAATTCCGGCACCGTATTTAGCGGTGTTACAGGAGTATATTGCCGGTTGACTCTTGGTGAAATCGTCGGCGGATGGATAAATAGATCAATAGAACCCTGATTCATATCGCTATACTGACATAGAACTGGAAGCGCTGGTAGTAATCATCTAATGCAAAATATATCCATCTCGAGCACTTAGAGACAAGAACAGACAACTCGTACTTGGTATATCACATTCCCGGAAGGGTGTTGGAAAATATTGGTAAGCTCGTAGCTTCGACTCAATGATATAATCAACCCTCGAAAGTGTACCGGAGCCATTCGCCAACCGCACGCAGACTCTCCCATCGCACAGATTCGTCCTTGTCGGCCATCAACTCCATAACCCGAGTCTTGAGCCCCAGCTTCTCCAGTTGGCCACGCCTCTGCGGCATCGCCTTGACTAGCTGGCCAACATCATTGCAACCGATCGCAAGAACTTGCTTGTCATTATCCCAGCTCTTGGACAAAATCTCGGCAAGCTTCTTGGGGAGCGCCCCATTGCCTTCGTCCAGGATTCGACGGGCATTCTCTTGCCAGAAAGTTGGGTTTCGGTGCGGCGGAGACCAGCGAAGGTGGCCCGACTGTAACTCTGCGGCATACTGATCGAACGTCGTTTGTGTCTTGGTGTATTCATCAAGCATCGCCGTCAAAGCATTGAGATCCTCCAGAAGATCTTCGTCGGTCAGATGACGGCCCGAGAGGTTGGAAAGCAAAGCTGGGAGGCGGACAAACACCGCGACCGGCAGCAAAATTGTGCGATTGGTGGAGAGGAGGTTGTTCAGAGTCGCAAGGATCAGTCGGGTGGTCTTCTCTTTGGGAGAGAGGCGCAGAAGCTGGGTATATAGTTGGATAATCTCGTAATCGCTGCAGAACGGTTGTTAGATGCGGGACTGCTTCCTCAGATAATAACCGTGTCGGATTGGGACTCACGCTTGAAGGCCCTCGCCAACCAGACCTCCCTCGAAACTCAGCTGCCACAGAACCAGAAGCACGCGATACAAAAGCTGCAACCCGACACCACCGGAAAGACCGGGCTCAACGGCCCGCGAACTGCCCGCCAGAGTGCTGGAGCTGCTATCTTTCGCGCCCGCCGCAGCACGGAGGATCTCAATCAAGGGATCAGGAGTCTCCTTCCTCTGGTTCCAGAAGATTTCCCGTGACCTCGCGGTCCGCAGCAACGCCGACAACCCCTGAACCCCGATATCCTGCAGCCCGCTGTCTTGGTTCTGGGTCAAGGTGGAAAGGTAGGTGTATAACTGCGGAAGCGCCTCTTCATCGCGCGGGGCAGACTTGGTCGAAGAACCGAGGCTAAAAGAAATAAGACTTGTTAAGAATGTGGAAGTGAGAAGCGGAATCGGATCATCGGCATTGGTCGAATGACGGAGGAGTGGAAGAAATGGCTTGTAGGGGCTGGGATGCGCGATCAGTGCCGACGCGAGAGAGGGAACATCTGCAGCAGTAGTAGATAGGATCAGTCAATGCGCACTCCAACCCCTTGGCCAGCCTGAACACACCATTGATCAGATCCGCCGCTAGAACAAGAATATACTGGACGATATCGGTTCTCCTGGAGGCCGACCCCAGAACACTCTTGCTATCGGCACTGCCAGCAAGCAAACTGACATAACCTTGAAGATCGCTTTCTATCGTTTGACGACGCTGCTCTTTGCGAACCTTATCGACCGCCTTGATCTTCTTCAGATGGTCCTCGGTGATATTGCCAGCTCGAACAGCTCCCTCCCACGGGATCGGGCGAGCTCGAATGTTGTTCTGCAACGAGCTCAGATAAGTCGGGGGCTCCAGAGGGATTGACGACATTATGTTGATCTCTCGTTTCGGGACGGAGCCTGCCCAGCTTTATATCAGCAGAAACAGGAGGTCGAAGGAAAGGCGCTGATAGTGTAGCCCTGAGAATAATGACGGTATGGACTGGTGATAACTGGAATGGAGTTCCCCATCCCCATTCAGGTCATAGCGAATGCCAAGAAAGCGGGCGTCCACGTTTTGGCTCCTCAGGCCGCACTCGGTCTACGCAAGCAGGCTGTCATTTCCCCAACGTGGAATTTCCGTTCGATGCTTCTGTATCTCTTCTCTTCTCAATGTTCTTCTCTCTATCATCCCAAATGTCTCTTTAGTCGTTCGTTCAGACACTTTGCTAGACTGTCATTAGCTCATTGAGAAGATCCCACGTTTCATCGCACCGGTGAACGATAAACGGACATCAGATCGCATCACCATCGCCCGAAACGGCTGCTTTCGATGACTACAGATCGATGAATTGCTACTCGGAAGTAGCCATCTTTCAAGAAATAGAGCCTATAGCTCGCTGCGAATGACATCATGGCACAAAACTCAGGACCCAAATCGAAATGGAAGGTCGGGTCATTTCTCCAGCAGGCAGTTGCTGGCGTGGAATCCAGACTGGATATGATTTTGGCTGAGGAGGAGAATCAGAAGCCATTGTCCAGGACTCCTTCAGTCAAGTCGAAACAGAATGAAAGCCCAGTACAGTCTACAACTCCACAACCCACTACAGCCAGTACGAAGCCTTTCAAATTGCCCTGAGCGACCTCCAATTAGAGCTGTATCGCTAATTACTAGCAGCTGTATCGCGGAGCTCCTCCAGTGCGCGCAAAAATGAGCGCCTCCAGGAACGACTGGCCCGCGCTATGGTCAAATCCAACGCTGCCGGAAACACAGCGGCTCAGTCTCCATCGAGCAGGGTCTCGTCGCCAGCCAGTCCGGTACTGGGCAACGGCACGCGATCAAGCATGGATAATGAGTCAACCGTTGTTTCCTCCGTTAACAACCTAGAAGACCGTCCCAGTAGCCCCTTAGTGCGAGATACGGGCTCTCTAGACCTACCAGCAGATACTAGACCCAGCATTGATTCCGGTATTGCGTCGCGAAATTCGAAGGAGCTCGTCGCATCGCTCGTTGATGAACATATGCCGCGGGAAGATAACGTACAGGCCGATTCACGCTCATTGCAAGATTCGACAGCATCCGAGAAACTGTCCGTCAAGCTTGAAAGCCCACGGGTATCGCAGGACTTAACGAACGTCGTCGCGGAAGTCGCATCCGATTCTAGTAGTGAGGATCCTGTAGTTGCACAACTACAGGCGGATCATAAAGCAGCAGAGTCTCACTGGCAGGATGAAATGCACCTTTACATTGAACGGATTGATGCACTACAATCGAAGCTGAAATACTTGGCTAAAGAGGCCGCCGAATCTGCAAAACAGAATGCCGCATCGGCCGAGCCCGGAAGTGTTGAAAAGCAGCTCTGTGAGAAGGACGAGAAAATTGCGCTGTTGCTGGAAGAAGGACAAAAGCTTTCCAAATCCGAAATGGATCATCGCACCGCGCTCAAGAAACTTCGACAGCAGCTCGCAGAGAACTCAAAGATGCAGGTCGAGACCAAAAAGAGAACAGATCGGCTGGAACGGGACCTGGCAATTTTCGAGGCAAGAGCAAAGCGGGCCGAAGCTGCTGAGAAACGGGCTACCGACTCGCTGTCCTCTCAAACAAAGATCGCGCGGGATCTTGAGGCAGTCACCAATGAACGCAACGCATTAAGTCAGACCGTTCAAGAAATGAAAGCACAACTCGCTCGAGCGGTGACTCGTGCTGAGACTGCTGAAGCCAAAGCTCAATCGGATGCGCTTGCAAAGGAGAAGCAGCGAACAGCACAGCTTGAGGAGGAGCTTGCGAGCATCAAGATTGAGCGCGAGCTCAGTGAGGAGAAGCTCCAAAGGGAAAATGCCAGCCTTAGAGACTGTGTTGAGCAAGAGAAGGAGAAAGCTAGAATTCTCGAGACTGAGTTGAAGGGTGAGCAGTCCGTCTTGGAAAGCAAGATGGAATCGCTTCGCTCAAAAGCCGAAGAAGCCTCATCCGGTGCCACAAGCGACGCTCAAGTTAAACTCCTACGCCAGATTGAGACTCTACAAACCCAATACTCTGTAGCGAGTGAGAACTGGCAGACTCTCGAGGGCTCTCTACTCTCGCGATTGGCGAACGTCGAGAAAGAACGTGATGAAATCGCCCGTCGTGAAGGAGAGATGCGACGAAAGATGCGCGAACTAGTAAGCAGCCAATTTTCTACTATTTGTAAGAAGAATCCCGACTAACATTGCCTCAGAACCTCAAAGCGAAGAGGCTGGAAGAAGAACTGGAGAGCACCAAAGAGACCGAGCATGATCTGGAAAGCAAACTTGACGGGCACCGACAAGAAATCCAGAAGCTCGAACAAAAACTCAAAAAAGCAGCAGATGACCTTGTATCCGCTCAAAGGGACTTTGCAGAGCAGAAGAAGGTGTGCGATGCGACTTGGGCGCAGAAGCTTGAGGATGAACGCGCAAAATGGCGCGAGCAGATGCTCCCTCCCCATGGCTTCCTTCAACAGCCACACACGCAATCCCCTGTCGCATTCAGCCGTAGGCCGAGCAACCTGGACACGACTGTCAGTTCTCTATCCGATCACAGGCCCACGAGCCGCCGTTCCTCCACATTCCACGGCCTAGCCTCCGATGTAGCAACACCACCGCGCCAGAACTCTCTTCCCGTGCCTGTTCTGTCTCCTCCCATGTCGTCAAGTGTGTCAATCCCATCAATCACCGAGTCTCCGTCTATCACGTTTGAGCCAGACTATTTCTATAGCGGCTCCGCCACCCCAGCCACCCCTTCCGCTTACGGGTTCGCTCCGAGTCACCAATCTCGAGGGATCAACGACCTCATCTCAGAGTCAACCGTGGGCGCTGGACCATCTGTCCAGCTTGTTGAGCGCATGAGCGCTACAGTTCGCCGCCTGGAGAGCGAACGAGCGGCAACCAAAGACGAACTCGCGCGATTAACCACGCAGCGTGACGAGGCTCGGAAGCAAGTGGTTGACCTCATGCGGGAGTCTGAGGAGAAGAAGGCATCTGATGCTCGCGTGCAGGAACTAGAGGCCAGATTGGAAGACTTGGACCAGCGCTACCAGACCACGCTTGAGTTGCTTGGTGAGAAGAGCGAGCAGGTCGATGAGCTTCAAGCCGACATTGCCGATCTCAAGAAGATCTATCGAGAGTTGGTCGACAGCACCATGAAATGAGAGTCTCCTTGCACGCACTAGATCTTGACAGTGTCCCCCCCCCCCCTTTTTTTTTCTTTTTTTTTTTTTTTCTCTTCTTGTAAATATCATTCTCTTCGGAGACTTCTCCCTTCCGGATTAAGACGATGAATATGTTGATACAGTTACACTTTAATAGATAAACTGACAGATCGTGTCATATTAGTCTATTTGCATTTTAGCATGGATGAAGATTCAAGGTTTGGTGATCGTATGTTACACATTATATTCCATGCGATAAGTAGACTATCATACCTCCTGTTGGCATCATAGTTCAATTCCCTCTCTTTCAGCTGTTTGGAGGATATACTTCTTGACCTAGAATCAGTGGTAGACCCAATGGTTAGTTTTGTTCATTCATTATTCAAGGTTACTGATGGAGCTTACCATTTCATCAGGCGCCATATCCAAAGCGAGTCGGCCCTCCGAATCCTGTTTATCAGCCTCTGCACCGGCCTTTAGCAACGTAATCGCCGCATTTCCATGGCCCTCAGAAACCGCGTGATGAAGAGCCGTTAGCCCGTCCACATCCGTAGCGTTGACGGGACTCTTCCCTTCCTCCAGGAGAAGTTTGATAATAGGGACGGATCCAATCGCAGCAGCACGGTGAAGTGGTAACTGGCCCCGTCGATCCTTGACTCTGGCACTGCATTTGTTGGCTAGTAAGGTACGGACGGTGGAGAGATTGGCTTTGGAGGTTGCGAAATGGAGGGCGTTCTAGACCAGAATGGGGAGTAAGCATTAGCATTATATACTTCGTAGCGCAAGCAGTAGAGGCAAAATTGCACACCTGACCGGAACCACTCTTGATGCTAACATCTGCTCCCTTTCGCAGCAGCAGTTCCAGGATAGGGTCGCCTTCAGCGTTCTTGAGACTAGCTGCAATCATGAGCGGGGTCCATCCGGAGCCATCCTACTGATACTATGAGCATTGGATATGTGCATAGAGATCGTCAAAGGGCGATGCGATACATACCTCCACGTCTGGGTCGAAGTTCTTCTGAGCTACAAGTAGCTCTACGACGGGAAGACGATTGAAGGCAGCTGCCCAGTGAATGGGGAGACGTTCATCGTCGTCTTTGATTGTAGCGAGTTTTGGATTTGCCTGGGCTCAGAGAAATTTCCCAGTTAGGAATGAATGATGGCTTTTGTGGATATGAAGCCAAATGTACATCAGGATGCTGATCGACTGATCGATACTATGGTGCGGGGCAGGGCTCCGGAGTACTTACATTCAATAGTGATTCGGCGATTTGGGCTGTTACACGTTAGCTTTGCCTTATATAACTGGTAAGCGACATATTACTTCTGCCTTCCCGAGCTGCCTCGTGCAGTGGGAATTTTGCTTCATGATGAGGATCCATAGTGTTGTTGTACTGTTGAATGTAAGTGATAGATAGACAAGTGTGGAGCACTGGAGCTGCGATTGTATTACGAGGAGCAGCTTTGGCGGGGAGCTTGCCGACACCTGAATTGCGGTCTGTGCCTCAGGCACCAAGTCAAGAAAGCTCTCCGCCGAAAAGACAAAAGATTCCAGACTTCAGCACCAGCCGAACGATTACGTTGCCAACAACATCCAATCACCAATTCTCATTTTCCACGCCTCTTCCTTCTGGCATACTTATTCTATAGATTATATTACGCATGCGGCGATAATCTCAATCGGTTCAACACAATCATCAGACTTCCAGGATCGGGTTGAGGACGCGCACGACACGTCCTGTCGTGGCGAACTGCGCTATCTATCGACGATTAGAACACTCCAAACGATAGTTCAGATCAGTGTCAATCCCAGAATCAATAATCATGGATGTCTTTCCCTCCACCACGCCGGACGAAGCCGTGCGCAGGTCCGCCAAACGAACCGCTGAACTTTTCGGACCGGAATATTTGATGATTACACCCAGCGTCGCCGATGGGTCAATTGGTCTTTCCTACAGACGGAAAGCGGAATACTCAGACGTGAAGGAACTGCCACCTGCACTGGCCGCGAAGCAGGCTAAAGCCGTTGCCGGCCGCGCAAAGCGCCCGAAGATCCAGGCGCAAACACAACCTCAAGCGGACCAGAGCGGCGCGTCGATGTCGCTTGTGAAGAGACCTGCTGGCCCGGCCGCAGGTGGAGTGGGCGGAGAGGACCAGCCGAAGAGCTTGATCCAGAGGCCTTCGGCGACACGGCAGCAGAGACCCGATTGGCACCCGCCATGGAAGCTGATGAGAGTGATTTCGGGACATCTGGGCTGGGTACGGAGTTTGGCCGTGGAACCGAACAACGAATGGTTCGCCAGTGGTGCTGGCGATCGGACGATCAAGATCTGGAATCTTGCGACGGGCGCGCTGCGGTTGACACTCACAGGCCATATTTCGACTGTTCGCGGGTTGGCTGTGTCCCCTCGACATCCATATCTCTTCTCATGCGGTGAAGATAAGATGGTGAAGTGCTGGGATTTAGAAACAAACAAGGTCATCCGTCACTACCACGGCCATCTGAGCGGAGTCTATACCCTCGCCTTGCATCCGCGCCTCGACCTCCTAGTGACCGGTGGTCGTGACGGTGTCGCCCGAGTCTGGGACATGCGGACGCGAAGCAACGTCCACGTTCTGTCAGGCCACAAGGGCACCGTCGCCGACGTGAAGTGCCAGGAAGCCGACCCGCAGATCATCACAGGCTCCCTCGACTCCACCGTTCGTCTCTGGGATCTGGCGGCCGGCAAGTCGATGGGCGTCCTGACACATCACAAGAAGGGCGTCCGCAACCTCGCCATCCACCCTCGCGAGTTCACCTTCGCCAGTGCCAGCACGGGAAGCATTAAGCAGTGGAAGTGCCCCGAGGGTGATTTCATGCAGAACTTCGAGGGCCACAACGCTGTCATCAACTCCATCGCTGTGAACGAGGACAACGTCCTCTTCTCCGGCGGCGACAACGGCTCCATGTGCTTCTGGGATTGGAAGACAGGCCACAAGTTTCAGTCCATCGACACCATGGCTCAGCCCGGCTCGCTGGAAGCCGAGGCGGGTGTCATGGCCTCCACGTTCGACCGTACCGGCTTGCGTCTTATCACCGGAGAGGCCGACAAGACCATCAAGGTCTGGAAGCCAGACGACGAGGCCACGCCCGAATCTCATCCGGTCACTTGGGCACCGATGCTGGGCAGACAGAGATATTAGGTTCGCCGGTGATGGCGCTTCTTATACCCTGGAATCGAATGTAGAAATTTTGTTATCATTTTTATTTCGTGTCTGTCTCATTTCCTGCACTATGGAGTTCAGCGTTTGTTCTTGTTATGTGGTTGACATGGTTGCTGAGGGGTCTACAAAAGATCTGATTTAGTTGTATGATACGAGTCGGTTAAATCATACTATAATGGTCCAAGGTCTATCTATACATCCAAAGTACTTCAGAACAACAGAAGGGTATCTTTTGCTATCTAAATCAATCACTAATGTACACCAACTACAAATCCATACACTAGCCAGCCAGCAATGAGGCTATTGGTCCACCCCCAACCCCAACCCCTTCGCCTCAGCATCCTCGCGAAACGCAGCTCGCACATCTTCAGCTGCAACCCGTAGTCGCACTTTGCCGCTCCTGTCGCCCCTATGCGGAATGGCAGAGCTGCCGAGCGGCCCCTTGGCCCCCGCGCCATTCTCCAGCGCCAGCACGCCCGAGTTCATAAGTTCCATGGCGGCGAAGCCGAGCGCTCTGACGCGCGCCCCGTTATTGCCCGCGAGCAAGAAATCCTTGATGCCTGCGCCGGCGGCACCGGCGACGGCAACGGCTGCATCGGCGATCCGTTTCGCTTCGTCGATTACGTCGCCGAATGTGGACTCTGAGATGCCGGTGCGGCGAATGCGGGCCAGGAGAGCGGCGAGGAAAAGTTTGGCGGAGAGTGGGAGGCACCGGAGGGATTGTTGGAGTGGAGTGGAGGTTGCTTCTTGGATGGCTTGTTTGATGGTTGCGATGGTGACTCGGCCTACGAGCTGTTTCGGATTCTTCTGCGGGGACTCCGTCTTGAGATTTTTCTTGATGCTGGCTTTCTGTCGTCGGGCCGGGGTTTTGCTAGGGGTAGGAGGCAGTGACTCAGCATCATCTGCGTTTTCCTCTGAATCAAGGTCCTCGACCTTCGCAGCTTCACGCGCTTGTTCTGCTATCTCCACTGCCCGTCGACATATGTCTAATGCTCGTCGAGCATCACCACTGACAGCAGCCACTTTTCGGCTCGCGAACTGGATTGCATCTGCATCAACGATATTCCCGGGGACACTCGCCAAGCGAGTGGTGATGATCTCCATTAGGTCTGTGTGTTTGTAGCCAGGGAATGTGATACGAGTCAGGCCGAGACGGCTGGAGATTTTGTTGCTCAACGTTCGCTCGGGTAGATCCATAGTGTTTGCGACAGCGAGGACGATGAGCCGGGAATGGCGAAGGGCAGGCCAGTTGAAGAAGTTGTACATCACCGACTGGTTTTTGGTGACCAACTGATCCAGTTCGTCCATGAGAACAACACAGGAGACTCGTCTGGGCGAGGGATGCGAGAATTCTCTCTCGAGTAGATCCAGGGCATGAGAGGGTGAAACGCGGTCACCTTTGAGCGCCTCCCAGAGCAACGAATACGATTGATGCGGATCCGTCACTTTCATGCCGTTTATCTCAACAAATATAAAGTCATCCATCTCTTCTGCGAGGACCGCAGAGTTCAATTGCGCAACCACCTCGCGCACCGTTGCTGTCTTGCCGGTTCCCGGTGTTCCTGAGATATAGATACAAGTGCCGGTTCCCTCCATAATCGCTGCACTGAGATGGTTGTATACGGTATCGAATTCCGTCTTTCGACAAGGAAGCGAGGTAGGTACGGTCGAAACATGGAGTAAAGTACGTGCTTGGCGGTAAGGTGAATCGAAGTGAGAAGGTGGGAGAACCCGAGTTCCTAGAGGCGTGAATTCAAGGGGCTTTTTGACGATGATCCTGTGGATATTTTATCAACTTCCATCCGGGAACTTGCCCAAGCCGTTCTACGTACCTCTTGTGTGATGGGGTAGTCAGAGCTTTCTTGCGCCGCGACTGCGGAGTGGCATTCGAAGCCACCTTTTGTCTTTTCCGAGGAGTGGTGGGCGCAAACTCTTCATCGTCCTTGGTTTCCACGTACTGTGTGGCTCTGGATTAGCAATTGCGCAGCCGACCAGAGAGAGGGACATACATCGTCATCAACGTGCTTCCGTTTCTTCGCGGCTTTGAGCCCATCCTTGATTAAGGCGATGAGTTCGGAGATTTTATCCTTTCGATATACTTCCTCCCAGACGAATTCATCTGTGTATCTACCCTGGACTTGATTGACACCTCTGCGGCAGATGATGCACTTGTTAAAATCGGCCAATTCTTCCTTGCCCTTTGGGGGAGTGCCGTTCGGATACTTGGCGTAAAAGGCGCCTGTCGACATCACAGTGGCTTTGCCACTGATCGAATTGATGGGATTCACATTGAAGTCTGCCGTAAGATATTGCTCATTGGGTAAGGCGTCCGCTCGTCGCTTGTTCTTGGTTGACATGAACTCATCCGGCGAGGCGAACCACATGATGTTGACCGATTTGACCACCTCATCCTCGTTCTCATCACCTTCCTCCTCGAAGAACTCTGTAATAATGCCGACCCAGTCTTTGCCCGGTTCTGGGGATTTCAGCAGCACAATCTCACCCAGTCGGCACTCGAAGGTGCCCATCCGTGCTCCGACGATATTAGGCTGACGCCTCGAAGACCGGGCTGAACGTTTGCGAGCCGACTTTTCCTCAGATTCGTTTGCCGCAGCCGGCGCTGATTCCTCATTTTTGATCTCTTCCAATTCAGTTTCATAAACCCAATGCCACGGATGATCCTCGTCTCCCAGCTCATCGTCGGAATCGTCTCGAACGAGGCCTCCTTTGGTCATCCATAATTGGGCGCGCTGACGGGCATTTCGTCGCCGAGCTGGCGTTTCCTCAACCTCATCGGTCAAAGTGACCGCCATTTCCTTCGTTTAGAATAAAATGATGTGTAGTTGGGGGGAAAGGAAATGGAATTGTAGCGCCAGGGTCGGCTTCCACAGTGCCGAAATCTATCTAAAGATCGGAAGAAAAGAGCGGAGCGGAACACAAGACGCGTCCATGCGCGTTGTCCACTTTGGCCCTGTTCGGGTTTAGCGCCGCTGCTGTGGCCTGCGCCAATCAGAGTCAAGGCTTCAACATTTCCTCATCGGGTATTCATTATTCAGTACCTAGGTAGTATAGCTCATCTACTAGGAACACGGCACTGAGTCTATCTTCTCCATAGCCTGCTTTTGATACCTTTTCTTCTAAATCTAGGAAAGGAGAGTTGATAATGTCGCTGCCAATCTAATGGCTTTCTGGTTCTGGAACAAACTATGCTTCTATGTTTGGCTCATAGACTGGCTTATGCCGGTTGAATTCTTCAGCTGTGGGAATCAAGTCTCTAAAGAACGGTTGAGAGAGCAGTCCTCAAGGCTTCTACCAGAACACTTTGCATATATCAATAGTACATCCAGGTATTGTGTGGTGGAGAAAGAGGGCTCAAGTGAGCATACACAAAGTCCCTTCTCCTCCATAGAGCCCTAGTGCCATTAGACCCTCTTCTATTGATCTAATTTGATGAATACTAATCTCAACCCGATGAATGTACTCTGCACTCTGTATTCTCATTGTTATTCTGAAAGAATGAGGTCTATTGATCACGTCAATTCTGGCAGTGCAAGTGAATATCCCTCTGTTTGCCCTGAGCAGTTTCTCTGTTTGTCTCAGATCTTTCACTCCTCCTCTACTTACCTTCCCAGCCAGCCCACCTTCATTCACTTCACTTTCCTCTTGACTCCGGCTCTCTGTCACCATATCTGTTTGAATCTGTCACTGATTATTCTGATTCCATGTCTACATCACGTGTGCCAGTGGTTTTCTGAACTATATAATCTCTGCTTCAGGCACTTATCCCAGAAAACTCTCTAAGAGATGCCCACCGAGTAAGTCGAAGACAATCACCACAATGACTTCCCAGTCACTGAATTCCAAGGAAAGCCATGAACCATCAGGTGCCCAAGGTAAGCAGACTGAACTCGACCCTCTCACGTTCAAACGTTTGCAACAACTAGTATTCCACTTAACACAGTCTGACGAGCTTGCAGAGTGGCAGCTCCCAGGATACGATCGATTGATGGGAAAATCACGCACGTCAAACATGGCTCAGCCAGCCTCCCTTCCCAAAAACCCTCCCCGTAATGAGACACAGAAACAAGCACCTCCAGGCCAACCTCAGCAACTCTCTACCCCCCGCAATGGCACATCCGTCAGGGGCGTGATAGGACAGACAAGAGCTGCGAGTCGTCCCTCGAGAGTGCGTGGAAGCCCTGGAGGGAGACAGCTTGCCACACCCCGCAATTCAGGTCATTTCTTCAAGGACTCGCCGGCCAAGGCGAATTGGAGGAACGGTCTTCAACCGAACGGTAAACCCACCTTTCTTAGTTGTATTGAAAGCCCAGTGGGCTCAAGGTTCTCTGTCTAGGTGTCCTAAGGTTGCCTGGTCCTTTTGGTTCGTTCAAATATGAGTATGTAAATCGTGGCTCTCTGCGTGGTTGGGAAAACTGACAGTTAGTTCTTCCAAGGTTCTTTGGATCGGCGAGAAGAATTACTTCTGGCAGAGGCTCCCACATTACTCAGGGCCGTCACGAAGTCTTCGAAGAGATTAGCAAGAAAACGGGTGCATTCGTGAAACCGCCTGCTTACACTGACCAAGTACGTGCTCAATTAACTGAGTCAAGTATCGACAAAAGGATATCGGCTGATGGAAATTAGGCAATCTTTCTCTGGGGCGACTCAGTCCAGGTAGCAGCTGCCAAAGATGAACTTCAACGCATTATTGCAAAGTGCAATGGATACTCTGCTTCCGCACCCAAGAAGAAGCTTGAATGGGCCAAAATCTATGCACACTCTGTCAATAAGGAGGCAGATGTTGAGCTGAATGAAAGACGGGAATCCATACTACAGCAGCTTAGAAAAGCTCCAGAGGATCCTTCAGCATTCCCCGAGCAGGTCAGTACTAGAAAGCCATCTAATATTGCCTTTGATATTTCGATCTGATGCCATTGCCTCGTCAGTTGCTCTTCCTTTGGCCGAGAGAAGGGCCGCCCCTCCTTGATTCCCTCGGACCTCAACTGGAAGTCCTGGATGTCATGAGGGCCAGATTTGGCTGTCATTTGTTCGTCCCAAGTGGCATGCCTAACTATATCTGCGCACTGGGCCATAGCCAAGGTACGATGAAACAGCTTGTGCATCGTCTCAGGACCAAATGGACTGAGCTAGTAGCCAACAGCAACGTCAAATCCAAAGTCTATGTGGTAGAACCTCCTGCCCCGAAACTGATGAAAGAGGGTATTGTGATCAAGCGCAGCAAGCAGTTTGGAAAGCCTTTTCTTGATGGGGCCCACCCTAAAGACCTGGAGCAATGGGAAATTCGAGCCGCTCTGATACAGTCCAAGAACAATGCGCGTCTGCTTAGTGCGGTCGAGAGATCTCTCGGAGGTGTTGCCTTTGTCCGCGGGCATTTGCGCATGCGTATCAACCTTGGCTCGTTCGTGCTTGACGAATATCGTCTCCCAAAGGATGATCAGCCCTCATATTCGTTTGAAGAGTTTAGGGAAATGCTGCTGCATGAGCAGACAAAGGGTCGCTTGATTCCAGGGTAGATATCAAACTCGGCTTGACACGGATCAGTCGCTGACTGTTGCGAATGATACAGACTGAAAATTGGGAAAGATCAGCTCCTTGCGGAATGCTTCGGAGCTACCGATATCCTTGAGCATCTGGATGGCACTTCCGGTATGCTTAAAGCGGCTGAACCAGCCTTCTCGGTGAATTTCGAGTTCTTGGGGTCTAACAATGCCCTGCTTCGACTCGAGGCGGAGTTCGCCAAAAGTCCTGGTGCCTTTGAGTATGAAATCACTCAAAGGAGATGGCTGAGGCCTCGCGGAGGTGGTCGGTCTGCCGACAATCAGTCCCCCCTCCAAATAGGAGCTATTGGATTTGAGAGGTGAGTCGGATCATGAATATGAGACCGTTGAGCCCATGCTGACTCGCGCTCAATCAGATCTGATTGGCAGCTCGAAATCAAAGCTCTTGAATTTTACGAGACGTCCTCCATCGATGCTGCTCTGAAATTGTTCTCGCATTCAATCAACTTTCGACGTACAGCAAACATAGACGATATCTCTGCAAAGCCCCAGAGAAAAGTGCTCTTCCCGCACTCTGCTCCTGTGGCCAGATTCGTGGAAAAGACTGCCATCCGTTATCGTTTGAAGGGTACGAAGTACATTCTAGAGATTGCTCGTTATGATGAGTATAGTCGCACAACCGTCCCGGCTTACCGCGGTCAGAATCCACCTACCGTCATCGGTGCAATTTCAGAAGTCCCTTCTACGTCTTGGGGAGCCTCGATATTTGATCCCAACTGGGACAACCTACTCGGACAACACGCCAATCTTCCTGTTGGACACACCGCAAGATATACTCCTACTTTAAGCACATTTTTTCCGCCTAAGGAGCAGACTGCTGCAGGCAAGTGCGTCGGATTCTGGGAACTCATCGATTTGGTGAGGCAAGTCGCAGGCCTCTTTGGTACATCCACGGCTCCTTCCGAAGACTCACAACCTCAAAATCCAAAAAGCCCGAAGAGTGATAAGTCGGGCGATATCACTGCTGCACGTCAGCGCCGTCAGCAGATCAACATCGGTCCTCAAAAGCGGGTCTTGCTAGAGGCAGATCTCGGCACCTTGTTCTGATTTGAGCACACAGCTTTGACCAGTACAACCAGCAATTGCCATGGAGGGGGAGAAGGGGTAGTACGAAGGGATACAAAGATGGATGAAAAGAAAGCAGGGCGCCTAGAAGAGAGCAGAAAAAGAGCTTCCATACGCAAAATTTTGCTACTTTCAGCCATACAATGTTCCAAACAGCGAGGCCCGCCAACTCTCAGGTCTCGATGTAACTGTCATCGCTGGGTGCTGTTCGTTCTACCGGAACTTGCACCTCGATGGAAAATTTTGACTTGGGAATATCCGACAGAGTCGACAAAGGATGGATTAAATCTCAGCCTACGTGAGGATGACTTCTTGTTTTCTCTTTTCAGATGAAGATGCACCATGTATTCGTTCATTCGGATATCCGTGTGATTTGATGGATTGATTTTTTTTTGATATCGCGTGACACCTATGCTCCACGAATCCTTTCTTCTGTATCTCAAATTAGGTGGTAGAATTAGCCAGCGCCTGCACCCGCAGTCTCTCCGCTTAGCATCTTTTGTCTCAGAGCTAAAATAACCAGTCAGTTTTTCAATGATATCACACAGAAGAAGCTTATACGTACCATCCTCGAAGAGCCTCAACTGGGCACTCTTGGTCTGTACGATCTTCTCCAGCTCAACACAGTTGATATCCAGACTCTTGACCTTCTCCTCGTAGAACTCAATAGCCTTGGGCGCCGTCTGTTTGGAGAGAGACCGGTTAGCCCACAACTGCAATCAAAACGATACGATCAATCAACTTGAACAAACCTTCTCAACATAGAACCCCGTCCCAACATCAACAAGCACCTTCTCCCGATCCGCAAGCTTACCGCGGACATACAGGGAGCTCGTCAACGGCACCAAGATATCATCCTTCCCATCGGTCCCCTTCTTCTTCGACCCCACGACGCCGTCATTGATTGACCGCACACAGTCCCGGAACCGGGACTGCGCGGCGCGCAGCTTCTGGTGCGACGAGGTGAGGTGCTCGAGTTCGGACGTCAGGCGGGTCTGGAGGGCGCGGAGCTGCGGCACGGAAAGCGAAGCGATGTTGACTATTGCGGGCGGTTAGCCTCATACCTCAGGCAGGTATTTGTGTAGCGGGGTGTGGGTGTGAGATTGAGGCTTTACCTGCGCCGGGGGGAGCTCCGCCTGAGCTTGAAGAGTCGGATGCGGGGGGTGTTGCAGGTGGCATTTTCGACGGGAGGGGAGGGGAAGGGAGCCAGGCGGGGTGAGGGTGTGGGCTATGGGTGAAGCCAATGGGCTTCTGGTTGTATGGGGGTAAAGGGATCCTGTGTGCTTGAGGTTTTGTTTCGAGGTCGGATCTGAACAGTGGGCGAGAGGGATTGTTTGAGCTTGTTGGGCGTTTGGGTGGGTGGTTTTTTGGATGGATATGTTAGTAGGTGGTTTGGTTGTGGAGATAGTGGCCGGATGGGCGGTTTAGCTGGGGGTAAGCTATCGCCACGCACTATCTCTGTTGTTGATTGCAACAGCAACGCGAAGATTCGTGGGGTTGGCTTGTGTTGCGAAAGGGTGCGATTGTGGATAATGATTGATTGCGAGGGGCTAGAATAGTGTACATTCTTTGTTTCAATTTTATACAGATATATGGATACAGGGTTTCGTGCTGGCTAAATGGTTGTCTACTGGCCAGGAATCATAGGCGCTCAAGGAGGGACCGGACAAAGGCCGGTAGCTGATCCAGTGGTACCTCTTCTCGTAGGTTGTCTAGACGACGGCATTGTACCTCAAGGGTCTGCTGCTTCTTCCAGCCTTTGCCGACGACGATAATCACAGGGTATCCGATCAGGTCTGCATCGCTGAGCTTCCATCCCATCGGCTTTTCACGATCATCAAGGATTGTATCGATGGGAGAGCTTTGTTTGGAGGCCAACAGATCATACACCTTCTCTGCCTCCGTCTCAAGACCCTTGCCGGGAACAACCACCACTTCATAAGGCGCCATTGCCCGGGGCCAGTTGAGGCCCTTGGAGTCTGCCAGGTTGTCGGCTACAGCGCTGATCATGCGCGAGACACCAATTCCGTGACAGCCCATCTGCATGGGTACTTGTTGGTCTTTAGCTGCGCCACCGGACAGAGATTGATCGACCATGACGGAGGCCTGTAGGACTTCGCTATACCGAGTGCCGAGATGGAAGGTGTGGCCGAGTTCCACGGCGGTGTGAGTCTTCAACGAGCCCTCTGTGCACTTGATGCATTTGTCGCCGTCTTGTACTTTAACAAGGTTGAGCCCGTGATTTGTTCCAGGGAAGCGATTGAGCATGGAGTACTGGATTTCGTCTGCAGTGCAGCTGGCTTGTTGTAGAAGGTCGCTCAGAGGCGGCCGCTTGTACACGCGTACTTGTGAATCGTACAGATCCAGTACTTGCGGGCGCTGGGAAGGGCTGGAATCACCACGGGCCTTGTTGGACTGTACGTGCGAGACCCACTGTTCGAGCGGGTTCTCTACGCTAAGTTCAATATCAACTCCAGCGGCAGTCGCTATGGACTTGGCTGCATGAGAGTTGACTTCCCGAGCAACCGGCTCTTGTTCTGTTTGTTGCATAGAGAATTTGGGGTACCAGCCTCTCACTAGTGTATTTTTGTCTTTGGAGATTGCCATCCACAAGTCGGTGGAGACTGTTGGACTCGATTCGGCAGTAGCTCCCTCGGTATCAAACCCAGATGCTTGGCCGGCATGAGGCTGCTGTTCGCCTAGGTTGTGAGCTTTTCCGTCAGCAAGCTCGTCGTTGTAGACATGATCGCAGCGGGAGCAGCTGATAACCGTGTCTTCTCCCTTTGAGCTGGGGAAGTGGAATTCATGACTGAGACTGCCGCCCATATTTCCCGAGTCTGCAGCGGCGACCAGGTATGGTATCTTCAGTTCGTCAAACAGATTTTTATATGCTGCTTTTACCAAGTTGTATGTTTTCAGGGCTTCTTCGACATTATAATCGAATGTGTAGAGGTCCTTCATCATGAATTCTCGCCCACGAAGCAGGCCTTGCCTTGGTCGTGCTTCATCTCTGTACTTTCTTGCTATATTGAAACATATTGGCTGAGAGACCTTGAAATAAATAGCACGGCCACTTACATATCTGGTATACACGGACGGGCAGGTCTCGGTAGGATTTGGTAAGGCTTCCTACCAGAGTCGTAATCTCTTCTTCGTGGGTAGGAGCAAGAAGAAACCGAGATTCTTTTCGGTCATGAAACCGGAAGACCTAAAATCTTAGCTTGGGTCAACATGGGAGATAAGAGAAATCACACCTCTGAGCCTTCCTTGAGACGACCAGATTGTTCCCAAAGCTCTTGGGAGGATATGGATGATAGGGAGACTTTTGATGCACCTGCAGACATCAATATAACATCCGTGATAACAAGTGCCATTCTAACGAACCGACTGATTGCATATGTTTGTCGATTAAACGCTCAAGCTTGTCCTGCACACGCAGTCCAAGTGGTAGCATATGGAATATTCCCGAGTAGGCCTCCAGGAAAAATTAGAACATAGCCATAGCTTGCACAGCAGAAGAAGGCTCACCTGACGGAGAAAGCCTCCCCGAACCAGTAATTCATTCGCATCCTCTGCTTCAACGTCAATGGCCTGCATTTGAGCATCATGGCGGGTCTCAAAACTACTATACCCTTTACGCCCTGAGAGGTCTTCTTCGAGATGCCTCCCGTCGGGATCCAGAAATTGGATATGCGTTGTCTACCATCTGTCTGCGAGAACTCAGCACTTGAACCACCAACAACGAGACGATGGGACCATACATGCAAACCGCGATATTGACATCTATCTAAACGAATGATCCCCAGATATGCTCGATACGTGCCCGAGTAGCGGCCCGGAACGGGGCGAAACCCGGAAATCATCGATTCAGGAGGAAATAACGGCAATGCCACAGACAGCACAAAAAGGGATTCGACCTCAAAGTAACATCTTTTCTACGATTGTAGCTGATCATAAAGGTCTAATACTCGGTAGGATACCAACTTGGTCCAAGCGTTCGGCGAGTCGGAGGTCGCGAAACTATTCTCCGGCGGCCGACAGCATCTGCTCCGCAAGTTTTGGCGGCAGAAAAAAAAAAGTTGCTGATAGGATTGAACCAGAACCACGATCTTCTTGTCAGGCCAGTCCACAACGCTGCAATGGCCAAGGGCAAGGGAAATCGCGGAGATCACTCCACTGGAGCGAATGCAATTGCAGTGCGCGGAGCAAAAGATTCCAAGCCTGCTGAGGATGTCCTTCCCCAACTGGAGGAGGGGGCATTCGCCGGTCTGCGCCAGAAAATTGAACAGAGGCTGAAAGATCAGAACACTGCCAAACAAAAGAAGTCTAAGCACCAAGCAGCACAGAATACGAACAAAGATACGCCGAAGAAAGAGAAGAATGCTGGTCCGAAATTCGAGCCGAAGCGGGATTCAAGGAGCGACAAGAACAGCACAGGCAAGAAGCGCGATCGCAACGGCGAAGTGATCGCAAGGGAAGAGAAGGAGGAGAGTGGGAACCTTGATGACACTCTACGGCAAGAAATCCTGGCCCTTGGTGGTACTGAGGAAGATTTTGATCTAGTGGCGGGTGTCGATTCCGAGTCTGAGGTGGAAGATGCAGCGGATGGGCAGAAGAAGCCAAAGAGCAAATCGGAAGAGGATTCGCTTCGAAAGGAACTTTCTGCCATGTTAGCTGCTGCTGGCCAAGTCGTGCCGGACGACATTGAGGATGAAGATGAGCTAGAGGAAGCATCTGCCTCGGAAGAGGAGGATGAAGAAGAGGAGGGAGAGGGCTCAGATCAGGAGGAGTCCGAAGTCGAAGATGCTCCTCCAGTACCATCAGGCAATGATTCTTCTAAGAAGGAAAAGGCTAAGGAGCCAGCTCCCGAGAACATATTTCCCAAAGAATTTTCGAAACTTGTGAGTACCGATATGTTCCGTCCAACGAATCTATACTAATGGAAAAATAGACCATCCTGCCCAGGTCCGATTGGTATGCAACCAATCTTCCTTCGCTCCCATCTGCCACGAAGCAATCAAATACCCTGCCGCGCTATCTGATCGACCGCGTCCACAGCTATGCCACCTCTTTACTTGAGAAGGAGAGTACTATGTATACGGAAGCACAGCAGGCCTCGGCTTCTTCTTCTCACAAATTCTACACCACAATCATGTCGACAGGTACCCTTAGCGATAAGATCTCGGCCCTGACACTCGCCGTCCAAGAGTCGCCGTTGCACAATACGAAACAACTCGAGAATCTCATTGGACTCGGAAAGAAACGCAGTCGTTCCCAGGCAGTGGAAGTCCTGAGATCGCTCAAGGACATGTTCGCTCAAGGCACATTGCTTCCCAGCGATCGGAGGTTGAAGGCTTTTGCCAATCAGCCATCCCTTACGGCGGTGTTCCAAGGCGCCGGAGCTCGTTGGTCGGAGCGCGATCCTCTCCCTGGAGGCCTGCAGAAGAGTCATCTCATCATGTGGGCATACGAGGATTTCTTGAAGAACCAGTACTTCGAGGTTCTGAAGATCTTGGAAATCTGGTGCAACGATGAGATTGAGTTCTCACGGTCGAGAGCTGTTAGTTATGTCTATGAGTTGCTCAGGCAAAGACCGGAGCAAGAGGCGAATCTGCTACGGCTGTTAGTCAACAAACTTGGTGATAAGTCTAAGAAGATTGGCTCCAGAGCCTCTTATCTGCTTCTGCAACTCGAGCAAGCTCATCCTATGATGAAACCGACGATCATCAAGGCGGTTGAAGAAGTGCTCTTCAGGCCCGGCCAAAGCCAGCATGCCAAATACTATGCTATCATCACGTTGAATCAGACTGTTCTCAGCCTGAAAGAGGAGAGCGTCGCTGCCCAATTGCTGGAAATCTACTTTGCGATGTTTGTCGCTCTGTTGAAGCCTGGCAACAAGGAGAACAAGAATGAAGGCAAGTTTGGCAAGGGTAAGAAGGGCAAAGGAAAGGATGATTCAGCCAAGGGTCAGGCACAGGAAGACGAGATGCGGGATAAGCTTGTCTCCGGAGTCTTGACCGGTGTGAACCGAGCTTACCCTTTCACCAGCTCAGACTCTGATAGGTATGGCTCTCTCCTCCGTCGCGGAAAAGTTTTCGTCTGCTAACCTTGTCTCCAGACTCTCGAAACATCTTGACACTCTTTTCCGAATCACTCACTCTTCCAATTTCAATACCAGTATCCAAGCCCTTATGTTGATCCAACAACTTACGGCATCTCACCAGGTGGCCGGTGATCGGTTTTACCGGACCCTTTACGAATCACTGCTTGATCCCCGGGTTGCCACTTCGTCTAAGCAGTCACTGTACCTCAATCTCTTGTTCAAGGCCCTGAAGAATGACCTGAACCTCCGACGGGTGAAGGCTTTCGTCAAGCGCATTGTTCAGATCCTTGGGTTGCACCAACCTGCTTTCATCTGCGGCATCTTCTACCTCATTCGCGAGCTGGAGAAGACGTTTACTGGAATTCAGGCCATGTTTGACCAAGCCGAGGATAATGACAGTGATGATGAAGAAGTCTTCAGGGATGTCCCTGATGAGGATGATGAAGCTGCTCAACCTGCAGTTTCCGAAGAGAAGCCAGCAAAGCCTTCGAGCCGCTACGATCCCCGCAAAAGAGATCCGGAGCACAGCAACGCAGACAAGACTTGCCTGTGGGAATTGGTAAGAATTTCCTCCCCCACTTCGGCCGATTTTACGTGGTTACAGGATAGCTAACCATGATTGAAATAGTTACCCTATCTTTCTCATTTCCATCCGTCTGTGTCGGTCAATGCGGCCCATCTGCTGGATCACCAGGCGATGAGCGGCAAGCCGGATCTCACAATTCACACTCTGACGCACTTCCTTGACCGCTTCATCTACCGGTCACCGAAGGCATCGGCGGCCATCCGTGGCGGTTCCATCATGCAACCGCTCGCGGGCAGCGACGCCAAGGACCGGCTTGTGCTGGCCGGCCAGGGCAGCCAAAACCTCCCGCTCAATTCGGAGTCATTCTGGAAGAAGAAGACCGAGGATGTGGCAGCGGAAGATGCCTTCTTCCACGAATACTTCAGCCGAATTGGTAAAGACAAGGACAAGCTGCGTAAGAAGAGGTCCAAGGATCCCTCGGCCCGAGACGGCGAGGACGGAGACGAACTCAGTGATGCTGAGTCAGAGATCTGGCAAGCTCTTGTCAAATCGCGGCCTGATGTGGAGGACGCTGGCGACAGTGATGACGATCTTGATCTGGATGATCTCGAATCTGCCTATGATCAGGACGAGGACGAGGATGAGGAAGCCGGAGAAAGCGACGATGAAGTGATCTTTAACGACGAATCCGACGAAGAGATGGAAGATCTCGACGTGGAGGAGCCGCCCAAGAAGACCAAGGGCAAGGGCAAGAAGCAGGAGGAAGAGGAGGCCCTGGACGAGGAGGACGACTTCGATATGGATGTATCAGACGACGAGGCGTTCATCGGAAGCGATGAGGAGCTCCCGTCGGACATCGAGCTCGGCGGAGGCGTGGAGCTTCCCAAGGACGAGGAGCCCGCTGGCCGGAAGAAGAGACGCAAGCTCAAGCACCTGCCGACGTTCGCCTCGGCGGACGACTATGCGGCTCTGCTGGCCGACGAGGACGAGGGCATGTGATACTATTAGGGAGTTGTTTACTACTGTCCGGGGGGATGTTTGTCGATGTGCATATATCAGATACCACAAAAAGTCTTATCTATCTATCATCGGCCTGCATACCATTTAGCGCGATGTAGTTTCTAATTTCTATATTCCCTACATATCCAGTCACGTGAACCATGACATCGACAAACGCGGCGCAAGCCCTCCCGTCCAGACTCCATAACGGCGCATAAAAGAAGAGCAGGAACCAGAGTTTCCGCTGGGAAAACAGGGTACCCCAGCTAGTGCTACGGAGCACTACCTAGCACTCATACTACTTAGCTTCACCTCATTTCCATGGATCGGCTTTCTCGCACCACCAGAGATTTCATCACCGTCCTTTGTGCTTGTCCAGGGCAAATCAATTGACATGGACCAAAAAAAAAAAAAAAAAAAAAAATTCAACAGACAAAAAAATTTCAGGCACTGCCAGATGCGGCGTGCGGGGCACAAGCCACGAATGGGCGGCCCCACACCGCCACTATTTTCCGCAATGGTGATTGGTGAGGAGAGGACAAGGTTGCACCTGGGCAGGAGCCAATGGGAGAAGGCAGTTGGGGCGATGGAGACGCTTTCCGACAGGGATAAACCTGATGCTTGCAGCCAGAGAGCCAGATGATGGGCTCATCATGGTCATGGATGCTATCTACTACTCCATAGTACTATCATCCCGGAGTAACATTATTAAGAAAATTAAAAATCTCTGCTGGCTTCATCAGTTCCAGCCTACTCCGTAGGTACTAATTCTAGATGTTTAGATTTTTAGGTAAAATTACCAGATGGTTGAGAAGTGGGAAATTGGGGAATTGGAGTACAGATGAACTCATGCCGATGTACATCCATCCCACGGACGTACACAGAAGGTAGCGGTACCTGGTTTGACTCGTTGAGTTTTGCGTCCCCTTACAAGGAACCGGGCAACCCAGATCTATTCCTCGCCATACATTGTCCAGCCTCATCCGTGTCTCTGCCGGTGGTTTTAGGTTGGCAGCTGTGAATAGTGAATAACTTAATACATAGTATCGAATAGGTAATGATTATTCCACACTACGTCAAGCATTTGACGCTACCTATTGCGGCTCGGAAGCCATCGACGTAAGGTATGTAGATAGACACATGGATGCTGCTGATTAGGTCCAACCGTCCAAGGCATGTCCGGTATGTACCTAAAGACTAAGAGTAGTATCTACCGTACACAGTATGTATCTACGACTTGCAGTAACTAACCAGCAGTAGTGTCGAACGCAGTCTGTGAATTCTAGAAGAAGTCTTCCAGCCCGAGCACGTCATGTAGTCAGTTGATTGCGTTAATTCGTCTGTCTGTCTGTTCTGTCTGAGACCCTTTCTCTTGTCGGTCTCCATCGTCAGCTGGCTAACAGTGTTAGTCTGCCCTTGCAACCAGCGTTGCGTGTTGATCTTACCAAGGATAAGCCCATCAGCAAATCTCAAGGCAGTTCAGAAGAGTTCAGGCGTGAGTACGTACAATTAACTACTACTACTACTGCTGCTGCTACTGCTGCTGCTGCTAGTTCCCTGCTGACTGCTTCACCAGAAGGCGAATTGTGATCGTATTCTTACTTTTCTTTTTCTTTTCATTTTCTCAAGACTTTCGCCTTCTCGCTTGGCTGTTTCTTCATCCTTCTTGTCTCCCCCCTCTCTTATCGCCGGATCCTCTTGGTACACTCTTGTCGCAACGCTAACAACTAAGCCAACTGAACTTTTTGCCCTGCGACTCCAAGAATCTTTCAAGTTGAATTTTTTTCTTCTTCTTTTTTGGGGGGGCGAGTCTTCACTTCTTTCCTCTAAACCCCCTTTGATCCTTATCTTCTGGTATGTTATCACATTCTTGGTTTGGAGGAAAGATCGGATTGTTGTCTGTACTGGTCTGTAATCGTTATTGACTAGTACAACCGTTATAGTTCCCATCCCCCCCCATACAACACAAGAGGAGCAGTACATGCATCCCAAGGTCTATAACATCACCACTCTTGCTCACACTACCGACTCCTTTCACTTACGGTTCGTCCGTACTTTGAAATGGCGGGGTTAAATTCTTCGGAAAAAACCCCCCATGACGACCGCTCGTCGTCCTTGTCCGACCAGACCCAGGAGTCCCCCGACAAGCTGAAGCACCTGGATCTGGAAGGTCAGGACAATGCGTTTACCGTGCAGTCGGATTCCGAGACGGGCGACGTCGGTAGGCAGATTGAGCTCGAGGCGGAGAACTCCATCAAGTATCGGACGTGCAGCTGGCAGAAGGTATGGCATACTCCAAAGACTGCGAAGAAGAGCGAAGAGGTAAATGGGGGGTGCGGATTGCTAACTAGAGATGATTGAATTAATCCCAGACTGCCGCCTTGCTCTTCTCCGAGTATATTTGTCTCGCTATCATGTCGTTTCCGTGGTCGTATTCGGTTCTGGGGCTCGTCCCGGGGCTGATCCTGACCGTGGTCGTGGCATTGATTGTCTTATATACGTCCCTCGTTACTTGGTATTTTTTTTTTTTTCGGGCCTCTCCTATGGGAATGACGCGGGTTTTCTAACACCGAATAGGAGGTTCTGCTTGCGCCATCCCGAAGTCCGCGATGTCTGTGATATCGGCCAGCATCTCTTCTGGGGCTCCAAGATCGCTTGGTACTTGACTGCTATCATGTTCCTCTTGAACAATACATTCATTCAGGGCTTGCATTGCTTGGTTGGCGCCAAGTACCTCAATACCATGACAAACCATGGCACCTGCACCATTATCTGGTCCCTGGTCACCGCCATCATCTCCTTAGTGTTCTCTCTCCCAAGAACCTTTGACAGTCTTTCAAAAGCGGCTACCTTGTCGGCAATTTTCACTTTCGTATCCGTCATGCTGGCACTCATCTTCTCGGCAATCGAAGACAAGCCGGCCGGCTACACTGCCGCGCAGGGGGATCCCATCGTGACCGCGTTTCCCGTGGCAGGTACCACGTTTGTCTCCGGTGTCAATGCCTTCTTGAACATTAGCTACACCTTCATCGGTCAGATCACGCTGCCGAGCTTCATCGCCGAGATGAAGGAGCCCAAGGACTTCTGGAAGTCAGTCACGGCTGTGACTATTGCCGAGATCATTGTCTTCAGCCTGGTGGGCGCAGTCGTATATGTGTATACCGGCAACCAGTATATGACCGCGCCTGCCTTTGGCTCAATTGGCAACGAGGTGTATAAGAAGGTCTCTTTCTCATTTATGATCCCCACCTTAATCTTCCTGGGTGTTTTATATGCCTCCGTGTCCGCGCGATTCATCTTTTTTCGTTTCTTCGATGGGACCCGCCACAAGGGCAACCATACCGTTGTCGGATGGGCTGCGTGGACGGGTATCCTGGCAGTCCTTTGGATCTTGGCGTTCATCATTGCTGAGGTCATTCCGTTCTTCTCGGACCTGCTCTCCATCATGAGCTCCCTCTTTGACTCGTTCTTCGGGTTCATCTTCTGGGGAGTCGCCTATCTGCGGATGCGATATGATGACCATGGACCAGGCTTCTACAAGAAGCGTGGAATCCGTGGCTGGATCGGGTTTATCGTCAACGTCTGTCTGATTCTGGTTGGTTTATTCTTCTTGGGTCCCGGAACCTATGTAAGTCTTGCCTCTCCAACTCCAACAATAGTAAGCGTTGGCACTAACATGACATTCTGCAGGCTGCCATTGACAGTGTTGTCATCAGCTATCGGACAGGAGCCGTTGGTAGCGCGTTCAGCTGCGCTGATAACGGGCTGTGATTCTCTTCCTATTCTGATTATTCGACCCTAGCCATTTTGCAACGAAGAAAATATCACAACTAGAAGTTGATGACCTGTGAAATTGACACCAAGAGTGACAGCTAGTAAGGCCAGTTACGGCCTTGTTTCCACCCAGATTTCCCAGCAGAAGGCTGCTGCTTTAAATCTTTTCACGTGACTAAGACCAATGCTTTTTATTATGTATATATGCGCATTAGCACATTACACCTCAGCGCACCTTAATTATTGCAGTAGAACGAGTATCTGCAGCAACTATGATACACTGGTTGTTCTAAGCCAGGCTAGTTGGAACGATCATTGCTTCTGGAGCTATAGCCAACCCGTGGTACTATAGAGGGGTCCCCTACGTAACAGGAATTGGTATAGGGAGTGCTTGATCATAACTAGGAAGAATTGCTCTAAGTTCTGGATGATCTACAACACAAGTAGGCTTTCTTGCGATATCCAAGGTTAATATGTTCCCTCGGAATCTCATTCGACCATTTTCTACATTCGCCACTCATAGACTGTGTATCTCTCATCGTCCCTCTCCTGAGGTCCTAACTAAAGTGAGGCCAAAGCTTTCAACTTATTCTCTTAGCGCCGGGAGGGCGCGCCAAGAAAACCAAAAGGTTCCCTTCAAAGCGTAGGACTAGGAGGGTGTTTGGTGATTGACACGACCACTTTCCTCTGAAACAGCAGGAAAGGCCCTTAGAACGCGGTACGAAGTTATATCTTTTCTAAAATAGCTCTTCAATTGCAACCGAACCCAATGGTTATCGAACCTTGAATGGTCTGGTGGCACGTGATGGGCCCCTTTCCCGCAATCAACCTTAAGCTGACAGATCCGCATTTGAACTCATCATTATCATCATCACAGAGCATGCACATGAGGTGCTGATTGCTGGACTCATCTCTTTCGCGCTGACAATATAAGACATGTTGAATGGTCAATTTTCTTGGCCCCTTTCCTTCGCCTTGGGGGTATGCTATTCGTGTAATCAAGGTGGACTCATTAATCATCATTATCACGGCCATGATTAGCTGCAGTGAGCTTCAAGGATAACCACTGGTCTCTGGAGTCTCAAGCTGGTAGTATTATCACATTTATCTGCGAGCCACTGTGATTGAACCTGTACGCCTAACATGAAAAATGAAGTTGTCAACCAGATGGACTGCACCTGCGCCAACAAACTTCAAGTTTTGCATTGCTTCCCCTAAAAGTGATCATCGCCATACACTGCACTTTGCTTCAAGAATACCACTCAGCCCCCATCCCCGTCTCTTTAACAAGTCTCGCCGATTTCTGCGTTTCATGAGCTCCGCAAGCATGCCACAGCCTGACACGGATCTCTTCCGATACACCAGTGGCCGTTGGCTATGGGACGAAGAGCAGCAACTTCGGGACCGATTTTCGCCTTTCAATGTGCCTGAATTGCAGAGAATTGCAGCGCATAGCGTTGGAGCAGATACATGCACTGCGATCGCAAAACTGGCAGAAGGATCATTCAACAAAACCTTCAGGCTTGAGATGGATAATGGATTATCCGTGATTGCAAGAATACCCCATCCTATTGCCGGGCCTAGGTACTACACTACAGCATCTGAAGTCGCAACGATGGAGTTTGTAAGTACTGAGCACGTCCTTTCAGTATGATATTTCTAATAGACAATCCAGGCCCGCACAATCCTCGGAATACCAACACCTCAAGTGTATGCTTGGAATGCAGACGTGAACAATCCTGTTGATTCTGAGTATATTTTAATGGAGGAAGCCCCCGGTACAAAGCTGGAAGATATATGGGATGATCTTTCTCTCGAAGAGAAGATAGAGGTCATGAAGGATCTCGTCCAACTAGAGAAAAAAATGCTTCAGGCGCCACTGAATAAGTACTTTGCAGTCAACTCTGATCTATTATTCTGCTAATAATGACTTAGTTATGGGAGTTTGTACTATTCAAGTGCTAATATCAGAGATGCCGTACCAGCCGATACCTGTGCAGAAATATCTTCTCAGCTCAAAGACAAGATACGCCGTCGTTTTGTTATCGGCCCAGTCGCAGAAAGACACTATTGGTCCAAAGAACGTGCAGAGATGGCCCTGGACCGTGGACCATGTTTGTTCTCTACCCATCTCCTTGTCGTCTTAACTAACGGTTCGAAGGGAAACAAGCACAGGACTATGTGCTCTCTCTAGCTTACCGAGAAGAGGCATGGATCCAGCAATACGCAACTCCGAGTTCTGGAGACGACCTGCTAGTGACCTCAGCAACGCAGAACTCTCCAAACAGCCATATTTCTTTGCTTCAAAAATATCTTAAAGTTGCTCCTTATCTCCTCCCAAACGATCCTGCGGTAGTTGCACCTTATATTTGGCATACTGATCTACATTCTGGAAACATTTTTGTCCACGATGGTAAAATTTCGAGTGTTATAGACTGGCAAGGGCTTTGGGCAGCACCCTTGATACTTCAAGCACGCCACCCAAGGCTAGTTGACTATAATGGGGAAGTCATTTTGAAAGCTCCTGCGAACTTCAAACATCTTGATCCAGCGGAAAAGATTCGGATCAGAGGCTGTATGAGTAGCTCGATACTGCTCTACCTCTACGAAAAGCAGATTGCTAAAGAGATTCCCCGTCTGGATCAAGTCCTCCGATTTGACCACGGTAGGACAAGGTGCGATCCAATTTTGTTCGTGGGCGACACATGGGATGACGAACTTCTACCCTTGCGGGAATCTTTGATAAGGCTTGAGAGGTAAGCGCGTCTCGGTACATCTTGTATAGTGTTTCGCTGATTATGCTTCAGATGCTGGAATGAAATAGGATTCGACTTTCCGTGTCCTATTCATTTCACGGAGGATGATCTCCGTGTCCATGCAGAGGAAAGTGACGGGTGGAATGATGTGCAGGAATTCTGGAACTCTGTTGCGAATGTAGTCTCGAGAGATGGCTGGACTCCGCATCATCTATATGGTGATGCCATTTCTGTTTACAGAGCTACGAGATATTGGCCTGAAAGCCATGGTAGGGAAGGAGAGGGACGCATTTGAAATCCAGACACAGTGGGTCAAGAAGCATTAATTAACCCGAGCATTAGTGACGCGTTCCATTAAGAATCCAAACACCCGATCTCCTTCAGTCAAGTGGCCTAAAAATCGTGGTCCAATTTCACGGCCATCAATCCATTCGTAGGCAATGGTCTCGTTCTCTAGGTATTGGATCTCCCACTCGAAACGAGCGAACTTGACGACGACAACTGTGTCAAAGCGTGGGCATGGGACTTTGTAGATATTGTTTTTGGGCCTAAGGGCCTGGTGCTAAAGTGGAAAAGAGTATTAGTGGGCTGTGCTTGAAAGGGCTGGTTACCATTCATTTATACAGTAGTGTGACAGTGAGTAGTGGCGTAACAATATATGTCATCTTGGGAAGTGCATGCTATAAATCAACAGGGGGGCTCAGTAGCTATAGGCGCCCTTTTTTTGTTTTTTCCAAAAGACACTCCTGCTGATGAGGCCTCTGACCTCTCTCCATGTCAGAGTTCAGACACGCGTATATCGAGGTCCTGAAATTTCTATAGCTTCCAGATTGTACGGAGCAAAGCTGTAGTGACCAGAGTCAGACCCTCCCATCCATCTCCGACTTCGATGAGATCACGCCCAACTCCGATTTGCGCCGACTGTCCGCGGAGATGTCCTATCGCCACGTGACTTTTCCGTTATCGCAGCTCTTCTCCGCGATCTCAGTATGTTTCGTTATCTGCTGCACTTTTTGATTCTGCAATTATCCCTTCATCTGCACTTCAGATACACATCATGTCTGCTCTACGGCCTCTCAGACGCGGTGTGAACCTCCTGGGCTCAAGACCTCTCAGCCAGTCCACCCGTGCTGCTGCCAATGGCTCCAGCCTACTCCAGCGACAGCTCTCCGCTCCGCTCCAGAGCCGCTGCTCCGCCGCCGCGGGATGCGTGCAGCTTCCTCGATTCACAGCCCGGCCCTCATTGAGCTCGCAGAATGGTGGTGTACGGCGGTATGCGTCAGCGGCAGCTTCTGGACCGGTCAAGAAGACCCAATTGTACGATCTACATGTTGCTCGGGGAGCGAAGATGGTGCCCTTTGCGGGGTACTCCATGCCCTTGCAGTATTCGGACTTGAGCCATGTTGAGAGCCATCACTGGACGAGAGAGAAGGCCAGTCTGTTCGATGTGAGCCATATGTAAGTTCTCGTGTCCTTTTGACATACCCGCTATGTTTGAAGCATGCGGTGACTAACCCCCGCGGTCAGGGTTCAGCATCATCTCAGCGGTCCTGGCGCAATGGAACTTCTGATGAAGGTCTCCCCTTCATCACTGGATCAACTCAAGCCCTACACCTCGACACTCTCCTGCCTGCTGGAGGAAGGCACCGGCGGCATCATCGACGACACCGTCATCACCCGTCTCGACGGCGATGCTTTCTACTTCGTGACCAACGCCGGCCGCCGCGCAGAGGACCTCGCGTTCCTGCAGGCCGAGATCGAGGCGTACCGCAACACGCACGGCGCCGACAGCATCAAGTGGGAGATCCTCGAGGACCGCGCGCTCGTCGCCCTGCAGGGCCCGCTCGCCGCCTCCGTCCTGCAGCCCCTGGTCAGCGCCCACGGCGCCGCCTCCCCCGCTGACACCGACCTCAGCACCCTCTACTTCGGCAACTGCCGCTCCCTCCACCTCACCCTCCCCGACGGCACCCCCACCCCACACCCGCTCCTCATCTCCCGCACCGGCTACACCGGCGAGGACGGCTTCGAGATCTCCATCCCCACCGCCAACCACCCCTCGCTGCCCACCCAAGTCACCGATCTCCTCCTCGCCAACCCAGACCACGTCCGCCTCGCCGGCCTCGCCGCCCGTGACTCCCTCCGCCTCGAAGCAGGCATGTGCCTCTACGGCAACGACATCTCCACCGCCCAGACTCCCCCCACCGCCGCCCTGGGCTGGGTTGTCGGCAAGGACCGCCGCGACCCGGCCTCCCCCACCGCCGCCTTCAACGGCGCCGCCGCCATCCTGCCCCAGCTCGCCGCCCCCGCAAAGACCCTCGCCCAGCGCCGCGTCGGCTTCACCGTCGAGAAGGGCTCGCCCGCCCGCGAGGGCGCCGTCGTCGTCGACCTCGCCGACCCCTCGCACCCGCAGATCGGCGTCGTCACCTCCGGCCTGCCCAGCCCGTCGCTCGGCGGCACCAATATCGCCATGGGCTATATCAAGCAGGGCATGCACAAGAAGGGCACCGAGGTCGGCGTCCTGGTGCGCAACAAGGTGCGCAAGGCCACCGTCGTCGGTATGCCCTGGGTCGAGAGCAAGTTCTACCGGCCTTCTTAGGCCTAGAGTAAGAGGGAAAAAAGAAAAAAGCAAGTTTGCTTTTGTGTGATCATGTCTTTCTGTATATAGTTACGATGTTTCAAAGCCTGTTAGATTTTTTTTTTTTTATTTCCCTAGTTTCTTCAACAGCTGGCCGTTGAATTCAACACGGTTTCAACACTTCATGTGGAATGACTAGTGACAATTTATTATCATATCATAGTATATCGTCGTATACTCTACTACGGATAGGTACCCTCTTTACCTACGAGATGCCGGTGCACAAAGGGAAAAGAATGTCTGTTTCCAATGTGACCGTTCCCCGTGACCTCCTTCATATCCCACCCATCAAGATCAACCACTCTGCGCTCTAAGACTGTTGATCCCCGCCTCGTAGACAGAGACGGCGGCAAATCCTCCTCCCTGGTTCCCCACAGGCTCTCATTCCGCCCCAACATAAGCACCAGCTCCTTGCCCTCGGTGAAGAAGGCATGGTCGACCCAGTTCTTACTGTACGGCTGACCGTTTAGCGTAGCAGACTGGATGAAGATGCTGGTGTAGGTGGGATCGAAGTTCTGCACGCGGACTGTCGCCGTGCGGCCGGTGAGAGGCGAGGTGATGCGAACGACCTCGAAGAACGGCGCGGTAATCAGGTAGACGCTCTGCCCGGGATTAGGGAACAGGCCCATCATCGACATGGCGACGAAGGAACCCATGGCGCCGGAGTCGTCGTTGCCTGGTAGGCCGGCGGGGGTGGGGTTGAAGTACTTTGGGATGTAGAAGTGGACGCGGGAGGTTGATTTGGCCGGCCGGCCGGCGTAGTGGTACTGAAAGACTGTCAGGAAAGCAGGCTCATTGCCGATGTATGTGATGCCCTGGTCGTGAAGGTAATCGAGGCGCCGGACGAATTGGGCTGGTCCGCCGAGCAGGGGAACGAGAGCAGCCATGTCATGGGGCACGAAACTGAGATTCGTCAATAAGTAGATGACGGCCGAAAGTTGGTAATGCTCTCACAATTGGTATTCCCAGATACTGGATTCAAATGTCTCGGCTGCGTTGTTCTGGAGCGAGCATGACCGTCCACTCGTATCGATGTTGGAACATGTCAGGGGGTCCTACAATCATATAAACGACTAGTCTCAGCAACAAGAACGGCAAGACTGACCTGATATGCCCAAGTACCATTCAGATACCGTGGTTGGAAAAAGCCTTTGAATCCAGTGTCGTTGCCGCGATTGAAGGAAGTCTGATTTGTGCGAAACAGATTTCTCCAAAACCCAGAGTTCCTTTCATACTTCTCTGCATCATCGGTCCTGTTGAAGCCTCGCGCCATCTGCCCGATGGCAAAGTCGTTATACGAATATTCGAGAGTGCGCGAAATACTGCGAGTCATTGTGCCAAATCCGATATAGTCAAAGTCCTCTACAGGGATGTAGTTTAGCGATTTCCAGCTGTTGAGCCCGCCTCGACCTTCATTTGACCAGTCGTACGGTTCTTCCTCAGCATCCTTTTGAACGGCCGCATAGCCCGCATCCCAGTCAATCGCATCAGAGATGCCTTTAGTGTACGCGTCTGCGAGGACAATGTCTGCATTCGAGCCTCCCTGGGTGTATCCTGGTGCAATTTAGAAGACTGACTTATGGCTCATCAGCACAAGGGCCATACCCTTACAAAGAGACATGCGGCAATCTGGAAGCCAGCCTAAATGCCGTTGAGTATCGATCAGGGAGCGAATCATCCGTGCAAGCGATGCAGGATCGAAAATGGTCAGAAATGGTAATTGGGACCGGAAGGAGTCCCATAGACTAGTAACTCGTCAGCTGATCCCGGGCCAGGGAGTGTTGAATTTACCAGTAGAAAGAGTCAAAGTACGGCTCCGTACTATTCCACAGCGGATTCTCTCCCGTGTAGTCCTGCGGATTGACCATTGTACGATAGATACCGCTGTAGAAGTTGGTTAGCAGAGAGGAGTTGACCTCACTTCTGGACACCCGGATAGGGGCGAGCTTCTCGCGCCACATTTCCACGGCTTTCGCATGCGTGGCGTTAAAATCAAAGTCAGGGATCTCGGATTCAGCATTGGAACACGCCCGTTCACTACTGATGAAGCTCAATCCCACTCGAGCCAGGACAGTGATATCTGAAGCAGCATTAAACCGAACGAAAGCACCTCCCTACGCCATGTTAGCATGGATCATCAACATCAATGCTCAATAGACGCACCGGAAGGGGATATCCATTAATACTCCGGGATATCTTCAGTTCCTTCACATCAGTGCTCGCGCGGGAATTGACAAAGATGCCGTTATCACGGACAGCAGAGTTGCTTTGAAAATCGACGCAAAAGTAAGGAATATATGAGCCGCTCCCAAAACTTGGTAGGAAGCGCGCATGGCCCGTCATGCGTCCGGTAGAAGCATCAACAGAGATCGTTCCGTTGTCCTGTCGCGAATCGGACAAGTCGGTGAGATCCAGCAAGATGAGCGGACTCGGCGCATTGTCAGTTGGGAAATGAAAGCGAAATAAAGACGTGTGATGAGAGACGGTCATGTCAGCTTTAATACCCGAACTCATAGTCAATCCAAAATACCCGGGTGCGGCCTTGACGGAGTCTGCAAGGTAGCCGGTCTTGCGTTGCTTCTTGGGATATACACAGCCATTGACATCGTCATCTCGACACTTGACATAAGGGAACAAGGGAAAATTTCCCAGCGATGGATTTCCTCCAGTGCCAGAATCATGGAGACTCGAAAATCCGGTGATATTGCTACCATCGAACGCGAATCCACCCTGGTTGCTTTGTGAATCTGTGTCGGCTACAGCTTTGGCCATTCCATAGGGAAGCGACGCGCCCGCAAAGACATTTCCTATCGAGCATCTTGTCAACAAAGCCAACTCCGTCTCAAGCTACCGCTCGAGTGACCAGATACTGGGCGCATACCTCCATTGGCACTTCCAACGAGTGGATCAACGTACTGTAGAACATCATAGTCGAGAGAATTCGCAGGGTCGGTAACAGCCAACACGACCGGGATGCTGGCAAGAAGAAACGCTAATGAGGAAAAAATCATAACGAGAGACTGGAAGTTGGACTTGTGGTGACAAGAATGATTATAGACAGCGATCTATCACATAGGACTAGCAGGAATGATAAGAATGGATGATCTTTCCTCAGACAGTCTGGAATATGGAGTAAGGAAAGCTCTATCCAGAATACCACACGTCATACTGCATATTTATCAAGGGGCACTGAAATATCTGCGTTGATGCATTCCAATGCCCCCTGACGATCTGGAGCAAGGGTTGTCGATTCATCCTTGTCCAAGAGATAGATTGAAGCTTCAGGGAGCGTCAATAGAAAGAGAGAGGAGAAAACTCCGATGTGATGGTGTTGCAGCTGGATGCATTAGTGCTGTAACAATCAGTTGCAGTAGCACAAGACAATGCATAGATGGTATTCAGAGCTTGATGTCTTGTCCGAATATCATGGATGATGTTGTCAGATGGTTGATGAGTTGATGCTTGTTTGAAGCTACAAAGAGCATCTCAAGATGGAGACGATGACCAGATCAAGTCATCCAGCAGCGTCGCTTGACAGCACTGAATCATTTCCTCTCATCTGATCAATGCCTATATCACCTGCATCTGGCAGCATCCAGTGTGATTATTATCCAGTCTGCAAGATACTCCGTACTCCGTATACTGCACTTCATCGCCAACCGAGGTCCTTTTCTTCCGCTCTTTCATCCGCCAACCCGCCAGTTGACAACGGGATAGCCTTTCTCTTCTCTGTTGATCATATTAGTGGGAGTTAAGTCTGACTTGTTCACTATAGTCACCAGCAAATCAAGTTGTGATCGTTGCGTATTGGTCATTGGAGCAGTCGACGGAGTAGAACTAGATAGCTATTATCGGAGCTTGTACAGAGTAGACACTAAGAATCCCGCATCCGAGGCAACTTCTGGTCTCCGATTCCACCGTACCTTTGGTCCCGACAAACAAGCGACCCATATTTTGATAAAACTTCCACCAGTTGATCTATCGACCTAGGATTATCTCGCTACAAACAATTCAGCCATGCCGCCGCGAATCCCCTTATCCTCAATCTCCCACCTCCCTACGACTCCCTGTCGTCTGCCAGCGCGGCCAGAACGACTCCTAAAGAACTCCAACCGGACACTCCCATTTTCTTCAACTTGCTCTACTCCGTTTGGCCCTCGTTTACACAGGCCATATTCCACAGGTATGCATATGAAAGGCCTCGGATTACCCCATGTGCTGCTTTCTACATACACGGCCCACTGACCTCTTGCTCAGCGCAGTCTCAAGCAGCCAAACCGCAATCGCGCCTACGCCAAGTGGTGGGATTCACGTCGATAGCAGTCGTTGCATTCACTGCCGGACTTATTTATCAGACCCAGAAAACCGTTTCGCGCATGATGACGGTCACCATGCCCACCGACGAGGAGACTCTCAGCGCTTTCGTCCCTGCCGATGATTTCTCCAAGAAAGTGGAGGAATACATTCGCAATCACCCTGTGACTCTCGCGTTGCGGGAAGACCCCGCTTATACCGAATCTCGGCCACACATGAAGATCCCTGAGGAACTGCGGGCGCGCCATCTGACAGCGGGCATCCTTGCGACCCCGGGAGGCATAGTCGTGCCCCCGTACGTGTTCTGCGAGGATGGCGGCAAGAGTCTGACAGCCATCTTCTACCTTGGCTCGGACGTGTCGGGTCACCCAGGCATTGTCCACGGTGGTCTTCTGGCGACGCTCCTGGACGAGTCTATGGCCCGGTGCTGCTTCCCTGCGCTGCCGAACAAGGTGGCCGTGACAGCCAATCTGAACATCGACTATCGGCGACCGGCGATGGCCAACAACTATACCATCTTGAAAGCGAGGACGGTGAAGGTGGAGGGTCGCAAGGCCTGGGTTGAGGCACAACTTGAGACTCTTCCCGAGGAGGGAGAGGAGCCGGTAGTCTTGGTCGAAGCTAAGGCTCTGTTTGTTGAGCCCAAGCAAGCTGCGGTAAGTGTATTTGTCCATGGCGACATACAGACATCCGCTGACACTCAAATTTCAGGCCATGGCGAGTTTGTACAAGGTGACCAACTAAATGGTTGCACAAACAATAGATGCATATATTCTAAATGCTGGGTTTCGAGATATAGACGTTTATGAAGCATTGATTGATTGTTTTGGCGCATACAAGGAAGCATGGTTTCAACACTGTATATAGTTAAGACAAAGTACACATTCGAGGATAGACAATTGCACCATATTCTGATGGATATAACTATCCTGCAAGAAAGGCAACAGAGGTCACAAATAGCCTGCAACAGATAATTTCACCATATTTACAACAAAAGTCAATAATTAAGAATGAAGTGAGGATAGTATTGCTGCTCACTCCCATATATCATGATTGAACCACTGTCCTCTGTACTCTTACCACTACGACTCCACCGCCTCCACCCACGGAACCTCCGATGACCGCCAGCTCCAAGCTCCAAGCAGCCAGACATCCAAGTCTAACATCCATCTAGCGACATACTTGACCGCTCTACGCCCACTTGTTTGGGTGCGTCGGGCTATTCTTTCATTTCTGTTTCTGTATTCTTTGTGTTACGCCCGCACACTAGACAACGCCTTGCATCATGTCCAAGTCCAGCAAGTACCTCCTCGTCTCGCTCCCCACCTCCATCACTCCCTCCCACCATCGCGATGACGCCCTCGACGCCATATCCACAACCGTTTCACCCGACAATGGCTCCGTAGCACCCTTTCCGGTTCCCGAATTCAAGATCGGTACTCTCGATGCTCTGGTGCAGCAGGCCGATGAGCTGGCGAAACTCGAAGCTTCCTGCCATGGTGTCGTGACCAAGGTCGGCGAAGCGTTGAAGAACGTCCTTGAGGGAGACGAAGACCAGATCGATAAGATGAAGGTGGTCAATGATAGTACGTCTGTCGCATCGTTGTTGATCGGATGAGAGAAAGCAACAGGTTTTGTTGACTCGAGCCCTAGAGCCTGTTGATCAATACCTTAGGACCTTCTCGTGGAACAAGGTCAAGTATCGTGCTGATAAGCCGCTGGCGGAGTTGATTGATCTTCTACAGAAGGTATTGTTTCGGAGCGTCCAAGATTTGATCGGTGGGCTGATGAGCAACAGGAAGCCGCTAGTATCGACAATGACGTCCGGTCGAAGTATTCGCAATACAACCAGGTGAAGAACAACCTGGCGACACTGCAACGGAAACAGACGTGAGCGCAGATGAACTTTCGGCCGATGAAATGCATAGACTGAATTTGAAATCAGAGGCAATCTCTCCACCAAATCCCTCGCATCCGTCGTTGACCCCCGCACCCTCGTCCATGATTCCGAGTACATCGAGACACATCTTGTCGCCGTCCCCGCACAGCTGGTCAAAGAGTTCCTCAAGACATACGAAACCGTGGCGCCGATGGTTGTCCCCCGGTCCGCGACGCTTGTAGCATCGGACGACGAGTTTACCCTCTACGCGGTCACAACGTTCAAGAAACACAGCCTGGAGTTCGTGCACCGGTGTCGCGAGCAGAAGTGGATTCCGCGAGATTTCAAGTACGTGGAGGGCGGCAAGGAAGAGGAACGGAAGGAAGTCGAGCGCGTGGGCGGGGACGAGCGCAAGTTGTGGGGGGAAACGCTGCGGCTGGGACGCACTGCGTGGAGCGAGGCAGTGATGGTGTGGATCCATGTGCTTGTCTTACGGGTGTTTGTTGAGACCGTGCTGCGGTATGGTCTGCCGCTGGACTTTGTCTGCACGATCATCAGGGTACGTATACGTATCCTCCCGGGACCTGGGCCTGTTTGTGAAGGCCTCCTGCTGACGTTGGTGCACAGACACAAAACGCGAAACAGGCCGATAAGGCGAAACGGAACCTGGACGAGAAGTACTCGTATCTGGCCGGCAATGCCTTTGGACGGGACAAGAAGGGTCGGGTCAAGCGAGACGACCCGCACGAGATGCAGGCAGGTGGCGAGGGGGGAGGCGCAGAGTACACGGCGTATGTGTACTACGAGTTTGAATTCAATTGAAACGCAGGGGTGGTTGGATAGCCTGCTTGGTCTCGATCTGTGTCGATTTCCTTTCTTACTCCGTTTCTTGTCAGTCTATATACCTCCTCGCTGAGTAGCGTACATATACAGGTCCCTGTCTTATTCAGCCAACCTTAGCATTGCATACAAGAAACTCAGAACCCGAATAAGTACAATCATTGGTATAAGAATCTATCTGCACTGGATCTATAATGTGCAAGAATCAAGATGAAAAGCTTTAAGCACAATAAAAAAAAAACAACAACAACAAACAACAAACAACACACATCTACTCCTTCTTAGGAGGCAGATAACCCTGCTCATCTAGATACGCAATGATCTGCGCCACGGCATCCTTCACAGGCAAGTCATAGTTCTTGATATGCACCTCGGGCTTATCCGGCGCCTCATACGGGGCACTAATCCCGGTGAACTCCTTGATGATACCCTCACGCGCCTTCTTATACAGACCCTTGGGGTCGCGCTGCTCAGCCACCTCAACGGGGACATCGACATAGACCTCGACGAAGGGGAGACCGGACTCCTCGCCGGGGGTGGGGACCTCGTGCAGCCTGCGGGCGGTGTCGCGGTCCGCCTTGTAAGGCGAGATGAAGGAGGTGATGGCGATGCTGGCGCTGTCGGCGAACAGCTTGGCGACCTCGGCGATGCGGCGGATGTTCTCGTTGCGGTCGGCTTCGCTGAAGCCCAGGTCCTTGTTCAGGCCGAAGCGGATGTTATCGCCGTCGAGGCGGTAGGCGGCGACGCCGCGGTCGCGCAGCAGCTGGTGCTCGAGCTCGACGGCGATGGTCGATTTGCCGGAGGCTGAGAGGCCGGTGAGCCAGATTGTGAGGCCGCGCTGGTTGCGGAGGGCGCTGCGCTCGGAGCGCGTGAGGGCGCTGGCGTGGTAGGTGATGTTGCTGGTTGTTGGTTTTTTTTGGTTAGTTTGTTGTTGGAGGAGCAGAAGCAGCGTGGGGGGGGGGGGAAGGGGGGAAATGTTGGAGGGGAGGGTTAATTTACGTGGCCATGATGGGGGGTGGTGTAGTTGTTGTTTTGTGAGGGTTGAGAGAGAGATTGATTGATTGAGAGGAAGAGAAAGGAAGAAAGAAGTATCGAAATATCTATCTATCTATCTATCTGTCTGTCTGTCTGTCTGTCTGTTGTTATTTGTTAACCCGGAATTAAAGTCGAGAGAAATGGATCAATGGAATATCAGGAAAATGGCGACATACAGCCAGAGCGGGGCGCTGATCGCGGGGTGAAGAACTTCGGTGAGGGTGAGAAGGGAGAAGTATAACCTCAAGTAGGACTACAAGTCTACTAGTCTACTACAACACCGGTATATGGGTATATAGGTGTCCAAGTATCTATCTATGTGAAAGGATGCTATCTAATTCTCATCCTATACTCCTGTCGCCCTCAACACAGTCCAACAGTGCTGCTCATCAAGGTTGAAACCATCGAGGAACCGATTATCGGAGCTTGCATGGCTCAAGTCTGGGGCCCTGCCAGACTGTGTGGATCGGACCAACACTTCTACACAACAGTTATATCATCTAGATAGATCATGGTGTATCTCAGGAACTCCCTGCCAGGCTGATCACCTTCTTAGCGGCATCTTCGAAGCTGTCAAATGCATGCAACGGAAGCCCACTATCAGCGATCTGCATGCAGTTAGCTCCATCGCTTCGCAATCATTTAGATAGATGGATCACGCGAGTAACTGACCATCTTCTGCCCAATCTCCTCGTTCGTCCCTCGCAATCGAACCACCACTGGGACAGTCATCTCCAGGTCACGAAAGGCCATAATGATGCCATCGGCAATCATGTCGCATCGAGTCAGCCCGCCGAAGATGTTGACAAAGATGGCCTTGACTCGGGGATCCGAGCGGATGATGCGAAAGGACGACTTGACCGTCTCGGAGGTGGCTTTGCCCCCCGTGTCCAGGAAGTTGGCACAGTGGCCGCCGTGGATGGATAAGGCGTCCACCGTGTTCATCGCCAGACCCGCTCCATTCACTGGCATGGTTAGTTTCGATTGGGCTTCGTCGTGTAGAGTGTACGCAACTCACCTAGGGTTCCGATGCTTCCCTCTCCCTGTAGCCTGTGTGAAGTCGTCAGCTAGCCGTTCGAGAATGGCAGGTGAGAACCCTACTTGACGTAGACAATCCCGTCTTTCTCCGCTTCCACCTCCTCGGGTACCTCTTCCTCCTTGTTCCGCAGTCGGTGTACATCTTCTTGACGCCCGGAGCTTCGGAACGCAGCGTCGTCGAAGGCGAAGTGCGCACCGCGCACTTCTATGTCCTCGCTAGCGAAATTGATTCGTACTTCGAGCACGTAGGCTTCTTTCTCCTTGTAGATTTGCCACAGAGCCTGTGCCAATTTGGCCAGCCCCCCTCGTGCTGTTTCTGGAAGATTAAGATGGGAGGCAACGGCCTCAATGGCCGAATGTGTGCTACTCAACTCAGGAGTTGAGTAGGCAAATGGAAACGTAGCGGAAGAAGCGGGGTCAGAAGTCGGGTTCCCCGATGCAATGATGCAAGGCGACAATGCTGTTCTATCCACGGTGACCGATAGAAGAGCGTCGGACTCTGAAGGCGATCGTTCATTGAAAGGTATTCCTTTCTGCTTCAACATCTCCAGAGCTTGATATTCCTTGATGTAGAGAGACCGCTTCTGCATTCGCTCCAAAGATGCGCGAGGGACAGGGTGTGACACACGACGCAATGTATGCACGCCTCTTCTTGACCCGCTGGGATCGAAGGGCTAAAGGGACTCAGGTGGAATTCGTCAACTGGGGTATTCAGACAGGCTTACTGTGGCATCACTCGTCCTGACGCGGCGGGACAGCAGCGCCTTCATTTCCTCCCCGAATTTCTCTGGATGGTTAACCATCGTTACCCCCGCGTTTTCTAGAGCCTTGTACTTGGTCTCGGCGTCTGGCTCCCCAGGAGCAACCCAAGCGCCGGCATGGCCCATGACTCGCCCGGGAGGAGCCTCTCGCCCACCCACAAGGCCCATGATGGGCCTTTATCCGTTAGTATATGTAACACAGGTATTTTGTCCTGCCAAACATACTTTGGATTAACAGTCCTCCTGTGGTAATCCGTGATCCACTCGGCAGCATCCATTTCCGCGGTCCCACCAATCTCGCCCACCAAAATGATGCCTTCCGTGTCTGGATCCTCCTCAAAGATCTTCAGGGCATCGACAAAGTTCGTCCCCGCCAGGACATCGCCGCCCATGCTGATGCACAGACTCTGTCCCAGGCCCGCGCGCGTCGTCGAAGCGACGGTCTCGTAGCTCAGCGTCCCTGATTTAGCAACGATACCGATCTTCCCAGGCGAGAAGCAGGGCAAAGGCTGGAAGCCTATCCGGCACTTGCCAATTGCAGAGATGATTCCGGGGCAGTTGGCTCCAACCAAACGAGTTTTGGACTGCGTTTGGAGGATAGAATGGACCTATGAAGCTGTTAGTCACTCTTCCACTGCAGGTCTACCTTTTGAACCTGTTTCACCCTCGCACCCGGAGCATATCGTGGATAGGAACATGTTCAGCCACCGCGACGACAAGCGGTATTTCCGCCTCGATGGCCTCCTCGATAGCCTTTGCCGTCTGGTTCCCGGGGACGTAAATGGCAGATGCGTCGGGCTTTGCCCTTTCTTGGGCCTGGCGTTCCGTAAGCATGGTGGTCGCGAAGGGGTTCAAAAAAAAGGGGGGGTTGCTCGCACCACTCGCACGGAGGGAAACACTGGGAGTCCCAGGTGCTCACCCTCCACGCCAGGCTTCACGCCTCCAACGATCTTAGTACCCCATGCTAGGGATTCTTTCACATTCGCAGTAGCCTGCAGCGGTTAATGACCGCATTGGTACCCTGGAATTGTACTTGCGCACCTGTCGACCTGCACCAATTAGTCTGCATCGCTGGATAGACAGGGAGGGACTCTCGGACCTGTGAAGCCTTGAAACAAGACACTTGTATGTGCCCCGATCTTGAGATTGGGAAGAGTATCAGCATAGCCAGACTTTCTCGACGAAGTTGAGAATCGTGGAAATTTTGAAAGTGGTGTTTTTCGTGCCTGCGCAGATAGGTGACGCAGACCGGCCATCTTGATCTACTGTAGTTGCTCGGTTCCTTGGTTGACTTTCGTAGTTTGATCGACGACGAAGTATTTCAATGAGCGTAAGATGTGAAACAATCAATCAATTGCTATATTATCAATTGCTCGATAGCAGTAAAGAGCGAGTGTATATCGTGGTGTACTATAGACGAATGTTCTTCCTCTCTATATCCATAGCATCATCCCAATTAAGGCGTGAGTAGGCGTTATGCGGGCCAGTCGCCAGACCTCGGGAAACAAGCTCAACACTCACAGCCGCCGGTCTCGGACAATCCCCGCTTGTTATTAACGAGAGAAAACATGTCTTCTGATTGGCCTTCTCGGAATTATCCCTCAAGGTAGACGGGCATAGAATGGCGGGGGAGCACGTGCTTCATGGATTGTGGAAGAAACAGTAGCTGAAGAGATCCAACGAGGCATCATCATCGAGTGAGGTTTTGATGTCAACGAGTGTACAGAGTACTATGGGAATTACCTGCAGTGGAAATGTCTGTCAACATCTGCTCATATTGATTCATGTCAGTCCCGTTGCTGAACCTATATATATATATATATACCTCGATAGGTTGGAAGTATAGGATTCTATAGGGCTTCTGTGGCTGTCTTGTCTTGTTACCAACAACCGGACAATATTATTCATATTTGCCATCAAGATAGCATGACTGTCCCCTTGAGCAAATTATCATGCAACTCTTATCCAACAATCCAATGCCCAAAGACACTTGAGCGTCGACATTCTGGACCACGGCACGCCCAATCACCATCTGCTACCCAGAACCCTCGGCGGAACTCGACTCCACGACTGACGCCATTCATTCTTTTGTTTCCGCTCTGTAGAGTAACTTACTAGATAGAAGATACTATTAATATCCGCGCTCCAGATTGCGTTGCGATTCTTGAATTCTCGTCGTCGCTCGACACTGAGTATTAATAGAATAGAGTCGGGATCAACGCGGGTTCTGGCTCTCAACCCCAAATCTCCAGTTCCAGGGCCCTGTCTACCTACATATATCCCCCTCATTCTCATTGTTCGCCTCCTCCTCCTCCTCCTCCTCCGCTAAATAAAAGGCTCCGCCCATCGTCCATCTATATACCAGCAGTCTTTGCATAAAACACAAACAAACATACCACTCGCTACAAACGATTTACACTGTATATATATATATACAACCAATCAACCCCCCCAGCCAGTCCTTTCCCAAATGTCGATCTCAGCCTCCACCACCGAGGCCCTCGAATCATCCGTCCGCCAACTCTCCCTCGCCAACAATGCCCGCATCAAAGACATCCCCCGCCCAGCCGTGAAACCACCCGCGAAGAAAAAAGCCCCCGTCGTCGCAGACTCCTGGGAAGATGAGGCAGACTCCGACTCCGACTCCGAACCCGCCCCCGCCGCTGCCACTGCCACTGCCATCTCGCCCTCCGTCAGCGCCGAGGGTCCCCTCGATCCGCCCCCGACGCCGATATCCCCGCAGCTCTCGCAGCAGGGGTTGCCGCTGTCCGGTGCGTCGCCGCCGATGCGAGCGGTGGACGCCAGATCGCCTGCGCGGAGGCCGGAGAAGCAGACTGCTGTGGCGGGGAGGTTGATTGCGGGGGCGCTGGGGCTGCGGGCGCCGAAGAGGACGGAGGAGCAGAGGGCGTACGACCGGGCGGTTAAGGAGAAGGAGATGAAGCGACGGAATCGGGAGAGGGAGGAGGAGGCGAAGCGGAAGGAGGAGGAGGAGAGGGCCAAGGCTGCTGTGTGGGATGAGTGAGTGATGCAATTTGCATAGCGGGTGTTCTACGCGGGTGGGGTGTCTTGTGCGATATATTTTCTGGGAAGGTTTACTTGTTGATGATACATATATTTGAGGGTCGCGGTGATGATATTATTTGTTCGTTCGTGGAAGAACCGTTTCGTGCTTTTGTATTTATGGAGATGAAGATGGAAATCTTCTCTTCTTGAATCGTCTCGGTGATCTTTTACAGCACCAGTGGATGAACACACCAATCCACACATGCAAAACGAGGGCCAAATATATCATAATTCATTCCATATGTGACTATGCAGCGCCAGACGGGCTATCCACATGTTTTCCCTCCTCACTTTTAAATTTCGAACCATGCGTATCCTCAAGGGAAAGAAGAAAAAAAGGGACCTCTAACCAAGCCAAGCTTGTCAGGCCAATGAAAACACCTCTACTCCGGTATGTCTCGAATGCGAAAGGGAGGAAGAAGGAAGCAAAAGACGAGGAGGAGTCACTGTATCAAGAAAAAAAAGCCTTTTTCCAAAGCACGTCCTGTCTAGCCGCCAATCTGCTCCTGATGAACCTCCAGGGTATCGCCGTCGGACATGTCGAGCTGCGTAAGATCCACACTGTCAGCATTTGTTCCATGTGGAGGTTTCATCAACGAGGAGAACTGGGGGGTTGTGCATGTGGCAACATACAGTGTCGGGGGTGTCTTCGGGGCGCACACGGGTGCCGTCGAAGAGGAAACGGACGGTAGAGAGCTGCTTGCCCTGGCGCTCGCAGAAGGCGTCCATCAACTTCTTCAGCTGCGTTGTCCGCTTGATCTTGAAGAAGACCTCGTTGTTGTTGTCGGTGACTTTGATGTTGAGGTGCTCGACGGGGGCGGGGATGTCGCCTGGTGTTCCGTTGTCGGCCATGATTGGGAGGAAGAGAAAGAATGGGCTATGGGACTTTGAAAATCCTGTTGGGAAACACGGTGTTTTGTCAGCAAGTCTGTACGTCCTGCTGCTGCCACTGCCACTGCCACTGCCGTTGCCGCCGAGGGAAAGTGGGCTGTCGCATAGAAAGTGAGAGAGCGGGATGAGGTGCTGTAGGCTTACAAGTATTTGTGAAGTGGTTTAAGTAGCGTAAAGGCGCTAGAAGAGAGCAGCAGGCAAAAGACGAAAGAACTTGGATAAATGCAAGAAGTGTTATTGTCGTCGTGGTTATCCACGAAGGCGATGGAATGGCAACGGACCCCACCGCCAGAGCGAAAGTGGCGGAGAATCTATTTTGCGGCGCAGGTCCAGCATCAAGAGATGGAGAGAAAGATGCTCCCAAGACCTGGCAGGTAATTGCTGAGACGTTTCATTCACTATTCAATTCAACTTCATACACATGGTCTTCTGTCCTTGACTCTGACTCCTAGCGAAGACTGAAGCACCACAATACCTCCCCTCACGCGTGTTGGCTGAGATATCTGATACTATTGCGTCATGGTAAGAAGAGTCCATAAAAGCGAGATCAAGCCCAAAGTGAATTGAGAATAATCCGCACTCAGGGAGAGCTCAAGCACGATCTGGCATACGATCCTCCTTGTCATCCAAGAGCAGTAGGTCAAGTTCCAACCATCAGCATTCTCCAGGAGACGCCCGTTTGAACTGACTGTTGACCAACCAAGTGCGCCATTCAAGGTACTTCAACAAGCCCCCAACGGATAGATACATATTCCTGCAGACTAGCAGACCGGCATTGTCTCCATCTTGTCGTGCTTGCTAACCCACGTAGCTTGTTTAACCAGGAATTCATTCCAGGAAGAGAAATGCCAGTCGCAAATCAATGCCCTGTATGAGTGCTGTAACGCTTTCTACGGGGAGAAAGGAGAGGAGGCGAAGACTCCGAGTTGCCCTAAACCAAGCCTACTTAAGCTGAGAATGAAGCAACGAGCGCAGGATTGAGAATATTCATGTGCTGGGCAAGCATTGATTAGGGGGGATTGGTTGGTTTCCAGGTGTATATATGTGCATATGTGCAATACTACAAAATGTTGATATCCTTCTTACGCCGTGGTGGGTGCTTGAGCAATGCTGGGGCTTTCACACAGTATGTGACAAATTCCTTTATAGTCTAAGCTCCCACGAAAGAGAAGAGCTAGGCTTATAGGAAGTGCCAGAATTGCTCTAAGACAATCTTGAGCACGCAGAGAGGCCGTTTTGACCTGAACGAAGATTGAAGCTGCTCGTTCCGAGACTCTAATGATTGCCTATATGACATTTGTTGAAGAAGAAAAGAAAAAGAAGAAAGGAAGAAGAAAAAGTTCGATGGAAGAGAATTTAATGCGTGTTCTCCATCGACGCGCTAGTCCTGGACAGGCCTAGCGACCAAAACAACGCCCAGCCAACGGGAAACCCGAACTTTCAATACTGGAAGTTCTTCCCAAAGCCTGCTGGGAGAGCTGACTGGAGCACGGCTGCTTTTACCATTATTGACTCTATCACTTCCCACCCCGTGATGCTTTAAATTGTCTTCCCCAGGTCTTGCTGCTGTACATAGTCTATGGCTCCTTTGTCCACGGCAGCCGGCTCTCAAGCCGCCGCTGCTGGCTTCGCATCAATCAACGTTAGTCCTTTGTGTTGGCTGCGCTGCTTGCGCAAACTGAATAAATGATGGCTGACTCTTATTGAATCTAGCAGTCCCACCGCAATCCCTCCAACAGCGCGGAGATCATTGAAATTGATGATGACGACGATGAACCCATGGACGATGAGGAAATAGAAGAGGACGAAGAGGAAGACGAAGAAGTCACTAATGGCGACGAGTACGAGGATGAAAGCATGGCGAGCGGCGGCGACGACGACGAAGTTTTGGAAGACGGATCCGTGGAAGATATGAATGGGCCCGAATCGCCCTTGAAGCTTGTTCCGGCGCCCAACGGTCGAGGTACCATCCCTCTATAATCCCTACTACTATTACTACAAAGTCCGCTTGGAAAGACTGACTCGAATTCAGTAGGCGATACAGATATCTTCACATCCGGGTTGTTTACATCGGCCGGCGCGCAGGAAGCGTTACACCCTCTTCGCCGCACTGCGGACCGGGTGACCCGCCAGATCGAGGCGTTTGCAGAGAAACTGGATCGGTTCAAGCAGAAAGGTCGCACTGATGATTTCGGAAACTACCAGGCTGCGTATCAACTAGTGAAAAGCTACGAGGTCTACGCGCAAGATGCGATCCACGATATCTCGAAGCAAAACACCTTGAGACGCGCCAAGATGGGCTGGGGATCGACTCGAAGTAACGGGACCGCGCCGCATGATCCCAAGACCGAAGAGGAGCTGCAGCGGTTGCAGCTGGAGGCAAACACCTGGCAACTTCTTCTTAACCTTATTAGCATTGACGACCCGGCGAGCAAAGCCAGCTGCAAGAAAGCGCAAGAGACCGTCTTCCAGAAACTCCACCGGTACTCGACTGACCGCGAAATCTGGGAAGGCTTTCTGAGCGCAGACCACTACGCGCTTGAATGTGTAGTTATCATGAAGTGGCTGGAACACACATCGAAGACGACACCGCAGGATATCGATTCGTTAATTGCGGAGCTGGAAAAACAGGCGGAGCGAGGCCCAGGGTTATGGACACATGGCTGGCTGTACACGAAGGAAACTATCAAGGGACAGAAGAGACTCCGTGCTTGGCCTCAGCCTCTTGAACCCAAGGATCCCGGCGTCACCGTGTCTCTCTTGACCTCGGAGATGTCGGAGCCTCTGATCACTCAGCTGGACCCAGACGCAGTCACTCGGCAAAAGCAACACCTTCAAAAACAGGATCAGTTCTATGAGCGCGCGACCTGGATGACTTGCTGGAAGATGTTGAGACAGGGAGAGAATTGGACCAAGATCAGAGAATGGGCCGAAGAACGTCTGGAAAACTGGAAAGCGATCAGTCTGTGTGGTTCCAGCGTTGACCCGAAGTCGGGGGGTGAACGGACACCTGTCGATGATAGCCTGACGCGCATGATGAATTTTCGCACCCAGGAGTCCTGGCGAGCTGCCTGTTCAGCCCTGGCGCGCAATTCCAACCTCGAAGACTTTGAGCGGGCGGTCTACGCGTTACTCTGTGGAGAGACTGAGGCTGCATTCAAGGTCTGCCAGAGTTGGGACGATTACCTCTATGTTTACTTCAACAACGTTGTGCTATCCCGGTACCAAGGATTCTGCAAGCAGTTTCAGCGGAAGCTGAGTCATTCACCCACGGCACCCGTTGTCTTTGTGCCAGAACCCGTCGGATACAGCGACGTGAACAAGTTTGTCCAATATGCCAAAGGCACTGAGCGCGTTGGGGTAGAGGCCCGCAATCCTTACCGCACGATCCAAGCGGCCATCATCGGCAAGGGTTACGACACATTCTTCTACTCTCTTGCAAAGGCCGTTTCACAGGCGGCAAAGACAAATTCGGAAGAGTCCTTCGTACCCGATTTGTCGCCAACACACGTGGATGATTCGTTGCTCATTGCTGCTGAGGATGGCGATGCGCTACGGATTGCGACTCATCTATACATTATTGCAAGCTCTGTTGGCTATGTTCGTTCCGACACGCAATTCTTCGAGACAGCGTCTGTCAATGTCATCGGATACATTGCTAACCTGGAAGATGCTGGCATCCTTGAGGCGATACCACTATATGCGTCTTTGCTACCAACTCATCAGGCGTACTCTGTCCTGGGCCGGGTGTTGATTGAGATTCTCGACCCTCGAGAGAGAAAGCAGCAGGTTCGACTAATCGAGAAGTATGAAATCGACATTGAGGCAGTGTTGGAAGACCAGTGGAATTGGGTCAGCAGTAGCAGCGATTCTGCGATTGAGCACACGAGGACTATCAAGCGGTATCCCAAAGTCGTCCGTCGGGACGACGGAACCTGCGAGTTAGTACCCGTGAAAACGGACTTTATTGGAACCGAGATCTCTCGTTCGGATGAGAGATTGATTCGCAGCCTTGAATGGCTCCGGTTCGTCGATGGGCAGTGGGGCAGAATCTGCCAACTGGGAGCTTTGCTGTATCGAAAATTTTATCGTATGTTTTATCCCTCCGCTTTGATTCGTGCGATTGTGCTAATTCTTCGACCAGTGTCTGGAAACCTGGCCGCAGCCAGGGAATTGAGCCGCCGCATGAGATTATCCGTCATCTCGCGCGAATTGTTTGGGTTTGACGTGGCGGAGTTCTCGTACGGCCTCGCGGGGGCTGAGCGAGCAACTCCGGAGCCCAGCAGCCCAACCAAGGCGAGAATACTCGGATCTCCTCACAAGCGTAGTAGATCCTTGCAGAACGGCGTTCCGTCCAACGATCAAACAACCATGCTTGCGCTCCAGTCGCAGACCATGCGGGACCTGGAGGAGTTGACACTGGCGTTTGACGCTCTGGAACGATTTGGTATCTGTTGGAAGAAGATCGACAAGTACGTTTTGTTTCGATAAATTGCATGGCGCCTTGCTGACGGAATGGCCTATAGGAACAAACGGAGACGGGACTCCGGTGCAATCAAGGATCTTCGGGACGAGCTCCAGGAGCGTCTAGACGAGATTGGCGTGCATGTGGATGCCGTGCTAGACGAGTGGCTGAGCACAGCTGCAGACGGTAGGATTGATTCGCGCCCTGAGGGATTTTTCGGGACTAGTGCTAATCTGCGCACTGACAGAAACGGAAGAGGCGGAGCTGGAAGAGATTCGCGTCACCTATATCCCGGAATTGTTCCTGGACTATCACAGTGCGCTGTACTTCTCCGCGCACGTTCTCACCAGCGAGATCCTGGTGCAGTGTATGAACCTGGCGATGCAGGTGTCCGAAAACGACTACTTGACGCGCAGCTTCGTGGGGGCGCGTCGGATGCGCGAGCTAGTCGATGCCCTGGCGTTGTCGAGCAAGGCCATGGTGAATACGCGAGGGAAGCCCGGCAAGAGGCTTCTGGGAGGCGAGTCGCTGGGCATCTGGACGGTGGAGGTGCCCGAGGAGGAGGAAAGCGAGTTTCTTCACCATGCGAAGTGACGGCAGTTGCATGTATGATAGGTAGGTAGGGGGCTTCTCTCTTGCACGTGGTGGGGGCGAGTTTTATTGTTTTTGTTTTACTGCTGCCGGGGCAATCGGGTAGAAACAATTGCATTTGGGCTGGACTAGGCATTCGATGCATCCCGGCGCATACTCTTGAAATACATATGAAAGGTTTACACTTTACTGTTTCTTTTTCCTCTCTCTCTCTCTCTCTCTCTCTCAAAAACATAACCGTCGATTTTCATTCGTCCACTTTTACTCACACAGTTACACAATTTATGAAAGGACCATCAGCAAGCCAATGACTATTCATACGGCTCCATCAGGGTATTCCCGAGCACCTTCGCGGGAAACGCCTCCTGGCCCAGGGTCGTGGAATGCGCCCAGGGCTTCAACCCGTTTTCCTTACGGATGGTCGCCGCAAAGCAACTGCTCCACTGCAAACGGGGATAGCGCGCACACACGTCGTCGATGGTCTCCTTATTGACGAGATGGCCATTTGCGCCGGTATTATCTGTGACCTCTCCTCTGTTACCTTTCTTCAACTCTCTTGGTGGAAGCAAAAAACCCAACCCAACCCAACCCAACCCAACCCCTTTGGAAGAAAAGCGGAGTGTTGTGAAGCATGGAACATGGAACATGGACATACCAAACAACGTCGCCAACTGCAACAACTGGCCCAAGGCCGTGATCATGCCCTCGGCACAGACATCCTGATGCCGGATGATGGCCTCTGCAACGCTCTCCGCCTGCTCGCGGGGCGCGGTGGCGCCGGTGTCGGCGCCGGCGCTGGTGCTGGCGGCGGCGCCACCGGCCACGGCCTGGGCGGCGGGATGGCCAGCGGACGACTGCAGGACCTCGAGGGCGAGGAAGGCGGCGTAGAACTCGAAGCTGAGGCGGGTCTGGCGCATGTGTTTGTCGGTGGTGCCGAGGTCGTGCAGCAGGCAGGCGAGGAAGAAGGTTTCGTCGGAGAAGGACCAGGAGGGGAAGGCGTGGCGCTTGATGGCGAGGCCGTAGTGGTAGGCGCGGAGGCAGTGGTGGTAGGTCTTTTCGGAGAGCTGGGTGCGGGCGTAGGCGTCGATGCGCTGGGCGAGCGGCGTGGAGGGGACTGGAGTCTGCGAGGTTGGGATCGGGGGTGGGGTGGTTTGGGCGGTGGAGAGGAGGAGAGTGGAGGAGCAGGGGACAGCGGTTAGGCCGTAGGTAGCGATAGGGTCGAGGATGGTGCTCATTGTTGTGGTGGTGATGGTGGTGGTGGTGGTGGTGTTGGATGTGGGAGTGGTTGGGTGGTGAGGGAGGTTGGGTGGTGATGGTAAGGATCATGATTGTATAACTACATGCTAATCCAGTAGAGCCAGGTGATGGAGGATTAATAATCTCTTGTTCTTCTATGTAGCTATATGCAACTACATTAACAACCTGTAGATAACTAGACTGTAGAGATGAGATGATATTAGCTACTGCTACTATAGTACTCGGGGATATACTCCGTAGTGCAGTAGCCAAGCTCATGTGAGATCCGGGCGAAATCTTCTAGAAGCATTGCTTGTTCTATGATCATCAGCTAAATCGACAGACTACGAGACTAGTTCTTTTTTTTCCTCCTGTGCCCCTTATTCCTGAGTACTGCAGAGAAGGGTAGCCCATAGATATGGTATGAGACATGGTATGATAGCAACACTCATATTATGATTTATTAGATCATGATGATCATCACATGGTAAGACTCTTCACTTCTTCAGTAACTAATCTGATCCCTAAGATTCTGTACTCTGTACTCTGTACTCTGTACTCTGTATTGTCTAACTCTAATAGTGTTGGACAGCAACACTATTAAAGTCTGATTGCTCTATTGACTTGGCTCAAGAGTAAACACGGACACTTAACTAGAAACAACATGGAAATTGAGTTAGTACTGAGTAGTATAGTATAGATCAACTAATGTATAATGTAGATAGCAAATTCCATAGTGCATAGTGCATGTGCACAGCCCCAGCACTGCCAAGCTCGTCATTTCGGAGCACTAAATCTCGATTTGGATGTAGGAATTGATGACAATATGACATATTATTACCATAGTACGGAACAATAACATGGGATGTGTGATAGAGATGAACCTACCACGGAAGATCAACCAGCGAATAATAATGCTGGAGATAGGAGGACAGGTACTGTAGTAGCACACCTCATCTATTCTACACCTACCTGGGTTTGCAGATAGTTAAGTCCATCGTGGTCTGTTTTGTCAAAAGCTATCTGTGAGTGCTGTCGTGGCAATGCTGCATCCTGTCATACTATGTACTCATACCCTGTATCTCCATGTGAAATGTATAAGTATACCCGACGACCCCCAGGCCTCAATAGTCAGGTCAGTCAGTAAGTAGATTAAGAGACTGAATTCGCTTCCAGCCTTGATTTAAAGTGTTGACTATTACCAAGAAGAAGAATAAAGGACTGGCCAGACTATTGAAATGAAACGAAGAGAACCAGGGAAGGGCGAAAAGGAGGTGAGGGTACCCCGGAGGTACTCCGTATGAGATACCTACTACAGTAGTAGCTACCTACCTAGTGACCTTTAGTTCCAAAAGTCAGCGTTTACAATGGGGGGTGAAGCGAAGAGGAGGTGATGCAGCGAGTGGACTGGATATTGAGGCAGTGCAAACGCCAAGCAGCGACTTAGAATTCAAAAAAGCTCTGCAGGGGGGACAAGTGGCGAGACATGTTGCGTCTGATCCTCTTTTTTGAGATTCTTCTGAATTTTTGTTCGGATATTTTCTTCTCTGGAGGGTTCTCAGTGAGCATTGTTCTTCTTCGTATATATTATCATTATTATCATAGGTAGGTAGTGAGAGCATGAGCTTACGGAGTACTTAGTACATAGACCTATCTAGGTAGGTAAGTACCTAACCTAGGTAGGTGTCAGGCCTACCTAGTCGGAGAGACCCTGAAGCAAAGTTACCGTAGCTGGAAACCTTCCATGATTTCTGCAACCAGAAATTAAGCTGTGGTTTCATGACGTGACAAGCCCGGTCTCGACCCTTGGTGTGGTGGTTGCGTTTTCGTCGGATTTACTCATTGGTCAGAGTAACTATGAAGTGGGAGACGGAACTGGAACCGTAATTACATTACGCTATTCTTTGGGTCGATTTACTCCCATTATTATCCATCACTCAAGTGGTTTGAAGGGAAGTACCTACTACCTAGTTAACGAGAGTCTCTGCGCTCTCTCTTTCATCCTGGACCTACCAGTAGTTACCAGTAGTTGCATCTCCAGTCAAACCTCAATACTTCTACTAATCAGCTCCTGTCCTTCTGACGACTAGCCTCACTGCGGCATCATATCAGCCCAGCGACATCCCGTGCTCTCGCCTCAACACCTTCGATTTGGGGTATTGGACTTCTTAAATCCACAGAGCGCTTGTCGATGACGCTTGGTTCTTTGATGAGACCTCATCCCACCATCCTTTATGTCTTGAAACAGTCCTCTCAATAATCAATCGCGAAAGAAGACCTTCACCCATCTCCTTCAAAACCTGGAGCTACACTTCAATTCCAATCAATGTCCACGGTTCTCGTCATCCTAAGGCCCTCTTACCTCTTCTCCTTCCAACACACGAAGCAAGCGCGCCGTTTCCCCGGATCTCAAGTCCTGGATATGTATCACGCTTGAGCACCTGCCGTTCGTTCTTATCTTGGAGCTTAATTGTGTGCAGAGTCTTCCACTGGAATGAGAACCCCTGCCCCTTCATACGACATTCCTGCATGTTCTGAGGCACCCTGTTTGATTCGCTCCCCTCTGGGGCATTCTTGACCTCACTAGCTCGTCCCTCCCCATACCGGATCCAGTAATCTTTCCCCCTTCCTGGATTCGCGCTCCGCTCTGTCTGGGACCATGTCGTCGAATCCAAACTTCGATGGAAGGGATTCGAAGCAGGCCACTCCCCTGCGCCGGGAGCGTGCTCCGACAATCACCATCGACACGTCCGCTGTGACTCCGGCTCAGGATCGGACCCAGCCGACCTTACACGTCTCGACGGAGGAGGCGCATGCGACTGATACCAGTGCTCTGCTGAGTGACGGCACCCCGTCGCCCACCGATATGCGCTCCCCGGCTTCCATCCGCTCCTTTGCTTCGTCCGAGAACCGAGATCATGAGAGCCGGCCGATCTCGCCCCACAACGTCTCATCACCGACCTCGAAGTTGGCCGACTCCATGTCGAATTCCAACTACCTGTCAGTCCCGGGCACTCGCTCCCGTGTAAATTCACTCGAATCCGAAGATACAAGCCAATCGTCGAGCTCGTATGGGGGAGAAACTTATGTCGGCAACGGTCCCCAGGGATCGCAATCGGATATGGGGAAGAAGAACGGAAATAACAGCAGCCAGCTCCTCAGTGATGAGGAAGCCCTCAACCCCGATCCCGGCCGGGAAGACGAATTTGAAGTGGAGGATAATAGGTTCGCTTTTTCTCCCGGACAGCTGAACAAGCTCTTGAACCCCAAGAGCCTTGGCGCGTTCCACGCCCTGGGTGGCTTGCGGGGATTGGAGAAAGGGCTACGGACGAATTTACGCAGTGGTTTGGGTATGGACGAAACGACGTTGGACGGCACCGTGAGCTTCGAGGATGTCACGTCCGCGCAGCCGGAGAACTCCCTGCCCAAGTCCATCTCTCAACCACCCGATCGACCGCCATCTCGTTCCAACACAGGCCTGGCTAAGCAATCAGAACACGCGTTCACGGACCGCAAGCGAGTATATGGAAGTAACACACTTCCCGAGAAGAAGCCCAAGAGTATTTTGGAGCTGGCATGGATCGCGTACAACGACAAGGTGCTGATTCTCCTGACCATCGCGGCAATCATTTCGCTTGCTCTCGGTATCTACCAGTCCATCACCGCAAAGGACGGCGAGGCTCGGGTACAATGGGTCGAAGGTGTAGCCATCATCGTGGCCATTGTGATTGTGGTGGTGGTTGGTGCGGCCAATGATTGGCAAAAAGAGCGCCAATTTGTGAAATTGAACAAGAAGAAGGAGGATAGATTCGTCAAGGTCGTCCGTTCCGGAAGGACGGTTGAGATCTCGATCCATGATGTGCTGGTGGGTGATGTTATGCACTTAGAGCCGGGAGACTTGGTTCCCGTCGATGGCATCTACATCACTGGTCACAACGTCAAGTGTGATGAATCCTCCGCCACGGGTGAGTCAGATGTTCTCCGCAAGACGCCCGGTAACGACGTCTATCAGGCCATTGAGCGCCATGAAAGCCTGAAGAAGCTTGATCCCTTCATCGTATCAGGTGCCAAAGTATCTGAGGGCGTCGGAACGTTCCTCGTCACTGCTGTCGGCGTCAATTCGACGTATGGTAAGACTATGATGTCTCTTCAGGACGAGGGCCAAACAACACCCCTCCAGTCGAAACTGAATGTTCTCGCCGAGTACATCGCAAAACTCGGTCTCGCCTCCGGCCTGCTTCTTTTTGTCGTGCTCTTCATCAAGTTCCTTGCTCAATTGAAAAACATGGAAAATGCAAACGTCAAAGGTCAGGCTTTCCTTCAGATTTTCATTGTTGCCGTCACCATCATCGTCGTCGCCGTTCCCGAGGGTCTACCGCTGGCCGTCACGCTCGCGCTCGCTTTTGCTACGACACGGATGTTGAAGGATAACAATTTGGTCCGGTTGCTGAGAGCTTGTGAGACGATGGGCAATGCGACCACTATCTGCTCGGACAAGACCGGCACACTCACAGAGAACAAAATGACCGCGGTGGCCGCAACCCTGGGAACCTCGACGAGATTCGGCGAGAAGTCCCCTGAGGCGTCTTCAGGCCAGACGAATGGTGACCAGAATACCACCACCGCGTCGGGGAGCATGTCACCCTCCGAATTCGCTTCCAGCCTTGCGGCCCCGGTCAAGCAACTTCTCGTTGACTCTATTGTACTCAATTCCACTGCTTTCGAAGGTGAGCAGGAGGGAACAATGACCTTTATTGGCTCTAAGACCGAGACGGCCCTCTTGGGCTTCGCGCGGACGTACCTCGGTATGGGATCGGTCAGCGAGGCGCGATCAAATGCGGCTATTGCCCAGATGGTTCCCTTCGACTCTGGTCGTAAGTGCATGGCCGTGGTCATCAAGACAGAAGCCGGAAAGTATCGAATGCTGGTTAAGGGTGCGTCGGAGATTTTGCTTTCCAAGACCACCCGCATCATTCGGGATCCCTCCAAGGATCTTTCTGAAGAGCCGCTCTCTGAGCAGGCCCGTTCGACTTTGGACACCGTGATCAACCACTACGCCTCCCATTCGCTCAGAACGATCAGCCTGGTGTATCGTGATTTCGACCAATGGCCACCACGAGGAGCACCCACCTCCGAGGACGACCGTTCGCTCGCTCAGTTCGACCCGTTGTTCAAGGACATGGTTCTGTTCGGTATCTTTGGTATTCAAGATCCTCTCCGACCCGGAGTCACGGAATCCGTCCAGCAGTGTCAGCGTGCCGGCGTGTTCGTGAGAATGGTGACAGGTGATAACATCATGACTGCCAAAGCTATTGCCCAGGAATGTGGCATCTTTACCCCAGGTGGCATTGCCATTGAAGGTCCCAAATTCCGAAAGCTCAGCAGTCGCCAGATGCGCCAGATTATCCCTCGGTTGCAGGTTCTGGCTCGATCCAGTCCGGATGACAAGAAGATCTTGGTCACCCAGCTCAAGAAGCTTGGAGAGACGGTTGCGGTTACTGGTGACGGAACAAATGATGCTCAGGCTCTGAAGACTGCCGACGTGGGCTTCTCCATGGGTATTACTGGCACTGAAGTCGCGAAGGAGGCGTCTGATATTATTTTGATGGATGATAACTTTGCATCGATTGTCAAGGCGATGGCATGGGGTAGAACAGTCAATGATGCGGTCAAGAAGTTCCTTCAGGTGAGTTGTGCAAGCTGATTGCGTCTATCCCCTGCGTCCATCCCCCCAGACTAATTTGATCGTATAGTTCCAAATTACGGTCAATATCACTGCAGTCTTACTCACCTTCATCTCTGCCGTGGCGAGTGGTGACGAAGAGTCGGTCCTCACCGCGGTTCAGCTGCTGTGGGTCAACCTCATCATGGACACTTTTGCAGCTCTTGCTCTCGGTATGCTTTCTGAACTGCCTAATAATTTGGTAACGAGCTAACATGACGGAACAGCCACGGATCCTCCTTCTGCTCATATTCTCGACCGCAGACCCGACCCTCGATCTGCCCCCTTGATCAACCTGACCATGTGGAAGATGATCATCGGACAGAGTATTTATCAGCTGGTTGTCACACTTATTTTGAACTTTGCTGGCAAATCGATCTTCCATCTTCAAACCCATGATGATGAGGAGCGACTCGAGACGATGGTTTTCAATACTTTTGTCTGGATGCAGATCTTCAATCAATGGAAGTAAGTAGCCAATCCCCGTAGGATGCATCTTGAGATCCGCGATCGCTGACTACTAAATAGCTCCCGACGTATCGACAACGGTCTGAATATCTTCGAAGGCATCTTCCGCAACCGGTGGTTCATCGGCATTCAGTTCATCATTGTTGGAGGACAAATTCTCATCATCTTCGTGGGCGGGCAAGCTTTCTCGGTGAAGCCACTGTTTGCCTACCAATGGGGCGTTTCCCTGGTCCTGGGTGTGATCTCGCTGCCCATTGCCGTGATCATCCGACTCATCCCAGATGAGTTCATTTCTCGGCTTATCCCCAGATTCTGGCACCGCCAGAAGGCCCCCGAGCTGCTGGTCTCGGACGAAGATCGCCGCTTCGAATGGAACCCTGCCCTGGAGGAAATCCGGGATCAGTTAACATTCCTTCACAAGGTCCGCGGTGGCCGGTTGAGGAACTTGAAGCACAAGCTGCAGCATCCTCAGGAGTTCCTACCGCGCTCACGCAGCGGATCCCGATCAAGAGACGATTCGATCCCTTCCACTCCTGTCGGCGAGAACGGCGGTGTTTCCCCGCAGCCCGCAACGCCCGAATCACGGTCGAGGAAGCGTACCCGGTCTCGCTCCAACTCCGCCTTTGGGCCCGCTGCCGCCATGGCCGGCGTGGTCGCTGGCAGTATTGCGGGATGGTCTCCGATCGAACGAGCACCCGACGAGGGTGACGCGATCGCATTCAACCCCAGCAGCCCCCACGGAGGACTGGATAACCAGGAGGGTATCGAGATCCACCCGGACACGGCAGCAGACGAGCGCCTTGTCGGCGAGTATCAGACCGCCTCGAAGACACCCCCCAGTCAAAACCCCGACTTGCTCCCTCACTTCGAACACCTCCCGCCTGACCGCGCACCCTCCAGCCGGAGCAGGAGGTCTACCTCACGACGCTCCCGATCAAGCCAGAGCCAGTCCCAAAGCTAACGAACAACGCCTAACCCTTTCTATCCATCATACGAAATTCTAGTATCTTTTTCCCTGCTTGATATACGCAGCCCGGATTCAAATGTACTCATAGACTTCCCCCCCCCCAAGCAAGTGGCCCTTCTTGCTTCTCCAGCGCTGTCAATTTCTTCCTCTTCCTAACTCCCAATTCTAATCCTCCTGTCCCGCCCAAACTCCCCTTTCTCTTCTTCGCTGTCCCATATTGCTCATGCTCAACCCACCGTTACTATCATCCTTGCGATTCAAGAAATTCCGCCTCCAACACTTGAAAAACAAACTCGTCGTTTTTTAAGATCCAAGGCGGGGGGGCGTCTGAGGAAAAGCCTCTTACTTATTTACTTACTCACTTGCTTACTCTTTCTTTGCGCGCGAAAAAAAAAAAAAAAGAAGTTCTTTTTTCCTTGCTTCCTACCTGCTTGTATAGACCTGCTGTTTTCTCACCCTCATGATGAGTTGTGGTCCCTGGCGCTTGGGGAGGCGGGAGGTCCTGTCTTTTTTTTTTTTTTTTTTTTTTTTTTTTCCTTTTTGCTCCTGTCAAAACGTATTTCACCTGGGGGGAGGATTTGCTTTCTGTACGTACAATACCACCAAAGTCTACTTGTCCTGTTTTTGTCTTTTTTTTTTATTTTGTTCGTTGTACAGTACAGTACAGCTACATGGCTCTCTCAGGTCAGGGCAGTGGAATCCTTAGATGAACGCTGTAGGCAAGATAGGCAAGATAGGCAAGCTACGCAAACAAAGGGGGGAGGGGCGAGGGATGTCCTGCACGTTGGGAAACCTGGAATTCTGGGGCTGGAGGGTGTTTGTCCGGTTCTCTTCGTTCTGTTCCATTCCTGATTGCTCATCGATGGACTCGATGACTCTGACTTGGGGAAAGGAAGGGGGGAGAATGTGGGTTGGCGGTTTGCTTGCTCCGGATATATCCGTTCATAAGGGATGAAAGTACAATTGATGAGATCAAGAATCGGTGCGTGACCATCGTTCGGCTGGTTTCTCTGGTTCTGGTTGACTTACCTGGCTCGGATTGTAGATGGCTTCTTTTTAGGAGATAGAGGTGGTCTATATGGGCTAATTCTCCCATGGTGATATGTGGCTGACTTACACACAGTTCTCTTAAATCTATGCAGAATGCTAAAAGGGCCCTTTCTCCCTCCAACATGACTTGACATGTACATGTGTGCAATACACCCTTGGCTCTCCTTACATTAATCATGCATACCTCACCCGGTGCATCTGAGCTTAATGTCTCCGGAGGTATGTGATGCACTGCGCCGTGGCAGTGGGCAGAGTGGAGCCCCATCTGTTGCACGGTGCGGCACATTGGCTTAGGTGCGTTAATAATAGAGTGAGCAAGCAAGAATCCCAACTGGTGGATTCAAGGGTCATCTATCGATGTCAAGACTAAATCCCGCGTTTCACCCTACCAGGTTGGATCTTTTGGATAGATAGCATATTGCGGAGTTTCACTGTGTATGTGTATTTCCCGGTGCCTTGATGGAGAGTCACTAACTGCATGCATGTGCAGGGGCTCTCATCATGTGCATCTGACGTCTTGGTGGTCCCGGCCGGGATTCTGCAGCGGATGGGTTGTCTTCCGAGGGGGATCCGTGATGCTGTGGAATGTCTTGTTACCAGTAGTGGTGCAGTGCATTCATTACCTTGATATTACCTTGGGCACGCGCCGGCCAGGGACTGTGATGTCAATCCGTTATCACCGAGGAGAGGGATCAATTTCTGATCTTTTGGCATTCCCTGTGTCGATGTCCCACCCCTTCATCTCTGCCGTCTCCCTCGTCATATATAGACCACCCTCTTTTAACCTTCAGAGCCTTGCTCTGTCTGGTCCTGAGAGAAGAATCAGCTTCATTCAGTCGCCGTGTGAGGATACAGCAATCTCAACATTGCCAGCAATATCGAGAGGGCTCAGCCGAAGAGAGAGAGCTAAGCGTCTGCCCTCAACAAGCACAGCGCCATTGTTCCCATATGAGCCACCATGGTGTCCGACATTGAAAAGCCCCGCGACTCTCATCCTCTACAGATTGTCACACAGGAAGAGCTGGGAGATTGTGGCTCATCGAGTACCGCCTGTCAGTCACGATACCAACGATGGGCGCGAAGTATCAAGAACCTCGAGACCCAGGGGGTCGAGCGGGTTGCGCCAGAGGACCGTCAGAAACACACCGCGTCTGACTCGTTCCATATGTTGCTGATGTGGTTCAGTATGGGGATGGCGGTCAGTCACATGGTTGTTGGATCAATAGGCACGCTGGTCATGCAGCTAAGCTTCAAGGATGCTGCCCTCTGCGCCCTCTTTGGGAACCTTCTTGGGGGGTTATCAATTGGCTATATGAGTACATGGGGTCCCAGGAGTGGGAATCGCACACTTGTACGCTCATCTTCGCGAATGCTTTCATCTCCGTCTAAGATTTATCCCCAGCTTTATTCTCTTCGATGATAAGGAACATGACTTACCAAGTGATTGCCTAACAGATAGTGACGCGGTATTTCATGGGCTATTATCCCAACAAGGTCTGCTGCTCGTTGAATGTATTAACCAATCTCGGCTATGGGATGATCAACGCCATGGTCGGAGGACAGATCCTCTCTAAACTCTCTGGAGGGTCCGTTTCGGTGGTGGTTGGTATTATCATCGTGGCCCTTGCAAGCTGGGCCATGGCTACGTTTGGGATGCGCATCTTCCAGATATATGAAAGGTATGATCTCCTGATGAGTCTGCTGGGATGGGCGGATGTTGACTCGATGGCCATGGCCATAGATTTGCTTGGCTCCCGCAATTGCTCACATTCTGTGTCCTGGCCGGATCAGCTGAACCGTTCTTCAATTTCCATACCGTGTCGGTTGGAAGTTCTGAAGATATTAAAGCCAAGCGCCTGGGCTTCTTCTCCCTTTGTTTTTCCTCGGCTCTTTCATGGACACCTTCCGCCGCAGACTATTATGTGTATTATCCGCCCACAGTCAAGCTGTGGAAGACGTGGTGCGTAACCACTGTGGGAGGATGCGCAGCAATGATCATCAGTCTCCTCCTCGGAGTCGGCTTGGGGACGGGAGTTGCAAGCAACAGCGACTGGCAGGCCCTGTATGACGGCACTCCGGGAAGCTTGCTGATGGCTGGCTATGACCGGTTGGGGGTGTTTGGTAAGATTTGCGCGTTCGTCAACGTCTTGACGGTGGTTTCCAACAATGCCCCGGGAGCATATTCCATGGCGCTGAACTTCCAGATGCTGGGAGATTTTTGGTTGAAGATCCCGCTCCCTGTCTTCACCATTGCCAGCACTGTCATCTACGCTGGATGCGCGATTGGAGGTCGAAACTTCCTCTATCAGATCTTCAAGAATTTCCTCCCTCTGATCGGCTATTGGATCATCATCTGGTTCACTATTGCTGTCGAGCAAGATGTGCTCTTCAATCGATGCAAAGGGTACGATTGGACGGCTTGGAATGATCCACGAAAACTCCCCGTCGGAGTGGCTGCTGGAGTTTCTTTCCTCGTCGGATGGGCAGGAGCCATTGTTGGCATGGTAAGTGCATTGCGATTGCGCCTTCCCTCCACTTTTGGCTCTGATACTTCGCGAGCACATATGCTAATCTCTTCTTTCCCCCGTGGCTCAACAGAACCAAGTCTACTATGTCGGCCCGATTGCGAGTGCGATCGCAGGAGGTGCTGATCTTGGTATCTGGCTTGGAATAGGCTTCACTGCCGTTGCCTTCCCTCCCTTGAGGTTCCTGGAATTGAAGATACTCGGCCGCTGAAGTGTAGACCACAAACACTCAACGAGTCATCGGACGGAGATAGAGTCCGTCCGTTTCATTGTATTTAGTGCTTGGTTTTCAAGTCTGCTGTCCATCGTCAATCAGAGTTCGATTCTGTACAGTCCTGGGTGGGTCAGCCATTTGTCATTGAAGCGAGATTATCAGGAAATATATACTTGGTCCGGATAAAAACAACAAGAATAGTAATCCAGAAGCCATAGACAGTTGAGCATAAGCGCTGTCTCAACTTCCGATCCTCCGTGTAATTTCCGTGGCTGTGCGCCATGCAGTCGCCAAGGGACGCGGTAACTACCCCCTAAAGGCTCTAAAGTCTAACCTCTTGAGTCTTGACTGGGTGATCATCATCATCTAGACCAAAACGAGCCATCGTGTCCGTTGTACTCCGTATGCCGTATGGTCTCTTCTTGTGAGCCCAAATTTGTCACTGTTGAACTGACCGAGGTGAGGGCGGGGGAAGAGATTAAAGAAGAGTGAGGTTGAAAGTCATCTGATATGCTGATGATCTGATTGATCTCAATTCCCTCCTCGCATTAAGAGTCTCACCTGCAGGTGCAACGCATCCCTGCGCTGAGATCAGTAACTAGTTACCTGCAGAGACATGGTTCTTCATCGAATCATTCATCTGCAGGAATCCGAATAATAATCGTCCAACTCATTTTTGACAACTCCTCGAGGATGTCTAGACTGTCTAGTCTACGACGGGGTCCACTCCTTTCGAGCAAACCGCTCCATCGAATCTCCTCGTGTATAATAACCAACAAAAGGAGGTCACAATAATTTATAACTTCCGGCACATTCCCAGTTTTTGTTCTATGAAGATTCAGCCTTCAGACTGAAACGATGGAGAATGAAACTCAGCTCCTCACGGGAGCATTGAAATATGGACCAGCGGCAATCCTTCCGACTGCCGGACTGCTTGGCCAGCTAGTCCCCTATATCGTCGCTGTCTCTGCAGCATACCCCATCCTGTGCTCTCTTCTCCGATTCCGTCGCATGCGATGGCTTCACCGAAAGTACGATTTCCCGACGCGCGAGTCCCTCGCCCGCATGACCGATGATGAAGCGTGGGAAATCCAGAAGGTCCTGTTGCAGCTGGAGTTTCCCTTCTTCTATATCAAGGCGCTGCAGTTCGCGCTCTTTCGAGTAAGCCATCTTTTTACCTCTGAGGTATTGCACTTGCTATTGAGTGTTTTTCACTAACCCTTTCGCCAGACATATGGCATCCCCTCCATATCCAAAGTCTTGACGGCCACAAGCCAGTTCTCCAACCCCGAGACCTCTTTCAAGCGCTACACCGACACCAGCGCCCTGGTCCAGGAGTTTATGGGCCACGCGCCTTCTTCGGAACGCGCCTGCACCGCGATCGCACGCACCCGCTACCTGCACCAGGGATACCGCGACTCGGGCAAGATCAAAGAGGACGACATGCTGTACACGCTAGGTCTCTTCGCCATCCAGCCCGTCCGGTTCATCGAAAAGTACGAGTGGCGCACGCTTACAGACATGGAGAAGTGCGCCATCGGCACGTTCTGGAAGAGTCTCGGTGACGGCCTGGGGATCAGCTATGAGAAGCTGCCGTCGAGCAAGATCGGGTTCCGCGACGGCCTCCACTGGCTGGAGGAGATCATGGTTTGGAGCGACGAGTACGAGGTCGAGTGCATGCTGCCGGATATCAAGAATCGGGAGACCGCCGACCAGACGACCCCGGTGCTGGTGTACATGATTCCGCGGCCACTGCAACACATCGGCCTGCAATTCGTCTCGTTCATGATGGATGATCGTCTGCGGGAAGCCATGCTGTAAGCCACCCTCCCCAAACCCACACTACACCCCCAAAGTCTCCGTCAAAAGGTCCAACAACCTCACTCACCAAAAAAAAAAATTACAGTTACGAAGCACCCCCACCATCCTACTCCACAGTCTTCGCCTCGCTCCTCTCCCTCCGCCGATTCGTCATGCGCTACTTGACCCTCCCCCGCCCCTACGCACTGCGCTACACCGCCTTCACCGAGCAGATGGACGAGCACAACCGCGTCTTCATCACCAAGTGGGACGCCGCCCCGTACTACGTCAAACCGACCTTCTGGAACCGCTGGGGTCCCACCGCCTGGCTGACCTGGGCCCTGGGCAAGCCGCTGCCCGGCGACATGGGCGACAAGTACTACCCGCAGGGCTACCACATCGCCGACGTGGGGCCCAAGTACTTCGAGGGCAAAGGCCAGAAGGCGATGGAGAAGACGATGGGGGAGTTGAAGGTCTCGCGCACAGGCAAGTGTCCGTTTCTCTGAGTTGGAGTTTTTGAGGTTGGATGGGGCTTGGGTTTTGTCCTCGCGTATGTGTGCTCGTGTGGTATAGATCTCGGACAGATCCAACAACCTAGTTCAGATCATATACGCCTCTATAACTGTATAGCCGCAATACCCTTTCTTTTCGACTACTCTTGGAATTCAGATAAGATCATTCATACCCTTTCCACTAAGACTCCATCTACGTAGTCCTTGATAGAAACCCATACAAACAAGAACTAGAGAAAGAGGAAACTGTTCCACATAGGAAACCTACCACGTTGCCTGGCCAGTTCGACGCTGACTTGGGGTCGGTGGACTAGGAACGTCCCTTGTCATGGGCCAGAAAGATACATTTCTTATTCGGATACTAGGTCAATGACCTTCTACAGTGCCGTGTTCTCTCTACCAAGTTTGTTTTGAAGCTGCTTCCGTCGGGAATATTTCGATCAATGCTTTTGAACTGCTATGTAAGTCCAAGTAGCCCGTGTCGGCCATAAGAAAGTAAGAACGGGAAGATTAAAAACGCTTGAACAATATATTCCAGTAGGACGGCAGCCTGGTAACAAGGCCAGAGTCAAAGAATGTAGACTTATGTAGCAGGGGTATTACTGTGAACAGGACTCAATTCACATCACTAACAGGCTAGAGTGAACCAATTTACTCCTCGCCCTCAAGGATCTCCTCCTCAGGACTGCGAAAACGGTCAGCAGATGTTTTTTATAAAGAAAGAATAAAAACGAAGAACTTACTACTCCTCCTCGCCCTCGGAGATGGAGGCATCCTGGTACTGCTGGTACTCGGAGACAAGATCGTTCATGTTGCTCTCAGCCTCAGTGAACTCCATCTCGTCCATACCCTCGCCAGTGTACCAATGCAAGAAAGCCTTGCGACGGAACATGGCAGTGAACTGATCACCGACACGCTTGAACAGCTCCTGGATGGAGGTGGAGTTACCGATGAAGGTGGAGGACATCTTGAGGCCACGGGGAGGGATGGAGCACAGAGCGGTCTGGATGTTGTTGGGAATCCACTCGACGAAGTAGGTCTGGTTCTTGGACTGGATGTTGCGCATCTGGTCCTCAACCTCCTTCATGGAGACCTTACCACGGCTGGAGAGAAGTTAGCGGCAAAAAACTTGACGTGCTGCCATAGGGAGGGAAAACATACAAGATGGCAGAGCAGGTGAGGTAACGTCCGTTGCGGAAGTCAGAAGCAGCCATCATGTTCTTGGGGTCGAACATCTGCTGGGTCAACTCGGGAACGGAGACGGCACGGAAGGAGTGGGCGCCACGGCTGGTCAGAGGAGCAAAGCCGACCATGAAAAAGTGCAGACGAGGGAAAGGAACCATGTTGACGGCCAGCTTGCGGAGATCAGAGTTGAGCTGACCAGGGAAACGCAGACAGGTGGTGACACCGGACATGACGGCGGAGACCAGGTGGTTGAGGTCACCGTACGAGGGGTTGGAGAGCTTGAGGGTACGCATGCAGATATCGTACAGAGCCTGAAGACCAGTCAGTTCCATCTCGGCTTTCATCCCAGAAACAGAGAACCCGGGTGTCCAGTTCGGTCATACCTCGTTATCGATACAGAAGGTCTCATCGGAATGCTCAACGAGCTGGTGGACGGAGAGAGTGGCGTTGTAGGGCTCAACAACGGTGTCGGAGACCTTGGGGGAGGGAACAACAGAGAAGGTGGCCATCATGCGGTCGGGGAACTCCTCACGGATCTTGGAGATCAGGAGGGTACCCATACCGGCACCGGTACCACCACCGAGGGAGTGGGTGATCTGGAAACCCTGGAGGCAGTCACAGCCTTCGGCCTCACGACGGACGACATCGATGACCTGGTCGACGAGCTCGGCACCCTCAGTGTAGTGACCCTTGGCCCAGTTGTTACCAGCACCAGACTGGCCGAAAACGAAGTTGTCGGGACGGAAAAGCTCGCCGAATGGACCAGCACGGACGGCGTCCATGGTACCGGGCTCGAGATCGACGAGGACGGCACGAGGAACATACTTGTCACCGTTGGCCTGGCAGGGAGTTAGGATCGTGAAGGTTTTGTCGAAGCATACGGAATCCCACCACGCACCTCGTTGAAGTAGACGTTCATACGCTCGAGCTGGAGATCGGAGGTGCCATTGTAGCTATCATTTCCATCAGATCCATGCTCAGTGTTGTAATCCTCCTCATATTTCCTTCCGCCATATCGATCGGAATAAAAGGTTGCACTTACTGGCCAGAGCCGTCAAGGCCGTGCTCACCAGAGATGGTCTGCCTATAAATCTGTCAGCCCATATCCACGAACTGGAACCACAACCCCCAGGCGAATTGCCAATTGAGATTGTATGGCTCTGAATCTTCCATCATCAACATCAACATCAATGCATTAATACATACCAGAAAGCAGCACCAATTTGGTTACCCTATCACCCAAGCATCTGTTTAGCCTCTTGCTGGACACTAAACGCCCCCAATCTCTGCTTCCCCATAGCCACTGCATATCCCGCGATGAGGTGTACTTACACACTGACCGGTCTGAAGGTGAACCTATAGAGACAAGAAAAGCAAAGAGCAAGTCAGCAAGACCACATTCCAAGAGAACGGGTGGGGTTTTTTTCCCATCAGGGAGGAGGCTCTTGAAGAAAAGACGCGTCTCCTGACGGGGAACCAGGGGGGAGGGGGGGGGGGGGGGGGAGTTAAATTGAACACAACATACGATTTCACGCATTGTGGAATGTGATTATTAGGGGTGATTTAGGTAGGAAGGGAGAGATGTAAAGAGATGAAAAGTGGAAGGTCGAAAGAGACGAGACTGATGGGAGGACTAGTCGAGGGAATAATGGAGAATAAGGATGGGCAGGGGGGGATTGGAGTGAAGGTGAGCGGTGAGAGGGATGAGGGAGAGAAGGCGTTGGTCTGTTGTGTTGTGTTGTGTTCTGTTGTGGGCTGTCTAGGTAGTCTAGCCTATTATTTCAGGCCACCCAGGAGGATCAACAAGTATTATTATTATTATTATTATTTACTCTTTTTTTTTTTACGATTTGTTTTGCGTGGTAAATAACCAGGGGGGCTATGGCCGTATGAGGCCTAGTGTTGTTTTTCTTCACGGGACGCCAATCAGCAATACTACTCCGTAATGCATAAATAGCATAATAGGTTGTTCCGCGCAGGAACGAACCACAGTTGGACTGGCCCCAGTGGGCAGGACAACAAACCGCGAACCAGAGAATGGAATAATGGGTGGTTAAAAGATCCTCTGTATGATCATCGATGCTGCTGGTCCATGATGGCAGTCAATCTAATGCGTGTCAACTGTCTTCAAGTCGAACAATGCGTGGTGGAGATCGTGTCTCGTGTACGGGAAGTTCTTCTAGTATTGATATTCTGCCAACTCATCCGACATAAGTGTACATTACCATCGCTATAATACACAATGCAATACGCTGGGCTTCGATGGCCTGACTCCAGCAATTCATCCTTTCCGAATAAACACTTTCGTGGTCTAGCCAGAAGCCTGAGAGGAATTGAAAGACAGGGCCTGCCCATGATGGCGTTATTTGGCACGGTTCTCCACGACATGGGAGCTTTCCAGCCAAGTCCCAAACTCATCCAATCGTTCATTCTCCTCATCATCTTCCGCATCCAGACCCCTCTCGGCCATATCCTCAAGAGCGGCTCGCTTTTCGTTGGTCTTTCGGAATTTCTCCTTCCCGTCTGAAACGTAGGCTTCAACGCGTGTGCCAGCGAAGAATCGACCGTCCATGACCTAGAGAACTTATTAGACAATTACTTTGAAGCAGTAGATAGAGGAGAAGCAATGAAACATACTCGGACACACTGTCGGGCAGCCTCAGGGTCGACAAATCGGACACTGGCCACTCCATCAGGTTCTTTGTCGTAGAGAACGACATTCGTAACTTCTCCGAGCTTAGAGCATTCATCTCGAATGTCTTGTTTGATATCAAGTATCGCTGCCGGGTCCTCCTGCAAATCGCCCAGTCTCAGCGCGGGCTTTTTCCTAACTCAGAGACGGTCACATACCTCGAGCTCCTCCAGAGTGAACATGTGCTTGAGTATAACGACCTTCTCAAACCTCGAGCTCGTATCCGGCAACATCGACGGGTCATCATCATCCCAATCCGCGAGTTTGCTAGTAGCCACCGGGCATCAGTCTCTATCCAGCAAGGATCGAGGGTCCTGTCCATCACCATACCTATTGAGTTTCTGTGTCCTCCGGATGATCTTCTTCTTATCCCTCATACTCGTCTTGGCCGGCGCCTCCTGTTGGCTCTTGAACGAGAAATCGGCAAGCTGGACCTTCATCGGCCCCTGCGGCCCCGCCACGCCTAACCGGAAGTCTGAGTCGTCCAACATCTGTATCGCCAGGTTGACCGACTCCGGCCGGAAGTACACGACCAGCGCCTCGCCCTTGAACTTGCCGTCTTCATCCATGTACATCTTTATCCGGGGCCGGCCGCTGTCGATCTCCTCGGCAATCACACCACACTTGGAAAACACGTCCCGGATCTCCTCGAACTCAGCATCCAGCGGAATCGACGTTACATACACGGCGGTGTTGACACGCTGTTTCTTTGGCTTCTGCGAATTATTCTGCCCAACACAACCCCGCCAGAATAGATCAGCCACCGCGGTCACTCATATAAAGGGGACAGAGCAGAAACAAAACAGACGACTGGCGCTACACTCACCTCATCTGCACCGCCCTGTTGCTTCCGCTTCTTCCTCAACTGCTGCGCAGTGAGCTGCTCCGTCTCGTCCACGCCCTGGATCTTATACGCTTCTTGCTGTTGTTGGAGCAAGTCATCATCGACCTGGAAGATACCCAAACGGCGCGCAAGGACCGCGCCACATATTCAATCAGTTTCACGAACCGACCAAGATCCATGCAGGTTCAAAACGTGCAATGGAGCCGAGTATTTACAATTGACGTCGCGGGTGACACTCCGCGATCGTATAGAAAATGGATAGACAGGGACAGAGAAAAATCCAAAGGAACCAAGTGAGGGGGGGAGGAAGAAAAAAAAAAAAAAAAAGGACAGAGTTCAACATCCGCAAGCTAGCAAGGGAATCGAACAGCTGGAGAGAAAGTGCGCACACACCGTTGGGATCCAACGTTTTAACACCGAGTCGTACACATATTCCTGGCCGTCCTCAGTCTCCAGGATGAATTTGTTGTCCAGCTTCGAGAAGGAGATTCGGGGGTCGCTGTCGAATTCGGCTGGGTCTTGCGGGAAGCTGGTGAACGGTGTAGGTACAGGCGTGTTGTCGCTGGGGCTTTGGGATGCCATTCTGTACAGGATGGGGCAGATAAGCCCAGGCTACCGATGACAAACTAGCGCTGTAGTAATGCGATGTATAGGCCGATACCCTTGTGTTGTGAATTGGAATTGGAACTGGGCTTCACTAGATTGCGGGGCGAGATGAAGCTCCAAGCTGGACGGGAGACTTCCAGTTGCCTGTGACGAACTGGCAACGGACGGAAGCTCCAGCCACGCGCGGCTTGTCATTGGCCAAGGAGTGATATCTAGGATATCGACTTGCAAGTTGCAACTACGCCCAAAGTTTTAACACTTGCATCTGGCATGAACACAGACACATTTTATTGTTCTGTTTTTGAGTCAATCCTAAGATACCTAACCTCATTGCAGGTGATTCAAGTACTACGTTGAACTGCTCAACCAGGAAAATAGAGACAATCGACACAAGCTATCTATCTACTCCTCTAAAACAATAAGGAAGGCAAATTCGAGGAGAAAGTACTCATATTTCGAGGTCTATTATTGACAATTCAACGTCTATTAACAGGCGTGTGTATATCCTCGCGATGCGATTCAGGCCAAGACGGACGGCCGGAATAACCAATTGATTTATATGACGAAATTGAAACAAATGAAACATGGAATATGTACAACCATATTACGTGCAGACTCATACTCGGCCGCTGAACACAACAATTATTAATATCAAGGGGTATCAAATCTCATAGCAGGAACTCGGAAAAGGCTTCAAGCCTTTGTCTCAATGGTGCCAGGCTGACCCTCGGTGGGAGTGGCTGTACGCTTGGAGGCGCTGTCAACGCCATCAGTGCCCTCAACACCAGTGAGCACATCGCGAGTAATCTCGACATAGTCATACTGTCAAATAGGTTAGTTTAACTGATCCAGAAGGAGATGGAAGAGCAGGAGGACATACAGCAAACTCGCCGATCTCAGCGTCATCAATACCCAGGATCTCATCCTCCTCGGCAGCGCGCAGGCTGAGTCCGGGGACCAAGTTGATCAGGAAGAGAATGAGGCAGGTACCAAAGAAAGAGTAGGCAAAGCCAGTGACGGAGTCGGCCAGCTGGTAACCGAGCTGGATCCAGTTGTGGTTGAGCCAGCCTCCGGGAATCTCAGAGAAGCCGTCGAGGTGCGCAATGTAATCACTATTGATGCGCACATTAGCCACTTTGAATTGTCTGCACATCGAACCAAGGAAACTCACGCAGCAAAGAACGCAGTCAAAATGTTGCCGACCATTCCACCAATGCCATGGACGGCGAAGATATCCAGGGCATCGTCAACTTTGAGCCAGTACTTGAGCTTGGTGGCATAGTTGCAGGAAACGGCACCGACAACGCCGAAGATGAAGGAAGCCCATGGGGGAACGAAGCCTGATCCAGGAGTGATGGCGACGAGGCCGGCGATGACACCGGAGCAGAAGCCCACTGTCGACCACTTTCTCTCCAGGCGGTAATCCAGAATACACCAGGTGACACCACCAACAGCGGCAGCAATGTTGGTCACAACAGCCGCCATCACCGCGCGCAGGTTAGCGCTCAAGGCTGAGCCGGCGTTGAATCCGAACCAGCCCACCCAGAGGAACACGGTACCGATGACGACGTGGGTGACATTGTGGGGACGGTAGTTGAGCTCATGGGTGCCGTGTCCGCGACGCTTTCCGAGCATCAACGAGTAGGCCAAGGCCGCAGAGCCAGAGGCAATGTGCACAGGTGTGCCACCTGCGAAATCCAAGCCACCCAGCTGGAAGACCCAACCCGACGAATTCCAGGTCCAGCAAGCAATGGGATCATAGATGATCGTCGACCAGATGAAGGAGAATACCATGCAAGGAAGCATGCGACCACGCTCGGCGACAGCACCGACGGCGAGCGCTACACTGTTGATTCATCAGTTTGTTGTTCCTCATGTATCTGCCTTGATGGTTTCTTCGACTGAGACTCACGTAATGCAAGCGAACATTCCCTGGAAGATGGCGAAGAGCAGATCTGGCACCTTGCTGCTGCCGACCGAAGGGGCAGCCAAAACACCCTTGAAACCGAAGTTCTCAAGATCACCGATATACTTTCCGGCAGTATGGGAGAAGGCCAGCGAGTAACCCCAGAAGAACCATTGGAATGATACCACGCCAACCGACATTATCGAGAGCCAGATGAGGGAGAGGGCGGACTTCCGACGAGCGAGGCCAGAGTAGAAGAAGCTACCGGAGTCATTAGCAAGTTGTATCAGGTCGGGGATATGAACCATCATACCCAACACCGGGAATCATCAGCAGGACCAATGCGGTCGAAGTGATCACCCACGCAATGTCACCGGACTGGAGCAGAGGTTAGCCATCTCCTCTTGCGACTGACACGATATACTCTAGCATCAAGGCCCACGAACACTATAGTATATGTTGAGATCCTCCGTCAAGGAGTCTCCGCCGGTCCCTGTCGCCGAGCCATTATAGGCCACTGGATATGTCGACATTGTGCAATTTTCCTCGCAGAACACCGGAAAGGAAGAGACGATATGGATTTGGATTACGGTTGCTGCAGGTCACCACCTGAGACCCTTTGTGTCGTTGGATGGATCAGTGATGGACGAGTCGAGTCTCAATAAGCAACGTGACGGGTATTGAGGGTGAGTGAGAATAGGGGAGAGAGGGGAAGAAATGCAGGGAAGTTGATGTCTGATAAAGGAGAAAAGGACACAGGGAAGGCAGAGGGTCCTAGGGTCATAAATATGCGAACGCGACATAAGTCAGGGACGCCATGAGCGCGGGAGCCATGGCCATCGTTCATGGAGTCAACCACAAAGGCTCCACTATCGGGTGTTTAGAGGCATGACCACAGCCATGGCTCCTTCGGATATCTTGATAGCGTGCAAATCTACTTCAGGATTGTGATAGATATCGGGTGAGAATCCAGCCAAGCCTTGCCAAAGTCAGTGTGCTAGATGGGAGGATAAGGATGTGGCTGATTAGTTCTCGCTTACCATGAATAATTCTGATGACTGGAATCATGCTATCCAGATCTCTACGTCTCTAGCGGCTGGTAGTCTAGGTAGTCGCGGGTCTATCTCGTGGTTCAGGCAATATAGATAGCCATGCGGATGGATTATCTAGTTGGCTCAGCTTTGGGGGGAAGGGGAGGGGGGCTTAGTGAGAAGCCAGCGAGACAGTGAGACGGACGATAGGAGTTCCGGAAAGCAGATTAGACAAACCCCAGTTTACATTATGATTGACAAACTGTTTCAAGAATTAAAATTATCTGCCATGATCGAGGATTATCTACATAGGTAGGATTAGTAGTTACCTACAGCCCAGCTCGGATACTTTGAGTGGTTGTAGATATGGCCCTGCTTTGGGCCAATCAGCGATCTCCCGGTCTGATAGTATCTTCCTTTTTGATAGGTACCTACCTAGTAGCGGGTATCTTCTTCTTTACTAGGATTGTAGATGGTGATAATCGCAAGTCCTCTGGAGAAGCAACGATATACATATAAAGGATAACTACTGCCTAGTGCCTACATGATAACTTTACATATTCTTTGTTTGAGCTTAAGACTTTTTCGACCTTCAGTTGGACTATATCTATACCAACGGGTGGTAATCGATCTTCTCTCCCTACTAGCAACATTACTCTTCCATGACTCGGGTTGATTAGGAAAGACGAACCGCTGGTACCGCAGTGGGATTGGTGGCTTTCCCTAGCACCATTGAATCCAGCGACCTCGTATTGCTTTGTTGGAATTCGAAATGATTGAGAATCCGCGAGTTTTGATGAAAGAGCTTTGATGGAGCGCTTATCAGGCTGTTATCTTGAGTTTTATGAGACCAACCAATCAGCAGTCACTTTTCGCTTCCTTATCTGGTCCCTCTGGATGGTCTGTCTGAATGCTGGGAGCTGCTGCACTTTACCTATGCTGTCATCTGATACATCTGTTGTTCGTTGTTCGTTGACGAGGTATGGATCAGGTCGAGAGTGCTCCGGGGGGTAGAGCGGAAGAAAGTAATCAATGCGACTATGTCAGTTTGTAGACCGAAGTCGTTGGTACCAAAGCTAGCCACTGCATACCTACTACTAGATCTCTGACAATTGCCATAGAGTCATCCAGAAGTTTTGGAAACTGGAAATAGGTACGAGGCTAGGTATCTCGCTCAGTTCAGAGTTCAGCATCGATCATGATTCAGACTGTTTTCATGCAAGGTCCCAGGCTCAAAAAGAGGTGGACGAAGGAGTCATGGAAAGTGAGAGAAGATAAGCATCATTGGCCCCATTGGCCAGTTACCATGGCTGAGATTCGGCATCCCGATTCTTCGGATTAGAGGCTTGGCTTGACCTTGGAGATATCACTTCGCTCTCTAACTACTACTGTCTAGGTATCTACTGCATGTGTTCTGGATAGTAGTAGTGACAGGCATACTTGATGTGATTGAAAGACGGGTGTTGGATGACTTCTTCAGGATCTCGATTCCGCACAATAATCATCATCCTTTGAGGTCGATGATTCTTCCAGGCTGAGCTGTTCAAGACCAGAGTGTCCATCGAAGAAGCATCGTCCGTCCCCATATGTTATTTCCTGTGGTACCCCCTGACCTGCGCATGTCACTATTGTCGGGCTGCATATTCTGCCCCATAAGAAACAAGTCATTCATTTGATATAATGATGCTACGTACAGTACCTAAGTATAAGTACAATTTGATTCAAATTGCGTGATAGCAGATCTGCACTCTTTCTCATGAAGTAGTAAGTACTCTCACCACGGAATGACTGTTTTCATAGCTATCATATGACTCATATCTCCATCCTCATCATCAAGGTCATCGAATCCCCCGCAAATTCCCATAGTTACACTGCTCCATACTGCATAGGCTACTAAGGCCCCCGGCTCTATTCTGGAGATCTGGGAATCAGATCATCAATGATCAATCACGCCAAAGTGGGCTTGTTGATCCGCATGGTGCATGCTTTTTTAAGCCTCCTACTTGAGCTCAGCTAGTCCCACTGATCAGCATTATTCTCACTAGTTCCATAATTCATCCTCATTTGTATAATTGTATCATATGTGAAAGTCAAAAGTACAGATGGCAGGTAATGATAATTCTATCCTTATACTCTGTACAGTTAACACAACAATACCTACCTAATAGTATAAAGACCAATGCATCGCATCATGCATTGATGACTATTAATCTCTCAGGAGCTGGTGCATAATGCACAAATCCTGTTTCTTGGTGGTGACTAATCAATTCTTAGGGAGGGTAAACTGGGAATACAGGAAGCTTTCAAGTTTTTGCCATGGGCTTTTTCTTGCACACTTGACGACTACTAGATACCACTACTGCCTTGCCATGCCTAGGTACCTGCCTGAGTCCTGAGCAATGGGAAGTGAAAACTTTGGTTGTGACTGGCTGCAAAACTGCATTGAGGGACCTCCGAAATCCGAGATTAAGCCATAATCCTCAATTCTCGGTCGAAGCGCCACAAATGGAAGATTCGACCTTAACCGATGTCCGATTGACTTTCACAGGGCAAGAGAATAATGGAATCCTCACAAGCATACATAGTTGACAGCAGTTGCTTTGGATGCATTTCTAGCCAGGCCGAGGAGGCAAAAGAAGAGAAAATCTCAAGTGTAGCCTAAACTGCAAGTGTAATAGTTCTAGTAGTAGTGGAGTATCTACTGGCCTGAGGCAGGCGAAACCCCCGGAATGCACCGCCACAGACTTGCCTGAAGCAGTAACGCAGGCACCTAGGTAGTAGGCTAGTACCAGTCATTGAGCAGCCGCCAAAACAGCCAGCGGCCAACGGCCAACAGAACGGAAAGCCCAACAGCAGCCACCCAAGCCAGCTTGCGACCCCCTCCCCCCAAAACCTGCCTCGGCCATGCAACATGGAGTCGCCTCAGGACCGTGAGTTTAGTGTCATGGAGCATCCTGATATTCCCAACCATGACTCCGATAGCTCAGGGTCTTCCGACGACCTCCTACAACAGCCATATGCCATAAGGGCCAGTTCTGCCTTCCCAGAGACGTTCGATCCAGCTCCAATGCCCACGATCGCGTCCTCTCCTCCCCCGTCCCATGCTTCCGGACTTCCCGCCTGGGCCAGTACCCCAGGCTCGCGTCCGCGTGGCTCCAGCGTCGGTGCTGCTGCGGCCCTCGACAAAGTCCCGCCTGTCGATGCCCTTCCTCTGACCGATCGAGAGTTGAGGCCGCAACGTCCGTCGGGTCCCGCAAGAACTCCGTCCAACACCTATGCTCCCCAGCGCCGACCACCGCAATATATCAGCCTCCAGAACGACCGTCAGCGGTCCTCGTCGACGAGGCGAAATACCCGACGGGACCCCAATGCCCAGTATCGGGCCCAGGAAAAGGCCTACGTTCAGCGGATTCGGGCTAATCCGCAGGCCTGGTACAACCATTTCGACGATGCTCAGGCTATGGGAATGACGCCGGGGGACTCGGACCTAGAGGAACCTTCGCCATCGTCCGAGGCGCCGTTCGAAGATGACGCGTATGATCCGGATATCCAACTATTTCTCCCCGATGATAATCAACCTACCCTCGATGAACTCAAAAACCCTAAGAATCAAGAAAGGTTGGAGTGGCATTCCATGCTGGCGTCTGTCCTGCGAGGAGATGTCGTCAAACAGGAAAAGCAGAGACTTCTTGGCTCCGCGGATACGAAGCGATCCGCCGCACAGAACAACGCAATTTGGTTAGGGGTTCGAGCTAGAACATGTGGCCGGAGTGTCGCTCTACAACGGAAGCTGATCGAGGAAGGGAGAGCTGCCCTTGGACCCATCGTCGAAGATATCATCAACTTCAAGATCAAAGGTGAGACCGAGATCGGAAAGTCTCCCATTAAGCAGGTCGAGGACATCGTCCAGAAGATTGAATGGTGTGAAATGCTGTACTCGACGCACAAAGAATTGGAGGCCGCAAATCCCCGTGTAGCTTCGGAAGAGTTCTGCTCTAGTCGTGAAGCCATCTTCTCCTGGCACAACACCATTGCCCTCATAAACACCGAACTCGCCATCTTGCAGAAGTGGGTAGGTAACGATGAGCTTGATTTTAACAAAACCAAAGTCAAGTCGGTCACCAGCGATCTCTCGGACGACACGTCTTTCCTCGACCGCATCATGAAGGAAGACGGTCTCAAGACCCTCCAAGGGGACCACAACATGCTCAACGGCATTGGCGAAGTGATCAAGAAAGCGAAGACAACGTTAATCGAGAATGCAAATTCCTTTGCACAACGCCACCTGCCGCCGTATATCGAAGAGCTCCTTACCCTGATCAACTTCCCCTCGCGTCTGATCCAGGAAATTATCCGTGTTCGTTTGTCTTACGCTAAGAACATGAAGGACCCTGCCCAGCAATCTCCTATTCTTGTCGATCAGATGATCTCCCAGTTCCAGATCTTGATGAAAGTCTCGGTGGATATCAAACAGCGCTACTTAGACATCTCGAAACCTGAGCCGGGCTGGGATTTACCACCTTGCATTGACGAGAACTTCGACGCTGTGGTGTTGGATGCGTTGAAGTATTATTTCCGCCTCCTCAATTGGAAACTGAATGTGAACAAGAACACTTTCAAGGAGGCCGAAATTCTCGAACAAGACTGGGAATTCTCAAATGATATCGGTCGTCAACTGGAAGGTGGAGATATCGAGGTTGCCGAACAGTTCAGGTACATATCCTACTTCGAGAGGTTTAACGTACGTAAGCTAATCATATAACTACAGTGCCCTGACAGCAAAGTCACTTCAGCGTCTGATGATACACTTTGAACGGGAGTTGACAACACGTCCCAACGAGGATCCAATCGACATGGACAAAAGATACAAAAGCGTTCTTGATTCAACCCGAATCCGACAGCGCAAGCTCTACCGTTTCTCCCGCTTCCTGCGTCAACTGTTCGAAAACGCCACTGAATATAATATTTCTGCCGACATCGCGTTCGACTTCTTTGAAGCGCTTCTCATTTCGGACCATTTCCTTGTCAGGTCTCACGCCTCCGTTGGCCAGAAAGGCGTCTATCTTTTCGCGCATTTTGCGCTCTGGAACCGACCCACCGATATTCAAGCCATTCTCGCAACCTCGTTCCGTGAAGAAGATGCACCAAAAGATCCAACACACACCCCTTATGTCCTGGTCGTTCGTCCAGAGAAGCCTCTTTCCTGGGCCGGAAAGGAGATGCAGGTTGATTTCCTTGAGCAACCCACAGATGTTCGGCTTGGAAAACTTCGTCTTGTAGTTGAGGGGACGCAGCAACGGCTCGCGAGTGCTCGGCATGAGTTAGTACAGTTGACCGGGATCCAGCTGGACATGGCGATTGAACAACGTGCCAACTTGGGACGAGTCAACGTGGAGCTGAACAAGATTAAGAAGATATCGTTCAAGCTCTCCATGACTATCATGGATAGCGTGGCGATCATCAGAGACCAGTTGAGATCAAGGGGCATAGAGAACACGGAGCTCATCCAAGCGTGTTATGCTTTTGCGACAGAATTCGGCAAGCGTTCCTCGAACTATGTGGACCCCAACAGGCGCGCTATGAATAGTGCAAGACTCGTGGAGCTATCATTGGAATGGGTCTCGTTCATCTGCGACGATTGCGATGCCGCTGATCGAAAGACATTCAAATGGGCTGTAGCTGCACTTGAATTTGCAATGGCCATCACTTCTAGCAGGCACCTTCTCTCGATGGATGATTCCCAGTTCGGCCAGTTGAGGTCTAAAGTGGCCGGGTGCATGTCGCTGCTAATCTCCCATTTTGACATCATGGGTGCTCGTTCCTCGCTCGCGGCGCAAGCCGAGAAGCAGCGCATGGAAGAACGCGCGGGATCCCGAAAGATTGGCGCTGGACGGATTCTGACTGATGGCGAAGCCACAAAGCTTGTGCGGGAGCAGCGTTTGGCTCGCTTGCATGACATTGAAGATAAACGGGTAGAGGAAGACGCGAAGCGACAGGCGCTGGGAAGAGTGCTGGAAGGATCGAACGAGGCTGACCGGTCCCTCGCAGTGCTGTCGTCCTCGGCGACTAATGTCACGCTTAGGTGGCAGCAAGGCCAGTACATTGGTGGAGGTACTTTTGGCTCCGTTTATGCCGCTATTAATCTGGACAGCAACTATCTCATGGCCGTCAAGGAAATTCGTCTCCAAGATCCTCAACTCATCCCGAAGATTGCTCAGCAGATCCGTGATGAAATGGGGGTATTGGAGGTCTTGGATCATCCTAACATCGTTTCCTATCACGGCATTGAAGTGCATCGGGACAAAGTCTACATCTTCATGGAATACTGTTCCGGTGGATCTCTCGCTAGTCTGCTTGAACATGGTCGTGTGGAAGACGAGACAGTCATCATGGTCTATGCTCTCCAGCTGCTGGAAGGATTGGCGTACCTGCACCAGGCTGGCATTGTCCACCGGGACATCAAGCCCGAAAATATTCTCCTTGACCATAATGGCATCATCAAGTATGTCGATTTCGGCGCGGCCAAGATTATCGCACGCCAGGGCAAGACTGTGGTCCCAATGGATACATACCCTGGAACCGGTCACAAGGACGCTCTTGTTCCCAAGGACTCGCAGATGGCCCACCAGCGCGGCAAGAACCAGAAAACCATGACCGGCACCCCGATGTACATGTCCCCCGAAGTGATTCGCGGCGACACCTCGAGGCTGGTGCACCGCCAGGGAGCCGTCGACATCTGGTCCCTGGGCTGTGTCATCCTTGAGATGGCCACGGGCCGTCGACCATGGTCCACCCTCGACAACGAGTGGGCGATCATGTACAATATCGCCCAGGGCAACCAGCCCCAGCTCCCTTCGCGCGACCAGCTCAGCGACCTCGGTATCGACTTCCTGCGCCGCTGCTTCGAATGCGACCCGATGAAGAGACCCACCGCCGCGGAACTGCTGCAGCACGAATGGATCGTCTCCATCCGCCAGCAGGTTGTCGTCGAGCCCGCCACGCCCAGCAGCGACGCCAGCAGCTCCAGCATAAGCAGCTCCAACTCGTGCAGCCGCCAGAACTCCACCTACATGTAACACACGAGGCTCTAAGGCCCAACCTTATCCGATTCGAATCATTCTTCCGGCTCCCCTGTTTCTCTTCTGACTTTCGCACACTGGACAACCCTTCATATCTTCCTTTTCTTTCTTTCTGCCCCGCATTCTACTCCCTTGCCGAGTCCCTAAAATTGCCCGTGATACCCCTGCCCCTGCTTCATTTCCTTAGCCGGATATTTTTTTCCCTTGTGGATCGATCTTGTATATTCCAATTTTTCTTTTTCTTTTCTTTCTGGTGGGAGTCATTCGCCGGCGCTGTGGTATACGGCCGGGGAATTACTGTAAACAGTACTCAAATACACGATAGAGCTGTTCTGCATATACTTTTTCTTCTGGATCGAGCATGTTGATTGCATATAAATGGAGTATTTTCTTTTTTTCTTTTTTTTTAAAAAAAATTGAGAGATATCACTTGTTTAAGCCTACGAGTACGAGTACGCCACGCAGGCTGGACTACCATTGCTACTTCAGGAATGCGATGAGTGTGTAAGTCACTGTTGGTAGGTGGCTTTTGATAGCTATCAAAAGACATCGGCTGGGTTCATGCGGCGCCTCATGAGGCTGGAGATTAAAGAAAAGAAAAAAATAATGAAAGGAAAAAGGAAGAAACACCAGACAGATGTCAGAGATTGATCACAGGCTGGTGCTGCTCGTTCGAGACTAGACCATGATAAATCGAAGCGGCGGGGGGCGAGGCGTGAACAGAAGAACGCGGCAACCAGTGGATAGAGAGGTACGGGAAAGGCAAAAAAGACCATATGAACCAACGTACGCCAAATTTGGAGGTCATCATGAGAGAGATTCGAGGAGAAAGTAATGGTAGGGAAGTAATGAATGAGATGGATATGGAAGTGAGAGACCGTTAAGGGGTGGAGAGCGAAACATCATCGTGACCAGCGAAGACCAGAAATGAGTATAAATAATGACAATGGGAAAGAAGAGAAGGAGAAAATCCGATGGCCGAAATAGAAACGCGGTTAATCCAGGGACCCAGTCCGAGCAGTCTGCAAGCGTCACAACAGAACAGACCAACGCAAGGGCTGGCGGGTATCAAGAGAATCAGCGGAATTCCATTGCTGGGGTGCAGCCGTGGTCTTCGACGTGTTTAAGTTCCAGCTGCTGGTACCTGTGATTGATTGGGAATATGTCAGTATTATAACTAGAGATGACCGGCGAATCTGTGACAAAGACCTACTTTTCGCTCTTTGCATGAAAGTAGATGCCAGTCACGCTTCCTTCGATCTGGTTGAAGCAGATGTAGTAAAACCCTTCAAAACTTGCGCCTGAAATCGTCCGCACGCGGTGATCAGGAACGAGAAAATACTCCTTCCATCGCATGAATATATGTTCACGCTCTGCAAAGTTCCAGTAGGTGAAATCGGGCTTCTTCGCCTGTTTGGCGAGGGGCCGCCAGGCAGGGAATCTCGCCCAATGGTGCATATCGGTCTTCTCCGTTGCACCCCATGCTTCATTTCTGGTCTTGAATGTGTGCTTGGTTCCGATGATTTCTCCTTCAAAGAATGTCGTCAAGGTAGGATGATCTTCTGTGAGGCCTGCGGAATAAGAGTGAGTCAGCTACAATTTGAGGCCTGTAGTCTGGATCTCCACGGACCTTGTATGCGGAGATAACCGCAAAGATACGACTCTGCCATGTCTACATGTTTGATCTCCACATCGACGTTGTACACTTGGCGGTCCGACTGTTGTGTACCGGTGAATTTGCTCCCCGGGCGAAGGAAAGAAGAGGTGTAATTAGGAAGAAGCTTTAACCGGTCAGTGAGAAAAGAAGTGCAGCGTATCATTCGGATTTCACGAACCCGAATATTAGAAAATTCATAACTTAGAAGGGAGGCCGTCGATGGCGATGGGACTGTAGATGATGGTTTCGCCAAGCACGCTCGTTGGCCGGTAGGGCTCAATCTTCCCATCGCAGGTCCATCATTGGATCTCGTCATGTCCTTGATTGGAGCGCTTGGAGTCGTCCCTTCCGCTGGGGCATCTGTATCCGACTGGGTAACAGATTCGTCTGATCGAGCCGTCAAGAGGGATTGCGCTGAGGGCATTGCGGGCGACAAGGCATTGTCAGGGACATCGCTCTCTGTAGCAGTGGACAGCTCAGAGGAATCTCTCCAGGAAGGCAATCTGTCGACTTCAGGGGGACAGGTCGCGTGAGAGGAGATGTCCGGAGCGATCGAAGCAGCAATCAGAGGAGATGTGTTGTCACTCGGTGTCGGCATTGAGGCTAATCAAGGACGGGATGACATCGGATCTAATCAGGTTGCAGGGCCCACACACTGGGGGCTGTATGCGAAAACGATAAGAACTGAAGAAAAGGAGGAACTAGGCACACAACAACTACGGGAGCAGTAACAAGTCGAAATAGAAGGGAAGGAATGCAGTATTACTGAAGTGTCGATGGGAAAGGCTACCTGAAGGCGTAGAGCCAGAAGAGAGTCTGAGCGGGAGGAAGACGCACTGCCCGAAAGGGATAGTCTGATCATGCGGGCGCGGGGGAGGCGAATTGGCGCCTGAGGCAGAAATTCTGGCCAGGTCCTTTCGGGACGCGATGCCATGCGCTCACATTGGCCCGGGAGACACATATAGTTGAGAATAGTGATTTCGTTGGTTTTATTGAGTAGGTACTGATCAGTAGCTTTGGGTATTTCTATCACACTTTGTCTCAGTGGAGTTAGATAGGGTGCAGAGGAACGTGTTGGGTATTTCTCTTCTAAATATCTCTTCTACATAAGACTTCCGCAGTGTGGTGTACGGACTGCGTCATTGCATTCAACAATCTCTTGAAATCATCACAAAAGCACTAAGAACGCCAATTATTGCCTTAAGAACTAGATTCCCTTGCCAGCTTTTCATGTCGTCATTTAGATAGGCTTGATCTGCAGAGAAAAGGTAAGAATGGTTAGGCGAAACCTCGGTAACAAAGAGTCCTCGGAAATTACCTTGAAATGCAGAGAAATAAGAGAGAAGATGAGGGCCTTCAGGTCCTGAACGAGGTAGTAGAACACTCGAAGACCTTCAGGGTCCGCGGATTCCGTCACATCTACTAACGAACCGATTTTCGCGGTCTGCGCAGCTCAGAGAATTAGCACTTGCTCCGTGTCTTGTGCTTTTGCCAGAAGTCGGCAGCGCGGAGGCATTCAGCGCACCTCAAAGGAGATATGTTCGTTTCCGAGTCTGATCTCAAGTTCCTGCCGTCCGTCCTTATTCTTCTGTGGCCATTTCGAGTCGTCCTCCCTACATCGCATTAGCACCGGGAGCAGCTCCTAGTATGTCCTACGAATCACATACTTCATGATCTCACTCTCTTTGATGATACGCTTGACTTCCTGCATCATCGCCGAGCTCACGCACACTATTCATCCCGTCAGTCAGATGAAGATATCCCGAGGCCTATATCATAGTACTCACTTTCTTTGCGAATGAGGGAGTCATTTCGATAGTTGGAATTGTTCGCATACCGGACAGCAGCGCTACGGCCATCGCCAAGGGTGCGGAAATCGAATTCTATTAGCTGTCAGTATTTGCGAGCAGCGGAAAAGAAGAAAAAGACTTCGCGGCGCAGACTTACCTAGAAACTCATGTCCGAACCGCCCAGAGTGACCTGAGCTGCGGGGCTGTCAGCAGCTGAGGAAACCTGGGCTATATAGCAACATAATGCCTTACTAGTAGCGAAGATAGAAGGGTTCATTCTGGTTAGACATCTTTGGCGTCGTTCGAGAGAAAACTCGTTGTGGCAGACGAGTTACGTATGATCGCGCGCGGCGGGAAACAAGCTGGACGTGAAAGGCGGCGGCGGCGGCCTTCCATCCGTACCTGACTGAATGCCTTAATTTACAGGTTGGCCAAGGCAGTGCTTAGTCACCCACACAGTCCGGCCAGCTTGCTCCGCCGCGCAAATGGACAGGTTGATACTCAGGACCCCCGGATTGCCAAACATTCGCGCTGATGAATGCAATGCAGGTGAGGGGAGCTTACTTCAATTGATTAACTTGCTTGAACATAAACTTGTATTCTTGAGGGAGTGGTATCTGGTATTTCCTCCACCCCCTTGAAACGTCACAGCAGCAACCTATACTGACAACCTCCAAGCTCTCCTCCCTCCTTATCCTTCTTCCCCCCGTTACGGCCGTCCGCCTCAATTCCCGACATCATGGCGTCGTTCCTAGAAAATGCGTACAGCTTGGTCCATCTGGACAACACTGCTGATCAGCCTAACGTTCAGGAGCTGAAGATGCAGTTAGAGAAAGGCACCGATGAGACGAAAATGGAGACAATGAGGCGGATCATTACGATCATGCTGAATGGCGACCCAATGTCTCAACTGTTAATGCACATCATTCGTTTCGTCATGCCGTCAAAAAGCAAATCTCTAAAGAAGCTACTTTATTTCTATTATGAGATCTGCCCGAAGCATGACTCGAATGGAAAGCTCAAGCAGGAAATGATCCTGGTGTGGTAAGGGCTACGAACACATTCATGTCCCGATAGTGTCCCTGTTGTTCTGATGGTTCCCTCCTCTTGCAGCAACGGTATTCGCAACGACCTTCAGCATCCTAATGAATACATTCGAGGCAATACTCTCCGCTTCCTGTGCAAGCTCCGTGAGCCCGAACTCATCGAACCCCTCCTCTCCTCCGCACGCTCATGCCTCGAGCACCGTCACGCATACGTGAGAAAGAATGCCGTCTGGGCCGTGGCTTCCATCTTTCAGCACTCGGAGTCCCTCATCCCGGATGCACCAGAATTGATCCAGACGTTCCTCGAGTCGGAGACTGATAGTACCTGCAAGCGCAATGCGTTCGCCGCTCTGATGTCCATCAGCCACCAGAAGGCCCTCGAATATCTTGCATCCACATTCGACAGCATTCCTAATACCGACGAGCTCCTTCAGTTGGCAGAGCTCGAATTCATCCGAAAGGACGCTGTGCAGAATACTCAGAACAAGGTGGGTCACTTGGTGGACTGTACGATAGCATATCGCTAACGGAGGATAGGGGAAATATTTACGACTTATCTTTGATCTCCTCGAAGCACCGACAAGTACTGTGGTATACGAAGCCGCCACATCGCTCACGGCCCTTACCAGTAACCCAGTAGCGGTTAAGGCTGCAGCGAGCAAGCTGATCGAACTGTGTATTAAGGAAGCCGATAACAACGTGAAGCTTATTGTACTCGACCGAGTTGATCAACTGAGGAGCCGCAATGAGGGTGTTCTGGACGACCTCACCATGGAGATTCTGCGTGTTCTTTCTAGCCCTGACATCGACGTTCGGCGCAAGGCGCTTGGTATCACCTTGGAGATGGTCTCGAGTAAGAACGTTGAGGAGGTCGTTATGCTGTTGAAGAAAGAGCTCGGAAAGACAGTCGACGAGCAATACGAAAAGGTAAAGGGCGCAGCTCTATTCGCGCCAGGATTTGAAAGCTGATAAAGTCTATAGAACAGCGAATACCGCCAACTCCTGATTCAGTCGATACATCACTGCGCCATCAAGTTTTCTGAAATCGCAGCAAGCGTTGTTGATCTTCTGATGGACTTTATTGCGGACTTCAACAATAACTCTGCAGTCGATGTAATCTCCTTCGTCAAGGAAGTCGTCGAGAAATTCCCCAAGCTCCGTGCTGCCATTGTTGGTCGCCTTGTTTCAACTTTGAGTGAGGTTCGCGCCGGAAAGGTCTACCGTGGTGTTCTGTGGGTCGTTGGAGAGTATTCGCTAGAAGAGAGAGATATCCGCGAGGCCTGGAAACGAATCCGCGCAAGCCTGGGGGAGATACCTATCTTGGCATCTGAACAACGCCTGCTTGATGAGGTGCCAGATGAGACTATTGTCAACGAGCAGGTCAACGGCCATGCTAAGGCGTCAGCTCCCACTGGCTCACGGAAGGTGCTGGCTGATGGCACATATGCCACCGAAAGTGCTCTGACGAGTGAATCCGCTGCTGCCGCCAAACTTGCAGCCGTGAAGGCTGCCCAGAAGCCTCCTCTCCGTCAATTGATTCTCGATGGCGACTATTATCTGGCTACTGTTCTCTCATCGACATTGACAAAATTGGTCATGCGCCACTCAGAAGTTTCAGAGGATGTCGCCCGGACGAACGCGCTGCGTGCTGAGGCAATGTTGATCATGATTTCGATTATCCGCGTGGGACAGTCTCAATTTGTCAAAGCTCCCATCGATGAAGATTCCATCGATCGTATCATGTGCTGCGTTCGTTCGCTCAGCGAATTCTCTCAGCGGAAGGAGCTGGAGACAACTTTCTTGGAAGACACTCGCAAGGCGTTCCGTGACATGGTCCAGGTGGAAGACAAGAAGCGGGCGGCTAAGGAGGCCGTTGAGAAGGCCAAGACTGCCGTCCAGATCGACGACGCAATTCCCATCCGGCAGTTCACCAAGAAGTCAGGCGTTGAAGGCGCAGAAGAAATTGAACTTGATCTGGTCAAGGCTACCGGTGGCGATTCGACCGTGGAAACCACACCGTCGAAGTTGAGCCGAGTCGTGCAGCTCACTGGCTTCTCAGATCCCGTGTATGCTGAGGCTTATGTCACAGTCCATCAATTCGACATCGTCCTGGATGTTCTCCTCGTTAACCAGACCCTTGAAACCCTACAGAACCTCTCTGTTGAATTCGCCACGCTTGGTGATCTTAAGGTCGTTGAGCGACCTACCACGCACAACCTTGGCGCTCGCGACTTCTTGAATGTGCAGGCTACAGTCAAGGTGTCGTCTACAGATACGGGTGTCATTTTCGGTAACATTGTATACGACGGGGCCAGCTCCACCGAAACACACGTTGTCATTCTCAACGATATCCATGCGGACATCATGGACTACATCCAGCCTGCCCATTGCACCGAGACCCAGTTCCGGACAATGTGGACCGAGTTTGAGTGGGAGAACAAAGTCAACATTAACTCGAAGGCGAAAAGCCTTCGTGAGTTCCTGAAACAGCTCATGGAGAGCACCAACATGGCCTGCTTGACTCCAGAAGCTTCACTCAAGGGAGATTGCCGGTTCCTGAGTGCCAATCTGTATGCCCGGAGCGTATTTGGTAAGTCATCGGCAGACTGTTATGCTACTCTTTCGTTTATTTCTTTTTTCACTTTTCTGAACAAAGCACTGACATTGAGTCTTTCCTCACAGGCGAGGACGCACTTGCAAATTTGAGCATTGAGAAGGAGGGTGACGACGGTCCCATTACGGGATTCGTGCGGATAAGAAGCCGTTCCCAGGGTCTGGCTTTGAGCTTGGGCTCACTCAAGGGCCTCAAGGCTTCGGCGGCATGAATAGAGCGAGTATCACTTCTTGGTGTCAGCGTTTGATTTAATTGTTACGCTATGATCATATTATCCGTATTACCTTGTTCTTGTTCTCCCTTCTTATTCTCTTCTCATGGATGAATCTGTTGACTATATGCCTTCTTTATTATTCTGTTGTACCAGATGAGAGTATGCTCTGTTCGGACGGAACAATAAAAGAACTTTTACCTTAATATCAACGATATATGGCTTTCCCTGTAGATTTATTTTGTATGTCTATGCTTGGCGGGTGAAGACAGGCTATATAGATTCCCCAATTACGGGGGTAAGTCCTCCGTAGATAGATGTTGAGCGTCTCCTCGGCATCTTGTGTCAGTACCTTTGGCGCTCAGTCGGAAAGCCACCGTGGTGCTGACTGCTGCCACTACTGCCCCCCCCTTTATTGATTCACGCTGATAATCGTTCATGTTTATTATGACCTGAGCAGAGTCAGATGTTACCAGGGACAATCCTTTGTTCATTCAAGGAAAGCGTTCCTGAGGTGGAGAATCTCAGCTGATATCCGTTTCCGCGCCCAAGAATTACTATTGCTGCTACTATCAACTACGACTCGCTACCTAGACAGGAACCTTTTAGTCTCCCGACCGTCCTAAGACTTCTTCCCTTCTTCATTCTTATCGCTCATCTTTATCCAATCTTTCGTCTCATATTTACAGTCTTTTCTGGAATGACTACACGCCATCGCAGGCGACAATGACTTCTCTCAATGGCGCTGCTCACCCTTCCATCACTGCGGATCTGCCGGATTCCGAATCTCGATTACTGGAGCATGACTCGACTCTGACAGTCACCCAGTCCATTTCCCTCACGTTAGGGGGCGAGGCTCTTCTCATTGTCGGTGAGTCTTCCCTTGCTCCTCCTCAAGGGCCGTTAGAATCAATTATCTGAATGATCATTCTGACCGGGGTCCTGGTGCTTCTGCAGATGAGCGTGCTATGCGCAAACCGGACCGCGGCTGCTGCGGGTTTCTGTCCAAGTCAAGTAGGTTATTTTGTTTCTTTACCTTCTGGTCTCGGATGTATTGGAAGTGGTTCTATCACAGAGGTAATTGTTGTTTTTTGCGATCCGAAGATAGAAGACAGACTTTCAATGAATCTGGTCCGATCTTGAACTAGACTAATACGACTTCATAAATCCAGGAACGAAAGAGACTCAATCCATTGCGTTGTACAACATCCTCCATGCCGAACTCTCCCCGACAGGCTTGACAATCACATACGCCAACCCTGTGACCAAGGACGATGTCTCAGTCGGTGCTCTTCAATACGCCATCCCCGAAGAGGACAAAGCTAGAGCCGAAGCGTTCAAGACCAGACTCCTTGACCTAGCATATGGCAATGCGAAACGCTACAAGCGAATCAAAGTTTTGATTAATCCATTTGGTGGAAAGGGTACTGCTGGCCGTGGATATCATCATTACGCGGCGCCGATTCTTGCTGCTGCGCATTGCACGGTCGATGTTGAGGAAACGACACATCGGGGCCACGCCACGGAGATCGCGGAACGTATCGACATCGACGCGTACGATGCAATTGTTTGCTGCTCTGGCGATGGCTTACCCTACGAGGTGTTTAACGGCTTGGCAAAGAGACCCAATGCTCGCGAAGCGCTGTCTAAACTAGCCGTGGCGATGATCCCTGGCGGCTCCGGGAATGCGATGGCTTGGAATCTCTGCGGCACTGGTAGTGTCTCTGTTGCTGCGCTAGCGCTCATTAAGGGAGTACGCACTCCCATGGACTTGGTCTCCATTACCCAAGGGAACACTCGGACTCTGTCGTTCCTGTCGCAATCTTTCGGTATTATCGCAGAATCCGATCTGGGAACCGAAAACATTCGTTGGATGGGCGCCCACCGTTTTACCTATGGTTTCTTGGTCCGTCTAATGCAGCGCACAGTCTGGCCTTGCAATCTAGCCATGAAAGTGGAGATGGATGATAAGAACGCCATCAAGGAGCATTATCGCAGATATGCAAATAGCGAACCGCCGCGGCGAAAATCCGGAGATTCCGTCGATGACTTGCAGGGACTACCAGAGCTGAAGTTCGGCACTGTATTGGATGAAGTCCCGGAGGATTGGGAGAAGATTCCAGGGGAAAACATGGGCAACTTCTATGCGGGCAAAATGGCCATTGTCTCCAAAGATACGAATTTCTTCCCAGCTTCTTTGCCTAATGATGGGTTGATGGATGTTGTCACGATCGATGGAACAATGAGTCGTCTCACTTCGCTCAAGATGATGACGGAGATCCCAGAGGGAGGATTCTTCGACATGCCGGACGTCAAGATTCGGAAAGTATTGGCATATCGACTTACTCCCCGCGAGAAGGAAGGGTACATCAGCGTCGATGGCGAGCGCATACCCTTTGAGCCATTCCAGGTTGAGGTCCATCGGGGCCTGGGCACCGTGCTATCCAAGTCCGGGCATCTCTACGAGGCCGAGGGTCCTAGGCCATGATTACAAGGCTCGTGGCCATTGCGATTTCCCCTGGTCCTCCTGGTTGTATTCATTATTGTTGCTCTCTGGTCTTTGCTCTATACGATGATACCCGCAAGATTAGTATAGTTTTTGTCTTTTGTTTCGTGCTTTTGCTTTTCTTTTTTTTGTTATTTCAGAATGGCTTGCGCCAACCACAACATGGCGGCACTTAGGTAGACGGCTCATGAAGGACATGGAAGGATGAACTGGGCTGTACAAAAATGGATAGGCCTATAATTAGACTCTGCAGGAACAGTTTCTCCGGAGAAGAAGGAATGACACGAATGGAATGCAGATTAACTTACAATGCGCCAAAGATCAATGTGCAATATGGATATATCGAGTACATGTAGTATTAGAAAACCCTTAATCATCGGCGAATCCGCCCCATTCCTGTTCACTATCGTCATCATCCTCGTCCTCGACTTCTCTAGCTCTGAATCCCCATTCAAACAACCGGTCGTCATTCAAGGTTTCCGCCGCCCTCGTTCTCACGGGCTTGAAAGCACTTTCTTTGCGCAACTTTTCGATCGGGCGTAGTAGAAGCTCAACGGGAACCTTGCCCTTGACTTTCCGGGTCTTCGTCGCTTCTTCACTCTGCCCCTCTTCCTCCTCAAACTCCAGCACCTTTTCTAACTCATCGACCCAGATATCCAGCACGTGGTAGCGAAGCCCATCCGGTCCATGGGGCATAGGCACATAGTTCGGGTTCTTCTCATCGGCAGGCGGCTGGTCCGGATCGAAGTTGAGCGGGCACAGCGGACCCTCCTCGATAATGGTAAGGTACGACTCAAGCTCGGCCCAGTCGCCCTCGCCATTCTGCGCCTGCCCTTCCTCGCCGTCGACGTCTCCGACGGTTGCCTCGGCTTTCTCCTCCTTGCCCGCTTTCGAGCGCTTCTTCTGCTTGGCGGCCTGTTGTTCGCGCTTGCGCTTCTTGCCGCTGGCGCTGCCGTTGGTGGCTGCGGCTTCCTGCTGCTGCTGCTTGTTCGCCTTGAGGAAGATCTCAAATGCGACGCCGACGTAGCAACGGATCAGGTAGAGGTACTTGTCCAGGCGCAGACGGTCGAGCGAGTGGAAGTCGCGGCCGATGGTGACCCAGAAGGCGCGCAGGAAGCGATGTAATGTTGCCCGCGGCAGAGTCGGGACGAGCGAGTACGAGAGGTTGCGGGCTAGGGCTTGTTGTGTGAGGGGGCGGTCGGAGTGGTAGAAGCCTGTGGTGATTTTGATTAGTCAATTGAACCGGATGTTGTGCTGGCATTGAGACTTTGGGATTGGAAGTTCACGTACAGAAGAAAAGTCCCTTCCATAGCTTTAGGAGGTCAAGGAGCGTAAGGTCGGTTCTGGAGCGGAGGAATAGAGTAAGTGATTCTGTGGCTTTGTCGCGTGTGCGTCTGTCTGTATGCGTGCAGGTTTATTGTTAGTGAAATTGGGGCTGATGTATGCGAATTGGGGGAAGATGAAGCTATACAGCGTTCACAATGTATATGGGCTGGACATACCACTGGAGGCGAGCTCCTTTACGAAAGGAGTCTTTTGTAGATCCATATTGACATGTATTGGTCTCAAGAGCTTTATCGCGAACGTGAGAGAATGAGACTGAGCCCCGGCAATGGCAGTCCCCTTGAGATATCGTGGATATTTCGTCGATTCGTAACTGTCAATGGCGGCCTCGATCTTTTTTTCTTCGTTTTCTGCATTTTTTTGACTGTGTTTGGTTTGTTTGCTTCCAGAGTGGAGCTCTTTCCGGGCGGAGATAGAGTGGATAGTTTTGATTGGACGGGGCTGAAGTATGGAAGATCGCCCAGTTGTCAATGCTCGACGCTTGATAGAATATCTACTCCAAAGTCTTCTTCCACCATCTTCATCCACCCTCATTTTGATCAAACAACCTCTACTCATGCGTATATCAGCTGATTTATCGAAGCTGTTGAGCTGATGTACTACCATGACTCAAGTCTGCCGAAGTCGCAGATGCGTCATCAGCCGAATATGATCAATTCATCACTAAGTAGTACTATGATGATGATCAACGCGGCAACATCTACACAGCTATCTTGCACAATTGTGCACAATACATAAACATATCAAGCCATTGCAGTAAATCTGCCCCGTTCTCTGGCCGCTTCCAATGGCGAGATCTTGATGATATTGCCGGTGCTTCGCGATACTCTTCTTTAGGACGTCCAGGCTGACTATGTCTTGAATAGGTGGAGCTCGGATGAATTCTACAATGGCTGCATTCGGAATGATGACACCACCACCACCGTCCTCGGCATTCAAAACTAACAAGAAGTGACCGACTAATAGATGCGTTGCCAGACCTCGGTACCTCCCTGTGCAGGCCTCGCAATGGCCTGATAATTCAGGATGGTAGTCGTATTGACATCACCACTTTCTGTTCCGGCGAATTGGAATCCCCATGCCCTGAATTCTTCCCTTCAGCGCTCCGGGTCCATGAGTAGGGTTCCCCAGTCGAATTTTTACGGGGATTGATGGCGATAGGACATGATGATTCACAGAGAGTATTGATGCGGTGTACAGTATATTATGATGTAGGAATCTACAGAAAAGCCATGGTCGACGAGCTCGCAGCTGTGTGCTTGAACGCTCGATCTCTGTAACAGCAAATGATCAATTTTGATTTACTCTTTTGAGCGTTCGTTCACGGCGAAATAACCACTGACCTACACTGGACCAGAGCTGATAAAGCTCATCCCCGTGTTCTCATCCCCGCCTTCTGGTGACCGAATGTGGTGTGCCAGACATGGAACACCATTATGGGACTCATAACGATGCCATTCAACCGGGAACTTCCAGTCGAGGTATCAGCGATGTCACTCAAGAGAGCCACGGACCAAATGAGAAACGAGGGCGCGAGGATAGCGCGGTTCTTGAGAATGCGCCGCCGGAATATCGAGCAGAGCTGGCTCGCATCGCGTCGAATTTCCCCAAACACCGTCCAACAGACTCTGGGACTATCGGAGCGGGCATCGAGCGCAAAGACACCCAAGAAGACATTGATCTCAACGACCCTGTTTACGATCCTACAAGCGACCAGTTTGACCATTACAAGTGGGTTCGGATGGTGCTGAAGCTCTTGGATAAGGAGGGCTTTCCACGGCCACCCTCCACCGGTATCGTCTTTCAGCATCTCACTGTCTCTGGTTCGGGGTCAGCATTGCAATATCAGCACACTGTGGACTCAATTTTGCTGGCGCCATTCAGACCACAAGAGTATCTCAGCTTCGCCAAACATAGTCCACAAAGGCAGATACTTCGCAATTTCGATGGCCTTCTGAAAAGCGGCGAGCTAATGATCGTTCTCGGGCGACCTGGGAGCGGCTGTTCAACGTTCCTGAAATCACTTTGTGGAGAGCTTCATGGCTTGAAGCTCAGCAAAGACTCCGAGATCCAGTACAATGGGATTTCGATGGAGAGGATGCACAAGGAGTTCAAAGGGGAGGTCTTATATAACCAAGAAGTCGATAAACACTTCCCACATCTTACAGTGGGGGAGACATTGGAGTTTGCTGCTGCTGCACGAACTCCCGAACACAGATTGCGAGGGATCAGTCGACACCGACACGCTAAGCTTGTCACCCAGGTTGTCATGACCATTTTTGGACTTTCTCATACATATAACACAAAAGGTGTGTTCAGCTGCCATCGAGCTGGTGTGCAATCTGACGTTTCCAGTGGGTGATGATTACATTAGAGGTGTCTCTGGAGGAGAACGAAAACGGGTCAGGTTCGTATTAGCCACGCTTCCACATGCGGATTACCTCATTGACTTTGTGCAGCATCGCAGAAATGGCACGTAAGTAGCAGAAGACACTTTGAGTTTCCATTTTCCAGGACTGATCAACGGAACAGTTTCTGGGGCACCTGTTGGGGCATGGGACAACAGCACCAGAGGTCTTGATTCCGCGAGTGCATTAGAATTCGTCAAGGCTCTGCGAGTCTCTGCCAATCTAGTTGGAACTAGTCATGCTGTGGCAATATATCAAGCTTCACAGGCAATCTACGATGTGTTTGACAAAGCCATTGTTCTCTACGAAGGACGGGAGATCTATTTTGGTCCCTGCAATGAAGCTAAAGAATATTTCATCAATATGGGCTGGCACTGCCCCCCACGCCAAACAACGGGGGATTTCCTCACGTCCGTCACAAATCCGCAAGAGCGTCAAGCGCGCGAAGGAATGGAAAATAGGGTTCCTCGTACCCGCGACGACTTTGAGAATTACTGGAAAAACAGTTCTCAATACGCAAGACTCCAGAAAGAGATCGCAGAACACTTGAGAGAATACCCTCCAGGTGGGGAATCGGCACAAGCTCTTTATAGAGTGAAGAGGTTTAAACAAGCCAAGCATGTTCGTCCCAAAAGTCCCTATATCATTTCAATTCCCATGCAAGTCAAGCTCTGTACGATAAGAGCTTATCAGAGGTAGTGCCCATCCTGGTATCAAGGTGTGATCTTTGCATTGGAGGCTGATCATTGTTCAGGATATGGAATGATAAACCATCTACTTTGACAATAGTTATCGGGCGTATTTCTATGGCTCTCATCATTGGCTCGATGTACTATGGGTAAGTCTCGCTTCTGTTCTTCATCAGGGATATTCTAATGCCTGTAGGACACCCATTGCCACTGCGGGCTTTCAGAGTAAAGGAGCTGCCCTTTTCTTTGCAGTCTTGTAAGTATTCCTTTCCTCACGCGAGACTTGGTTCAAGGACGAGCCAGGCCTTGTGGTTAAGGCAAGTCTGTTGTGGGCAGATATTGACTATCACAGAATGAATGCTCTTATTAGTGTGACAGAAATCAACTCTCTCTATGACCAACGTCCTATCATCGAGAAACAGGCCTCATATGCATTTGTTCATCCATTTGCGGAAGCGTTCGGAGGCATCGTTTCTGATATACCCGTCAAGTTCGTGTCTGCCGTGATGTTCAACATCATATTCTACTTCCTTGCTGGCCTGGTAAGTGGCAATAATCTATAGTCCTCCCCCTGTCTTACTGACGTAGTGATTCAGCGGTATGAGCCATCGCAGTTCTTTATATTCTTCCTTTTCACGTTCATCAGTACGCTCGCAATGTCTGGAATATTCCGAACCCTCGCCGCGGCCACCAAGACACTCTCCCAGGCGATGGCTTTGGCTGGTGTGATAGTACTCGCGATTGTCATTTACACTGGTTTCGTGATTCCAGTCACGCAGATGAGCTCAATCCCCTGGTTTAGTTGGATCCGATGGATCAATCCGGTATTCTATACATTTGAGGCACTAGTCGCCAATGAGTTTCACGGTCGAAGGTTCGAATGCTCGCAGTTTGTGCCTGCTTATCCAAGCTTGAGCGGGAACTCATTCATCTGTTCCGTTCGGGGTGCCGTGGCAGGGGAAAGGACTGTGTCCGGCGATTCGTATATTGAAACTCAATACTCTTATACTTATTCGCATGTGTGGAGGAACTTTGGGATTCTTATAGGATTCTGGATCTTCTTCACGGCAATATATCTGATAGCCTCCGAGGTCAACTCTGCGACTTCTTCAAAGGCCGAGTTTCTGGTTTTTAGACGGGGCCATGTCCCTCCGCAAATTCGTGACCTTGATAAGGTTGGAAGAGAGAACGAGATGCCAGGGCCGTCCACGGCCAACACATCTTCCGAAGCCGAGAAGGATGTTTCTGTGATTCCGGAACAGCATGACATCTTTACATGGCGCGATGTTTGCTTCGACATACCTGTCAAGGGTGGGCAGAGACGACTGTTAGATAATGTCTCCGGGTGGGTGAAGCCTGGAACGCTCACGGCTCTGATGGGTGTTTCTGGCGCTGGCAAGACAACCCTCCTTGATGTGCTTGCGAAACGAGTGTCGATTGGTGTGGTCACGGGTGACATGCTGGTAAATGGCAAGCCTCCCGACAATAGCTTTCAGAGGAAAACGGGATATGTCCAACAGCAAGATCTTCATCTACCTACGACTACTGTGCGGGAAGCTCTTCGGTTCAGTGCCGTCCTTCGCCAACCAAAGTCAGTTCCACGGAAAGAAAAGTATCGGTATGTCGAGGAGATCATTGATATGCTCAACATGAAAGATTTCGCAGAAGCTATTGTTGGAACACCCGGCGAAGGATTGAACGTTGAGCAGAGAAAGCTATTGACCATCGGGGTCGAACTTGCAGCGAAACCAGCATTACTGATATTCCTTGACGAACCGACAAGTGGACTCGATTCTCAAAGTTCATGGTCTATTTGCTCCTTTCTGCGTAAGCTTGCAGACCACGGTCAAGCCGTACTGTCCACGATCCACCAGCCGAGCGCGATATTGTTCCAGGAATTCGACCGTCTGCTTTTCTTGCAGAAGGGTGGGAAGACAGTCTACTTTGGTGAAATCGGTGAACAATCCCGCATCCTGCTGGACTATTTTGAGAGGAACGGAGCAAGAGTCTGCAATTCATCCGAGAATGTAAGTTTGAGTGTTGTATGTAGCACGATATCATTTCACTGACAAGTGAAAGCCGGCCGAGTATATGATGGAGATCATCGGTGCAGGTGCTTCTGGAAAAGCCTCTCAGGATTGGTCGGTTGTCTGGAATGAGAGTCCAGAAGCCAAGAAGGTTCAAGAGGAAATCAATCGTATCAATCATGAGAGGGCATCGGCATCTAGCAGCGATAATTCTGCTACCCAACACGGTGAATATGCGATGCCGTTTATCTCACAGCTGTGGTATGTAACACATCGGGTGTTCCAACAATATTGGCGCGAACCGGGGTACATCTGGGCCAAAATCATACTGGGCGCTGCCTCATCCTTGTTCATTGGCTTCACATTCTTCAAACCCGACAGTTCTTTGCAGGGGTTCCAGGATGTCTTATTCAGCGCCTTCATGCTGACGTCCGTCTTCTCGACCTTGGTCCAACAGTGAGTACTTGCTGTCTCCATCTTTGATCTTCATTGTTGCTGTTGCAATCCATCCATGACAATCTAACCCTAAACAGGATCATGCCAAAATTTGTCATGCAACGGTCCTTGTACGAGGTTCGAGAAAGACCATCCAAGGCATATTCCTGGGCAGCCTTTCTCATAGCCAACGCTGCTGTTGAAATCCCCTGGCAGATTTTGACTGGGGTTATTGCGTGGGCAAGTTACTACTTCCCAACCTACGGGGCGAACCAGCCATCCCACCGACAGGGCCTCATGCTCCTCTTCGTTGTACAATTCTACGTCTTCACGTCCACCTTTGCCTCATTGGTGATCGCCGCCCTCCCTGACGCTGAGACTGGTGGCACAATAGCAACCCTCCTGTTCATCATGACGCTCACCTTCAACGGTGTCATGCAATCTCCACAGGCCCTTCCAGGTTTCTGGATCTTCATGTACCGCGTTTCGCCTTTAACATATCTGATTGCAGGCATTACAGCAACTGGACTCCATGGCCGCGCTATCCAGTGTGCAAGAGCCGAATTGAGCATCTTCAATCCTCCCCCGGGCACTAGCTGCGGACAATACCTGGCACCGTACCTACAGGCTGCGCCGGGTCAGTTGTACAACCCTACCGCAACACAGGACTGCCAGTACTGCCAGCTGCGGAGCGCGGACCAATACCTGGCCACTTCAAATATTTGTAAGCTGCATGTTTCCTTCTTTTCCTGTCTGTTTGGCCTAACAGTCGCGTGGCAGATTACGGTCAGCGCTGGCGCAACTACGGCCTAGGCTTTGCCTATATTGGCTTCAACATCATGGGGACCGTCATGCTGTACTACATGTTCCGGGTTAAGCATTACAACCCCACGTCTCTGGTCAGAGGGATCGTAAGCGGCGCGAGGTTCGTCTGTCGTGTTTTCAAGCGGCGGTCGGGGAGCACGCCGAGAGGACGGGAGGCGGAGAACGGTAGGCTGTTATAGTTGCCTTTTTTGGCTGGAGGGAAAGGAGAGGGGCTCTATAGTAGTGGGATGTGAGGGCTCGATCTAGGAAGTCGACAATATAATGCAATACGAACATCAAATAACATTTTTTGATCTACTTTACCCTATTGAAAAACTTACTTTATAAGGTCAATACTTGCCGCAGTTAAACAAGGAAGCATCATTGGTCTAGTGGTAGAATTCGTCGTTGCCATCGACGAGGCCCGTGTTCGATTCACGGATGATGCATCTGAATTTCCTTTTTTTTTGTGTTTTTTTGTTTCCCCCATACCCTTACACCTCCTTGCTAGCTAAATGGCAGGATTATTTTTGTTTCCTGTTTATTCTTTAGTTTTATTTATTAAAGGGTGATTCTGAGTCGTTCAATCTTTCCCCCGCTTCTCTTTATCTCTATTTTTCTTTTTATTTTCTTTTTCTTTCGATACCTGGAGGATTTGAGTACGTCTGTTGGCGGATGTATATATCTTGCTCCCGGAGTGGATTCCTACGCCTCTCGTGGTATAACACAGTACAGAGACAACAGCCAGACACGATGGAGAGGACCTAGCTCGTCCCCCTTCAGCAGCTACAGCTTCTTGGAACATGCTCGGCCTATAGATTGTTTTTTTTTTTTTTTTTTTTTTTTTTTTTTGCTTATTATCTTCTGCTCAGGCGATGGTTATACTAGCACGCATGTATCTGAAGAAGGCGAAAACATCCAGATATAAGACTCAATGGTAGATGATAGTACCTAGGGGCGTGCATGAAGGAAAGGTAATAAATGAGAGACTCCGTAGGATGAGATGATGATGGATCTGGAATAATCCAAGACGTTGGCTATAGAAAAAAAGAACAAAAAACCCCCCCCAAAAAAAACAAACAAATGGGTATTATGCAGAACCGGGAGAACAGTACGCCATGAAACAGTAGGGATTGATCGTGAGCATAAAAGGAAAGACCGGAGTTGGTGTATGTGTGTAGATGTTGGGGTAGATTCGGGCAGTATCACTGGTTGGTTGGTTGTGTGGGAGAATGTTGAGTGAGTGAGTGATCATGGCATGAGTGTCTCATGTCTCATGACCGAGGAGGTTTGGCAACGACCAAGGCGTTGATTATGTTGCCGGCTTTCCAGCCCTGATCCATGAGGGATGCGTTTTCTTTGAGCATCCTGCCTAGATAGGCGATCCGGACTCTATGAGTGGCAGGGATCTGCGAAACCAGCGTTAGTCCCAAGTCTCAGCTGCCATCTAGCCGTACGGATGGCATATCAAAACAGGGAATAACATACCCCGGCCTCATGCTGCACCCTGCGGGCAATCAAGCCCACGCTCTGAGCCGCACCGACCGAAACAACCACATCCGAACCGCTGCCGTCGCTCAGGCGCGCCTTGACGCGGATTAAATCGCGCTCGCTCATCTTACCCTTCTCATCCCGGCGGTGCCTAGACTCACCGCAGATCAGCTCATCACCGGATGCTTCGTCCAGCGATAACTTGGCGTCGTCGGTATCGAAGTCGTTATCATTGTATACATCGCCGCGGCGGCTCGCCGAGTCATCCCGTACCATGTTCTCCGGGTCACTCACGATACACCGCGGCAGCCGGTAGAGCACCCCCTGCTCGTCGTAGCAGCCCTGGCAGAGGTCACCTGTGGGGACAGTCACGCCCGCCGCGTCGATGATGCTCTGCGCCGTGGTGAGGTCGTCGGCGTGCATGAGCGAGATGGACGTGGCGAGGGCGGCCCATACCTCCGACCGGCCGGTGACACGGGTCTCGAAGAATTCCTTGCGTTCCTGATCGAGCTGCGTGCGAGACCAGGTGCGCCGCTTGCTGTACCAGACATGCGGGCGGATGGGAGCGTTGAAATGCTCGCTCAGGGCTAGCTGGGGGACGGGCGTCGAGGCGCGTCGGTCACTGCGGGACGTAGCCCTCGCTAGGGAAGTCGAGGGGTAGTTGGAGGAGGTGATTGCATTTGAGGTCGAGCGGAGACCGCTGGAGGAGGCATCTGCACGGTGCTCCCCCGTCACCGCTTGGGTTGTATGGGAGGAGGGATTGCCGTGGTCACGCGACAGGAAGGACAAGCAGGAACCCTGGAGGAGGAGCGGGTTAGATGGATAGTTTTATTTCCAAATATTTCACAGAGCCGTAGCAGAAGACTTGCATAGAGCCATAGAACGCAACAATAGAAAGCAGCAGCTACGGAAACATGCGATCTGCAAGATCCTTACAAAAAAAAAAAAGCACAGGCGTACAGGCCTGATGGCCGAACCACGGTGAGAAGTGCGCCAGGCGGGGGATGCAAGGAGTCTATCATCATAGCGAGACTTACCATACTGAAGCGATAGAGAAGCCGACTCCATCCGCTAGCAGGAAGGAAGATGGTGAGGAACTCCCTCAGAAAGAATAGAGAGAAATCCAGAAGTCCAGAAGGTCAAAGAGACTCTTGAAGCCGAAGCTCCCAGACCGATGGAGGAGGGGGAAAAACGATTGCGGGAGTTGATGGCACCAATGAGGACGAGAACCAGCAGCTGATAGCCGTGGGAAGTCAAGCTTGAACTCGTAATAATAAGAATGATGTTGATATTCGGTAGTGGTTGGGCAATCAGTCATACATCGTCCAGCCAGTCAGTCCAGCGTCAGACCAGCGGCGAAACGTAACTCTTTTGTTATTGTTGCTGTTGCTGGTGCTGGTGGCGATGACGAATGCGGGTGGTGGTGCTACACTGCGCCGGTGAAGATAGTTAGTGGGATGCATAACAGAGTAAGATCAATGGTTTATGGATAGTAGATATCATGATGCGCATGAAAAGAAGTGCCATGTGAGAAAGAAGAAACCAAACCCTGATGAGCTTGACTGGTCTGATCAAACCAAGTGAATTATTGTTGTTGTCGTTGTTGGTGCTTGGTATGTTGGACAGTAATAATAAATGACTGACTTCTGGCTGTGAAGGGGAAGAAAGAAAAAAAAAGAGAAGAACGGGCAGTCGACCAGTTTTGACAAAGAAAAGTCGGGGGCAAGCGAGGCTGTCTCAAAAGCTTGTTCAAAGCATGCTAACTTGTTACTTGTCGATTGAAGAGAGATCCTGCTTTCGAAGCATGCCTGAGAATAAATTGTCTACATCTAAAAATAGCTCAATTGTAACTATTCCGTCCTCGATTGTTGAGGTCACTGACGGTATCTCCCCACCATGCTCTGATTGATCCCTACAATGGTGCTATCATATCCTGCACGTATGATCTACTAAAGGTCGATAAACCTCAATGTCATGGAGTCTCCTACACCGTAACATTAAAAGACATGCCATGCCGTGTAACCACCCGCCTGTCCATCTTGATGCACTTAGCCACACTGGCCATGCAGGGAAACCAGGATAATCGTCTCGAACAATTCAAATTTGACACAGCCGACTGCTTGCTTCGTCGCATATCCTCGCCGATGCTGTTCCATCAATTCTGAACTGGGCGGCTGAGCCAAGCTGCGCTTCCGAAACATGTCTGATGCAGCGGTGTGTTACATAGAACTTCTAGAGTAAAAGTCGACACTGTCGATTTGTTTTCCAGTAGTCACACGGCCCATGCTCCAGATCAACATGTGTGAAGAAAATATGGATCATTCCTCCTCGTCCTCGTCCTCACTGCCAAAGATGGCCTTAAAGACCGCCTCGCCAGGTCGCTCTGCTTCCAAAGCGTCATTGCGCTCCGGCTCAATCGCAACCGGCTTTTGGATTTCGGGTTCTATTATTTGTTCGGATGTCGCCGAGTCCATGCGATTCTTGAGTGGTCCACCGGCTTCCAGCATGAGCTGGTTCATAACATCCCTCGAAACCAATTCCTTAGGTCCGGACATCGTCTGATACCCGGCAATCTGGAACCGACTACCAGCAGCAGTGGCAGCAGCTTCCGAAGCCCCGGGCTGGTCGCCTGGGTCGAGCTGCACATGGTCTGGTGGTTTGACATTCAGGCGTTTGCATAGCAACCGCGCGGGATAGAAACTTGAGACGCTTCGAGTCATTGGACCAAACATGCCTATCTTGGCAGCAGCCATAGCGGGATCTTCCGGCTTTGCGCTGGGTTTTCTGAGAAGCGGTTCTGTCGATTCCGCTGCGTCGGATGCGTCGGATGACTCTTTTGGCCCCGTCGAGGCTGAGGTGAATCGCGATGCCATGACCCCGGACATCGGTTTGAAGACCTCGGCCGCGCGAGCGAACTCGTGGAGCTCCGTGACCCATTCATCAGTCGTCGAGCCTGGTACACGGTCTGGGAGAGTATCTCGGAGTCCTGCCCGGACTTCTAAGAATGTTCGGTAACGAGCACGTTTGCCTTGGTCTTCCGAGTACGGCATCCAGCCACTGACTGCACGAGTAAGGGCCTGAACGGCGAGCTGCTTGTCCAGTTTGGGAACCAAGTCCCACAAGTCTTTACGTTTCTGGGATTCTGACAGCTCATATCCTTTCGGCGCTTTCTCCCCTAGCGCTGGCGGGAGGTCGGTTTTCCCCGTAAGCTTCATAATGCGTTCGCGAGCTTCGGGGGTCATCCAGTCAAAAATGGACTTCCCCGGTAGCTGCGCCTCGCCCAATAACGCCGCTCTGGACGTTGGGTCGAGAGAAGAAGCTTTGGCTGCATCAGATGTAGAGACATAGTTGGAAGCATCCCTCGTTGTGGATGGTGTTTTGCAGGATTTCCAGTCCTTTGGTATCTCGGGAGGAGCGTATCGTTTTTCCTGAGTAGATATAGAGAGGCCGGAAATTGCGTCGGCCAGGACGAAGCCGTCTAAAGGTAGACGGCCATCATGGCATTTGCGGAATCCGGTGGAAGATTTCGCAGCGATCGTCTTCTTCGATATGAATACAGGTTTGCTATTCAACAGAGGATTCGATGCCACGATCGCCGGTTTGGAATCCTCTGTAGACTTCTTCTTCTTTTTTTTCTGCTTGTCGCCCCCAATTACCCGATTGTAAGATATTTGCGGACCGATAGCATACGGGTCTTCGTCGTCCGATCCAGTGTCATTCAGTACACCAACGCCGAACGCACCGCGTCTTGGTTGCTCCTTTGTCTTTGACGACTTGCGTTGATTCTGCGAGGCCAACCGGCTACCGAAGAAAGAATCGGCGTTATCATCGTCAGAACCATCGTGATTGACCTTAAGAGAATCGAGACGGGTTTCGCCCTCGAATCCAAGCCCCTTGTGATCTGTCTTGTGGACAAAGGCGATCATGGGTGAGTCCTCCGGCGCGAATAGATATGTCTTGTCGGCCTCCGGTCCACCGAGCGCGCCGCCATCGCCGAGATTGGCTTTGCGCCGTATCTTGGGACCGATTCCCTGGCCTTCTCGCCAGCCCATTTTCTTTAGCAGCTTCACCCCCATAGTTTCCCCGCCCGCCTTGAGAAGATCCATCAACCCTCCCCGGCGAGTGGCATCGACAGCTGTCGAGCCAAAGCCAGCAAACTCATCGCTGGTTTGTAGATTTCTTGCCTCCTCCGCCTCCCGAATGTCCTCCTCGTCCATGAAGTCTTCCGGGCGCTGCTCGAAGCGCTTCTGCGCATCCTTGGCTCGATTCTGGCGTGAGGATACAAAGGTCGCAGGGGTCCATCCCTCTTTCGAGCCAACCGTGTTGAAGTATCTGGAGAGATTGGAATCATTCTTTAGTTGTGCTGTCCAAAGCTACCCAGGAATCGTGGGCTCACCCGGCGCTGAAACCACCGGTGAAGGCGCCATGTAGACGTTTCCTTCCCCGGTCATCTGTGACCTCCTGCTTCCAGATCGGTACGTATGAACCGTCGTCCCTAGCCCCGGCATCCAAGGGGGGAAGAGGCGTTCCGTAGAAGGCAAATGGGGAGTGGTGGGCTTGCAGATCAGCCTCGAAGGCTGTGCGCGACCGTTTACTAGACATTTTGCCGGTGGCGGTTGGTCCAGAATCCGCAACCTCGCAGTTCGTGTCGACTGTCGACTACTGAAAATGCGCTTGTGGAAGTGGTGGCCTTGTCAAATGAAGCTTGTCGTCATCACTCGGCCGAATCTCCAGAATGACAGTACCATCAGTTCCTGCTTTTTTTTTTTTTTTTTTTTTGCGGAATGGTATCCTCTAAGAAACCAAGGTCTCAGGGCCTCACCTATGGATTGTGTCGTTAAATTGTGGGATCCATTAATTAGAAGGTTAGAGGCGTATTGGCTATTGATGGAGAAGGAATGAATTGATGTGCTCGCTGTGAGGACCATCTTAATCGTCGCAACCATGGGACTATGGAAGGGTTCTCTGCACCGCCGTACGGGTCACCTGCTGTGGCTGGGCACCGAGGTTACTACTCTGCAGAGTATACTGCTACGCTACAGTCCATGTGTCTACAAATAAATAAATAGAGGAATCTGGAACCTCGTCAGAATCGGTGTCTCTCCTTTTAATTAACTAGAGAGAAAAAAAAAAAAAACAAGGAGCGTTCCATGCCAGGTTCTATCATTCTTTGCATGCACAATGACCTGGTAGGATGATCTGCCCATCCATGCCCAAAACACCAGCCTCCCGGGTAAGTTAGAAAGAAAGTCGAAGAGACATTCTGATTCGACCCCACGAGCGACGAAGAGAGCGAAATGCACGTGTGATGAGCAGTGGAATCGAGCTAAACAGCCTGAAAAGGGACCGGATTATGGATAACGATTCAGAGACTACGGAGTAAAGGATTGTGGCCACTCAAGCCCTCATTTCAGTCCTGCTGCGTCGTTACCTACAGATACGTCGACTTTGAAACCGTTTCGTCTGCGACTCTGTTGGAGTGCTGTTCATTCGCCCCTGCATGGTTGGAGACTCAAGTAGCAGCATTCAACCAGGAAGAAGGCTATGGATACAATGGACATTGGGCACAATCAAAAATGGGATTAGAAGAAACCACCCAGCAAAGGATCTAGTTTAGTATATAAAGAAAGAAAGAAAGAATGGATTGATTCATCTGGTTGCGGCCTCTGGAGCGATCGACTATGAAGTATCCTAATTCCTAATTCCTAATTCCAGTTGTCTCTACTCCTCCGTACTGTAAGTTTGGTTTCTTTCTCCGCAACCGCATCCATCAGAATCCCTCTCTCTATTCCTTCTCTCTCTCTCTCTCTCTCTCTCTCCCTCTCGCTCTCCCTCTTTTTCCCTCTCCATCATCATCTCCCTCGTCTTCTCAACACGTCCCTATCACACTCCTTATTTTCATCTTACCTTTTTTTTTTTTTTTTTTTTCCTGTTTCAATCCTCTTTTCGTTACGCCCTCTCTATTCCCCTGGGTCTTTCTCCCGAATTGTACATGGGGGCATCTCGAGCCGTCTGCTGGACGTTTCGATGTTGGCTGCCGCTTCCCTGAGCGCTCATCAGCCAGCAAACGCCAAACTTCCCCCGCTCGCTCGCCGACCGGTCTTAGTGTACAGATTTGTCTGAAGGACTGACACCATCCACTTTTGGGCTCGTTTTCTGTCTCACCCCTCTCTCCTCTTCCTGGTCCACCTCGAAATATTTTTTGTCATCTCATCCTCGAGACTCCACTCGGCCTATCGACGAAGAAGCCTGCATTGTTTGTGATTTGAAGTCGTCAGCACTTCTATGATGTCCACCAGTGCTCAGACGCCCACGGTCGTCCGCAGCCACTCTACATCCTCACGCTCACACTCCCATCGTCCTCCTGCATCTGAGTTACCTCATCGCACTCGAAGTGTCGCTGTCAGACCATCCACCGCTTCTCAGTCCTACCAATCCCATCAAAATAGCCCCAGTCATCAAAAGTCCCAGTCCCATGATCGCCGACCGCCCTCCAATCAGGCGGTCTTCGATAACATAGCCCGTCGGGACTTTGACGGTTCACGGGGCTCCCACTCCACTTCCTCTCGCCGAAGTTCTTCCAAGGAGCTCTCTCGCGAGCGTCCGTCTACCGGCTATCGTAACGAATCGTCGTCCAACAATACCAGCAAGCACCAGAGAAACCTGTCGGTACAAGGTCGCCAGCGAGACAGCATAGACATGGCGTCGGCAGGCCCCGTGGCGGCGGAGCCGGTGCCCGCTCCTCCACAAGCCGCGGCCAGCTCGCATTTGCATTCTGCTGCCTCTGTGCAGCCTAAGCGTCGCACAACCATCACCACCCCTTCCGGCCAGTGGGCCTTGGGAAAGACCATTGGCGCGGGAAGCATGGGCAAGGTCAAGCTTGCGAAGAACATGGAGACCGGTGAACAGGTATGGTCGGACCTAGCTCGAACCATTTTGTTGTCTCCCACACTGACTCCCCTTTGCAGGTCGCCGTCAAAATCGTCCCAAGACAGTCAACCGAAGAGCATCGCAATTCGCGCGACACCGAGAGAGCGGATCGCTCGAAGGAGATTCGAACCGCCCGGGAGGCTGCGATCGTAAGCCTTGTGAATCATCCTTATATCTGCGGTATGCGCGACGTGGTGCGCACGTCGTATCATTGGTACATGCTGTTCGAATATGTCAACGGTGGCCAGATGCTCGATTATATTATCTCACACGGTAAATTAAAAGAAAAACAAGCACGGAAGTTTGCGCGCCAGATCGCAAGTGCGCTGGACTACTCTCATCGCAACAGCATCGTACACCGCGACCTCAAGATCGAAAACATACTGATCAGCAAGACCGGTGATATCAAAATCATCGATTTTGGTCTGAGTAATCTTTTCTCGCCGCGCAGCCTCCTGAAGACGTTCTGCGGTAGTCTCTACTTTGCTGCACCGGAATTGTTACAGGCGAGGCAGTACACAGGACCCGAGGTGGATGTCTGGAGTTTTGGCATCGTACTCTATGTCCTCGTCTGTGGCAAAGTACCCTTCGATGATCAGAGCATGCCGCAACTTCATGCGAAGATCAAGAAGGGACATGTTGAATATCCGCAAGGCTTGTCTGCAGGTTCGTATCTCATTTTATATGACAGTTTTTGGGATGTTTACTAACCACGCTCTTCCCAGAGTGTCGCCATATCATCTCCCGAATGTTGGTAACGGACCCTAAGCAACGCGCAAGCCTGGCGGAGATTATGAACCATCCTTGGATGAACAAAGGATTCAGTGGACCGCCCGAGAACTACCTCCCGGCTCGCGAACCCGTGCAGCTTCCGTTAGACCCGGAAGTTATCGAGAAGATGACGGGCTTCGATTTCGGTCCACCCGAATATATCGCAGCACAGCTCACAAAGGTCATAGAGTCGGAAGATTACCAGCATGCCGTGAGAACAAGTGTCCGCGAGCAACCACAACCCGCTCACAGCGAGAAGAAGCGTGGCATGTTCGATTTCTACAAGCGCCGGAATTCTGCGAGCAGAGACACGCTCTCAGCACCGTCGGCCGAGGCTGTCCAATTAGGCAACGATCCCCTCAATGCATACAGCCCGCTGCTCTCGGTGTACTATCTTGTTAAAGAAAAACTTGAAAGAGAGCGAGCCAAAGAAGCTCATCCCGGTGCTCTTGGTATCCCACACGGTGCAGGTGACAGTACACTCAAGATGCCAGACCTACCGGCACCAGAGGCAGCGCACACGAATCAATATCAACTACCCGGCGAGAAGGATACTGGCAGGAGATCCCGTCCTCGAGCACGGACTCATGGCGATGATGACCTCAATGATGGCATCAAGAATCTCCATCTTACTTCGCAGGGAGTGCCGGATTCTCCGATTCCCACCATCTCACACCCGGAGACTCCGGTGAAGAAGGAGAGCACCGCGGCGGGTATTCTTAGAAGATTCAGTACCCGAAGAGTGAAGGAGCGCAGCCGCGATCCCGAGCGTGAGCGCATCACCAGCCCCCACGCGCCATCGCTTAGTGTTCAACCCCCAGCCGATTCGGCTTCCCCACTCTCACGAGGATTCAGCATGAGGAGAAGCCGGCGGGCCGACCTTTCCCCGTCTGATACGCCTGCTGGGGGCAGCCAGCCGCAACACCAAGATCTCCTCAAGGCTCCGGGATCGGCAGAGCCGGCCTCACGATCCAACAAGTTCCTGGAGAGATCAACGAGCGTCAATTCAGCCGATTACCGACCCCGGAGAACTGCGCGCAGAAATGATCCTGATGCGTCAGACCTAGGTGGCGATCGCCAACCACCGCAGACCAGTGGCTCTGACTACTCGAGTGTGAGCGTCCAGAAGGACCAACCAGCGACAAAGGAGGTGAAACAACCCAGTCGCACGCACGCTAGCCGAACGATGTCGCTTGGCCATGCTCGCCGTGAAAGCATCCAGGCCCGCAGAGCGAGGAGGGATGCCGCACGGGAGGCCAACGTTCCGGAGGAGACTGACGCAGACATCTCTGGCGCGGGGACTGCTCTAGAGAGTGCGAATGAGGGAGAGGACCTCTCCAAACCGGTCTTCCTCAAGGGTCTCTTCAGTGTTTCGACCACGAGCAGCAAGCCGCTGCCCTTTATCCGCGCCGACATCATTCGTGTACTGAAACAGCTGTCCGTGGACTATGTCGAAATCAAAGGAGGCTTCAGTTGCCGTCATGCACCCAGCATCGAGCTGGACAAAGTGGTAGATGCCGGGCCTCCAAGCCCTGATCGATCGGGTCATGTGTCCGGTCACAGGCGCCGCATCAGCTTCGGGGGGTTGCTGAATCACGATGAAAGCAAGGAGGAGTCTCGCCCAGCACATACGCCGCGGTCTCAGCCTCGGCCCCGGGCCCCTGATCGCAGCTTTGTCACCAACTCAGAAGGTTCGGACGAGTACGTTGCGCATCGGGACAACAATGTGGTCGTAGGCGAACGAGTCATGGGCGAGACTACGACTCGAGTGCAGAGTGATACCGGAGAGAATATGATTCTGAGATTCGAGATTCTGATTGTTAAGGTCCCGCTGTTCTCATTGCATGGAATCCAATTCAAGAAGGTTTCAGGCGGCATGTGGCAGTACCGTGAGATGGCGAAGAAGATTTTGGATGCCCTCAGGCTTTGATCTTCTTCCTTTTTTTTTTCTTTTTTTGCTTAAATCTAGAGCAGGAACGAGGACACTGACCATGAGCGGGTTGATCCAATCAGCATGAAAGCATTTGCATGAGCATAGCAACATATTTCTCTTCTCTTTTCTTTTCTTTTTCCTTCTTCTTGACGTCTTCCCATTTCTTCAACTAAACCATTTTTTATTTCGTGGTTGCTATTGTGTCTAGGTGTGTGTGCGTTTCCAAATGAGCTGGCTCGGTCTGCAAAGTTGATTCGATTCCGCTGCCCATGGTGTACAATAGAGCCGAACGAGGACGCATCATTATTGTTTCTAGCCCAGCCCTTTGTTATCCATTTGTTTTTCTTTTGTTTCATGTATGTGACTATGTACTGGTCATGATTTTGTATATCAATTCTCATGTCATGCATTTCCTTGTCCAATTCGATACTAGCCCTATATGTATAAATAATGTAATTGGATTTTCTCGAGAGACGAGAATAAATCCTGTGTACCAAGTCCTGTCTTAAGTAGTCTTGTCTAGGTAGAGTTGTTGGCTGCTCGTAGAGCCTGAGAAGCCTTAAAGCCAGGGAAAGTAGGGAAAGTCTGGGGCATGCCTGAGCTTAGGTTTTGGGGACAGTGGGTGGTATCTATAGGTACCATGGTCCCTTGACTCAGGGTTGACAGCCCAGAAAGCAGGTCCCCAAAGAAGCTCGCGGGGGCTAAGAGTCCAAGTCTCCAAGCGGGTTTGCCACTCCATTTCCACTGGCACAGCAGCACAGCCCAAGAATAATACCTGGCCTGAATTTCTAGATCCTAATAATCAGATAGATGTATAGAACCAACTGCGCTAGATTACATATAGGCTTTTCTTACCATTGGTACCAGAGAATGTTTTGCTGGGCGTTGGCCATGGCTATTGGAGGGTTTTTCATCTTTCCCTGGAGTCTCAGGCTACATACATGACTAAGCATATCCACACCAGGAGTCCTGATATTTAGTTGCAACTTTATCTATCTAGTTTACTGCTACTATTATCATGAGTTTTTTGGAACTCTGGTTAAGTTGTACTCCGTAAATGCCCATAACTTCTGGACTTTCTGCGCTTACTTTATATACTCAAAGTTCTATTAAAGTGTATCTAGTCCACTCCAGAGTCACTTTACCCTGATATTCATATCAATCAGCCCATCATATCTCCATATCGCCAATTGTTTAGTTATATATAAATAAATACCTACTAGTAACCCCCTTACCTGTCCTTGATGGACTGATTATAGGAAATTCAACCAGATTCACTTCATCTCTCTATATAGCTATCTAGGATAATCTGATAGAAGTCGATGACTAAGCGCCCCACTAGCCCAAACAAGCCACGCTAGCCACTCAGATATACACCTAGCCCCAAACAAGCATAACCCCCCCCCAATCCACTTTAGCATCTTTGTCTCCTAGCAGCAATACTCCCTCTTCCACTCCCAGTGGAAGCTCCCAGAGTCCCAGACACCTCTCTCTCCTCCACCACACTACACTTTCTTCAGATATTGATAGACCTCTTCCTAACGATCTAGGGCATTTCTGAGAGTGAGGATTAGTGACTCTGACTCTGAGCTCCCCAGCAGGTTCTCCTGCTTGGTTGTACCCTGTGCAGTGTCCACAGTCCACACCCGCGCCAATGACGGTCATAGACTTGACCCAGGACTCGGATTCGGAGGACCAGAGGGTGCTTTCTGTCAGTGTTGCCTCCCTAAATCCCCCATTCCCATTCCTATTCCCTTGGCCCGCTCCCACGAGGGTCTTCTGACTTTGTGTTCCCTTGCCTTTGTTTTTTTTTTTTTTTTTGTGTCTCTGAGAGCGGCTGTGATGTCTGTGTTCATACTACCTATGGGGAAAAAACTAAACAAAAAAAAAATTTACATGCACTTCTAGGCAGTCTTGGAAGACTGTTTTATATGTGATTTTGTGGATGTTGACAGCAGCCAACACGAAGGGGTCTTTTAGTGTGTTTGTTTTGTTTTGTTTTTGTTTTTTTTTTTTTTTTTTTTTTTTTTTGGCTCTGCAACGCCCTCTATAGTGTTGTCTGTCCCATGACTGTCAGCTGATCAAGTATAGACACCAGCACGCAGCCAGACGGCCACTTTCTTTTCAAATTTGACCCATCGCACGCCTTCTTCTTCGTCTGCTGTATCTTTGAAAAGGAAATTAGAGGACAGTCCTGGCGATACTCCTGCCATCCCATCCCATGTCAAACACTTTAACCACAGTCGTCTACCGCAGCATGGCAGCAGCAGTTTGAGTCTTGGCAGCAGCAGCAACCCTACTAAAACTAGCTTGTCTACCACTGTGACTACCAATAAGACCAGCTCTGATACGGATGCCTCTTTCTCTGATCATGTATTCAAGCCAAGGGCCGACAACCCATCTACCCCCAGCCCGAGCCCCTCCCACCTGGAGGCGCCTAGCGTCGTGATCCCATCCCCCTCTCGACAGTTGAGACGTCAAATTGCCAACTCGGACTGGGTCAAGGATGCCCCTAATTCAGAGCTAGAGCTGACAGGGCTGTCTTCTCAATACTATCCCGTTGATGCGCACGAGAAGAGGGCCCTCAAGGGAGCCTATCCGCGAACCAGAAAAGTGAACCGAGCTGAGGTACCCTTGAGTATTGGCACGCCTGGTCCGGTACCACTCACAGACCGGACGGCAGTCCAGCAGCAACTGCTAGCCACCCTGCACCGGAAGCTTTCCAAGATCAAGGGCCCCCCCGTGACGCTCGCGCCGGGGGAGGAGAGGAGGCTTGCGGACTTTGCGTCGAACTTTGAGTTCGTCAACGCGTACATCCTGCGGAAGGGGGTTTCGCGGATTTCCAGCGAGTTCATCGGCGGCTGCCACTGCCAGGTTTGTGATCCGGCGCGCTGCGCTTGCCTGAGGCAGGATGCGGAGTCTACGGACAAAATGATTCCCTATCAGCGGGCCCCGGGCAACCCGCGATTACTTGTTCTCAGCCAGGAGTTTCTCATGACTATGGAAATGATATTGGAATGTACTTCGAACTGCACGTGCGACCAGTCGCAATGCTGGAACAGAGTTGTACAGCACGGACGTACCATCCCCCTCCAGATCTTTTACACGGGCAACCGCGGGTTTGGTAAGTCTTTTTTTTTATGAATCACTTGTTGGGGGGGGAGGCGAGGGTGAAAAAAAAAACAACTGGACCCGCAGCTAACATCAGAACATAGGCCTCCGGTCCTCTGAGAAGATCCATGCGGGCCAATTCATCGACTGCTACCTGGGCGAGGTGATCACGACGGACGAGGCCGACGTGCGCGAGGAGGTGGCCACCTCGAAGCACGGGCACTCGTATCTCTTCGAGCTGGACTTCTACAAAAACGACGAGGAGGTATACGTGGTGGACGGGCAGAAGTTCGGTTCCGCCACGCGGTTCATGAACCACTCGTGCAACCCAAACTGCAAGATATTCCCCGTCTCTCAGAGCCAAGACGCGGACACCCGGCTGTACGATCTTGCCTTTTTCGCCCTGCGCGATATCCCGCCCATGACGGAGCTTACCTTCGACTACAACCCCAATTGGGGAGAGGGCCGGAATGTCGATCCGAGTGCGGTCCGGTGCCTGTGCGGCGAGCCGAACTGTCGCGGACAGCTGTGGCCGAACCAGCGCAAGGGGACGAAGTAATTTTTTTGCTCTGGTGTTTTGTTTCTTTCTCCACCCTCCACCCAAACCCCCTCCATACACTATCTACATTGTTGCATCGCGTGGCGTGGCGTGGCATGGCATGGCGCTACTACGAGGTTGGTCTGGTCTGGTCTGGTCTGGTGTACGGTCTCTCGAGTCCGGTTCTACTTTTCATGTTTGGTTATACCCGAGCGGTCATTTCATTTCTTGATTTCTTTCTGATTGTATCATGGATTGTTATTCACCTACATCATCTCTGTACATTTGTACAATTATCAGCAATAACATGCATCCTGAAGGTAATTCTCAATTGACTTCAATTCAATATCTCCGATCCAACAGAACCAAAAAAAAAAGTCCACTCCACCCATCCAATCCAATCCCGCTAATCCAAACAACGCCGCCAATCTATATCTACCACATACTAAACCAGCATACTATCCCATCCCAAGCAACAACAACAACAACAACCAAAAAAAACAAAAGGAAACAAAACCCTAATCCCTCCCCTCCATAACCTCAAAAATGCCCCCCATCACAAACCGCGGCCTCTGAGCCTGTCCCAGACCTAGCCCTAGACCTAGCCCCAATCCTCGCTCCTGCTCCTGTTCCTGTTCCTGCACCCCCATGCCTATGCCCATCCCCATTCCCATGCCCATTCCAACACCCCCACCCATCGGATTCGCAGGCCTCGGCTCCATAAGCATCAGCCCCTGGCGCTCGATCGCATCGTCATCGCACCGGGAGCGCTCCTCGCTGAGCGCGAGATCGATCTTCGAGGGCCGCCGGCGGAGGAAGAGCGGTAGGGGCCGGGGGTTGCTGGAGGTGGGGGTGGGGAGGAGGTGGAAGCGGCGGGTGCTGAAGGGGGAGGGTGTTGCTGTTGCTGTTGTTGCTGTGGAGGAGGATGAGGAGGGGGAGGTTGTTGTCGTTGTCGTTGTCGTTGTTGTTCTTGTTGAAGTTGTAGTTGTGGTTGTAGGGGGTGGGTGGAAGAAGGTGGTGTGGAGGGAGAGGGTTGGGTGCATCTTTTTTTTTTTTTTTTTTGGTGGGTGTGTTGGTGTTGATGTATGTGTAGGTGTAGGTCGTTTTTTTGGAGGGTGAGATGATGATGTTTCACAGGTATGATGCTTTTATACACTGCTAAGTTGGAGATCTGACAATGGTGGTCTGTGGTCTGTGATGGGACTGCTTCATAGTTGCGAATCATTAGTATATGGCCTCATCAACAGAGTCATGGTGATTGTAGTCAATTAGACTGAGACAGGAAAGCAATTCCAAAAAGCAGTTAGATACTAAGTATGTAGCAGATATCGGAGCATCTCATATCATATGCAGCCGATTGAAAAAGAGATTGTAGATGGATATAGATAAGACAGTATATAAGAAATGAAACAGAAAGAGAACTCACCGACACCTTTTCACCATTCACCAGATTCACCAGTATTAGATAAAAAAAAAATCAAATCAAATCAAAGATCAAACTTTCAGAATCCAAGACACATTTTAAAACAAAAACCAAAAATCCTCCCGGACCACCATCTGCCAGCGACACTTTAATACCCTCGACTTGCATCTGCAAGGATGCCATACACTAGTCGATGCGCCAGCAAAAAGGAAGAGAACACTATTTCACGATTCACACTTCTTCTCTCCAGCGACGAATGCAGAGACTGCTTTTTTATCCGCGAACAAATCCCCAATTCCCATTCTAGAGCAGTATTCGGTAATCCGTCCTGACACGACACATGCCAGGCCTCGTCCTTTGCCGCAAACGGAGACCCAAGATCGCCGCAATCGATACTCCGGCATAAACTTCGATAACTCTCGCGAAGAATATGGTTTCCGAGTGCGTAGATAGATAGATAGATAGATAGTGCGTGCTATGTTCCCCTTTATTGTTTCGATGGATCTTCAGACTATATAGATAGATGCCTTACTTGCCGATCCTACCTTACCAATCGCTGGAAGTTTGATGACGAGAGAATAAAAAAAAAATCAATTCACCACACGCCATGGCTATGCAAAATAACCAATGCTCTAACTGTCACAGACCATCTAGGCGCAATGCAACATGAAAAGAGACAGATAGAATAGTACAGCTCTGGCAGAGGCAGTATACACACACACAAAAAAAAAGACAAACACAAAAGGGACAATGTGTACACGACAGCGCATCGTATAGGGAAGATGAAAAAAAAGAGAGAAATAACAGTCCTAAATCATAGCATCACACCTATCAACACCTCAACTGTTGGTCGACCGCCGCTGCGTGAAACTGCGTCGGATACTCTCGCCCCAGGCGGAATCATCCAACGACTGCATCACCTCCTGTACATTCATCGCGCTGCCCTCCCGGGACTGGTCCGCCCCTCCCGGGCTTGCAGGCAGATCCGGACCAGCGTCATACGACGAAATGGTATGCGACCGCGCCCGTCCACTAGGCGACAGCGACGGACTAATACTGGACCATTCCGTCGGCGAGCTAAGGTTCGACATCCGTCCAGCGAGGTTGGTATCAAGGCGCGGGAGCTGCCGCGACGAGGTCGGGCTGCCGCTGCTCCGGATGGGCGACGTCGGCGAGAGCATCGGCTGGCCGCCGCCGTCAATGAAGCTCACTGGCTCGGGCGACGCCACCCTCGATCCGCTCTCCTCCGTCACCCTCTCCGGCTCGTCCTGGTACCCATCGTCCACGAAGATTTCCGGCACCGTGAACTGCGGGATTTCGCTCATCCGCGCCGACTTCTTGGCATTCACCCGTCGGCGGAACTCCCGCGACCAGTAGAGCGTGTCGAAGAAGCCGATCACCGTGTTGCGCCGCACCGCTTCCTCCACCCGCTGCAGTCGCGCTCGCCGCCGTAGGAATTCCTCCAGCCGCAAGCTCTTGCTGTCGCTGATGATCTTATAGTGCGCTAGGATCATGAGGACGGAATGGAAGGAGATGCCGCGCACGGGGTCCGCCGAAACCAGCACTTCTTCGAAGAATCGGTTGAGCTCTTGTCGTCGCTTCCGGACCGTCGCCACGGGGATCTGCCGCAAGATCTTGGCCATCTTATCGAGATCCAATCCCTCAACGACTCTCCGATGCGCGAGGAGCGAATCGCGTTTGTCCACGCTGCATTTCTCAAGGATCCGCCCGATCGAGAACTGGTCGTCATAGATGCGCATGGAGAAGTCGCCCGACAATTCCTGAGCCAGTCAGCCATCGCCTGGAAAACCTGTAAACCATTGGAGAAAAGAGAAAAAAAAAGACTTACGCCAAGCAACCGCGGGAACTGTTCCTTCGAAATATATCCCGTCCCGTCCGGATCGTACGTCGCCCATGCCTGCTTGAAGCGGCGGATTTCCTCCCGGCTAATGGCGTAGAGCCCGCTGCTTCTCTGATACACGTACGAGAAGCTCTCGAAGATCAAGGACACGAACAGAGACACGAAGATGTACATGCTGATGATATTCCACGAGATAAAGAGCGGCCGAGCCCATGCCGCGCTTCCGCAATCATCATTGAAGAAGTCGCGGTCGTATGTGCAAAACGGAGGGACCATCGTCGCAAAATCCTCCATGATCGCGTTCCAGCCCTCCCCGCAACTCATTCGGAATAAAAGGATGAGTGTCCTCGGAATGTCGCGGAAGTTGATGTTGTTGTTCTCATGCTCGCCAAACTTGGTCAAACCAAAGGCTTGGTTCATGGCAATTGCAAAGACGAGGAACAGGACGAACCAAGTCGCCAGCAGATTCCCAATAGCCGTCAGACTCGCGGCAGCCGTCTTGAACAACTGGTCCAGCTGGTTGTTTCGGGGGATCAACAAGAGGGTGATGGATACGAGGAAAAGCTTGTTCAGCTCCATAATGACCTGGTTCTTCAACAGAAAGTTGAGAATCGTCGTGATGAACGTGCCGGGAACGGCGATCAACGAATACAAATCCCAGGAGCTTCTACTAAACCGGTGCCAGCCCAGTCCAAAGAGCCGTATGAGTGTATTGGCAATATAGAAGAAAGTGAAGGCGAAAAATAATGATTCTGCTTTCGCAATTAGTATGCCGGAAACCAGAATACATGAAGACCAACTTACCCCTGGTCAACTCCCACAGATGAGGCTCCGGATAATACTCCAAAATAAGCAGCAGAAGATGAAGCAGAAGGATGGTCGTCACGCATCGTGCCCAACGCCCATGTTTCTTAACCGCGATACGATAACACCACAGCTTCCATTTAGTGCTCTTTCGGTCCAGTGAGCGCTTTGACGGCGAGATCTGTCTCAGCAACTTCCTCAACTCAAGCCAAGATCGCTGTTCAGCTGTAAGAAAGGCAACTCCCGTCTGTTCGGTGTAGTTTCGCATAAACACAGACACAAACAGCGTCAGGACGAAAACAGCACCGAGCAAATTGAACACAATGAAGAAGAGACCGTTGGCCGGCGCGGCAAATGATTGTGGCTGCCAGTCCTTCCCAGTGATACTCATGGCGCTCATTTGGACATCAGTCCACCCCTCTTGCGAGACAATCTGGAACAGAATGAACAAAGCATTTCCGAAGTTGTCGAAATCATAAAGTGGGTTCGATGCGGCGCGTGGTGCCAGTACTTCCCAGTTGTAAGGGGAGCTACTGTACTCATTGATGCACTGATTGAGGCTACCTACTATACTGCCATCATTGCAGGTAACCATTTGCCCGTTGTAAAGGGTGACGCCGTAGATCGCAAACGGGATCAGAAAACTCATCGAGACGGCGGCAGCCTAGCAATCGTCAATACACGAGGCTGCAAGTCCACACATCAAACCGAAAAACCTAAGACTTACGGCAATGACTTTCCATCCTCCTATGATGATAACGGAATGAAAGGTATCCTTTGCACTGTCACTGACATTCAACAACCGTAATGCTCTCAGAGCTTTGAAGGCTCCAATGGCTCTGGAAATACCCAAATCCCAGAACAACGAGCTGCCGACATTGATCCAGAGCGTGACCAGCACGATACCATCGATGAAACCCCATGAGCTGCGGAAGTATGCATTCGGCGTCCAAAAGAAGCCATCGGCGATAACCTTGATCAAAGCTTCGAACGTGAACAAGATGGCAAAGCCCATGTCGGTGTAAACATACCAGGGGATACCCTTTGTAACCCACTGAGCTTGATAATGGCGCTGGTAAATGGGGGTGGTAATACATGCGATCAGAACCATGGCGACAATCGCTGCATACACAAAAGCGGAAAAGGTGTACCAGACGGGCTTATATGGATCCACTCCTTCGACCCGCTGATGCCCGCGGCCCGGTCCGACGATGCGCTGACAAAGTCTTCGAATGGCGTTGTCGGGGGCAAAGATGAATAGAGACTTGTTGTAGCTCGGATGCCTCATCAGGTATTCTCGCTGTGCTCGTTTCCTCTGTTCCGCGGCGGAAACAACTGCCTGAGCCATCTCTTTCGGATCTAATTCTTCGTAGGCCCTGGAAAATTTCAGCTTAGAATAGAAGGGGTTCGGCTCCCGGCGTAGAAGGGAAGTAGTGATGGTCGTCCACATTCGTGAAAACATGCCGGGGCGAACGGTCTCCCCTGTCGCTCCCGCTGCTGCTTCCAACGGCACACTTTGTCTTCGCCGACTATTCGTGGTCTCTTCTTGCTCATCCAGGAACTCTCGCACGACCGCGTCTTTTAGCAGCATCTCGAGCGCTGCTGGGCCGTGATCGAGAGGGTCCCTGTATCTGTTTGAATCTCTGCCCAGCATGAGGATCTTTGAGAGTGACAAATTCCCTTGAGAAGCTCCATTGACATGTTTTTGTTCCAGAAACGCCCGAACCTGCTGCAACCGTTTCTCGTCTTCGGAGACGTCGAAACTCTCTTGAATGACAGCAATGAACATGTTGAGCACGATGAAATTCGCCACGATAAACCAGATAATAAAGAAAATCGCCGATATCCAGGCCGTGTGTAGCTTGTATGTGAATGTGGTCGAATTGTACAATATCGTGGTCCAGTTCTCGCTGGATAGGATCTGGTACATGCCGATGAATGAGTTGTAGATATCGGCAAAGGTGATCTCAGCATCCTCATCATCGGGTGTCTGACCGCGAAAAAGTTGCGTTGCGAATATGGATGCGAGGAATGTGATTAGGAACACAAACATGATGAGGTTCAGCAAACCCGTCGCGTTGCGGAAGACCACCATGATGAGGTTCCTGGTGACAGAGAACGCCAGTACCACTCGGTATACTCGAAGAATCTGAAACAGCGTAAGGACATCATACGACCGCCCAGAACCCCTAATTGCAGGTATCTGGATAACGCAGGTAATCACCACGAGTCCCAAATCAACCCAGTTGCGGCGGCTCCGGTGAAAGACGCGCCAATCTGATGCGAAACGCAAGATTATCTCGACAAGAAGGACAACCGTGACAATAATCTCGACATCGCTAATCAATTTTACCCGGTCATCTTCCATAGTCGAGCTGCGTAGAGCCTGCACAACGAGATCGAAGATGATGATGCAGACCCAAAACCATTGAGTCTTATCATAGAGGCGTTTGAGACTGCTGATCTTGCGGGTCGATGTGTCCTCTTTGTCGACAGTATCGAGCTTATGGACAGCAAAAGCGCTTCGCTTGCTTTCTTCTCGAATAACCTGGAAGGAGTGTGTGATCACGGCGACCAACAAATTGACCAGCCACAGACTCAGAATAACGAACCCGCAAGCGAAGAAGAGGGCCGCCGCGAGATAGTCACTATTGGTGGTGTAGTATAGAAGATCAGTGAAGGTGTTCGAACTCATAATCACAAAGACTAGCTCCAGTGAATGCACAATGTCGTCAAAGTTGACTGTCCCCTCGTATGGATTTGTATTTTCGACACATATAGAGCCCTGCGGACACAGGTATCCCTTGGGTTCGGATCCACTCGAAACCAATTCACCGTTCAATCCAGTCTTCAACCAGGATTCTTTTGCACCAGTCGTTGCGTTGAGATATCCGCCGCAGAATTGAAGCGTGCCGGAGGGGTCATTCAGATCAAAATCAGACTGGCCGTCCCGACCGAGCCAGCGACAGCTTCTTCGGAAACTCGACTTGAAGCTCTGAATTCCCACAATAGCAAAGAGGAGCCAAAAGAAGCCTATAAGAAATGCGACGTGAACAAGCAAGGGAGCTGCTTTCTTGAGACTCCGAAGAATAACCTGTTTTATTTGGTCAGTGAATGGCCCCTAAACAATTGTTAATCCAGCTTACCGAAGTGCCGTTGGTTAGTGCAAGAAGACGTAGTATCCGAAGACAGCTAAGCATACGAAACACGTAGAGTTGGTGCCGATTCTCGACACTGGTCAGCGAAAGTAAGAATGACACCCAAAACGACACAACAGCCACAAAGTCGAGACGATTGAACGAATGTCGAAGAAAAGCGCGGTGTGCTAGTCGTACACGTCGCCTCTGAAGAGGGTCATCGACCACTTCTTCCTGTAATTGATCAAATCCGCCAGTGAAAGTTCGTATGATCGAGGCTTGCTGTGGCTCTGGGGCACTTGTTGCTTGTTTCGATGTAAATTGCCGTTGCGGCGCAATTAAGTTCTTGGCCTTCTCGGAAACCGCTTTTCGAAACCCGAGGGATCGATTGAGGGTACTATACTCTGCCGGATTGAGCATGAACCCTGATACCAGTATCTTTGCTATGAGTTCCAGGGTATAGATGATGAAGATGACAAGATAGGCGTAATCCAAGCGATCCTTTCCCCAGCGCACAGATCGCGGGTGGTCCTGCACCGACTCTGACGATTCGATTGTTAATAATATCGTTTGAATGATGATTACAACCAGAATGAAAGGCTCGGTGAAAGGATGCACCAATATATCGCACAGTCGTACTCGCAGAGGATTGTCCGGACCTAAAACGCCGAGCGACTTCCCTCTCAGCGGATTGTTACGCAACCTCCATGCTTTACTCGACGAGGCCCTGGTTCTGGGGATTTGGGTGTCAGGCATGCCGACGGACGGCGCATCATGAGCATATCCACTCAAGGAGGGAAGCGAGGGTGGTTCTTCGAGTCGTGCGCTTTTGTGCTGTTCCTCCCTCATGATAGCTTGTTCCACCACCTCCGGTTCGTTACTCAAGTTGACCACACGCTGGGACATGGATTTCATCATCGAGCCGGCCCGTTGCAGCGCGGAGCCAGAAGCCGCCGAAGGTGACAAGGACCGGGCCCGGCTCTCCCCAGCACTGCTGCTCCCGCGGCGCCTTCGACCCAAGCCGCTCTCAAGATGTGGGAGATCATCACCCAACCGCGCTTCTGAATGCGAATCTCCAGGGAAAGGGTCGCCGTGGGTGCTGCCATGATCTGTCTCTATTTTCGGTGGATTGGAAGCCCCACTGATAGGCTGGAGGTAGCGTTGGTCGGTCAAGCGAGCGGTATCGTCGTCGGTGCCGTAGGTATGCGAGGGGGAAAGGTAATGTTCCGCTTCTTGCGGCCCGTAGTCGTCGAGGGGTACGATGGTCATGCTGGAGCTGGATTCGCGGCGCCGTGCCAGCGACGTGGTGCTGGCCGTCGGATCGAAACTGAGGCCCACGGACGACATTGCCTGCGCAAATGTGCCTGGATCCTCGACATGGAACACATCCTCATCCCCCGGAGCCGCATGATGTGGCCGTGCATGACGCGCGACTGGCGGAGGTTCAACAGGGGAATCCTCCGAAACCCGCTCATAGTTTCTCAGCGAACCCCCTCTTCTCAGCGATCGCCTGGACAGAAACCTGCTCCCCACGCGGCCTATTCTCCCTTCACTGCGCTCTGACGGCCCAGACAGGTCTTGTAGAGGAATCGAATAATCTGCCGAGGCATTGTCTTCGTCGTTGTGGCCGCGGTGGTGACTACTCGAAGCCATTGTAGGCAGATTCGATACGCTAGCCGAATGCAGACATTGCAGACCGCAGCCGTGGGATATGGACCTCGTGTGTATCTGGGAATCTGGAGTTTCTGAAAATGAGAGATAACAAGTAAATCAGAGTTGTTTGTTACTTGCAGAGACGAATTATTATTTTCTGCAGTCGCAGGAACGCACGTCTCACTGGAGCACTGCCAAGTATGCCGGTATGCTCCTTTGTCAACCAACGGGACGTTCCTCGAGAACCTATCAGGCGAAACTAGCGGGAGACTGCGGGCATTGGATATTTGGCAAGAGGGAATTAAGGCCAGGGTAACAGAAACTATAAAACCAATCGCTCTTGGTCCGCAATATAGTAGATTGTTGAATGTTGCTCCGTAGTTAGCGGAGCTTCTGCCTGGACCAAGACTGGGGCCCATTCGTCAAATGACGGCTTGTGTGTGGCTTGTTGGATGTGGTCTCAGCTGGAGATTGGAGAGGGTTGTATCCTTGTAGTTTAGTAGCGATGTCTTAGTGTCTCGAAGTAATTCTATTTATCTGTCTGGGTGCTTTATTTAGCATCTATCTAACTACGGAAGGTCGGGATTTTGCAGCATGAGACTTCGGAAATCCACGCTGCCAAATTTAGCTTGCAACAAGGAACAATTTACAATTATCTATGTACGAGATAGATAGGTAGATCCTGTGTCACAGATCTCACAATTGAACGTCACCTCTTGTAGATATTCTTTTTTTTTTTTTTTTTTTTTTTTTTTTTTTAAGAGTTGATGTCTCGGTTTCCAAAGAGTTTGACATCCCAGTCCCCGCCACAAGTGATGCGTATACTCCGTACAGCTATCTATACCCACTGCCAGGAATGTGACCATATAAGTAGTCAGCATGCCCAAATGCATGGATAATCATTAAAATTGACGTGTATGCACGATATAATACAGCATGGACAGCTCTGGTCGTATGCAGCCTATCCAGCAGGATGCTCATTTATGCCAATACTTTTTGGAAAGCTCTGGATGGGTTTGTCTTGAGATAAAGTAATTACAGAAAAGCTCTCGGCTCATGAAAATGCTAATCAATCAGTCGGTCTCCATACGATTGTCTGGATCCGAGTCTTTAACGTGATCCCGAACACCCTGGAGAAAAGCCTCAACAGCGTCGCCACCACCAAGAGGAACCCCTCCTCTGCGCATGAAACCGCCATTGGGAACTGGGATCTTGAGGGCTTCGCTAATGCTCGGGAGGCCGCCATCTCGGATAGCCACAGTCAAGCTTGCAAGGCTTTGCGAGAATTGAGGGGAGTGGAGGACTTTTCTTAAGATGCTCTTCTTCTGTGAAAGATCCAGCGAGAGCATTGCTGCTTCCACGATCCCAGGGTCAGTCTCGGCAAGGGACGCATCCTCGGATTCCTGTGCCAGAAGAAGTAGCGTTGGGGGTAAAAAGCTTAAGAGGTTGTCAACGGTTTTGTCGTCCGCAGACTCGAGAAAAGGAAGAGTAGATGAAGGCGAGAGAAGGTCCTGCAGCGTAGTGAAAGGTCGATCGGGGTCTTGTGGCTGGTTTTGGTTTCCTTGCAAGGACCTCAAGAAATCCTGTACAACGGATGACGGATTCGAATCGGCGGTTGCCCTACGAAACCCCATGTCAGCTCCATATATTATCATCCATTTCCGATAGAATCCAAAAAAAAGTGTAGTCCGCTGATGAAGAGCTAAGAGAAAAAGCCAAGTGTAGGAAGATGTACCTACGCTCTTCCACCGTCAGCGCCACCCTCCCTCGCCTCTTCACCCTCTTCCCTGACATCTCCACCCGTTGCATCCGGACCGGCTCCACCACTGTTTCCTCCGTGATTATGGTTGGAATCATGATGTACGCCTTCGACATCCTCCATAGTCTCATCGTCGTCTCCGCCATCATAAGGACCACCCCTGGGTAGCGTGGCAATCTCATGCTCGACATCGACCTCTTCACCCTGGAGTAACGTGTTGACAATCTCACCGAGCTTGAGGTCTCGGGGACTAAACCAGCTAAGGTTACCCCGCTCGTGCTGGGACTTCGACTGCAGCCAGAACAGATACCGCTGAGAGCTGGACGAGAACTTCAGGACGAAAATCCGACCGTTGGTAGGTGCATCTTTACCAGATGGCTGGTAAGGTGTAAAGCTTCCATCTGTTGGGACCATTACTAGATCCAGCTCTGGTTCGGTATGGGGAGCGGTTCTTGGGCGCCAGCAAAAGTGAACCAAATCATCTTCGGAGTAGAGGTAGATGTAGCCCGGAGTTGGCTTCGGCTTGACCACAGGGTTTGCGCTTGACGTCTGTCATTGAACAATAGCATTATGTTAGTCAGTAAGGTTGAATCATTCTACATCTGAAACCGCTGGCCCTCCGGGCTGAGAGGCTGTCAGAATCGGGACTTGACACTCACATCTAGGTCACAGATGCCAGCTTTGAAAGTGATAATTGGAGCTATAGACATGGCGAAGAGTTATGCCAATAGGAGTGTGAGGGAATAAGAAAAAGAAGATTTGAAGATTGCACTTGCCCCTGTCCTGCGATGGAAGTTGAGACTGTGCGTTGTTGTTGCTGTGATGGTGGTGGTGGTTGGTAAGCTCTGACCAGACGGGTTCCGTTCAGGTACGTCAGTTCATGAGGAACCCCCAGCGATACCTTTTAGAGCCTGAGAAGCTTCCATTGCACTAGAGGTGTTTATGGATGACCCGAGTTTAGCCGCCTCAGGCATCAAAAGTTACTTATCGGGGGGGCACCAAATCGGCACTAGCGCGATTCGGTTAATTGATAGGGCTCGCGTTCCCACAAACCTCAGGATTTCCGCCTGGGGCCGCAGGTAGTCAGTCACACTTCAATCCAACAACCACCCGCCGTCGACAACCACCCACCCTACATTCTTTTCAGACCTTCTTCGTCCCCGGTAGCCAATATGTCGGACTCCCAGACGAAGCAGTTTGGAAAGGGCCAGAGGACCATTCCGGCTCAGAAGGCCCAGAAATGGTATCCCGTTGATGATGAGTCGCAGCCTAAGAAGGTCGGTACATCCTTGTGCAGAGAGCGAGTCTGAAGGGGGGTGCGATTTCAATTTATCGAATGAATGCGACTTATTGCGCCGGTTAAGGAGCGCCCGCATTTGTGGGTTGGACTAGGGACCAGCGGCACTGGGAAACATGAGTTGATAAGGGGGAATCGCATCTTTGGGGGAAGGGAACAACATCTATATCATACTTCAGACTCGCAAGTGCGTTTGGGAAACTTGAGAGCAAGTGTTTTCTGACATAGTCTTTTTTCTGTTGAACAGGTTCGCAAGACCATCCGTCCTACCAAGCTCCGGGAAACCCTTCAGCCTGGTACTATCCTGATCCTCCTCGCCGGTCGCTTCCGTGGCAAGCGTGTCATCCTCCTCAAGCACCTTGACCAGGGTGTTCTCCTCGTTACCGGCCCCTTCAAGATCAACGGTGTTCCTCTCAGACGGGTGAACGCTCGCTACGTGATCGCCACTAGCAAGCGTGTGGACATCGGCAACGTCGACCAGAGCGTTATCGAGAAGGTCAGCGCTGCCGACTACTTCACCAAGGAGAAGAAGGCCGAGAAGAAGACCGAGGAGGCTTTCTTCAAGCAGGGAGAGAAGCCCGAGGTATGTGAAGAATTCCGTCTTTTATCTGGAGTTCTACACGACAGATAACGAGAACACAAATCTTCATCGGATCTTTCACAAACTAACCTTGCCCTTCCGTCAATAGAAGAAGAAGGTTGCCAGCGCCCGTGCCAGCGACCAGAAGGCCGTCGACCAGTCCATCCTGGCCTCCGTCAAGAAGGAGGCCTTCCTCGGCAGCTACCTCGCCAGCACCTTCAGCCTCCGGAACGGCGACAAGCCCCACGAGATGAAGTGGTAAATGTACGTGGTGGCCGCGGGTTCGGTAGTGATTGTGGAGGAAAATCTTTTTATGCGAAGGGCCGGCTTGGATTGCAAAATGGGCGTCCTCCACCGTTGGGGGAGAGCGGTTCTTTGCAGCGCAGGAGGAACAAGTTCATGAAATAATGTATCTCGATACGGGCTCCGTCTTTGCTTAGGATTGCGGTCAATTCGGAAAAACCGGTTGTCATTTCCTTGTTTCACGAAAACAGTTCACCTCCCGCGTGGCCCGATTTGCAGGACCTCTCAAAAAGAAAAGCCGAAATGTCAAAGAAAAAAAAAAAGAATACCTTTCCAGCTTGTTATATGTGCCCCCCCGGTAACAGCTAAGGCTAGGAGTTCTTAGGTTGAGTATGATATCTCTCTTATTTTCTAGGTGCGGATGGAAATCCAGAAATGGGAAATCAAAAGATTGTGCTTCAAAACCGTCCATCTGCCCGTGCGACAGAACTATATCAATACTCCCATCACCTTATATCTCGTCCATCTCGGAGCCATGCGGATGCGACGAATTCGACCTGGATACGCCCAATCTGCAACTTGCGATTATTTACACCGCACTCTGGACCATCGTAGTCTTGTCCTTGTATCTTATTATCAATCAACTTGATATCTGAAATCTGGCTCTCATACACAACATCCATTCATACACCCAAGAACATGACCTTAGATTTAAAACACTATCCATCATTTTATTCCTCCCTCCGCCTCCTCCGCAGCCGACGTCTCTCCTCCCTAAACCTCCTCGTAGACTCCTCCACCGCCCTGCGGATCTTCTCATCCATATCCCCATCTTGGCTCAGCGTCTCCTCTGTGAGCGCAACAGACACATCCTCCTCCGCGGCATCCCCCACAGTCGTCCCACACATCCAGTCCAGGATCCCCCAGGGCGCGAAATTCCCCTCCGCCCCGCTAAGCAGATGCACATCCGTGTGGCGCGCAATGCCCCCCAAAAAGAAACTGGTCGGCATCACGGAGTACCCAGAGAAGGCGAAGGTTTCCTCGATGGAGATGACGGACAGGTAGAGGAGGTAAGTGAGCATGTGGAAGCGGAAGAACATGGCGGGTGCGTAGGTGGGGACGAAGTTGGCGAGGAGGTATGCCGCGGGGTGGTCGTAGTGAGCGGTGAGCGGGAAGGGCGCGCGCAGCGAATGGTACCATGTTTCGTGGTACTTTGCTACGCTGTATTGCCTGGAGTGGAGGACGTAGCGGTGGATGGTGTATGCTAGGGCCTGTAAAAAAGCGCGGCGTGAGTCTCTCCAAGCCACACGCGACGGGATCCCCTGGGTGTGTTGCGCTTACCTCGCGAGCGAACAACCCCCGGAGCAAATCCTTGACTATCTCCCACGGCATCGGCAGCTTCATGGATACCTTGAGCGCGCTGCGCATCCCCAGGATGCTGGTGCGGGCTTCCTCAATGGCCGCCTGCGTGATAATACTCAGCGTGAGGTTGGCCAGCGCCCACCCCGCGACCTTGAGATCCTTGGCTCGGATTTTGCTGCGCTTACTTCCGGCCGGGAGTCCCAGTTCGCCATGCGCCTTGATTACCACTGCAGCAGATGGTGTCAAGATATCGAATAGGAAGAAGAGGAGGGATGGGAGGACGTAGAAAAGCAGTCGCACAGCCGCGGTGCCGAACAACTCAACCCGCAGGGGTGTGTGTGAGAGAACCAAGGTCATCCATGTCATATAAAAGAAGATCAGATTGAGACTTGTGCTATATGAAGCGATTGTGGGAATGAGAAAGAGAGAGAGGGCCGGCAATGTAAAGAGTGCATCCATTTTGTCGAATTCGGAGGGGAGGGTAGATTTGAGTAGATCAGTCTCGTTTCACAGTCATATATTCGCGGCGAAGGACCGCATGGTCGATTGTAATGAATATCTAAATCAGATTCTGAAAATCCGTATTCCCCAATTGACCTGCGCATTTGTCCGATATCAAGATTGAATCATCGCGACAGAAGACTCCATTAGCCGCTGCTTGCGGGGACTCCGATAAGCGCTACGTCACTATCAACACACAGCGGATTTATGCCCAGCCCAGTAATTCAGAACAATATAAATACTGATACTTAGTTTTTCATGGGCCAGCCACCATGGAAATATGCACAATATATAGAAGTAAAAAGACAGGGCGGAAAGCGCTGGCAATCTTATAGTGAACGGGAGATCTCGTTGGGACTCAAGATATATATACTTGTATCAGGGTTCTTGGAAGATGGAAGCTCCTTTAATTTGTATCACCGAAGTGGTTATAGGGACAGGAGCATATATCTAGGGTAACAGGACGTAATAAGACGCTTGAGGGTATCTAAAAATACAGCATACCACAACATAGGAACATGACGATGGCCATAGGTTTGTGTCAACTAGGATTTGGTAACACCGTTCTTGAAGCCCCAGTTGAAAGCCTTCTTTCGAAGATCAGGGATCACATGCAAGAAAACTAGGCTGCTGGCCCAGCTGGTCAAAGTATCCCCAATGAGAGAATTCCTTGGGCTGGCTCCAAGCGCAGTACCTTTCATCATGTGACCCACAAACATCGTGGTGATCAGATAATCGCCTCTCTCGAGCCCTTGAATTGAAATCCGAGCAACTTCCACCGGGGATTGTGGCTTGTCGGCTTCTTCCAGCTCCCTGGTCAGTTTCGGTTTGATCTGTTGCTCCTTGTCAAAGCCCGGACTCAAGATGCCCATGGGGAAAATCGTATGAATCTTGACATCTGCAGGGGGGGCGTCGGTGCGCGACCTTGCTGAGCGGGCACCATTGTACATTTCAATCTCTTGGCTGAGGGTGTCGGACAGCGAGCGAATTGCGGCCTTGGCTGGGGAGTAGGGAGCATATCCAGCGATAGGAACAAAAGCAAGAGTCGAGCAAGTGAAGATGAGATGTCTCCGAGGCAGCGGTACCTGCTCGCTTGGGCCAACAGGCTTCAGCCAATGCTTCAAAGTTGCATGCGCTGTGTTGGCCGCAGTCCAGTAGACAGTATCCATCTGGCTCCGCAGCGTGTCAACAGGCGTGTCAACGAAGAAACCAGGAGTACAATAGCCGGCACAACACCAAACGACGTCTGGCGGCACACCCCGATTCCACTCAGTCACTTCGGCCAGGGCACGCTCGCATTCTGCGGCATCTGTGAGATCAGCACTAATGTAGTGAAACCTTTGCTTGCTGAGATCTGCAGCGTATGCCTATTTATATAGTGAGCATCACGTAGAAGACCAAAGTGGCAGAATGTTTACCTTGATCATTTCAATCGCTTCTTGGAGGTTCTTGACAGTGCGTGCCACAATGACAACGTTTGCCCCCTTTTCCGCAAGCTGGCAAGCTACCGCCTTGCCCATTCCATCAGAGCCACCAGTGATGAGAACAGTCTAGAGAGCAGGGTGTATTAGCAATGAATGCAGCACACCAGACTGCAGCTTACCTGTCCCTCAACGGGGAATTGGTTTGTGGAAGAACCCCAACCGAACATTTTGGATATACTGTATATGATTATAGAACAGAGAACGAGTGAAAGACCCAATGTTGCGGGTGAAGAGCTAGAAAGAATGAGAGATGCAGATTGAGACATTGGAGACGGGGAAGGAAAAAATATAAAAGGAAGCAGAGCAGAAAGCGACAATAAATAAAAGAGGTCAATCGAGCCTGCCTCAGCCAGCTAATGGTTTTAATCCTCTGTTACCCTGATTACTGATAGATAGTTCTTCCTCATCTGGTCTAAGAGTCTGCTTGTTGAGTCGTTCCTCACTTTCTCTGGAGTAAAGAAGCAACTTCCATTGCCCTTTCATGTGATCTGATCATCCAATCAGGGCGAGGCATTGGTGGCACTATACCATTAGATAGGCTTAGCGTTGACTTACGGGCCAGATAAAACAAACATACTCAGTATAGTCTAGCGTATTGCCGGCGGTGAGAGGTGAAATCCCAAATTTTTATCGCAAAAGTTGTCAACTCCACAGTAGGCGTTGGGTTAGAATCACCCCCACAACATTATTTCCAATTCATCATGGCCAAAAAGAGAAAGGCTGGTGGTCGCCCAGCGGGGCAGAACTCTGCTAAAGTCTCTGAGCGCACCAAGTTCGCTTACGAAGAACGATTCGAAGACTCGGAGGATGAGTTCCAAGCAGGCCGCGACCAGATCCTGCTGGAGGAAGCTCCAGAGGCAAAGAGACGACGGAAGCTGGCTGAGCAAGGTTTGTGCGACTTGGCGTGTATTGCTCATTATCAATCTATTCTGATGAAACATGACTATAGAGGAATCGCTCCAGCCATCTGATGAAGAGATCATGGCATACGAATCCATGGACGAAGACGATTTAGACGACGAGGAAGATTATGGCGAGGATGTCTACGAAGATGAAGACGAGGACGAAGACGATATGGAGATAGGTTTCTCGAAATCCAAAAAGTCGCGCCGAGGAGAAAGCCCAGATGAGGACGAGGAGGAGGGGATCGCCGCCTGGGGAACCTCCAAGAAGGATCTCTACAATGCCGATCAGATCGAAACCGAGGCCGATGCCCTCGAAGAAGAGGCGGAAGCCAAGCGACTTCAACAGAAGCATTTGCAGGCCATAAACGAGGAGGATTTCGGCTTCGACGAATCCGAATGGGTTGAATCTGGCAAAGCACAGGAGGATGTGGAGGATGAGGGTGGTGTGGTAACGGAAGTTCTACCACAACTGGAGATTACGGACGACATGAGCACAGAAGAGAAACTCAAGATCCTGAAATCCAGATATCCGGAGTTTGAGCCATTGGCAAAGGACTATGTTGACCTCCAGGCAAGGCATAAAGAGCTTGAGAAAGCTGCTGAATCCACAAAACTTCCCGAAGACGAAGATGCGCTCTTGGGTCCGGCACCTGTCCCTGTCATCAAGTTCCGCGCTTTGTCAGCTTATCTTGGGGCAATCAGCATGTACTTCTTGCTTTTGTCCTCGTCGCAAGATGGATCCGGAAACCCAGCTCCTCTATCGCCCGTTGAAATTCGTGCCCATCCGGTAATGGGCTCCCTAGTCAAGTTCCGAAAGCTCTGGGAGACAGTCAAGGATCTGTCTGCCCCTGAAATCTCCCAGGCTGATGTCACAGAGAAGGCAAAGAGTGACGCTCAGACTAAGGCTTCTGTATCGATTACCAAGAAGCAAAGCCAGAAGAGCAAGGACTCACAACAGCCAAAGAAGTCCAAGAAAGAACAGAAACAGTCTAGAGCCCAGCGCGCGGCCGAGGCGGCACAGGCAGAAGCAGAGGCTCGGAGAGCAGAGAAGCTGGCCGAGACGGAAGCTAACCTCGCCGATCTCGACAAACTCGTCAAAGAACCCAGCAGAAAACGCAAGATTCAGAAGATCACATCGGCCGAAAACGCCGACAACTCCGACTTTGGTGATGAGGACGCCCTCACTGCCAAGGAAGCCGAAGAGAAAGCCAGGCAGAAACGCTCTCTCCGCTTTTACACCTCCCAAATGGCCCAGAAGGCTAACAAGCGTAACGCGGCTGGTCGGGATGCCGGTGGTGATGCAGATCTGCCTTACCGTGAGCGTTTGAGGGACCGTCAAGCCCGGTTGAACGCCGAGGCCGAGAAGCGTGGTAAACAGAGACCAGATAAGATGGAGGAGCTCGGCGGCGACAGTGACGAGGAAGATCACCGGGTTGCAAGGGAGATCAGGGGCGGCGGATCGGGTACCGATGACGACGAGTATTACGATATGGTTGCCGCACGGTCGAAACAGCGCAAGGATGACAAGAAGGCCCGTGCGGATGCGTATGCAGAAGCTGCGCGTGAGGGTGGTCGCGTCGAGATCCAAGAGGAGGTCAGACCAGACGGCAAGCGAGCCATTACCTACCAGATCGAGAAGAACAAGGGTCTTGCGCCGAAGCGCAACAAGGATTCCCGCAACCCGCGTGTCAAGAAGAGGAAGAAGTTCGAGGAGAAGAAGAAGAAGCTCAGCAGTATCCGCCAAGTCTACAAGGGAGGTGAAGGTCGTGGTGGATATGGTGGTGAACTTACTGGTATCAAGAAGAACTTGGTCAAGAGTATCAAGCTATAAAATTTGCTTCTTGCATAGACGCACCATGGCGTTCAGTGTGTTATCTAACGTCGGGGTTTGCTTGTACATATATAATTCATATCATGATATGCTTCTGCTCACAGCCTCATCGGTTCGTACAAAGGATATTGCTCTCAACTTCAATCCTCCTGGTTGAGATATGAAATAGCTAGGTTGTTCCGCAACACAAGACAAGTTTGCTGCCGTGCAGGAATAGAAAGAAAAAGGACAGCACGTTGATACATTACCAACCAGCCTCCTTCCCTGAAAGTGGCACTACCCATCCTGTAGCCTAGCAAAGAGACTCTGGAGCATATCCCTTAAACTCCCCGAGTCGCACGCCTCCGATAAATCCAAGCTTAGAAAACCCCTCGCTAACACATCCTACAAGCAAAGCCTCTAAATCAGTACCTCGCATCATCATCGCGAAATTGGTCACATACCGCCTCAGCCAGAGCCCGAGTTTCTTCAGTCGACAACATGGTGCACGCAGCAACCAGATTCTCGCCACGAGCAGAGAGGGCTGCGAGCTCGTTCGCGCGATCAACAATCGCCGGGCTGATCCCATTCATTGCCGCACAACTATGCGCAATCTAAGTCAGGTGCTGGTGGCTTCACAGATTGGGATCGACGTACATTGTCCCGAAACTCTTGTTGCTACGTCCAAGACGGAAACTGTTCTCGTCAAGAATCAGATCACTGCCTTCATTAAATAACAATTCGGGTGCGGAGGTCATACTTATAGAGATATGTGATCTGGTCCTCCATTTGATGCGATTCTTCGGAGAGGCGGACCTCCATGTGTCCAAACTGAAGTCGCGGCCGTGATCTGAGAAATGCATTTTCGAATATCTCGTGGAAATGCGTTGCAGCGATGACTTTTGGCGCGTCCTCGAGACTCAGTAGATGTTCGAGTATACCGCAAGCAAGGCCTATGCCGTCTGCGAGAGGGTTGTGCTCAATATAAATCTCGAGCCAAATCCCTAGAGAGTGACAAAGACGTACCACTTTCGTTGGTCCCTTTACCGAACTCATCAATCAAGAGCAAGCTTCTCCCTGTCACCTGCCTCAGATCAAAGGATATCTGTTGCAGATCGTTCATGAATGTACTTTGAATCTACTATTGGAGTCAGAGGCTAGTGGCAAATGCTCGGTTGCTTCAGCTCTGACACACCTTTGATACACTTTCCTGGGAATTCATCTTCACCAAGATCTTGTCAGTAATGCCAATCTCGGCCCTTTCTGCTGGGACGAAACTGCTATGTTTAGTTCAAGTCGACACATCTGATCTGATTTACATACCTTCCGACTTGCGCGAGATAGACGATCAAAGCAACCTGCCTTCAATTACTTCCTGCAGCTGTGTGTTGGAGTGAGATCTTCACCTGTTTCATATAGACACTTTTCCCAGAATAGTTGGGACCGGTCAGTATGAGCATACTTGGATCATGCGTGGCCTCTGATAACGCTGTACCATCTGCCTGTGATGCCGGACTTCCAGGCTCCAGTCGACCTCCCACTAGAAATGTATCGTTGGGAACGTATGATGAAATTGTCAACTCCTGCAGTAGATGACTTGCTAATTGGTCAATGACCGCTGATAGAAGTGACTGGGAACAAGTACGCCCTCACCGGCCACCTTCGATTTTAATAACATTTTCCTTCACCATTCTAGGACGAACCAGTTTATAGAAGCTTGAAGCTTGGGCCATGGCAAGAAGACTACATATATGAGAGGAAGCGTTAAACGTAGGGAAGGGTGTTTTACCTATCGATTTGGCCGCAAATCTCTGATGCTTCGATGAGGGCCTCCTCATATTGTAGCACCCTTTGCGCAAGGTCGTAGACAATCTCGATTTCCTTTTCTTGTGAGCGATGGATGTCAGCATATAGGCGAGATTCCACAGATGCGGTCCAGTATACCGCAAATCAATCCATATATGTCCCCAAGGCTCTCATCCATCTCCCTCATCCTGAAATCCTTGAAGTATGCCCGATTCTCTGTGATAAAGATGAGCTCCCAGTCATCCGCAATGCCGCTGTAAGAAGCTTCTCCCTTATCATCTAACGGGACTGCAATGTTGAACCCGAGCTGGGGAAAGTAGATCACGTTCACGTCGATATCAAGACTCTCGGGAATGCCCGTTGCAATCTCTATCGCGACTTCTTTTAATAAATCGTTGAGACCATCGTACGTATCCTTCATGCGATCGAGTTCTCGGTCGAGCCCTGGCTTGACAACAGTCCTACCTTGGTCTTCTGAGCAATCGATGTCGACCTGGCACGTTAGCTGCTGCTATCGCCATCTGGTGTACACTTACAATTTCCTGGATCATTCGTCCAACCCTATATAACTGAGCTGCTTCCAAGGTCCGGAGAGCCTTCTCATGTCAGCTTGCGTAGACTACGTTTGATTAACGCTATACCCTGGTACGTAGGCTCAACAAGTTCCCTCCTGAAGTCTCCTTGAGTGCGTCATGGATATCAATGCCGTAGAAGGCGAACTAGAGATAACCTGTCAACAACTTTTTTTGGAGCTCATCCTAGGAGCTCTCTCATAGACTCACAGCCAGTAGTGTGGCCCACACTGTTGTCTTGAAGCCGGTAATCTTCGCACTACCTGTACTGATACCTTTCCGCAGATTGATCATCACCGGGCGTAGGTTCTTGATATGCTTGAGACTTTTGACGAGTTTGTCCAGAGCATTGTAGTTGTCTTGCCGCAGATATACAGTAATGAATTCATGTCGGTCACGGATAGTATCCATCTCAACACTCGGCCGTACGAACAGCTGTCTGAGCAAGTTTCTCCCCTGCGGAGTATGGGCAAAGCGCTGGAACAGGCCATACACCGAGAGACCTTCTTTTGAGGAAAAGGACTTCTTCCCTGGCCCTTGATTGAGCATACTGGGATGTGACTCGGACTCTGTGATCTGGAGCGAGAGTAAGGTACTCTTATTGACAAACCTATTTATTGTGAGAAGCCTCGTTCTGATTCCAAGCGGAATATGATAGTTTTGAGACTTACATTGTCCCTGTCAAGCTGAACATCTCGACAGAGCGAACCTGAAAATTGTCGACAGACCCTATCGAAGTCATGGACTCGGTAGTCCTGCGCCTTTGGAGATATGCAAGAACAGCTCCAGCACAGCCCACCGTGACAGTATTCTCCATATCGATTGAGCTAGCCATGTGTAACAATCTCCCCTCCTGCAACGTGAAGCCCAAGCTCTCATCGTCTATCTGATCAGGATCAATCAACCCGCTATGAGGAACCAGGAATTTGATACGCTGTTCATGCACAGCTGCAACTTCCCGTGCGGCCAGCTTATTCGTAGCTGCTGAATAACCGAATTCTTGGGACGGTCGTATGTCGAGTTGATAAGGAAGGTATCGATAAGTACCTGTAGAGGTTTGAGCCCGTATGTCATGATATATGCAGCTTTTGAATCCAGTATACCATCTTCCTGTTCAGAATTTTGTTTCGTGTTCAAGTAGTCAACTCGAGACGAGGTAAGGAGCACGGTGGGCTTCGTCTGAACAATCACTAGGCCCATCGTTAGTCCATTTTTCCACGACCAAGGCCGGAAGGTAGCAAAACTAACGACTGTCAATTGTATCGGTACCAGAAGATCGTATATCTCCCAGTAGGTAGAGCCTCTCATCCAGGGCCGAGTAGTAAGAACAGCCAATAGTATCTGATCCGCGGACGTCAATTGCGACTACTATCTGGTCAAGATCGTCGTCCGATGAACGCTCCAGTAAGCTATTGCTGGCCCTTCGATTTGCAGTAATGTTCGAAGGAAGTGACCTTGTTGTACAGGTCCCCTGCGGTATGGATCTGGGATTGGGATTGCGTGAAGTAATTGATCGTTGACTTGAGGGCCGAGAACCTTCGGTATGGCTTGGTCCTGAGTTACGAGTGTGTGGTGTAATATACGGTTGATAATTTGTGCGTCTGCTCTTCGTTTGGGATGCCATGATGTAGACCTGCGATGGGTGAAGTTTGAGAGATGTCGATGGATGTGTCAAGTGGTATGCCTGTCCTATGTCACAAGTGAGACACAACCTCAGGCTTTCAGGCTTCCTTCCTATGTGTTATGAGTTTCATTTTGGGACCACAGTGAGAAATCAATATTCCATTACATCGATACTAATACATACAATATATATTAGAGGCTGCTATAATACATATATATAGTAGACCATAAGAAGCTACATCGAAACCAGAAAACGCCAAACCTCGACACCAGTCAAGGTACCAGATAACACACCAATATCAAGACAACTCGTTAGTTCATGACTTCTCCTGCTTGGCGCCTTCTGCCGTAACCTGGAGTCCAGTCTTATCGGCGTCAAAGGTCACAAGGGCAGTCTGCCCAGACGACAGTTCACCACGGATGATCTTGTCGGCCAGTCTGTTGCCAATCTCCTTGGCAATCAGGCGGTTCAGAGGCCGAGCACCATATTTAGGGTCGTAGCCTTTCTCGCAGAGCCAGTCTTTGGTTTCATCCTCGACCTTGAGAGTAATGCGCCGATCGTCGAGTCTTGACTGAAGCTCCTTGATTCGAATATCGACGATATCGCGAAGAGCCTCCCGAGAAAGTCTCTTGAAGATGATGAATTCATCAATACGGTTGAGGAACTCTGGAGGATAGGCAGACTGCACAACTTCCATGACTGCCTTCTTGATGTCGGTGGAGAGCTCGGCATCATTATCGGAGTCTTTGAAGGAGTGCAAAGGATCAGCACCGACAAGGATTTCAGCACCAAGGTTCGAGGTCAGAACAATGAGCGTGTTTCTGAAATCAACCTTGTGGCCCTGGGCATCAGTCAAGAATCCTTCGTCCAGAACCTGCAAAAGCAATGCGGAGATATCGCGATGGGCCTTTTCGAACTCGTCAAACAAGAGAATTGCATAGGGCTTGCGTCTCACAGCCTCGGTCAATTGTCCAGCATCATCGTACCCAACGTATCCGGCAGGAGATCCGATGAGACGGCTGATAGTGTGTTTCTCTTGAAACTCGCTCATATCAAATCGTAAGACGGCAGTCTCGGTGGAGAACAAAAACTCGGCCATCTTCTTGCAAAGCTCGGTCTTTCCGACACCAGTCGGGCCAAGGAACATAAATGATGCCAGCGGACGATTTTGGCCGTTAAGACCTGCTCTCTGCATGCGAACGGCGTTGGCAACAGCGGCAAGGGCCTCATCTTGACCACGGACCGACGTTCGAAGGGTGTCTTCCATGCGGATGAGTTTCTCGACCTCTCCAGCCATAAGCTTGTTGACGGGGATGCCAGTGGTCCGAGACACGACGTTGGCGATATCATCCGCGGTCACAGCATCGTGAATGAGGGTTGGTTTGAGCCCAACCGTTTCCTCTCCCTCTTTGGGAAGCTTAGCCTCAAGGCTGGGGATCGTGGAGTATCTTAATTCTCCAGCCTTGGCGAAGTTGCCCGTCCTCTGTGCTTGATCCAGCTCAAATCGAGCGCGTTCCAGTTCCTCTTTGGTACGTTTAACTGTCTCAATTTCAGCCTTTTCTTTCTCCCAGACCTCAGTCAGCTTCTTTGACTCTTCCTGCTTGGCCTTGAGATCTTCCTGCAATTTGTCACGTCTTTCTCGGCTGACAACGTCGGTTTCCTTGCGCAGTGACTCGAGCTCAATCTGGATAGTTGTGATATCCCGGTCGAGTTCTCTGATCTCATCGGGCTTCGACTCCTGCTGCAGTCGTAGAGCTGAGGCCGCCTCGTCAACAAGATCGATGGCCTTGTCGGGGAGGAATCGATCGGTGATATAACGGTTGCTATATGTTGCAGCGGCGACCAGAGCACTGTCTGTGATTCGTACACCGTGGTGAACTTCGTACTTGTTCTTAATACCACGCAGGATGGAAATTGTAGCAGCCACTGATGGTTCGCCAACTTGAATAGGCTGGAACCGTCTTGCCAAAGCGACATCTTTCTCAATCAATCTGTACTCGTTCAACGTGGTGGCACCACAACACTGCAATTCTCCTCTGGATAGTGCTGGCTTCAGCAAGTTGCCAGCATCAATACTGCCCTCAGCCTTTCCGAGTCCGAGCAAAGTATGAAGTTCATCAATGAAGAGAATCACGCCGCCGTGCGCATCCTCAACTTCTTTGAGAACGGATTTCAAGCGTTCTTCAAAATCACCTCTGAACTTCGCACCCGCAATGAGCGAGCCCAGATCAAGGGCGATAACACGCTTTTCTTTGATGCTTTCTGGAACATCTCCCTGCACAATTCTTTGAGCCAATCCCTCCAGAATTGCTGTCTTGCCGGTACCTGCCGCGCCAATGAGTACGGGATTGTTCTTTGTCCTTCTCGACAGTACTTGGATAGTGCGATGAATTTCGGAATCTCTTCCGATAACCGGGTCGAGTTTTCCGTTCTTAGCCTTTTCAGTGAGATCCACACCGTACTGTTCTAACGCTGACTTCTCTGGTTCGCCGCCCAGGTTCATCCGGTGTGTACCACCTGGCGGATGAGGTCGTCCACTGGCATAGTTGCGGACGAACGATACGGACTGGAGGGTAGCGGCCACGGAAGCTCGAGGTAGAACGGAGAGTGTCTCCGGGCAAAATCGGAGTGGATGAGCAGGCCGGAGTATGCGGGTTGATGATAGAGCTGGCGTTCGAAGAAGGCGGGTTCGAGCAAGCTGTCTCGATGCCATGGCCAGTTGTATAGATGTGAGTGTGTGTGTAGGTAGGTATCAATCGATTTCCAAGGATATAAACCTGCGAGATGAAATGTAAATCGAATAGAAGAAGTGGTAAGAATGCAAATTGCCTGATCCCATCGGGTTCCCTGGCCCCTTCCTATATACTACTCGTTGCCTCCCAGAGGGATCTAAGCATCACGATGCTTCTCGAACGCTCCACCCCGGTCGGGAGTGCAGGCTATGAGTGGTGGAAGCTATCCAGCAGAACCGGCCAAGCTCTGACACCTCCCAGATCACGTGCACGCATCCATCGAGGGGCTATTCTTCCTGACTAACCCGATTCTGGCGGCGGACCCTCTTCTGGAGAAAAAAAACTTCTCCCTATTAATTCTTGACCAACTCCTCCTCGCCCCTCGCCCTATTTATTTCTTCTTCCTTCCCCTCTCTCCTTTCCAACACTCACATCTCTCCCTCCCTCTTCATATTTCTATTATCACATCACAATGGGTTTCACTGACTTCGTTTCTGAGGCTGGCCTCACCCGTATGTCTTCTTTTTTCATCTCGCCTCTTCTTGTCAGTAGCTAATGGTACCCCTCAGTTGCCAACAACTACTTGGCTACCCGGAGCTACGTCGTTGGGTAAGACTCACTTTTCTCCCCTTTCACTTCCAAGAGGATTATCCCTGGAGAAGATCTTTTCATCATCTTATGATGAAAATAAATTGGTCCGTGTTTAGGAGGCGGATTAAGACCCCGCTGGATGACTAGACAACAATTGCGAGCAATCGCGTTTCTGATCACGATGAAAAAATCTTCTCGGGCTTGTTTCTATGGAAACAGGCTCTCAGCACAGTCCACAAACACATGGTTGGATCAACTCATGGCTAACATGTCATTAGCGACGCTCCTTCTCAGGCCGATGTTGTGACCTTCAAGGCCTTCTCTGGCGCTCCTGACGCCGAGAAGTACCCTCACGTCGCTCGCTGGTACAAGCACATTGCCTCGTACGAGTCTGAGTTCTCCAGCCTGCCCGGTGATGCCTCGCAGGCCTACACCACCTATGGCCCCGAGTCCACTGAGCTTCCCACCAACCCCAAGGACAAGCCCGCCGCTGAGGATGATGACGACATGGACCTCTTCGGCAGTGACGAGGATGAGGAGGAGGACCCCGAGGTTGTCGCCCAGCGTGAGGCTCGTCTCGCTGAGTACAGAAAGAAGAAGGAGGGCAAGGTCAAGCCTGCCGCCAAGTCTATTGTCACCATGGAGGTCAAGCCTTGGGGTACGTCCAAAACAGTCGATTATATTTTTCTTCCGTCGATACTAACCACATGTAGATGATGAGACTGACCTTGAGGCCCTTCTCGCCAACGTCCTTGCCATTGAGAAGGAAGGTCTCGTCTGGGGTGCCTACAAGTGGGTCCCCGTTGGCTTCGGTATCAAGAAGCTCCAGATCAACCTTGTCGTTGAGGACGAGAAGGTCTCTCTGGATGAGCTCCAAGGCCAGATCGAGGAGGATGAGGACCACGTCCAGTCCACCGATATCGTAAGTCCACCTGAGACGCCGTGTGCTCATGTACCGTTGTGCTAACATCAGTACTTCCAGGCCGCCATGCAGAAGCTGTGATTGAAATGTCCGTTAATGAAGACCAACGGTGTGATGATGGAATATTTATGCAAAACTATAGTCATGAAATACCTAGAAGTCGATGGGAGTGATATCTCATCGTGATGAAAATCAAATCAATGCAAAATACCCAAATTCATTATCTGGCCATGTAGATCGGTTCGTAGTCAAAACTATTGTCCTGGAACGCTGTCCATAAATCGATGGAATGGATGCTCTTCTCTTTTTGTCTCAATTTTGGGAGGAGGGGAATGCACACTAGGCCTTCCCGGTCTCCCGTAGAACACAACTGCGCAATTGGTCGATAGCGCCATGCGCGCATCCAACCTAAGGTAGGTAGGTAAGTACCTAGCATTGAGGGCTGTACGGACTACGGAGCAGAACAAGCAGGTTGACTTTTGAGCTGCTGCAAACTCACGCCGCAGTCCTGTGCATTTACTCTCTACGACCATCCCATTGTATTTATCATTGAGGAAACACAGAACCACATCCTCCACCAAGCCCACCGCAACCACCTATCCTCACCATGGGCTTCGTATCACGAATGCTCACCTTCTTCGGGCTCATCCTGCTCACACATGCGTATGCTTCTCTCCCACAAGCTCCCTCCACTATAGCATATATTCAAACTATACATTTACTCACATTGAAAATTTGGTTCTGCAGAGGCTACTCCGCGCACGAACACACCGTCCTCTACAGCAGCGCCCGCCTCGCCTCGCCCACCACCGCCCTCCCGCTCGACATCACGATCGAGGCCCTCGTCTCGCTCGCCGTCGTCTGCGCGGGCCTCGTCCTCGGCGCCGAGAAGCTGAAGCCGATCAGCTGGAGCGAGTGGGCGGGCGAGATCGAGCGGGAGGGCGGGCGGCGAAATCCGTATCTGCGGTTGGAGGAGAGGTATGGGTTCTGGGACATCAGGGTGAGTTTCTCGCATTCTCCACGGGTTGGGACTAGCAGTCGGGTTTTCAGGAAGCTGATTATGGGGTCTGGGTAGGCGAAGCGAAAGGAGTTTGCGGATTGGGTTCGGGGGAATGATGCGCTGGAGGAGTTGAAGAAGTGATTTTTTGTGGTTGTGGCATATGGGGGTTGTTGTATGATTGTACTGGCACTGGCATTTGGGATAGAGAGGCTAATGATGATTCGATTGAGAGTGTTCTGAGGTTGCTTGTGGGCCTGTGGCTTGTAGAATTGGACGGGGTCGTCTACCACTGAAGACGTTGGTTTAATAGGTGAGCGGTCGGCTCCCTTGTCCCAAACATGGAAGGTAGAAGTCCAGGTGAAGCGTCGAGACTGTTCTGAGCGAAAATCACTGCGATACCTCTCTGGCTGCATCCTAGGGTCAGGATGCTTCCCCCCCCACCCCGGGGCATACAGCCGTTCGCTCCCGCCATCTCGAGATTCAGACACACGTTGATTGACGCAGACGACCGAGTTTCGCACCTCGCAGGGGCCAGCCAGTTAGCTGTACATGGACTCGAATCCATGCCGGCCAGTTTCGCTTGCATGTGACGCTGGTCGCAACGTGTACCGGGCCTGCCGACCGTCGCCCTTATGGCTGCTTGGGCTGGATTCAGGAGACTGGTATGCTCTGCATATCAACTACGTGAGCGGTCTCTGAAGCCGATGCAGGTACAGGCAGCGAGTAGGTAGGACGAAGAGGATACGCGTGTCGCCGAACGGTCAGAATCAGACAGATAGATAGACCGGTCGATTACCTTGCTACGTACAGGTACAGGCCAACCCGTGCTCACTCAGGACGATATTACCGTTCCCTCCGTGCATTCCTCACGTCACGTAATAATAGCATCTGGGGACGGAAACCTGGAGTTTGGATTGTTTCTATAGCCATTGACTCATTGACCACTCCCCCCAAAACTTCAGGTAAAGCGCACATGGGAGAGCGAAAAATGGTATATCAGTTTGATCTAGCATCTCAGGCTGTTAAGAGTTGAGGTTTTGAGAGTCCTATCCTGGAAAGGTCCTGAGACATGCAAATGCAAGCCCAGAACAGAACTCGACTCTAGGCTTGATCGATCGCCACATAGCAGAGGTTGAAACCAGCATGTTCCAGATTAAGTGGATAGATAGGCAGCATCATGAGCATCTTCATGTGCTACAGTCCCACCGCCCCATCTGGAATATTCGGTCCAAGTGTCTTGGAATTGTTGAGAGAGTGAAAAACAGATAATATTCGAACCATTTTTCGACGGGGCTACTCTCCCCAGGATCGGATCCTGTCTATAACCTCATTGTGATGCTGGATATTAGGATTGTGGGTGGTGTGATTTCCCCAGATATCTACTAGATCGATATCTACAGAACATCCGGAGTATCTCAATAGTCGATACTAAGGGTAGACACTAAACAGTTTACAAGTGGATACAATCCATTTATTGATTAATTAGACCCAACTTTCTTCAAAACCACGGCCGTTGCGAGCAGGCGAGAAAGTGGCTCCATCAATTTCATTTCCCTTGCATCAATGAATTAGTCGTGTTACTCGAGTCTCTATTTGGGGGGACTCTTGAAAGTTCAATATAATGGCAGTGGTTAGCAGCCAAGCAGCAAGTAACCTCACTGTTGAGGCTTGCAGAGGGAACTGAAGCACATTTGACGCTCTTTTATATCGGTCAGGGACCACGAGAGCTTCAGTCTCTGAGGGACGAACGTTTCCCTCCTCTCATGATTTGAAATCCGACCGACTTGTTGCATTGGAAAGGAATACATGTACAGCAATGCATACGTGGACCTGCATATACGAGTACATAAGTACAGTACTTGAGCAAGTCGTACTGAGATACAACTAACTGTAGGTCTGATGCTCATCTGAGATGCGTCTGTCGTCAAGCTCCAAGTTGCATGTGCTGAACCGCGTCGCTTTGTTACGTGGACTCGGACTTACTAGTAAGCCTTGATCAAGCGAGCTGACGGATCAACTCATCGTGAAGCGACAGAAAACCAGCAGTAATGTTGAATGCACAGGAATGGTGCATCTTTATGGTCTCACCACTCTTTCAGTGTCTGCTCACAGCCTCATACTTACTCATAGCATGGTGGCGTTTGGTCGAGGAAATCCATCATGTGGATTCAGCGAAGACAAAGAGGGGGGATTTTTGATTGTTCTTTTTATTGTTCGTCTCTTTTTTTTTTTTTTTCTCTCTTTTGCTTTCTATCAAGTAGATATCTTATTGATTTTTGATATCGATCAAAACTCATACCATCACTCATAGTCTAGGTATCTATACAAGTAACAGTATTGTACAGTTGTCCAGCCGTCGCCGATCCTCCCGAACAACAACAGCAACAACAGCCAACAACAAATTAGATAAAAAAGCGGACTGTGAGCAAGGGACCAGACAGACAGCCAAGAACGCAAAGCCAAAACAGACCGTATGAGAAGGTCAGGTCTGAATCAACCCAAAATAAACGACCTGTCTCATTCGACGATCTACCGCACATCTCCATCATTGGCCCAACGCTGGCTGACATGCGGACACTGTTCCCAAAGATAGCAGCAGGCATACGCAACCCTCAACAGCCACTCCGTCCCTTTGGCAACTTCTGGCCCGACTGGAACGTCTTTGATGTGTCTCTGACTTATTTGGTCCATGCAGGGCTTAGACTAAGGCTCTGCGGTGTCTCTTGACTCTCTCTCTCTCTCCCACTCTGTCCCGCCCCTTAGTTCGTCAATCCTTCCACGGCTCAAGCATTGACTGGTCGAGAAAGTCGAGAAGACGCCAGAAATGGATCGAGAGATGTGCTTGTTGATTGCTCCTCCCTAGCCCTCGGTGGATCCTCTCACAGATCCCGTTGCCAATATCGTTGGGAACTTGGGATTATTGTGGAAAACCTAAGTACTATGACTGTACGAAAGTCAGACAGGGCTGAAAGGTAAAGTGTAACTGGTCGGTGGCGGCCCTGTTTCTATTGTTGTTTGTTGTCCCTCGGGGTGTGGCCTGTCTTTGTCCCTCATCTTTTCTAGTATTTAACCGGCATCGCGCACCAGTCCCCCCAGCCACCCACTCTCTACTACTCTAGTCTTCTATATAACCACGCTCGTTGCCATTTATTTGATATCAGCGGACCTCTTTTTTTCAAATCAAAACAGAACCTCGCTCAATCACCTAATACCATCCAACATGCGTCTCTCCATCTTCCTGCTTGCTTTACCAGCTCTGGCTCTGGCCCAGTCTTCCGGCCCTGTGGTATGTCTTCCTTCATCCGTACTCCTCGCCATCTTCCAGAACACATACTAACCTCTGAACAGGAAGATCAATCCACTGCCCTGGTGACCATCCCTGAGGGTACCACCTCCATTTCAGAGACCTTCACCCAGAAGCCCACGGAGACTCCAACGGACATCACTCTTACCGGTACTGCTACTCCCACTGCTACTGCTACCGCGACTACCACCGGCACCGTCACTGCCACCACCTCGCAGCCCGTGATCCCTACTGCTCCCACGGGCTCGACCGGCATCGGCTCCAGCAGCGTCCCAACCTCCTTCTCCACCGTGCCCACCAGCAGCAGCGGCAGCAGCAGCACCGTAAAGGCCACAACCAAGACCACCGAAACCTCCTCGACCACCGAGACTTCGGACTCGTCATCGTCCAGCACCAAGTCCAGCTCCTCCAAGGCCACCCATAGCTCGACCTCCAACGCCGCCTTGCCCATGGCCACCGGCTCGCTGGGTCTCTCCGTCGTGGCTGGTGCCGCTCTCGCTGCTTTCCTGTAAACACATCCAAAATAACTCAAACACAAATCACCCTTAGACGGAGCCACGGATCTCCGGTCGCTTTTTTGTTGAATACCCCTCTACCTCTCCACCGGCCTGTGGGTGCTAGTGGTCAGTCGTTTACATAGTCATCGAGCAGAAGAAGCAAAATGGATTTTGTTATGAACCCAGGAAAATAACGGGCGCGTTTTTCGTTTCGATGTGGGCTTTTAATTTTGACTTGGCTTGGGATTTTGTATTATCATGGCATATTCTTGTTTTTTTTTTTTTTTTTTTTTTTTTTTTACCGCTTATTGAAATGGATCAGGCGGCGCACATAAAGTTATCCTTCTAGTTGAAATTAATCGATAATCATTCAGGTTGAGTTGGGTTTCTCATATACTTTCTCGAGAGGACGTGATATCAAATAATCATGGCAGCCGCAGAGCTGCGACACAGTAAACAGCAACTCTATTTCTCTTGCTCTATGGAAAGGGCGAGAATGAATAGAACAGAATATAGGTAGACAGATGACTAGAATATTACCTTCACTGGGGCTGGCTGCCCCTCACTGTCTATTCTTTGAAGGTAAGACCGTTGGCTCTACTGCATATTCTCCTCATACCGCAATATAAATACCTCTTTCTCTCCACTCTCCCAAGGCTCTTGATAATGCCAGGATATCCAACTTTACAAATTTAAGCAAACCAAAGAACAAGGTCCACACTAGATTAGTCCTAACGATTTTCGACACTCGCTCCAGATTATCCAGCCAGCCTTTTTAGCTTGAGGTTGAGGTCACAAGCAAAAGACAAAATCATTCGTCCGATATATCTCATACAAATCTGCAGATCCGGCACATATGCCCAAAATGAACATTTGTACTTTTTTTTTGTGTGGACTCCAATGTGGGAACTACATCATCAGTGCTCTCAGGCACGGACAAGGGCACGTAGGAATGTACAATCCTGATCAGAGTCAGCCAAGATACAAGAAGAATTGTGGATAAATTTGTGCTCATCGGGGATGAGCCAGTCTGCTGCTTCGTCGGTGTCAAGATGGCCATGGCATGCATGTCACTATGTGATGTCTGACTACATCAGGCGCCATTGAAATTGGTGAACCACCACTGCGCATCCCGACGGAGTGGGGAAAGAGATTCGCTTACGCCGGGTCTCGACAACAAGTGTTGGCCAGGAACTCAATTGCCCAACAGGTCGACGAGACTGTGGCCAGAAGCACTCGCCGGGCTGTTTGGCCTTGTCTACTCTCGTGCTGGGGATGGTTTGTGGCTGCTCCCCATTGCATCTGGGTTTGAGGCACTCTCATGGAATGGAGCCGTTTCGGAGAGTTCAGCCCTGAGGTTCGCAGTGGTGCACTCGTGTCGAAATCCGAACATGACCTTGAGCAGGCCGTTTGACCCCTCGAACGTGAATCTGAATCCGATACCTTCGAGTGCATTGTGATCGTTCAGAAGTCTTTTAATAGCCGGCTTCCGGAGCCACGACACCATAAGGTACTGATTGCCATCCTCGTTGTTTTGCAACAAAGCCGAACGAATCTCATGCGAGAGATGTTTGAGCTGAGTGAAACTTTTGAAGTTATGAACCAGGCAGTTGGATGGGCATTGGGGACAGATCATGCTCCAAGGGAGGTATGAAACTCGAACCAGCCACTGATCCGGTCTGGGAGTCCATTAGCCTAATAAGTCAGCCCAAACGGGCCTGAGGAGAGGCGCATGGGTAATCAGAGGAGATATGGAAGGAGATGAAGAAATAAGTAGAAAGAAGACGGAGGCTTGCATATGAATAGCAAATTCCATGCACGCTGCAGCCTATAATCCTGCAACAGTGGATGGTAGAAGATACTTCCATCCATGGTTTGAATCAGTCTGAACAATATCTGTACTAAGGAAGTTCAATGAGCTTGTGAATAGTATGAGGATATTCTGAAGATCATTTATTCTGTATTGTATAGAAGCCAGGAGGGGGTGTCCATTATCCTATCCATTTATCAGGGCTACTTTATCCTACCATTCATATTTGATCCTGAAGCAAACACAGGTTTATTTACCTAGTTGCATAGCATGAGAAAGCAGAGCCAATAAGAAAGAGATGTTTAACGCCAAAGATGGCAAAGCATGGATCATTTGCAGAAGAAGCATTATTCTGATCCTGACTATCTGTCGCCTCAGGCAGGAATCAATTACAACTAGAATGTGAGGGGAGGACCCGTGAAATTGACGCCAAAAATGACCACTATTAAGGCCATTTACGGCCGCATTTCCACCTGTAGCTCCTGCTGATAAGGAGCTGCTCTAACAGTAGGATCTAGGCACATAGCACGAGGGAATAACTATCTGGCAGTTTCAGCCTTTTTGCTTTCAGCCTTACGGAGTAGTACACTGTGGATTCTAAATGTGATGTCCCTTGGGCGACGATCTATTACGCGCCTGACTATACCTAAATTTAGATGTTTCTAACGTCATGTGACCAATTAGGAGTTTGCTCGACTCATAATCAGTATGGTCCCTTGTTGTTCATTCAACCATCTGGCCTTTGTGCATGGAATTTTGAACAGCCTTTCCAACCTATACAGTTAAATGATGCTCCGAGCCCTTTTCCGTCCCTTTCCACGCTCTCCTGGAACCTCTGCACGTTTCCAGAACCGTCGATGCATCTCATGCATGTCATCTCATTCTGTATTTCCTGCAACATTATATCGATTCCAAGTACACCGTGAGTCGCAGTTGTTCGACAAGAAGCTGGGACAAGAAGACTGGGAATGGGAGGACGGTATAGAAGTTGCGGGGGACGGGCTGGTTTATCCCAAAGTAACGATGGATGGTATGCCTCTACTCCAGTAATGTTCTGCTATCTGCTGCTCAAGACCGTCCTAGTTTCAAATGGAGCACTCTTTATGCCAAATACCCATTACATGCAAGAAGTAACACGAAGGTCTTACGACAATTACCTGGATGCTGTGGATAATGGTCAGCCTGAAGCCAACCCCCATTACCTGTGTATCACAAAAGGCAAGTGATCATTCAGTCATTGGTGCGCCCATATAATAATTGAATATAGGGACTGCAATACCAAGGTCTTTAACCCTTTATCGTGAGCGAGATTCTCGATTTACCCTTCAACCATTGTATCCGATGCCCCTGGCCGGTATGTCCTGCTTTTTGAGATATTGGATATCAACCTTTCTGAACTTATGCTAATTATGCAGTCCTCAACGAGACTCTTACCGATTTCTATACCAGGTCTGGCACGACGATCCATCCAGAAGAATGGTTGGAAGAGAATCCCTACCACGAAGCTTTTTTCGATAACTCAGAGGATTGGATGGGCCATTAGCAGGTCTATTTTCTATGTTTATCTGGTCGAAATTCTGCCCATTTCTATTTCCAGTGAATGGCTTCATACATTGTTGTTTCCAAGTGTTTTACCGTCCAACAAGGTGTGGGAGGGGGAAGAAAAGCAGAGGTTCCCAGAAGGCTGTCTAGCTCGGTTGGCACCCTTCTGGTTTTGCTTCGGGGCAGGCATTCCTGGCAGAAAAGAGCCTCACTGATGCTCCAGAATGGTGGGTCTGGCACTGGTTGTGAATCATCCACAGTATGGCCCGCTGGAATGTTTACATATAGCTGGCTGGTCTCCATGATTGTAAGAGAACCAGGAAAGACATCAGCGAGGGAGTGTTTCTCTACCCTTTCACCGAATTTAGAATATTTTGAGTGGCTATTTATTGGTCGCCGCAACGGTAATTCAATTAAGGTTACCTAGTACGAGAGGACAGTTGATTCAGATAGTTGGTCAACTCTTGAAGTACCTACCTATTTTAATCTAGCGTCGATATAAAGTCAGCCGTGGAAGCCCCGCCGAAATGTCCGACTACGGAGTATACTTTTATAATGAGATTACTAGATTAGAATAAGACCTGTTTTAGGTTTAGTACCTACTTTAGACCTATCATCTAATATCTAGGAATCACCATACCTAAAGATTAGTAAGATTCTATCTTCTTACTACTTGTAAGGCCTCCTAATAGTGTTGGTAAGATATCCATCTTACCTATGTGAGGGTATCTTAGTCAGCCCTTACTAAGCAGGGGGTTAGGTAAATTCTCCCTTATAGAGGAAGAATCCTAACCTAGTATTAATCTACTAGATTATCTGAATTCTTAAAACCTAAGCTATGCAGTATCTATTCTTTCATACTAGTCATATTCTACACATAAGATCCAGTGATCTCACATATCTCTTAGTACTTTCTAATAAATAATGATATATAATATTAATTTTTAGTAAATTAGTATTTTTAAAATATTATTTTATTAAAATATAACTTAAAATTATAATATATATATAGAGGGGAGAGAGAGAAAGTAGTTATAATAGAAAATATTTAGGTACTCTGGGATGCTGTGGGAATACTCCCTATTAAATAATGATTAGATAGTATATTAATGATTTAATACCTTTTAGACTATGAGATAGTCTTAATTACTCATTAATAAAGAGGTAAGGACTAGTCTCTGTATTAATCTATAACTTTCTATGCCTAACTATATTCTCTTCATATTTATTACAGTAGTCTAATTTTTAAAATTTAAGATTTTCTAGTACTTACTAAATCTAATAGTATTTAATATTCTATAATAGTATATAGATTATAATATAAATTATTATTACTTCTAAAATTACTAGTAATTACTAGTAATTACTAGTAATTAATAGTAAAGCTAGAAAATTCTAATCTTTAGTATCTAGATAATAATTAAAATTTAATATTTTAATTATCTTTTATAGGATTCTTATATAATATAGATCTAATATCTAAGTCCTAAGCTTACTAAAAATTACTAATAATTATTTGTAATTAATAGTAAAGCTAGAAAATTCTAATCTTTAGTATCTAAATAGTAATTAAAATTTAATATTTTAATTATCTTTTATAGTATTCTTAATACAATATAGATCTAATACCTAAGCTCGCCAGGTAGTAATCTATTTTTTTTATTAATATAGATTAATCTTATCTAGAAATGTTTAGTATCACTAAAATTTTAATTAGAAATTAAGTAGGAGCCACCTGGCCACCTTAAAAGCTAGACCTAGTCAGCTCATTACCAAAGATAGAAATTTAAAATACTAGAAATTTCTATTCCCTTACTGGTAATTACTAGATAGAGCCACCTGGCGACCTGGCGACCTGGCGAGGTGTACACTCTGATAGACCTTACCCTCTAGGGAATTAAGGTAATATCCACTCTCATTCTGCTTTACAAGAGTGAAAAATACCCCTATTATATTTACATAAAGACAGCATGCTATTTTTGGGTCTTATGTCACGTGGTGTACCCTTTTGTCTTGCATTTTGTGAACCTTGAAGTTGTTGAGGGCATATGTTTACAGCTCTTCCAACTCTTCCAACACTTCGAACACTGGTAACACCATTTTCAAGATGGCAACAAGCCTCCCTCTTCTCAGAGAGCAGAGCATTTCTTTAGAAGACGCCTTGACAGATGATGACAATATCCTGCATCGATTAGATTATCCGCAGAAAAAGAAGGAATTTTGGTTGCATCTTCTCTCCCATAGGAGTGAGATCGAAGAACTAGCGTCCTTTCATCTTCGCGCGAAACATTGCCAGGTGGCTGATGAAGCTGACTGGTTATTTGGCAGCTATAATGTGTGCATTCCAGTTAATGTTAACCCTCCATCCAAGCAAATGGTCCTTGTTCGAATCCCATTACCATTTAAGATCGGCGAGATGAATAATCCTGGAAATGTGGATGAAAAACTACGGTGCGAAGTAGCTACCTACATTTGGATTCATGAGAACTGCCCAACCGTCCCTATTCCATCCCTCTACGGGTTCGCATTCCCCGATGGACAGACTGTCTGTAAGCCCAAATGAAATTTCATCTGAACAAATTAACTGAGTGACCTACGTATTCTAGTTTGCTGAAGCATCCTCTGTACCCTTCTTTTCTCAACTCCTATGGCGTATAACACGGACCATCCGTTCATGGTTGGGATTTCCTACAACATGCCCCTATGTCGGTCTCAGACGTTCGAACTCATTGACAACTGGATACATGATCATTAGCTACGTGAAGAAGGGCCAAATGCTCTCCAATTCTTGGGCAACATATCTTTTGGAGGATAGGTCACGCAGGCAAAATCTCTTTCGCGGCCTCGCAAACATCATGATTACATTGAATCGTACTCGATTGCCGAAAATTGGATCTCTGACTTTGGGTAATGATGGTGTTATTGGTTTAACGAACCGCCCCCTAACACTGCGACTTCAAACATTTGAAAACGAAGGCATCCCTACAATCCCAAGAGCCTTGACTTACCAGGCTGTGGAGCCTTATATTCTCGACCTTTTACAGTGCCATGACAATCGCATTGACTACCAGCCAAATGCTGTCCATAACTTAAAGGATGGTCAGGAGCAATTTGCCTCTTTGATCATGATGCGTGGTCTCCTCCATCAATTCGTGTCTCGCCAATATCGTGAAGGCCCATTTATGCTTACACTTACGGATCTTCACCCAAGTAATATATTTGTTGATGAAGACTGGCATATTACATCTCTCATTGACCTAGAATGGGCATGTTCTTTTCCCGCCGAGCTACAAACCCCCCCATACTGGCTATCTGGTCGACCTATCGATGACATTGAACATGGAGAGCATCTACGGACTTTCGAGGAAATAATCAATGAATTCATGGATATTTTCGAAGAACAGGAGCAAAAACTTCAAGGTTCCAATGCTTTCCAGGCTCAGATCATGAGACAATGCTGGAATAGAGGAAGTTTCTGGTATTTTCAAGCTGCACACAGCCCAAAGGGACTTTGTAGAGTCTTCAACGAGCATATCCAGCGCAGATTTTGTGAGGAACATTGTACCCAACGAGTGTTTGATCGAACTGTCAGTCCATATTGGCGCGCAGGAGCCGAGGACTTTATTCAAAAGAAGGTAAAGGAAGAAGCTGAGTATAAAGATCGACTGAAAAAACGGTTTGATGAAGTTAATCAACAACGATGATTCGTGTTTTTGACATTGATGTGTCTTATCGTTGTTTTTCCATTTCTAGGCGGTTCTATTGTACTATGATACATGAGGAGATGTTGTGTCGAATATTTTTTTTGACTATCTTACCTTAGCCCTTCTTATTGTCCTCTCTCTTTTTCTGTGCTTCTTTCCCCGAAGAGATTACTTGTCCAATATTCGGGTTGTTCGCTATTTGCTGAGACGGTAATCCTATATCCTCCTTCCCTCTTCTTCTCCGAGCTTCTTCGCCTGATGATGTCGACATATTGATAAGTCGATTTTGTTCGATCCTCTTCTGCTCGGCAGTATCTTTGTCACTCATACTGAAAGAGAGGAAGAAGTCACAAGTTGTATGCGGTAGATGGGTACTTGGCGTGATGTTGTCCTATAGAGAGGTTGATGCAGTTTTATATCCTGCGAGAAGTGCCGGGATTTCACACAGCATGTGATACTATGTGCTAAGTACAAATGCCCTGGATGTCAAGGATGTTAAGCAAAGTTACTGTGAATGTGTTTACGAACAGGTAATCCACTTAGACGATGGGGGAGATATCACAACTTAGATCGCATTTGTAAGATGAATTGGCGTGGTGGGAACATTTTGAAGCACACCAAGTCAAGGTATCTCTCAGCCATCAGGCACCAATTTGGATGTTTTTAACCGGCAGGGTTACGACAAATGTTGGTGGATAGTTTCATAGCAAATTTAGGTTCCCTTACCATATGTCTAGATTCAAACGCACTAGTGACAAGCAGGAAGCTGAACCTATCCTACAAGTAAAACAAATCATATATTTATTGAACATGTCGAAATTGTGTCGAAAATAAGAGACCGCCGAATAGCCCAAATCGATGCAGCTCACATGTATATGCTGAGCTATTTCAGGATAGCTGTTGGAAGATCCTATACCATCTAATGTGTTCAAGCCCTCCATTGCTCATCTCACAGCACAGTTCATACAGCTTGATAGATTCAAGACCATAGCCATGCATCCTGCAGCACATCTAGATGAGAAGGCAAGAGGGGAAGCAATGTTTTATCTAAAGAGATGGGAGATATCCCATGTGCTGGCTCACTGGGTAATAAATATATAAGGAGGCATATTTCCCTTAGGCATCTTAACCTTAAATATCATTAATATTTAAAGCTTTAATTTATAGCAACCTTTTTATACTTTATTAATTTTATTCCTAATTAATTATCTAGCATAGCATCCTTCCAAAAGGTAATCACTGCACCTCTATCTCTATATCTTTAGATGATGCCTCCTGATAACCCACTATGAGAGTTACCCTTGCAGAATATAGATAAGAATAACCTTAAGCAGGTCCTTATTAATGCTATTAAATAGGTATTATTTAAGATATCTATTAAGGCTACCTCTGGAAACCCCTAGCCACTAAATACAAGCTAATTAATGTAGCTTCTGATAGAGGTTATTCAGACTAGTCCATCTTTGGAAGCTATTATTAAATCTTCTAAACCAAGATTTACAGGCATTAATAAGAATTAAGATTAACCACTACTTAATGCTGAAGTTAAAGTGCCCCCTAACACCCCATTGCCTGGTTCTTCAGAGTCTGTCATAGTAGGCGGATTGAAAGAGCTATTGGAGCTCATGCTCAAAAATAGATCAGAGTTAATTACTAGTTTAGTGACTAGGCCTAATATTCCTAATCAGATCAAGTCTAATACAGAACATGGCAAAGGAACTTCTTTAGCTAAGTCTTGCGCGTCTGTGTTAGGGTTTAAGAAAGTCATAGAATTATATAAGCTTATTAGTTTCCATGATTCGCGCCCAGAGGAGCTGACCTTCAATTAGGTGGGACAAAGAAACATCCAAATACAAGATCCTGGAGTCAATTGAGATTCGAGACCAATGAGAAACCTTTGAGTAGCTACTACCCCTCCTCTACGGACTACCTAATTAATAGCTTTCTTATAGGCTAGATAGCCTATATATAGCTTTAAAGGACAGCTATACTAGACTACCCTAGTATATATAGCATACCCTAAGGTTTACTACTCTTACTTATCTTATTCCTTCTTTACTTAGTAGAACTACTATTATAAGATACTAGACTATACTTTAGATATATAGATGATCTAGCCTTATAGTATGCCTCCTACTCCCTAAAGGATAATATAATAATTATTATTAAGGATATCTAGGGTATAATAGACTAAGGGGTAGCTAATAAGGTTATCTTTATCCTAGAAAATCTTAAGATAATATATATTACCGGGGTATAAGATAGCATATCCCCCCTATAATAATAAATAAGTCTCTTATTATCTATCCTATTATAGTACTAGAGTAGCTAGGCTAGTAGGTAGCCCTCTACTAGCTAAGTATCTACTTTAATAAATAATTAATATAAAGATAGTATATTATAATATATATAGCTAAGATATAGGTAGTCATATAATATATCTAGGACCTAGTATATATAGTAGATAGGCCCCCTATCTCCTTCTTATAGAAAGTAGTTATTATATATATTATAATGATAAAGAATAGAAGATAGTTAGGCATAGAAAGTTATAGATTAATACAGAAACTAATCCTTGCCTCTATATTAATTAGCAATTAAGACTATCTTATAGTCTTAAAGTTATTAAATCATTAATATACTATCTAATTATTATTTAATAGGGAGTATTCCCAAGCATCCTAAAGTTCCTAGATATTTTCTATTATAATTATGCCCCCTTCCCTTAAGGCTGCCTATAGCTATTAAGTATAGGCCCTTCTACTTACCTTTTATAGGATGGTTACTCACAGATAACCTGGCATGGTTTGTGAGAGGACTTAAATATATTATTATGATGTATGGCTTTCATGATTAGAATATAGTATTATATGATGTTCAGGAATTATACTTATATATGTGATTTAATATTATCTTATAGAAGTTTTAGAGATTTAGTGTTATATTATTATAGGGTTAGTATATGGTGTACTATACCTGATTAAGAACTTTGTTTTATTTTAGATTATATTAATAACACCCTATAACTTTCTTTATAAAGACCCTTAACATCTTCGCGAACACACCAGATTAGCTACTAAACCTAATAAAAATACTATAAAAAGATATTAATAAATACTATATATAAATATACTTCTGCTTAGTATAGAAGCACATAGCATAAGCCTTTTATTTATAGTTAGATACTGCCTAATAATTATGGTACCTAACTTTAGGGTCATAGATTTTAGCCTAAAGATAATAAAGATAGGGATTTCTATATAGAGAAAATACCTAAAAGTTAGCTAAATGTAAGGCCTCCTAATAGTATAGTGAAGATATCCATCTTACCTACGCAAGGGTATCTCTTAGTCAGCCCTTACTAAGCAGCAGGTTAGGTAAATTCTCCCTTGCAGAGGAAGAATCCTAACCTAGTATTAATCTATTTAATTATCTAAATTCTTGAAATCTAAGCTATATAGTATCTATTCTTTTATACTAGTTATATTCCCTATATAAAACCTAGTATTCTTATAATTTTGATACTTAATCTATTATAACTAGCCTATTAAAAAAGATAATAGCTAGTAGAGTAGGCTTATAAGCCCCTAAAGGATTATAAGATTAAAAGGACACCTCCTATAAAGTAGAAATTAATAAACCCTATAAAGAATTCTTAGGATCTCTAGAAATAATCTATACAGAAAGGACTGCAGAGGTAGGGCTTATTAAGTTTTTATAAGAAAAAGAAAAGAGGGTTTAATAAGAAACCTAAAGTATCTTATAAGATTAAGATAAAGATATAAATAAAGGATAAAGGACTAGTATCCCTATCTCTAATCTAGAGAATATAGATAATATAGCTCTTATATAGAGACTTAACCTTCTAGAGTAAATAAAGATAATCTAGGATAAATTATTTCTATCTATATAGAAGCATAAATAATAGCTATTAAATACTATAAATAATCTATCTATAAAGTACCCTATAATATTAACTAAGCTATCTATAAAGTATAAGTTATACTTAATAGAAAGCTATATAATATATTAAGTATTTATTATAAAGATTAAATCATATATAGATAATGTATAAATTACTAAGAAGAAGAAAATTAAGTTTATAGTACTATATCTAGAGTATATTCTTATAGATCTATAGAAGTTAGGTATATATAAACTTTATAAAAACTATAAATAAGAAGGATTCTATAAGTCCCTAAAATAATAGCTTAGTAATCTAAAGAACCTTCTTATAAGATATAGAACTAGATAATCTATATAAAGCCTAAGGAAGAGGAAATAGACTTTTAGTATCTATAGTAATAAGAGTAGTAGAGATTAGAGCTTATAAAAGAGATAAAGAATCTTAAGAAGATATAACTATATATATTCTTTAAGTTATATCTATAAAATATTAAGTAATATATCTATAAGTAGGCTAAACTCCCTACCTCTTTATAAGGATCGCGAAGGTCTATTATGTATTATATTAAAGCTACCTTTATAGAGGAACCTACTAATAAGAAGGCTCCTTATAAGAGGTTATATAAATAGTTATATAATATATAAAGATATAAACCCTGTCTATAACTACTAAACTCTAAAGTTTAGTAATAATCTCTTTAAATAAAGATATCTATTTTTAAATTTATTTATAAATATTCTTCTTTTATACTAGTTTCTAATTCTCTTAGATTATAGATCCTAATATTTTATTACTTAATCTTTAAAACTAGTCTATTAAAAAAATAATATTATAAAAGAGGTTAGTTAGACCTAAACTATCTAATAAATCCTTCTTTATAACTATATAAAGTTAGATAATAGGAAAATAAATAGCCTATAAATAGGAAGGCTCTAAAAGTAAGCTAAGTTTATAAGACTCTCTTATTTTAATAGACTTAAAGTTAATAAAGATAACCCCTATAAAAGAGTATTTATAATAGAAATTATAGCTTTTATAAGAGATCTAGAAGCTTTATAATAATCTAGGTATAGGCCTTAGAAAGTACCTATAAAGCTAGGAATAAAAGAAATTATTTTTATTATTTATAAAGAAGACTAATATCTAAATCTAATCTCTATTTAAGTTAGAGAGATACTTAATCTATAACTATATAATATATTAAGCCTTTATTATAAGCTAGAAGTCTACTATAGAGGCTAATAACTAGAATAAGAAGAAATATACTAAGATTATAATAGCCTATTTAGATTATATTTTCTTTAATCTTTAGTAGAATAAAATATTTAAGAATTTTTATAATTAAGAGTAGAAAGACCTCTATACTTTTTTAAAATTATAGTTAAGTAATTTAAAAAATTATAAGTAGAAAGTATAATTATAAATATTTTAAATAAGGCTCTATAAAAGAGAAATAAACTACATATACTAGTAGAGGTAGTATAAGTAATAGATTAAAATTAGAGATAATATAAAAAATATAAAGAAGATATAATTATATCTCTTCTTTAAGTTCTTCTCTATAGTATTTAAGTAGAAGATCTATAAGTACTTAAAATTCCTAAAATCTAAGAAAGAGATAGTCTACCTACTTATAAGACTATATCTAAGTATAGAATAGGATATTTATTAAAACTCTATATATAAAGATAAGGATTATTAAGGCCTTAGGAACTTAGGGAAGCCCCTTATAGATTATATTATTATTAAGAAGATAGAGATAATAGGATCTATTATAATTATCTTATTTATAAAGAGGTAAGGCCTATAGCCTTATATCTTTAGTATCTTATAGGTTTATTTTAATTATAATAAGAAAGAGTATATTATAAGATACTACCTAAGTCTAAATAGGAGGGCCCTATAAAGACTAAATAACTAGTTATTATTATTATTATTAAAGAGTAGGATAGAAAGTATTATAGGTCCTTACTCTCTTACCTAAGTATATTTTTTTAAGCTTAGGTAGGAGAGAAGAGATAGAGCCTAGTCTTATAATACTAGTTAATAGTAGAAGCTCTATTAATCTTATCCTTATAATACTAGCTAAGGAAAATAACTAGTATACCTTACTATAGTAGGTCTTTATAGAGATATTAATCTTATAAGAAATTAGAAATAAAGGAGTAGTAGAAGCTACTATCTTAATTAAGAATAATAAAGAAATAAAGTAGCTCTTTATAAAGCTTATAATAATATCTCTAAATATAAATTATATTATCTTAGAGATACTATAATTAAAGTAGCATAACTCTATAACCCTCTAGGAAGAAGATAGGGTAATCTTTAATATAGAGTTAGCTCTATAAATTTATCTAG